CACTGCAGGCGGCCTCAGCCTGTGGCAACGAGAAAGTGGTGCAGCACCTGCTTTCAGCAGGTGCTGATATCAATGCTCAAGGAGGACTGTATGGAGGTGCACTGCAGGCGGCCTCATTTCATGGTCATGAGAAAGTGATGCAGATCCTGCTTTCAGCAGGTGCTGATGTCAATGCTCAAGGAGGACTGTATGGAGGTGCACTGCATGCGGCATCAGTCTATGGCAATGAGAAAGTGGTGCAGATCCTGCTTAAAGCAGGTGCTGATGTCAATGCTCGAGGAGGGCATCATGATAGCGATTTACGGGTGGCGGCAGCCGACGATCACAAGAATATAGAGGTGTTGCTGAATGCTGCTGGTGCAGAATGAAGAATCAACACAACATCATGTTGTGTGCGGTGTATACGCACGACGCCTGTCACTCAAGAGACCAGGTATGAAAATTTCGTCCCAATGATGTGCCGGTCCACGCACTTAGTAATGTGCTGAGCCTGGGATTCTGTCGCTGCAGCCGAGTTCCGTTCCCAGATTGACAGAACGTTCGCTTGCAATGACCAGCGGCTCTTGTCATGCAGCTACGTACCTCCCAGCATCCAGCCTTCTAGCACGTGGACCTCTAGCGGAAGATGGAAGTCGTTGTAGTATACTCCACAGCGGGGCGGAGAGTCGTGTGGGCACGACGCTTGACCGCGATTGTTCTTGGCGCCTGAATGCTTGTGCTATATCATCTCATCAGCAATGCCATTCGCTTTGGTGGTTCCCTCTCTTGTGTCGAGATCCTCTCCGTTCGACACGTACTGGGCACCCAGTGCGAAGCCTTCGCCAACAAAATTTGATCTGCTGCCCACCAAAGATGACGCCACTCGCTGCAGTCCTGCTAGGCTGCATGGCCGGTGCCACAGCGGTAGCACTCCCGGCAGTGTCTTCTCCACGAATACTACAACGGACCACAGAAACTGTCAGGATCGAACAGCTCGATGAATCCCTGTTACCCACCGGCGACAGAAGGTTGATCTTCATAGGCGACATCCACGGCTGCAAGGACAAGCTGCTGGAGCTTCTCGACGATGCCGAGTACAACCAAGAAACCGACCACATCGTGGCAGTGGGCGACATAGTCAACAAAGGTCCCGACACCCTCGGCGTCATCGACTACCTCATGTCCCAGAACGCCTCGAGCGTGCGCGGCAACCACGAAGAGCGCATCGTGCCTCTTGCAGAGGCGGCCAACATCACGGAAGCCTACGACAACCCAAACTCCAGCCCCGAGGCCATCGCCCAGGCCCTCAGTCCCGCGCAGCTCTCGTACCTGCAGTCCTTCCCTCACATCCTCCGCATCGGCACCAACCTGCCCACCTTCCGCGGCGAAACCATCGTCGCCCATGCCGGCCTCGTCCCCGGCCTCGCCCTCGAAGCCCAAGTCCCCGACTCGGTCATGAACATGCGCGCCCTGGACACCCAGACGCTGGAAGTGTCGAACGCGCGCGCCGAAGCCGGCTCCTTGGAGAATCACTGGTTCGTGGTCTGGGACGAGCACCAGTTCTGGTACTCCCTGACCTCATGGGTGCGGAAGTTACTCGGCAAGGACAAGGCCGCGCCGCGCGCGACGGTCATCTACGGCCATGACTCGCGGCTGGGCCTGCAGCTGGGGTCCTACCACCGGGGTTTGGATACGCGGTGTTCGGCGGGCGGGTATCTCACGGCGCTGGTCGTGAGCGATGGCGGCGCGAAGGAGGCGATCGTGACGGTGGACTGCCCGAACTACGAGGAGCAGGTAGCTGAGTCGTGAGGAAAACGGCAGCTGTGTGTTTGCTGCTTCTTCCCCTGTGATACTGCCGACAGAAGTCCTCGATGGTGTTCACACTTTTCTCGTCCGTCACTAAGAAGATGGTAGCTCGAACCGAAGCGAGACTTTTCCCAAGTTTCGTGCCACATTTGCCTTTACCCTTTCAAGCAGTCTATATATTCCATCGCAGCAACTTCGCGAATCAGATCTGGCACACAGCAAAGAGGGTGAATTCTTGCGGCCGGGCGCAATACTAGATACGTCCTTAGTCTAATGAGCTAGCTCGACTCAAGAGAACAGGACCTGCTGATAGATTGCAAGTAATGGCATAATGGACTGGTAATAAGTCTTCGAAGGCCCTTCCCCGAAGTAGTGCGCTGAGAACGACCTTAGCCCACAAATCTCTCCGCTTTTACTAACTCAACGTGATCCTGGTTTCCGCCCTCATGCGGGCCATGTCGATCTTGCGGTGAGTCAGCTAGTCACACAGAGTCGCCATTGATAAGGTGTTCTTGCGTTTCGTGTGTTTTAACGGTTGGGTCGCTAGTGCATCGCATCTTTACAGCCCTACGTTTAGGACTGACCCTAATTTCGGGGTTCCCGTTGACTGTTGTTTCCACTGTGGCTGTCCCCTTTCCAGCTCGGTGGCCTAATGGCTAAGGCGGTACATTCTACAGAAGGCTGTTCTCGGCGAGAAAGACAACGAACACAATGACATTTCGTTCTTGCTCTTCTCTACAAGCGTTGCTGGCAGGTAGATAATGGTCCTCAGAGTTCCAAGATGCGAAGGCTGTCGCCAAAAGAAGATCAAGGTCGGTTTCTTTACTTCTTCACGGGAAATCCTGAAACGCAGAAAGTTCTGAGCTAACGGTACAACAGTGCGATCAGGCCTGGCCCGTATGTGGTCCCTGTAAGAGAAGTAAGAAACGATGCTCTGTAGCACCAGTCAATCGCATCCGCTTTGTAGACAAGCATTGGACTTCAACAAGTCCAGATGCAGCTCAGCAAGCTAGTAAGCAGGCACCCGCAGACGAACATCGCACCTTGATGATTCCTGTCGAATCGAGAAACACTGCGGCCGGGTCCTTTCAGAAGCTACGCATCTTTGATAGAAGACCACAAGTTCCTCCACCAACAGCTCAGGCATGCCACCAACAGTATGCCATCGAACGGTCTGTTCCCGCAACTCCAACTATGGGTATGGCTGCAGAGCTTGCATATGCCCTCAAATCGGACTACGTCGATGGGGTTTCCTGCTTCGCTCCGCTGTTCTCCCATGTACCAGCGATGCTTGACCACAGCGAGGCACTTGCGGCAGCCACTGCTTGCTGCCTCGATTCGCGATCAAATATGACTTCTGTCACGGATTACTGGCGAGTCTGCGACTTCCGGCTCTTCGGCAAAGCTTTAAAAACACTACAAGATGCCGTGCATTCGGTCGAACCCAAAGCCAAAGTTGCAACAGCTTACGCAATATCTATCCTACTGAAGATTGAGACAACCCTTCCAGGATCCGACAGTGCGCGACGGAAAATACACCCCATTTCTGTACCACTCGTTCAAACCAGCTGGATTGCGCATGCCAGCGGTTTATGCGCCATTTTCGAGAGCATAGGACCTTTCGAGGCATCAGAAAACGAACTATTCGACCTGTTGAGAGACAACTTTGGACCTATGGTGTCATATGCTTTTGGCCGCGGCGAGGAATCTTTTTTGAGCGGCCCACAATGGCTCTCTATACTTCGGCGGCGTCACACATCATCGTCGATCGATCGTTTATTTCTGAATGTCCTAGCAGAGCTGGCTTTGTTACCTACTGCGATCTTACCTGTTTCTGCCTTGCACAAGGCCACTGGAAACTCAGACCACACCACAGCACTGGTCGATGTTTGTCGCATACGGCACCGATTGCATCAAATGGACTCTACGATTAAACGTCTTCTAAACGATCAGTCCGAGGTTACCATTGCACCTTGCACATGCAGTGGTTCGCCGGTCGACTCAATCTTCGTGTTCCATACCGGAGTGGAGCTCTGTCGGGCGATAGCTTATCACGATCTACTTGCCATCATCATGAACCAAGCTCTGGTAAGCGTGACCCTCGAGTCAGCGTCACGGCTACAGCTCGAGGAGGAAATCGCGGCTCTAAGTACGCGTATATGGATGATGCACGAGCAAGCGCGCCACATGCGATCACTCGGGTTTTTCTTCTACATGGCTGTTCTACTTGTGACATATGAAAGCGCCACAGAGCGGGCTACACAGGACTGGATCGTGGCACTGATGAATGAACTCCAGGGTGGCGTGCGCGAGAATGGGAACAACTACTGGACTAGAGATATGGCTCTAACAAGGAGTCGTGCTGCTAGTGGGAGAGGGCCAATGATCTAGTCACATTCCAATGAGGTGGTCAGACATTGCACCGCTTTGTGCAATGAAAACAGTTGTTGGTACCCGACTTTCAGAGCTAGTTAGACGGGAACCCCTTCGCATTTTACTTCGATCATGCTGGCGGCAGGCAAGTATACTATTCTGTACAGACACTAGCACTATTTGAGTTGGCACATCGCTATTGACAACGTCATCTTTTCCTAAAGCCGTTAATGTTTGCGATCCGTTCCTTGGCCTTCATGTCTCCGATGGATTTCAGCTCGACTCTCCTGAGACACGCCTTCGATCTACTAGCCTATCGGTTGCCCGAGCGATTTAGCGAATGACTATGCAAGGTTGGTAGCTATATCAAAAGCGGTAGTCCATGCTCTTAGATCCGCTGAGAAGGGTCCACCGTCCTTCACTATCGCAACGAAAGCTCAGTCGTCCAAGACTGTACCAACTTCCGGCAGCTCCAGGTCTACCATGAACTTCTCCATCCATATCTTGGTCTGTCCATGGTTGGCAAAGCTGCCATGACCGTCACCGCGCCGGGTTAGGAGTCTGCTACCCGGTATCTTCTGCTGCACCGACACAGCCTGGTCGTACGAAGTGGCGGTGTCCCACAAGGCGTGCACCAGTAGAACTGGTGCGGTCAGCGTCGGAACCTTGATCGGCTTTGGTGGATTTCGCACGGGGATCGGCCAGCGTCGGCACCACTGTGCCCACTGTGTTTCGGGTGTTGTTAACCATCCGTACGGCGAAAGAGAGTCTCGCGAGTTTCTTCTGTTGCTATGTACCTCCCAGGTTCCCTCCTCAAGAGACCATTCGATACATGCGATGGCAGCGTGAGCTAACAGCCACTCAGTCGCTTTGGACACGAAAGGCGTCGCCAGCCCCGTCGCATTGCCATCCATTGCTTCGGCAAGCCATTGCGCAGCTGCTGGGTAGTTTTCCGGGTACTTAAGCGCCAGTACCAAGTTGCTCCGGAATTCCCAATCAGTGACTCCGGTAGCGCAGAATCCCGAGTCTTTGCAGCCAGGCGCAGCAAGCGGTTCTTTCTGCGCTTGCCCTCGCAGATGGTTGTATATGTGCAAGACGTCCTCGCCACGGAGTGGGGACGCCGAATCGTTGCCCGCCCACTCAAAGAAGTGTTCCAGTACGAGAACGGCCCGGGCGGTAGCATGATGTCCGACCTGGGCGAGCGTGTAAGAGTGGTCGATGACACCATCGAGCACCATCGCCCGGATGTTATCGGGAAACAGCTCTGCATATGTGTAACCTAGTTGGGTGCCGTATGACGAGCCCCAGTATGTCAACTTCTCCCCGATGGCTGTGCGTATAGCTTCCATGTCTTTAGCAGCACTGATCGTGTCCATGTTGCTAAGCAGTTCTTCGCCCGTTTGCTCAAGGCACGACTGTCCGAAGGCATCGAAAGCCTCGACCCCAGCCTCCCATTCGTCGCGGCTGGCTGGGAGTTGGTCGTGGCGCATCGCGACGTTCAAGAGGTCCACGTCGCATTTTACTGGACTGCTCTGGCCACAGCCACGCTGGTCGGCCCCGATCAAGTCAAAGACTTCCCGCAGTTGTTGCGAGTGGTGTGGGTAGTCGGGCATGTCCATCTTTGCTACCCTCTCGGCCGCAGAAGCGCCAGGACCGCCAGGGTGAAAGAACAAGCTGCCGATCCGCTTTTCCGCATTGACCGCAGGCTGTTTGTTGATAAAGAGGTTGATCTGGCGGCCCGATGGATTATTCCAATCCAGAGGAACCTGCACCTCGGCACATTGCAAAGATGGGGCACTGTCGGTAGAGCAGTTCTTCCACTCCAGTTGGCGAATTGAGAAGTTCAGTGGCGACGCAAGCACCATGGAAGGTACAAGTGCACGAAAGAGAAGGCTGTAGGCAGCGACCATGCCCTGCAAGGATGACTTGGGAGGCATTTTCAAAGGGCGATGTTGTTTAGCCCTAATGCAAGTTGCATTCGTTCTTCTTGTTATCCTTGAGCCGCGTACTACCCGAGATATTTGTTTGTGGTAAGAGAAGTGGCCGTTGATTTCTATATTAGTCGGGGGTAGAGCTCTACCGCAGACCCTTATGATACTGTAGCTTAGCTACTAAAGCAATGGCCCGAAAATCTCGCAGTAGACAATCTTATGTACGCAGAGAGATGCTAGATGCGGAAGTTATGACATCGTGTTGTTAGGCCGCCACAGTGCTCCGGCCTTTTAGTTGCCTCGCACAACGTGGGGCTCCAAAGGTCTACTTGATCTACCGACCTTCAGCCTTTCTAAGAAGCTAATTTTGTGAAGCTGAGCGCTTATCCTTGCCATAAAATACAAAAACGGATTAGATGTGGGTGGCCAAACAGAGCAACACAAACTATATGACGACCATTTGCCCGAAAGGAGCAAGACAAGGCGAAATTGCTAAGTATACCAAGAGTTCCTCCTTTTCATAAGTGTTCGCCGGGATTACGTTGCAGGAGATTGTATCATTGATATGAGGAAACTAGTCTTACCTGCACAAGCGTCGAAAATGTATATAAGCTGCTGGATGATACGTTGTTCTGTGACATATCACGACAATTGCTCTACTAAGCCGCCGTAATGTACAAGCCTCTATCGCCTACCGGTCCCGCCTTTCTTCTCTCCTCGGCGTTGGTCCAAATTATCGCGGCATGCCCGTGGCTAGGCCCATCGCTTCCGCCTCCAAGTGGTCAATATCTCATGCAAGCCTGGAATGATGTTGAACACAAAATCACCAGCGAGCTCAGTGCACTGTTGGATCCCAACACTACCTCGCTATCTCTTCAAATTGTGACGGCCTCCGAGCAGGCGCCACTGTTTGAGTTCTATCACAAGGCCACAGAACATGTTTTCGTGGGTACGGACGCAGGCGACGAGTTGGACGGAGAGACGGTTCTACGTATCGGCAGCGTGACCAAGATGTTCACAGTTTACGCCTTACTCCTCAAGTGTGGCTTCCACTGCTTCGACGATCCTATCACCAAACACGTTCCTGAGCTGCTGCAGGAAAATGCCAGCGGGGCTAACTGGGAAGATATTACAGTCGGAGCCCTGGCGAGCCAGATGTCGGGCATTGGACGAGACTGTGAGTAGCTGAGTCTTCATTCTCTCTTGCAAGTATGTAAGGTCCCTGGCTAACCCGAAACTCAGACGCGAACTACGATGTGGCCGCCATTTATCCTTCCTCATACATCGCCGACCTCGGCCTTCCCGCCGTCGATGATGCCGCCGTCGATCCCCCACTCACCACCGCCGCACATGTACCCCCGTGTGGCTATAACTGGACTGATTCGGATGGCTGCACTTGGGACGAAGCGCTCCCGTTGATCCAGCGCATGCACACTATATTTGAACCCTTCTACTCTCCCGAGTATTCCAACCCGAACTATCAGCTTCTCGGACGTGTGCTCGAGAGCTTGTACGATCATACGGCTTCGTACGAGGAGATTATGCGCGACCTTGTCTACACCCCGCTAAACCTAACACGAACGTGGACATATGCACCGACGGATGCCGATGTCGGCACGGGCCTCCGGGCGCCGGGAGAAGCGGGTCTAAGGTCGTGGAACAATTCGTTGGGCGACGAGGTCCCTAGCGGTGGCTCGTACATGAGCAATAACGATCTGGCGCGCCACCTGCGTGCGGTCATGAATCACGCCCAGCTCTCTCCGGTGCAGACGCGACGTTGGCTCAAGCCAGCCTCGTTCTTGGGCCACATGGAGGGCGCGATCGGTATGCCCTGGGAGATTGTACGTGTGGACCGCGGCATCAAGGGAGTTGTTGACGTCTACCGCAAGGACGGAGCGACCCCACAGTACGGTGAGAGCGTGTACGGACTCCTGGATGGATGGGGCGTGGGCTACTCGGCCATCGTGCTCTACGGCGACCAGACGACTCTACCGATTGCGGACGTCGAAGAAGTCATCGTGGCACACCTAGCTGCGGCGCTCGAGGCGGCGGCACACGAGCAGACTCAGAAGGTAGTTACGGGACGATATGCCGATGAAAACGAGAACGAGATCGTTCTTGCCGTAGACGAGGATGGTCTCTACATCGACGCGTGGCGGAACAACGGCGTGGACTTTCTTGCATCGTATCAGCGTATCATGGGGGCCACCACGCCAACGGAAAAGAGGTTCAGCATATATCCCGCCCAACTGGAGGGTGGCGATGATGGCGACGCCAGCCTGAGAGCGGTGTATAGGTTGTCGCCCGAGAGCTCGTCCGAGGCTTGGTATGGCTGTCACAGCTGGGTTGGCCTTGATCTCTGGCGGTACGCCAGTCAGCCGCTAGATGAGCTTGTACTGGTCAAGGATAAGTTAGATGGGAAAGTAGAGACCGTTGAGTGGCTCGGAGGACGGGTGAGACTCACAAGAGCTAGCTAGGCTCGCTATAGCATACTAGACTGAAGTGTTTTTAATTTTCCATTCAACTTGAGACAAAGCTAGTGGCTGTTAGTCTTATAGGCTTATGAGGTGGTTCTAGGCTGACTGTAGAGTTTACCTAGCGGCCTAGCCCTTCTATCTCAAGTCAAGTTCCTCTAAGGGTAGAACTATAGGTTCTTACTTGAATTAAGTGGCGACCTATAGTTGCACCCCTAAGGCGCTTGAACAACATAGAGTAGTTTAAGATACACTGTATTACCTTAAATTACACTATATACAATACTATATCTGATAGTTTCCATAGCCTGCATACATGGTAAGGGTAGGTCGTGGGCTGTCCCTCCAGAGTGTATAGTTTGCTAAGAACCATTGGGGGGCGTGTCCTTTTAAGTTCTAGGGTATATACTAGATGAAGTGTAGACGGAGCTAGGGCGCGTCAAGAAATAAATATCAGAGCGTATTGAATGACACAGGGACAACATCCCTTACGGCGGGATACACTTTACACGTTCCGGAATATTATCATTCATGCCGGGCTCCTGCCACGTGTTCTCCAAAGAGCTTGTGCAGATCGCAAAGAAAAATTGCTCCCGTCAGCTAGGCCATTGACCTTACGCCGTTGCTGACATCTTCATTGTTGCACTTTCTTTGGCTCATACAGAATGAGCGACCGCCACTCCTTAGCGTGCACAGAGTGTCAGCGTCGTAAAAAGAAACTTAGTTGCAATGGCCGGATTGTTGAGAGTTGGACTGACGTCTAGCAGTGTAGCCGGGTTTGGCCATGTGACCACTGTCGCTCTAGACACGTGGCCCATCTCTGCCAATTTGTTTATACGGAGAAAAAGGACAATGTTGAAAGGTAGCAGGCCGCATCGATTTTGTATTGTATTTAGTCCTGCTGATCCAGTTCTAGCAGCGCTCAAAATTCTTTCGGGCAACCTAGCGGGCTAGATCCAGATCGTGCGGCAGATCGTGCGGCAGATCCTGCGGCTCGGCTTGAATCTGGCACGATCGAACTTACTGATGGGCTCAGAGTCTTCGGCTACTTGCCTGATAACCCATTTAGTCAATGTAGCGTTGAACCAGCAAGAGTAACCAGTGTGGGGAGCCGTTCGCATAAAACCATCATTGACAATTTTCTTAGAACCAAAATAACACGTGGCGAAGTTGCAGCTCTATCGACGGGGAAACGATCAAAAGCGCCTTGAACGTCACTCCCGCACGACATGTTGCAGGTAATCAGTGATATTCCATTTGAGCCTTACATCACTCACTAGATATAGATGTGTTGGTGCAGAACTACTTCTCGATCGTCAACTATCACTACTATCCCTTTACCCCCCAATGTTCCTTGACAAGTATAAACAGTGGTGGACAGACAGATCGAATGACCAGATCCCTAGTCTAGAGGTAACTTGCCTGCTTCTGCGAATATGCTCATGCTCCACACAGTTCCTGTCGAAAGAAATTCAACAGACTCTTGCAATGGCGCTGGGTGAAAATGCTCTAAGCCTTGGTCAACGTTATCATCATGCAGCAGCGCAACTGAGTCGCAGCTTCAAACCTGGATCAGCAGGCTTAGAACAGGTGCAGCAGTTGTTTCTCGCCGCCTATTGGTTCAAGTCAGAAGCAATGTTTGCTGAAGCCTGGCACTCTTTGGGCGCTGCAATCCATGAGGCGCAAGAATTAGGTAAGATAGACATTGCTATCGTTTTCGGAGGTGTTTAGAGTTCCCAAGTTATCTCTGCGCATTCTGACTGAACTTGCTCGAAGGAATGCACAAAGATTATCTCTCGCAGGGGCAGCCTGAGATTGAGCGAGAAATGAGGAGACGGGTCTGGTGCCTTCTTTACAGTTGGGACTGGTGAGTGCTTTGGACTTAAAGGGGCTGCTTGCTCATTCCTAGCGTAGGCAGATATCGACATGGCTGTCGCGGCCTCTTATCATCAATCATACCACAGGGTCCCCTGTTATGCCTACTCGTGAACTCGAGTACTCAACGCAGTTCCCAGGATTACCTTCTCCTTTCAGCCATGTAGCCCTAGTGGCCCGATTGAGTCGCAATATTTGCACAAAGATTGATCTGGTTGATGAATTCCCCACCGTGGAGCAGGTACTTGCCGTTCAAGCGGAAGTCGATGAGTGGGTCGCTTCTTTTCCGCTGGCATATCACTTCACGGAGCCGGACAGACGTTGGGATCTGGATCATCCCTATGTTGTCTCGCAGCGACTCCAGCTTCACACGACTGCGCTGATGAGTAAACTCGGCCCTCTCAAGCCATTTATCACACGAAAATCGACCGGTCCGACTCCTGAAATCAATCAGAATTTTCGAAATTTAGGCATCGACTGCTGCTTAAAGCTAATCGAAGCTTCGAGGATGCTGTTTGATTCAGTATTTCCGATTTGCCCTCGATTCCACCTTTTAGTATGCTGCATATTTGACAGTGCTGCTCTTCTATGCTCCGCTTTGCTGCACGATTCACCTACGAGTCTTGCCCAGCGTGGAGATATCTTCGAAGCTCTCAAAGTGTCCTTTAGCATGCTTGAGAAGCTAAAACCTCTCACCAAGATCGGTTCAGTGTGCTACACTGTCATTGCTTCCCTTATAGCGACTATACGCCTATCAGCAGCAGGCCACGAGCCTCTTACTACCACGTCTCTCGCCAAGGAGTTGGCACAACAACAACAACTTACATCTCACAACTTGTCGGATGTCAATAACGACACTATCGATGGCGATCCTCTGGCCCATGAGCCTCATAGTACTGATCTCCTAACCTATCAGTCACTGACCGAGTCGGAAAAATGGCAGTTTTGGCAAGACCCGAACTCGCAGCCTCCTAGCTTGAGCGACGTCATCCAGATGGATTTAGGAGAGCTTGATCAGATCTGGGATTGGGATGAGCGCAACCTAGGATTTGGTAATATCATTTGAGCGTGCGAAGCCGCGTGTTCATCGATCTACGACGCAAATTCAACTAAAAGCACGCTGCCGCTTCCCGGGTTGTGGTAATGGTCTTGAAGCACCAGGAAGATTGCTGGTCAAATTCTAGAACTAGCTTAATTGGACATTCATCCCACGAGAGCATCGACTACCTCGCGCCATGCGCTAGCCCTTTTCATGTCTTGAAAGGTATGTCTCGCTCTCCATAAAGTGCGGGGGGCCACCGCCAATGCCAATCGTAAGCCTCGAACCAGCGTTTGGGGAAACATTCGCGCCATGCATGAAGCCAAGATGGCAATCGCGCTTCGTAGATATGTTCCCTAGCATGCGTCAAATTACAACATTGTTCTGCAAATTTTTCCAGAGCATGTAGCTGTTGAGGTCACGCCGCTGCAGAGCTGTCTTGTCCTTTGTACGGCCTTGTTTCATGTTCAGCTAGGTAGGAGTTCAAAGAATTCTTTCGCAAGGTGGTCATATTGTTCGCCCCGTCGATTGGCTACTCTACGATATACTTCTGTAAGAATCCAATCACCTTTTGACCGCCTGATGCTCCACTCCGACACTTGTCGGACCGTGACGTAAGTTTCTCTCCGCGGGTGCCGCGACAAAGTACAGCTATAAAGTTCGCCGAATCTTACCATCGTGCTCATGGAGAATAAAGGAACAAATATCTCAAACCAGATTGTCCCGATCGATTTGCGACATGGCATCGCCAACGAAAGTACAATTTCCCTCTTTTATGCTGACCATCTGTGGTGAGCTGTATGCTCCTATAGAAGGGTCACCGGATCGCAAAGGAGCAGCCGTTGTAGTAAGCCACCCTATGACCGGTGTGAAAGAGCAGACTTCTGCAGATTACGCCAAGGTTCTCGCGAAAGCCGGCTTCTATGCTCTAACGTTCGATGCTGGCTATCAAGGCGAAAGCACCGGCGAACCACGAGGACTTGAAGACCCTCACCAACGGGTCGAAGACTGCAAGGCTGCTGTGACCTACCTGTCCACTCTCCAAGGAAAAGTTGACCGCGACCGTATTGGAGTATTAGGCATTTGCGCTTCCGGTGGCTACACATCCTACGCGGCGCAATCCGACTGTCGCATTAGAGCCCTCGCCACCGTGAGTGCTGCGTGCGTCGGTCGCATGACTCGAGACGGGGGTCTGCATGAAGAGAACAGCAACAAAGAGGATTCTCAGGCTATTGCCGGGGCCTTGAAGGCCGCTGGCAACTGGCGAGTCGATGAGATGCTAGCTCCGGTTCATCAGCAAGCTCCAAAGATGTTCTCGGTAGATCCGTCTGAAATCCCGGCGGATGCAGATTCGTTCTTCAAAGATGCGGCGGCTTACTATGGATCGGAACGTGGCCACCACGTGCGGTCGGATCAGCGAGTTCCCCTCATGAGTTACGACTTGATGGTCTCATACGATTCATTTAATCTTCAACATCTCATCTCGCCTCGCGCTCTGTTGATGATTGCTGGGTCCAACGCTCAGACATTTCATTACAGTAGGACGGCAGTCGCAGCGGCCAGAGAACCTAAAGAGCTGTTCACCGTCGAAGGGAAGAATCATTTCGATTTATATGATGATCTCGATAAATCTGGCCCAAAGCTGGTGGACTTCTACGGGAAATATCTCTGAGGTGTGATTCTGAGACCGCGTTCATGCTCTCTGAAGGTGGATCACTGGTGTGGCCCTATCTCAGGACCTACTATAGCGCGATTTATAACACAGTAGTACCCACGACTATCTCTGTATTTACTTTAGCCCAGCCTTGACCCTATCACTATTCCCTAAACTAGTAAACCTAGCTGGACGTGACGATCGGAGCGGTTCATAACAGTAACCTAGGTTATTTACGGCCGCGGCCTAGGTTGCAACACCTTCTTACTAATAGCCTTGACTATATATAATAGTATTGTAATTGGTGTAGCTTAGCAAATTCAAAATATGGTGGACGATAGTTCAGACCATTTTACTTCTTTTAAGCGCCAAGACTTTTACTGCCTGATGTTCGAAATCCCCATCTGAGACATCAAGTTGCGTCTGTACCGTACCTAGCGCACAGCGGAAACGATTCTATGTACCTAGCAGGCAGTTGTACTGCTGCTGCTGCTGCAGCTGCTAGCCAGCCACTACTATGGAACTCTTTCGTAACATTTCCGACCATCCCGTTCGTGAGTCCCTGAAGTGACTAGCTAAGCCTCTCTAGTGATTTATGTAAACCATGCCATATCCATACTACTGCCCATGCATGCCATGCTATGCCCTGTGCCATTTATCAACGAATCTTAGATTACTACTATATACATTTAAAAACCCTCATCATGCTCGCCTTTCACCCAAGCCAGCATTCTCGGCTCTATATCCCCATCGTGCAACGCCCTGGGCCTCCGTCGACGCGTACTGATCTCGTGATCCAGGCGCCACGCGCTGCGAAACGTGTTCATACATAGCGCGGCCAGCGGCCGCTGCTGTTGCTGTTGCTGCTGTTGCTGCTGCTCATGGTCGACCTCATCGTCATCACTGTCTGCTGCGTCGTGCTGCGGCCAGCAATGTAGGCCCAAGTCGATGCACGCCGCTGCGATGCGGCAACTCCACAGCCACAGGTTGACGTCCGGATGGCTGGTATCTTCCTCTTCTGGGGCGGAGACGTCCATCTCCTCACGCAGGAGGTAGATGGCCAGCAGCACTGCGCCGTGAATGCCGGAAATGCTGGCGAAGAGCTCGAAATTTTGGGCATGCTGGAGGGCCATGGCGTGGCGGACGTAGCGCGCCGAAATGTCACGCGAGCGGTGTTGTTGGAGGGCACCGATGGCGGCGGTGAGGAGGCGCTGGTAGGTGTCGATGCCTTGGGTTGTTTCGGCGAAGGGGGATGTGTCGGAAGGGAGGGGTTGGGCTCCGTGGCTGCTGTTGGGGAGGAAGGGGTAGAGTGGGTGTATGATATTCATATAGTGCTTGAGATAGCTGGTGGTGCGAGGCGAATTGAGCATCCAGCTGAGTTCGCTGTTCTCAATGGTGTGCGGATTGGTGAGGGAACAGGTCGTGTGGCGGCGCTTAGTAGAAGCAGTATTGCGAGTCCAATCCGCGACATGGCTGCTGCTGCTGCTGTTGTTGTTGCCAAAGCTGACAGATGAACGGCGGGAAGTCGTTGGTGGTTGGTCAGTGGGCGAGAGATAGACATTGTAGTAATCCATAGGCGTGCTAGTTGGTACTTGCAGCGGCGGCAGCTCTTCTTGGAGGTTTCGAATGGGAAGGTCGAAAGCTGGCTGCAACATTGGGCTGTTCATGGGTGAAGCATCATGTGATGTGATCTGGATGTGTGGAATCGGGCTGAAGAGTTCTTGGCTGTCCATGTCCATGGGCATCTGCTGAGGAAACGTGTGGGCTCTAGAAATTCCGGAGATGTAGTCTGACTCTACATCGCTCGCATACTTGGGCCAATTTGGATCCAGCTCAGGGCCCATATCGGAGAGGCAAGCCGGACTCAGTGGGTAGTTCCACATGTCACTGTTGGCCTGTGGCATTGTATCGTCCCAAAGATTATTGGTCTGGAGATGGAGTTGCATGGGTCGGGGCGAGATGGGCGTGGGCTGTTGTATCTCCAGGTTTGCCTGCTGTGGCAGGAGAAACTCCTGAGCCTGCGCTTCCAATGAACTAGACACGTAAGCCATGTTGCACCATATACGGATATATGCTCAACTGACCTCCTCGACCTTGAACGCCGCTTACCAGGATCGAGACATGCGACGCCGAACCTTGCGCATGAAGCGCATGGACCGGGCAGCCCGGAGCATCGCACCTTCCGTCTGCGACATCTCAGACATGCGACAGGCACTGCACTTCGCTTCAGATCGTAAGAAGCACGTCGCGTCGTTGGCTTGACTGTCAATCCAGCCTCTGGACTCGGAGATCGGCTCAGCGCATGGTCATGGCTGATAGTGATGAAGTTGGACGACGGGGACCTTGCGGCATTGCTGTTCATAGCTTGAGCAAACGTTAAACCCCAGATATTGTGCGGGTTTCCCCAGCTTTTGAATACTGCATCGGACCACCGTCGAGTCGCACATCTTCATTGATCGGCAGCTCTCGGGGTGAGGTCGAAACAGCCGGAAGGTGATTGGCTGGAATAGACCGAGCATGGGTGTTTGAGGGTGCAATGCGACATGACGGGGTATTGCATAGAAGGCCTTGGCCGTGGCTGTGCAGACACGCACCACACGGTTCCGATGCCTTGCGGCGCCTTGTTCACCCGGTGCCCCGACCGACAGAATTCCGTCGTGCAGCTAGAATAAAGATGCATATTAGCGATTGGACTCAGTAATGCCGTGCATGCATAAGCCAAAGTCTACTACGGCTTAGGCTTGATTGTTATTGAAGCTCGTGCGGAACACCGCACCAGGAGGTTCTTCGGTGCGACGATCGACACACGACATTGGTGCAGGTATATGTACTCGAGTGCTCTCATATAAGTTGGCTGTGCTCGTGGGATGGTAAGGGCACAGACAAACAAGTCAAAATTGGACTAGGCGTGGTGAGTTGGCATCACCGTTGGACCGGCTCAACGAAAACCAGACGGTGAGGTACGGGAGAACTGATCTACATTGCTGACAAGTCGTCAAGACTCAGGCACATCGATACATCGGTCAATGCGTTGCATCTCGTTGGCACATGCCTTCTTCTAACCCGTTGTTATCTTGTCTGCTCTCCCCGTCCATATCGCACCCATTTCTCTTGCACCCTACGCGCTGAGCACACGGGAAATCTTCCATTTCGCGGATCTTGGTTGTTGCTCTTCGATATGCACCGTGCCCACCTGCTTCTCGCCAAAATCGGAGCCCACCTCTTTAATCAAGCTAGGGGCAGAAACATCCGCACCAAACAGCTGTTCCATTTGCTCCAGGGTACGCCCCTTGGTCTCGGGAACGAAGAAGAAGGCCCAGATGCCCATCAGAATCATCAGTGCACCGAAAAACATGTAGGTTCCGTATCCGAGACTGGTAATCATGTATGGAGTAGTCCGTGAAATGATGAAAGACCAGAGCCATTGATCAGCGGTGGTGATCGCCACACAGAGCATGCGAATGTCGAGCGGGAAAACTACAGAGGTTAGAAACACGGATTCCAGCGACATTGGAGAGACTGTTCGTACTTTCAGAGCAGTAAACCCAGGTGATTCCCTGCCACGTCGCACAGTAGATGAAGCTACAGATGTCAGCATTCGATTTGAACATGTTTCAAGAGAGTAGACTCACCCGTACAGATAGACACAAACCATGGCGAGGTAGCCCCATCCGCTTCGCGTGGTGCTGCCGGCCGCCACAGCGCCCGTTGGGTCTGCCTTGAAGACGTATCCTCCAATGTACCACATGGGAATAGATCCGATAAAGGCACCGTAGATCAAGCCGTTCCGGCGACCGATCTTCTCCACCAGGTAGAGAGAAAAGACAATCATGCCAAGAGTCTTCGCAATGCCGTAGAAACCAGTAGCAAAAAGCTTGGTAGAAGTGCCGGTCACACCGAGGGTCTGAAAAATGCGGGGTGAATAGTAGGTGATGATGTTGACACCGGTCATGTTCTGACAGCACATGAGCAGCAGGCCGATACCAACGCGGTTGCGTGTGCCCTTCTGGAAGAGCCGCTTGAGCATCTGCTTCGGAGTGAGATGGCCAGCATTCATGATCTCAGCGTGCTCGCGGATCTCAGCCAGCTCTTTGCGAATATAAGCATGATCGGCTGGGAGCGTCCGGAGCTGGCACAAGACCTTCCTGGCACCTTCCCAATCGTCTTTCTTTGCAAGGAAGCGAGGTGTCTCAGGACACAATGCGATGCCGCAGAACAGAATTGCGCCAGGCAAAAGCTGCAATGCCAAGGGTATGATCCACTGGGTTTTGGTATAATCTGAGATGGTGCGATTGACGGCGTAATTAATCCAGAAGCCACACTGAACACGTTAGTCGAGCTTCGCACAGGAGGGATAAGTCTTACCATGCCACCACCTTGAGAGCATATCTCGAAGACACCAACCAAGCGACCTCGAATGGAGGGAGGGCTTGTTTCGGCGATATAGACGGGAACAATGAGACTGACGGCTCCTATTCCAAGGCCAGCCACTGCTCTGCCTGAAATGATGAGAGGCAGGCGACCATTGGCGGCAGTCATCATGATGCCACCAACCAGAAAGACCAGCGATGCAATCATGATGCTTCTCTTACGCCCAATTCTCTCGGCTAATGGAAACGACAAGAGGGCACCAAAGAATGTGCCGGCTTGGAACGTCGAAACGATGTTGCCCTGGAGTGTGTCTACGTCGTGCTGCTCACGGCCCTCAAGGCCAAAGTCTCTCTTGAAAGAATCGAGGGCCATCGTGCCGCCAATGACGGCCGTGTCATATCCCACTATGAACTTATCAGCAGAGTTGGCGAATCAAGTTCGCTCAGCATACTTGCAACAGCGCTCATAGAGGCAATGAGTGCAAAGATGTGTACCTTCCAGTTGCGAACCTGTGGCGGGTCATCTGTATTCGAGGCATGGAGATTGAAGCCCATAGTGTTGGTCAGCAGCACACAAACGGTGCCAGTGTGGTTAGAACACAGGAAAGAGAAGGTGGAGGTGGAATCAAGCAAGCAGACATATAGTCTAGATGATCAAGCATAGTCCACATCCTGGCGCGGGGTCCCGTGGGGAAGCACATGGTGTCCACTCCTGCGTGTCGTACCATGGCGACCATTCGACGGATTAGCAACGGAAGGAATTGTCAATTGGTGCACGCCCAGGTAGCGCCTCCAAACGCCTCCGAGCCCGTGGATCCTGAGCTGACAGACAGCCAGAGCTGCACTGGTCACCTCGTGGAGCACCCACTGTACGACATCGTAGCGAGGGCAGGGCCAGGGTCCTAGGTACTAAGGAGGTAGAAACTCCAGCTCGACGAACAGCGACGTCGCCCTGAGGCCGCTGCTGCAGGACTTGGCACTTGGCATACCCCACAACAGCGGAGAAATTCCATTCCTTCCGGCTTCACCTCGTTCGCTTCTTCGCGTCTTCTTTTCGTCGTCCTTGTTTGCTACACGGGCATCGACTGTGCAACTGGAGCGATCGTCGCTCTTCGCGAGCTTGTGGCTCGAACATTGGATCCCAGCCCATGCTTTGGCTTCTCATGACTACAAGTTGCGTCGTGCCGTGACCGGCTCGGCTCCACGCGCCCTTCTTCCTCCGCCTGTGCATATTCGTCGTGCTTTCTAACACTCCCCACGTCCGCCGATCACGCCGTCAGGTAGGTTCCCTGGCGAAGTCGTCCTGGGTGGACTGGCCCTCGCGGGCTCAGCATACAGTCGGCCCTGATAGCCATGCCTTAGCACTGCCCCAATTCTGCTGATATATGATCTTTTGTGTGCGGAACCTTGACAGGTAAGGACTACTAAGCCAACGGCCCATCCAGTCGAGCAGTTAGACCAACTATACATGGTCGTCGAGGCCGCCATCGGCCAGAATGGCGACCCGCCCTACACTGCAGGTACCTCTGCTTGTAAGCACTTCCCAAAGTGTCTAATGACGCCCTTGCTAACAAAAAAAGGCCTTGCCGAGGGCCTCCTCCGACGATGCTATCACACCATCCGAGGCGAACAGTCTGAACCCCTTTTTGAGCGCACCGCCATCTGCCTGTGGGCGTAGCTCAGCGTCAAGCGCCAGCTTTTTCGACGACGCGGAAGCAATACTACGGCCGGACCCAGGAACAGAGGCCGACTTTCTTGTCAGCGACAATCCATTCGCCTTCAGTCCAGGCCAGCTTAACAAATTACTGAATCCGAAGTCGCTACAGGCCTTCGTAGCCTTGGGAGGTCTGCGTGGTATAGCAAGCGGCTTACGCACGGATACCGCCTCTGGTCTTAGCGTTGATGAGACTATGGTTCATGGAAAAATCTCGTTTGATCAGGCCATTCATTCTGAGAAGGCCAAAGATTTCGATGGCGCCTCATCCTCGTCCAATCAGTCGGCCTTTGCTGACCGGATACGTGTCTACAAGAAAAACATTCTTCCTGCCAAGAAGGCTACACCATTATGGAAGCTAATGTGGGCTGCATACAAGGACAAGGTATTGCTCCTTTTGACAGCAGCAGCCGTCATCTCCTTGGCTTTGGGTCTGTATGAGACGTTGGGTGCCAAGCACGAACCTGGAGCACCCACGCCCGTCGATTGGGTCGAGGGTGTTGCAATCTGCGTGGCAATCATTATCGTTGTTGGTGTTGGAAGTCTCAACGACTGGCAGAAGGAGCGAGCCTTTGTCCGTCTCAATCAAAAGAAGGAAGACCGCGAGGTCAAGGCAATTCGGTCTGGCAAGTCTCTCACCATCAATGTTGCCGACATCCTTGTCGGCGACGTTCTCCATATTGAACCAGGCGACATGATCCCAGCTGATGGTGTGTTCATCAATGGTTCTGGTGTCAAATGCGACGAATCGTCAGCCACTGGCGAATCTGACGCTCTCAAAAAGTCTGGTGGTGATTACGTTATGCGACTTCTTGCGGAAGGTCAGGCCGATGTCCATGATCTCGATCCGTTCATCATCTCGGGTGCCAAGGTCCTCGAAGGAGTTGGCACTTATCTCGTCACTTCAGTGGGCGTCAACTCCAGCTTCGGCAAGATCATGATGTCGGTTCGTACAGAAGTTGAGGCTACACCTCTCCAGAAGAAGCTGGAAGGGCTTGCTAGCGCCATAGCACAGCTCGGTGCGAGCGCAGCGGGTCTCTTGTTCTTCGTTCTCCTTTTCCGTTTCTGTGCCGGGCTTCCTTCTGATGCCAGGACTTCTGCTGAAAAGGCTTCTTCTTTCATGGATATCCTCATTGTGGCGATTACTGTTATCGTGGTTGCAGTTCCCGAGGGACTGCCCTTGGCCGTCACCCTGGCATTAGCATTTGCGACAACTCGACTGCTAAAAGAGAACAATCTTGTGCGGGTGCTCCGAGCGTGTGAGACCATGGGCAATGCGACAACGATCTGTTCCGATAAGACTGGCACCCTAACTACCAACAGAATGACTGTCGTCGCTGGCTGCCTTGGTGGTCTGGACTTCGGCGAGGATGTGTGGTCTAGCTTGCAGACTGAAGACTTATCTCGCAGTATCGTCAAGGCCGAACAACAGCGCATTATTCAGTCTATTGCCTTGAATTCGACAGCTTTTGAAGGTGAAGAAGACGGAAAACCTGTATTCGTGGGCTCAAAGACCGAGACCGCAATGCTGCAGTTTGTTCGGGACCACATGGGTATGGAAGACCTTGCGATATACCGCGCCAACTCGACCATAGTTCACTTTCTCCCATTCAACTCAAAGAACAAGTATATGGCGTCCGTCATCAAACTTGCTTCTGGACAGTACAGGCTGCTTGTCAAGGGTGCTTCCGAAGTCCTGCTTCAGCTTTGCTCAACTATGTCTCTTGCAGATGGTTCAACAATCCCCCTGAGTTCGTCTAAATACCATGACCGGATCACGGCATACGCCGAGAAATGCCTCCGAACCATCGGTCTTGTTTGCAAGGACTTTCATTCCTGGCCTCCCACAGGGACGGCTAGCAAGACCGAGCCTACTGTAGCAGATCTGTCCACGCTTCTGCATGACATGACTCTGCTCGGAATCGTGGGCATCCGCGACCCAGTCCGTCCAGGTGTCCCTGAGGCTGTACGGAAGGCTCAAGGAGCTGGCGTTACTGTTCGTATGGTGTCTGGAGACAACGTTGTCACAGCCAAAGCAATCGCTGTGGAGTGTGGTATCTTCACGCAGGGTGGTCTTGTGATGGAGGGCCCCGTCTTCCGAACCTTGAACGATGCACAAATGACAGACACCATTCCTCGCCTTCAAGTTCTTGCACGCTCCTCACCAGAGGATAAGCGGGTGCTTGTTGCCAAGCTCAAGGCGATGGGGGAGACTGTAGCCGTCACTGGAGATGGCACTAATGATGCTCCAGCTCTCAAGACTGCTGACGTCGGCTTCTCGATGGGTATCTCAGGAACCGAAGTTGCCAAGGAAGCTTCCTCAATTGTCCTGATGAACGACAACTTTACATCAATCTTGACAGCTTTGATGTGGGGACGTGCCGTCAATGATGCCGTACAAAAGTTCCTTCAGGTATGGTTCCGGTCTCTGCCAACCTTCACATCCTAATATTATACAGTTCCAAATCACTGTCAACATCACAGCAGTACTGTTGACATTTGTCTCCGCGGTGTCCTCAAGCGAAATGCAGTCAGTCCTCACGGCTGTTCAACTTCTGTGGGTCAATCTTATCATGGACACATTTGCTGCGCTCGCGCTTGCAACAGACCCTCCTACAGAGAAAATACTTGATCGCAAGCCCCAAGGAAAGCGCGCGCCTCTTATTACCATCAATATGTGGAAGATGATAATCGGACAGGCAATCTTCCAGCTTGCTGTCACGTTCGTCTTGTACTTTGCAGGCGCCAAGATCCTCGGGTATGGCGAGGAGCGTCGGCTGGAGCTCTCTACCATGGTCTTCAATACCTTTGTCTGGATGCAGATATTCAACGAGTTCAACAATCGACGTCTGGACAACAAGTTCAACATCTTCGAGGGTGTACACCGCAATAACTTCTTCATTGTTATCAATTGCATCATGGTCGGCGCGCAAATTGCCATCGTCTTCGTTGGTGGCAAGGCGTTCTCTATCACACCCATCGACGGCATCCAATGGGCCATCTGTATCATTCTCGCAGCCTTCTGCCTGCCGTGGGCCATCGTGGTCAGACTGTTCCCTGACGCAGCATTCGAGGAAATCGCCAAGACAGTTGGGCGCCCGGTCGTGGTTATGTACCATGCGGTAGGAAGAGGCATGGGGAGACTGGCACAGAAGCTGAGCATCAGGAACAAATCGAAAGACAGGTCGAATGTGGATGTTACACCAGAGATCGTCGTGGTCACGCCGGACTGCGGGAGGAAGACGGACTTCATTGATCCTGAGAAGGGCTGCTAGATGTACCTTTAATACCTGGCGTTAGAGGTTGATGAAATTCAGAAAAAGACACAAATTCGAATGTAGGAATATAATGGTGAACATAATGGCGACCCCAGAATGGCAGACTTCCGACATACTCGCTTCCACAGATGTTTACGTGCTAAACCAGATTCCAAAGGTCAGTGGAGACATGTTCGTAGGTATGATGCTCCACTGCCATGCCAAGACGAGGCAATCGCGGCACGACCGCCTTACGCCGTCAACCCCAGTTCTTCTGCCAACAGCAAGTCCCCAACAGTTCAGTATATGTCGACAATGACAGGTGCTAACTCTCCGCGCTTCATTGTAGCTCGGTACCTGCAAAGCCAGGGCTATCAACAGGTAGGTCGTTCCGGACCTTCGGTAACTCCATAATAATCCCAGTAGACGCTTGAGACCTTCATCACAGAAACAGATCTTTCCCCGGGTGCGGCAACGACCAATCCCGGTGACTGGGATCTGGAGGAGATCATCAAGGAGAAGAGTCTCTTCGATCAGAACCTCAACTTCGAGAAGGACTCGGCCGCCACAAGGACCGGTTGGTCGGAACCATGTCCGCAGCATCCTTCGCAGCCAGAAGGCGCCAATCTGGCAAATGGCCTTGCCGTCACTGCTGACCCCAAGTCTGGCTCTATCATCGCATCCTTCGTCAACAATACTGTGGGGTTTTGGGATACAGCTCGCCCGGTAGTCCCAACTCTGGGTATCCTCTCCGCCGGCCGTAATATTTTGTCGCTTGCCGCTACCGAGCAGTTTTTGCTCACCAGTCAGATGGATGGCTCAGTCTCGATTCACGATATTGGGACGTTTCGAACCCTTGCCACTATCAAAGCGCACAGCAGCTATGCAGTTCAAGTAGTCCCCACATGGGACAATGGTAACCTGCTCGTCGCCACTGCTGGCTGGGACAAGAAAATCAGCATCCACTATCCCCAGATACGAGATCAACCGAGAGACGCTGAAGCAGCCCCGTCCGCCATCACATTCCCAGCTACATTCACCACCCTCTCCGCTCCCCACAACGTCCAATCACTCATCTTCGCCCGCCACCCGGACACCTCCGCCCTATACCTCATCTACACAGCCCGCGACAGCATCTACCTCCACTACGTACTATTGACCCCCAACCCCGCGACCAACGACTCCCACGAAGCCACCTCCACTCCCTACACCGCCACTCCCGCGGGCCGCCAATCCCTCGCGCCCCAACAACACGCAACCTGGACCTCCTTCACCCCGAGCTGGATCGAAGCCTGCCCCACGGACCCCACCCTCCTCGCCATCGCCACGAGCCACACGCCCAGCATGAAACTCATTCTGGCCCGTTTACTCTTCCCCAGCGCAACCTCCACCTCAACCTCCAATACCTCATCCCTCCACCCCCAAACAGGCACGCAAGACGAACTGGCCATCAAGCTCGTGTGCACCACCTCCGCCCCACAAAACGACTACTCCACGCCCCGCTGCGCCTGGCGGCCCGACGGCAGCGGCGTGTGGGTCAGCGGTGACGACGGCGTGGTGCGCGGGGTTGATGCTGAGACGGGGAAGGTTGTAGTCTCGTTAAAGCCGAGAAAAGAAAATGGGCGGGGGGAGGGCCTGCTGGGCCATGATCCGGGAAGCAAGATCCGGGCGCTGTGGGCGGGGGTTATTGGAGATGAGGATGTGGACGACGAGGGGCAGGGGCAGGGGCAGGGGCAGGGGCAGGGGAGGAGAGAGGTGTTGATTAGTGCGGGGTTTGATAGGAAGGTGTTGATTTGGGAGGTAGGGGTTGGTGATGGCGATGGGGGCGAGGAGCAGGAGGGATAGGATAGTCCTGTGGATGGATGCTTGCTCAATTGTCTCTTGCGCCGGCGCGGTTCACGAACGCACGTGTCCGGACGGCATCTCAGGTAGCTTCCGGCGCCTGTTTTCATCTCGTTCAACAGATATCATCGCATGACGGACGAATAGGAGTGAGATAGATGCATTGAGCCAAGCTCGAGCTTGGCGCGGGTTTCTGGTTCTATTGTTTAAAGTATGCCATATGCAAAGTCGACTTGCAACGACAAGGCACAAGAGAGGTACACAAACAAGCACGCATTCAACAGGCCGAGAAGCGCATAACAAGCCGAAAGTTCCGGTACAGTGCTCAAACCCTGTCCTCAGCAAAGTCCAGCACATCGCAGTCATCCTCGAAGAAGCCCTCCTCGCCTTCCTGACCATCCTCGGTCATTGTGTCACCTTGTTGAGCCCGAGCCTGTTTGCCCTTCTTGGCTTTTCTGCGTCTTGTCGTGCTGACAATCTGCTCCTCGCCCTCTTCACCAATTTGTTGCAACGTTGTCTCGCGATAGACCACACTCCGGTACCCATCTTCCTCGTGGTCATTTCGCTCCGGCGAGCCAGTGTTGAGCCGCACGGTCGGAATTTCAAGGCCAAAGACCCATCTATCTTCGTCTTTCTTTCGAGGATTTGGCACGTCAGACCGGGGATGGAAGATGGCGGAGGCGGTTGGGAATTGCGACTCGGACAGGGGTAAATCAGTTGGAAAGACCGACATGGTGACCCGACTATCAGAATGGAACGGCTGATAGGGAGCATTCGTATCGATCTCGGCGAAGCTAAGAGGAGCCGGGAAACCGGGTGCCTGGGGTGGACGTTGAGAGCTGGGCTGCCAGAAGCCGTGCGGGCCTTCTTCAGGATCCTGGGTTGGGTAAATCTCGGGGAGCTTTACGTTGACTGATTTACGGCTGTCGAACACAGAAACTGTCTCGGGTTGCCGCTCGCGAGGGTTTGTCTTTCGAACGTAGTAGTTGCGTATGCCGGAAGAATCTAGAACGGATAGGCGAAGTCGACGATCGCGATATGTCCATGCCAGGCGCCCGGCAACGGTCTCCATTTTCAGGTGCAGCTTGCTTTGACCTGCATGCCTAATGCTAGCAACCGTGTTCGTGGCCGCTCCAAGGGATTTACTAAAGCCAGCCGCCACAACTTTGCCGCTGCGCATGCCGGTAGCAGAAGCGTAACCAAGACCAGTGTTACCAATGCCTGAAACACCGCCGCCCATGCTAGGAGCGCGGCCTCGAAGATTGGCAAGCATTGGCTGAGTCTTAGTCGTTGCGAAATTCATCGCAGATGCGAAAAAGCTGGAAGCTGGAGGTTGTGGGCCAATAGAAGCTGGATCTGCTGGGATAGATACTGGACGCTTTTTCTTCCGTGCTCTAGGTGGTGGCCATCGCAGCGCTGCCGATGGTATGTCGAACATGTGGACCGTTCTGTTCTGCGTGACCACAGCGTAGCGTATCCCCAGTGGTGCCTCCCATTCAACATCAACGATGACTGATTCACTGAAGCGCTCATTCTTGTGGACCTGTCGGACCCTCGCGGCGATCTGAGCTTCGTTCTCCTCTATGATTGAGATGCGTGGATAGCGTACTTGTAGGAGGTCCCATACATAGTAAATATCTCCTCGCCGGCTCGCAGTCAGGAGGCATAGTCCGTTTGGAGTAAAAGACAGGTAGCTGCATCCGCCAGGCGGTTCAAATGTCGCCAACGGAACAAAATCGGAGGACTTCTTGCCGTCCTTCAACTGCAACGCTTGCAAGTCAACAATCGATACCAGTTCTGGCTCCTTCGTTGTGGCATCGGCTGGCTCCCCGTGGGTGGGTGGAAACTGGAGAGGGGCTTGCTGTGGGCTGTAAATTGGGGATTGTTGAGACGAAGGCGTCCTGTTGGCAGTGTCTTGGTTCCAGTACTGCTGCCAGTATTGCGCACCCTTCTCGCCAAGCCATTTACCACCCTTTAGCATTTCTTGAGCCACTCCTTTTGCAACCTTGCCGAAGATCGTCTCGACATCTGGAGAATCGACCGTACAGTTAATCACTGGCCTCGCTGGGGCACTTCGAGAACTGAGCGAAGCACCATTCACACACAGCACACTCTCGCCGACGACTGCCCCGATTGACGGTCTTGAAGCCAATGCTGGGCAGTATGCAAGCCATCTGCCACTAAGACTGACGATTGCCTGCTCTTGGTCAACTTCCCCACGGTTGATGTCTGCTGGCGAGACGTCCTGGTCATTTGGTCTGCTATGAGAAGATTCACGTCTGCGCATTCGTGGCTGTAGAGTGGTCCACAACTTTTCGAGGCAGATGAAGTTCGCCTCGCTGCCATTTTGGCGAATGCCAAACACAAACACCTCGCCACTGACTCCAGAGCTGACTAGGAGATGATCTCCACTAGTTTGCAGCTTAAGTCGGCCGGAAGGTGCTGGTTTCTGCTGCTTGTCCATCCATGATGGTACTTGCGGAATCGAAGTGGAAGGTAGATGTAGCAGATCAGCGATAAGGCACTGCTGCCTCAGTGAGTAAACAACGACCGATGTCGAAGCACCCGCGCCAGCCTGCGGAGGAGTCGCGTAGCTTGCTGCCGCAGAGCCTCGTCGAGATTGATAGTCAGGGGGCCTTTCATTGGGGATGATATGGTCGCCATGCGAACCGTGTACGGTCAATGCGACTAGCGGCCTTAGTGCCTGGAATGGATCCTGACCACGACTCCAGGTGAGCAGTGTAGCATCATGAATGACACCAGGTATGTTTCGCAGGCTTCCGAGTTGAAGCACTTTATCACCTTCGTAGCCCAGCACGTCCAGCTGATTTGCTGTACCTACAAGTATCGCGTTGCGTGCCTCCTTCACTCCGGCCAGACTTGCAAATTTGACCAATGTGGGAGGCTGGCTCTTGAGACCGAGTCTTTGCCCCAGTCCGAGGTCTATGTCTCTGGCCTCATAGAAGTGCGCCTGTGGCATATGGGGAGGTGGCGAACCGAAAGCACTGGCCGGGTGCGCATACGGCGAAGTCGAGGTTCTTGTGTAGCCCACAGTGGTAGGCGGGCCTCCATAACTGATCGGACGAGCCTTAGCCAGAGGCGGTGAGGTCGGAGGGCTTCTGGCGTTGAAACCGCCTTTTCCTATATAGCTCTGCGTAGGTGGTGACGGTCGATGGCTGAAGCCCAAGAGCAGATCAGCGGGCGGACTTCGGCCATAAGTGCTCGCTGGTGACAGGAACGTATCCTGCGGAGGAGTATGGTCATCTGACACCTTCTCAGTAGCTGTCAGATCCTCCAAGCCATCGCGGCCCGGATCGCGACTGCGGTGAGGGAACCCCCTCGGAATCTGGTTCGAGGCAGGTGGCGACACAGATGGCTCTCTGGCTACCTCTGGGTCCGATATTTCTGGTTCAACTCGCGCAGTCTGTTTGACATTCTTGTTCTTCTTCCTGCTTGTTCGGGGAGTAGGTTCCTGGTCTAGGAGGTCCGTATCGACGGAGTTAGGGAAGGGGTCGGGCTTGTAGTCAATGTTGACGTTGGACTTCTTGGATGGCATTCACAGTTGTCTAAGCGTGGCGAGAGCAAACGTAGCTATGCCTCACCAACAGACGAGCGATCTAGGTGCCTTGACTCACAGACAGCACCCCTGACGCAAGGCGCGGGGGACGCGTTGGAGAGGGGATTGGGGAAGCGGGCGAGCGATTGACGGACGAGTGGACGTGTCTTTGCGAAGGATAAGCAGGTAATGGAAGTTCGAACAGTTCAAAGTAAGTGTCGCTTGTCTGAAAGACTCAAGACACTTGTACTTGGATTGTAGTAGTCTGAAAGAAGCAGTGGCAGGTCATATGAAGGCGGCGTTCTTACCAGCCTCGTGCAGCTTATCAGGCGCGGATTGGGTGTCGGGATTGGCAGCGAGAGGGGCTCGAGGGGACGGCTGACCCAAGCCCCGAGCACCGGGGTCATGTGGGAGTCCGGGAGGGGTTAACTTGTCACTAGGGCTTAGCTATGCCCAAAGTCCGCGCCGCAAACGAGCGTCCGCAAACAGTCGTGGGGGCCGAACGGGGCACGGCTCAGCTCGACCTCAAGGCCTCCTCTAGTCCTCCTCTTTATTTCAAGCTTATTGGTTTATTAGACACGGCACATTGTAGGCCATGACATTGCCTTCACGCTGCTGTCGCAAATATGGAAAAGGATGAACGAGCTGGCAAGAGCCATAGATTCAGGCGCGCGCCTCATTCCCGGGAATGAGGTGATGCCGAGCAACGTAAAGTCGTAGCTATGCTTCCCGTTGACAGGTGACGGTCTATTGCTCTTTGATGCAGCTGGACTGACTTTGAGTTCTCAGTACGTGAACCTGACCTGTCATGGCTGGAGATGATGACCTCCTTCATGGCGATGAGCTCTTTCAGAACAAACATGCAATTCGAGAGCTCGCCACCCGCCAGCTGTTGCACGCCTGGGAGCGCCAGAAGGACCGTCATGGCGACCCATTTCTTTGGGGTGACGAGATCGAGTGTTTGCTTCTGCATCTAGAGCATGATGGACGGTCTGTCAGTCTAGAGCAAGCGCCGTGGCAGCAGCTGGAGCGAGTGCAATCAAAGCACCACGATGACCCATCTCTTCAGCCGGAGCTGGGTGCGTTTATGCTGGAGACGACACCCTCGAGACCGTTTGGTAGCGAAGTGACGGACGTGTTGAAATGGCAAGACGACCTCGCCAAACGTCGACGACTGGTAGACGCTGCCTTACCTCAGAACAGTCGCCTTGTAACTCTACCATACTACCCTCGCTACGGTGCGGAAGAGGGGTCAAGGCGAAGGCCATACTCGCCAGCTGTCGAGAAGAACCCGGTCACTTGGTCCAGTCTCGTGACGGATGAGCATATTGCATCCAACGCCCGCTATCTGTCCATTCTAGGGAACATCGTGCAGAAGCGCGGCAAAAAGGTCGAGATTCATATCCCACTGTATCGTGATGTCCGGACACCGTGGCCATGGAAAGATGCGAAGGATGCACGCGTTCGCAAGAACTCTATCTTCATGGACTCGACGTTATTCGGTGCAACCGGCTGCTCTCTACAAGTGACAATGCAAGCCAAGAATCTGAACGAAGCACGGCGACTGCATGATGGCCTAGTACCACTGGCGCCGGTGATGCTCGCTCTCACGGCGGGCACACCGGTCTTTAGAGGACTGTTGGCAGACACAGATACGCGTTGGGCTTGTTTCGAGCAGTCAGTCGACGACAGGAGTCCGGAGGAAGTTGAGTCAGGCAAGCCGGCTCGATCACGAGTTTCGTCATGTACAACGTATATCAGTCAAGAGGCAAACCAATATGAACATTGTCACATTCAGGACCTGGAACACGACCCAAAAGTCAAGAAAGCTCTCCAGGATGGTGGCATGGACGAGCTCATGGCAATACACTTCGCTTATCTGCTTGCCAGGGATCCGCTGTTCGCGTCCAGTCAGGATCTAAAGTCAGCAGACATTTCGAGGACTACAATGTGCGATGGCCTGCTGGCAGGGATGTACCAGACTATTCGCTTGAAGCCAGCAGAGAACGAGGGTGCCGGATGGAGGGTCGAGTTTCGCCCCATGGAATCACAAGTGACAGATTTTGAAAACGCGGCCTTTTGCGTATTTGTCATTTTGATTGCGAGAATGATCATTGAGTCTGGGCATCAGTTTTATGTACCTCTCCCGGACGTCGAGAAAGGTATGGTGACCGCATGCCAGCGCAACGCTGCTACCGAAGGCAGATTTACGTTCAGGTGTAACAGCATTGCTGAACCAACGTCTAGACCAGGTCTCCTGACTGCAAATGAAATCATATGCGGCAAACAAGGAGGCTTCGAAGGCTTGATGAAGCTGCTGTCAAGGGGTGAGGCGAGCCAACACTTCTCCACTGAGCAGTGGGCGCAGATCGAAATTTACCTGCGGCTTGTGATGCAGCGGACGACGGGAGCAGCTCCGACGACTGCAGCATGGATCCGCAGCCTCATCGACAAGCATGAGGCGTACAAGCAGGACAGCGTTGTGCCGGATCGGGTGGTATATGATCTGGTGCAGGAATGCATTCGGAGGAACGAGGTAGTTTGATATAGTATTGGAACTATTTCGTCTTCTTTGCCGCGGCCGCAGCCTTTGCAGCCTTCTTCCTGTTGCTTCGGATCATGACCATGGAGAGGAATGATCCCACGATCGTGGATGCGAGGAGGGTAAGGATGACAGGTATCCTAATGGCCCAAACACGGGGAGGAAAGATACCCTGAAGCGGATGGTCATCGTCGACAAACGGCTACATATATCAGTGATGTATAGGTCATGCGCAAACGAGGTCGTACCATGAAGAGTGTCCATAATGTATAGTACAGGAAAACCGTGGTGGCTACAATGAGCATCGCCATGCCCACGAGTTTGGCAATCTGAGTCTGCCAGTCAGTATTTGGATTTTGTTATCACGCGCGTACCTACCATCGTGACAGAAGACTAGGCGACGCTGTCTGGTCGATGCCGCGAAGGTCGTGAAAGCTGAACTTGGAGAATGTCTCGAAACTGCAAAGGTGTTCAGGACAGCTCGCGCCCAAAGTCGCGGAGGTCGCGTTCTTCCGTGAAGTGGATCCAGCCCAAGATCATGTAGACCCGTGTTTACTTTAGCCCCACCCGCTGACAACCGGCTCCTTGTAAAATTTGGTCATATTTTTGGTACCTCACTTTTCCTTTCAACAATCGCACAGAGATCCGCAATGGTGTAATGGCTAACATCAGTCGCTCTCACCGACTAGCTCGGGGTTCGATTCCCCGTTGCGGAATATTTCTTTTTGCTTTATTTTGCTTTGTTTTTGCCTTGTAGAGGTCTGCGGTGGTATGAGATGAGTACTAGATCGGGATAGCTATCACGTGATTTATGCCAAGTTTCGACATATTCCGAACATGTTCAGATATGTTAGCGCTTAGACCTTGTGTGGTAGGCCGTGTATCGGGATAGTAGCACTGAACAACCCCGCAGCTCTGGACATCGTTTGTAGCTCATTCATTTGGGTGCACTACATGCTCATACTCCACAACCAGTACGTTCCAAGACGCGAATCGATATCAATCGTTCAACAGGGCCAACATCCTATGGGCACCAGCGAATGGTAGTCTTGTTTGCATTCTCGTCCGAGGAGATCCGACTTCAAGCTACCGTCCTTGATCAACGTAAACCTCCCTCTCTACACCTGCCGTATGTGTATGAGGAGTTTCCATAGTAGTATTCCATTAGTATCGCAAATTCTTGATCTCGAAAGTGCTACCGTAGGTAGCTCGGGGTTTTCAGCATTGGTCCAGACTGTCATCTCCTTCTTCCCAAGATCCACATAAGCGATCTATACAGCATTAGCAGAGTTTGTGGTTTCGCTGGAGAAATTTCCTACAGCAGATTTGCGACCACGGTGTTCAACATCGATCCTAGCAATGAGTCGGGCAGGTTGGTCGGTCTAGGCCCTTGCAGCGATGAATGGCCGAATGGGTGACTCCCTGTGGCATTCGGTTTCGACTTTGTAGGGTTGGTCAAAGGCCGGCTCATGAGACTTGTCTACAATCCGCCACGGGGCCGTTTCAGCCTTCAAGTCCAGCCAGCCAATAAAACTTTTGACAGGGCCGTGGGGCATCCCGTTCTCATACTCACTGTCGGATAAGCTTTCGAGATACTTTGGTACATACCATGTACAGATTCCGCAATAAGTCAGGCAATCGAGATTGGTCATGGCTAGAATCAAGTCTTTGATTTCATCACCTGTGAACTTTGACTGATCGAGCTTGACGTGCCGGAGCCAGGGAGGCTGAATGGAATTAGTGATTGTTCCGGTCTCTTCGTCGACGACCTTGGTGATGTCGACGCGGGCATGTCGGAAGAAGAAATGAAGACACTCGTCGTGGGTGCGCTTCGATGACAATAGGAGGGAGACCTTGGTGGACCGCTTGATTGCTTCTCCGGTCTTGGTCTTGAGGTTGGGGGGAAACTTGACTTTGACATTTCGGAACGCGAGATCGTAGATCACATTGCGGATCTCGCTGGGCAGATTGAAGAAAGACGTCGTCTCGAGACTGATGTTAGGGAGCTGAGGCCGGCAGATAGGAATCACGGGTAGAGAAACTCGTTCCTGATTTCTCTCTTATGGAGGATTTGATAACGTAGTGGCCAAAAAGCAGGTGCTGAAGAAGAATGTGAGTGAAAAAACTGCGGTTAAGTAAGCAACCTTGCTTCCTGCCGACGTAGCAAATAGTCAGCGATATCTCGTCTCCTCCTGATTGATATGCATCATCCCGCACACTATCACTAACGTAGACAAGAACAGCGTGTGATAGACTTCTTCTTGCCAATATTGAACAGGAATTTTGAGTGTATACACCTATAAAGTGGTCGTGAAGTGGTCGTTCTGACGTTTAGGAGCAGACCACGCTGTACACTAAAGCAGTATCATGATACTATGCCACGCAATACACGGCTGTGAATAGCTCGGGCCTTTAACAATGGGCAGTGAACCTTTTTGTCCCTGGTACTGAGGCTCTGATCTTCGAAGGTTCGCTGTATACCTGCAAAAGTGCACAAATGATTTTTTCCATCCTCCCCAAGTTCAATCGTATGTTTGGGATGTGCACCGCGTATGCAAAATTGGGTCACGCCGTCGGCGCCACGTACCGTGTCAAGAAAGTGCATGCTGTCAAATCAGTCAAGAGCTACGCAATAGCTGGTACTACTGGCAACATAAGAATTTACCGCGTTGTGGTTGTTCTTTCATCCCCATCACTCGCAAGACAACCTGTGATTGGTTTACACACCTCCTGCACACCCCTTTTGTCGTACTTACACGAACAATGCCTACAACATTCATGCTCCTGCCTCCAGAGGTCCGCCTCACTATCTTCATGCATCTTTACAGGGGCTTGCAGGTCGATTATGACCCCTTTATGGCTGGAGATGCCGCTCGCCTCCTCGACATCTCGATCTTCTTCGTTTGCCGCCAAATCCTCGATGAAGCGCGTTTGGTATTTCTCGAGAAAGCACGTATCAACTGTTCTGAGATCATCCGAGATCATTTCATTGAGACTTCGCACCACTTCTTCACCACCTGCGCACCTTACATGAAGCACATGTTCCTGGAAGATGGCGAGGGATTTTACTTTGAACAAGTGCAGTACACAAGCTTGAGCTATCAAGTTATCGCCGATCTGATGTCCTCACTTCAGAGTGTGGATGTGCACCATGGACGGGACTGGATCTGGTTGAGGGAAGGCGAAGCTGATGCAACGGGCCGTCCGAACACGAAGGGTTTTGCGCGCGTCGTGAGGGAATGGAACAACGTCCGACAGCGAGAGGTATGGAATACGCAATCTTCTGAGGTGAAGAAGTTGTTCAGAACGTGGCAACAGCAAGGAAAAAGGGTTGCCCTCTATTGCACCAGGCTGGTTGTTTCCGTTGTTCCCATTGCAGACGCCGACCTTGACTCCTTCCCACCGGATGATCCTCCAGAATGGGACGAAGATTTTCCTGAATGGACCTGGGTATGTCAATCCAACTAGCCACACCATCGCTTGCTAATATGACTTATACAGAAAGCACGTATGGACGTGGCGAGTCTCGCAGCGACGTTCACGCACGAGGAGAGTGCTCGAGAGTTCAAGGTTACTCTGTCGGAATGGGAAGCCTAGGCTGCTGACGCAAAGCTCTACGCCAGTGGTATGAGGAGCATTCGACCTGTAAATGCTCACAACCAGAACCTAAGGTTCGGGGAAGATGAAGACGTAAGTCAAAGCAAGGGCATCGCCTGATATTGGCGTAAGAGCACGCAGCTTTGGAAAGGGTGGGCGTCTACCACTATTCAATCCGGTACATCTGCATACGACAAGTTCTGGTCTGGAGCCGCCGACCGCACTACCGCCACCGCAAGATCAATGGAGTCGATTGCGGCATTTGGGAACAATGTTTGCGGCTGTTTGCTTACATTGCAAGGTACCAGCAGAGACATAGACAGGCAAAGACAGAGGTACAGAATCAACCCCGTCGTAAATACACTGCTTCAAATTGTAGATTACTCGCACAAGATTTCGCTCCACACGAAACTGCCCTTGGCTGGGCTTTCTAGCTCGAGACAAAATCGGTTCGTTTCAACCACCCTGGACCATTCGTCGCCAACGTGGTCCTCTCTTACTGTTGCTTCTCAGTCCTTGGCCATGATAGTCTCCTTGGTCTCACCCCCGCCTTCACCCTCGCTTGACGGCGAGCCGGCGATCTCGACACCAACCGCCATGAGACGTTCGTCAAGCGCACGCCGACGCTCCTCGTCGAGATGGGAGAGATCGACGGCAACCTCGTCACCGAACTTCGCAGCAATTTCTTCTAGCGAGAGCCCATTGGTCTCTGGAAGGCGCCACAAGAATGGCAGACAGGCTGCCGGAACGATGATAAAGACCAGGTAGTATCTATACTTCGTCAGTATAGCGACATAGGCGATGGAGAGGGATAAAAGCGAAGCCAGGTATACTTACTTCCATCCAATCTTGGCGAATGCAGTTGGTGCGACCTCTGTGTAGAGCAGCGTCGACGCGAAAAGACCTGCAATCGAGGTGCCCAGTCCATGGGCCCGTACACCAGTCGGGAAGATCTCGCTGCAGTACACGTAGCTGCTGGCGTCTTGACTACCGCCATAGAAGGTCACAAAAAGAAACAGGAACAAGACGCCCACCGCATTGCCGGCCTTGTTGGAAGTTCCCGCGTATGTAGCCACCATGGCGGTCTCGATGATCATCATGCAGATGCAGCCCATCAGGCCGAAGGTGATGATCGGGATCCGCCCAAGGCGATCGAGTAGCATGGCATTGACCCAATTCATGAACGCAGCCCACGAGGTGTAGATGGCGTAGAGTAGGAGAGGTAGCCAGCCGTACAGGCCGAGGTTGTTGTACAAGAGGACTTGGTAATTATTTATAACCAGAACGCCAGTTGATTGAGCCGCACATCTGACAGAGCCTATCAGCAATGACGCGCAGGTCCCGCCGGGGGGGTGGGAGGGCTGGGAAGAGACGTACTGGACTAGCAGGCCCGAATAGATTCTCTTTCGATACGAAGCACGCTTGAGCATGCCCCAGATACCATGGACACCAGTCGCCTTCTCCAGCTCAAGCTGTTTGGAGATCTGATAGAATTCTTCTTTGGCTGCGAGGCCTGACGGATCATCCGGTCGGGTATGCAACTTTTGAAGGATCTCGAGGGCACGCCGTTCCTTGTTCTTTGAGATGAGCCAACGAGGTGATTCCGGTAACCAGGGCGACCCGATGAGCAGGATTAGGGGGGCAACAATCTGCAGGCTGAGGCAAAGGCGCCATTGCACTTGTGGCGCTGCGAAGTAGCAGCCCAGACCAGTGAATGCGGCCGAGCCCTAAAAGAATGAGTAATGCCACAGACTCTTCCCATGAACAGATGTGGGAACTTACGTAGCCGCAGACGATGAGCACGCCATGCGAGCCTTGGTGCTAAGTATTAGCACGATGTTGAAATAGAGAGCATTGCGGTGACGGTTACTTACCTGTCATTCGACCACGCTGCTTTGCAGGCGACAACTCCGACTTTCCTTCGCGTCAGTGAATTCGCACGCCATAAGTCAACCTGATATACTGACCATATACGCAGGCACGGTGACTTGCATCATGCCGACGCCAACGCCATTCAAGAAGCGTCCAACGAGAAACATGGCAACATGAGCAGCTCCGCCTTGAATTGCGGCTGAGATGACGCAGATGGTGCAGACGATCTGAATGGACCTGCAGCGGCCAAGTCTGTTCAGGATCCAGTTGACGATAAGAGCACCAATGATGCCTCCCCCGGCGAATAGACCATTGGCAGCTAAATGCCCTTGTCAGACACCTGCAATGTTAGTGGGCGCAGCTTCCACTCACCGCCAATGATATCGTTCCCCTCCTGGGCATTTGGTCCGGTGAGGGAAATGTCAAAATAGTCCCAGAAGGCGGGCAAGCCAAAGACGGAACCGATAATGGATGAATTGTATCCATACGTAAAGGATCCTAATGCGCTGAAGAAGACAACGTAGAAGTTGTAGGTGTTAGCCTTGGCGGAATGCGAAGCTTCGGCTGCTTCCACGGCCCGATGTTTTAAGACGCCCATGCTGAAAATCGAGGTAGGCTTGAGTGGTTGGTACAAATCCAAGCGGTGGGGGTCGGAAAAGGTACAGACGCACACAGAGTGCGGATCCGGCGTTTATATGCCCACTGTGCACGACTTCCTTCTGAGCAGCCATGAGGCAAGAAGTGGATTATTCTTGGGGTCGATCAAGGTGAGGTACTTGGGGACAGCCACCTGGGGAACTCTGTGGCGAGCATCCTCGGTAGGCCAACATGATGTTGGAGAACCCGACAGACCGGCACATAAGCGGCGCAAATCCAAAATGCGGTACCCTGTCGCGCCGTAAGCGATGGAGTACTAACTGTTCGCATCGCGGCATCGTGACCGCCGCTAATTGACTGGGGAGGATGAACCGCCGTCGTGATAAGCAACCAAGGTTAGAGTTTGTGGGGAAAGATTTGTGGGCCTGGGGAAATCCCGGCGCTGGGGGTTGGTGGGTGTGTCATGCTGCAGGCAAGAAGCCGAGCTCGTGCAAGCCCAAAAGGCAGAACTCCGTGGGGACAGTACGTACTACCCCGTGCGGGGTACACATACCTGCCTGTAAGAATGCCCCAGACCTGACCCTAACCTGTTAATCTCAGAGCTTGGTAGTAACAACAACGATCGAGCTGTAGTTCAGCAGTAGTACTTGCAGGTAGCAAAAGCACGTTGAAAAACGGAAAATGTTCAATCGTGGCGCAAGTCTATCCTCCTGTCGTCTTTTTTTGACTTTCTCGAGCATTCTCTTGAGCAATCCTCTTGGCTTTGAACTGCGAGAGACCGAACTGTCAGTGGCCTTGTACTTCAGTGTAAGCCGCTATGCGCATAGGCTGTGAAAATCGATTGTTCGTCAAGCCTATGCTGCTCAGAAAGGGCAGCGAAGCGAATGCTAGCCTGTGCTGGACGAGCTCATCATCGATGAACTTGCGCCATCGTCGTCAGGAATGAATGAGGTCTCGCACGCCACTGAATTGATTGATTCAAGATTGCAGAGCAAACGAACATTGCGACAGTAAGCATTATGAGGCATATGAGCCCATCCAAGAATCATCGCAGCAGGAGTAGGATATGCTAAGGCATCATAGTTGCTCTCCCTCACAGCGATGACAGCAATAGCAGTGGTCCACAGTTCCGTGAATGATGTCTGTCATCTTCGACTGCATGTTACTCTCAGCCTACTGCCACCGTCAACCTCAGCGCGTGATTTTATTCCAGGTACTCCATCTGGAACTCCCCCTTTGTCTCGACCCATTTTGGAAAACTGAGGAAAATACACATCGACGTTTCGAAGCTCATCACTGCGAAAGGCAGGAATCTCATGATGTCTAAGATACCACATCTGTAATACCTGGTACTCCAGCTCCGCGGAAGTATGCGTCTAGAGTTTGATGAGTCCGAACTGTCACAGAAGCCAGTCGACATATTGCACGCTGCTTGGCGATGGTCTCTCGGAGCGCTCCACTTCCTGCACTATGCAGACACAAGCCTGATCTCCGCGGCTGTTCACGCTTGGAACAATCGACAGCGATCCTTCAAGCTCATCACTATCTTCTCTATCCAGAATGAAGATGAGGAAGAAGACGTACAGATCCACTACATATCGCCAACGCCTCCAATGCGATGGGTAAGTTAGACTTGTTCTCGTCGGAGAATTTCTGTCCGTATCAATGAATCGGCTAATTCTCTCAGGTTGCTGCCACGGATTTGGGTCGTAAAGTCATGACCTTAACTTGTGGTACTATGGGTACAGAAAAGAAGATCACTTTTAACGATCCATCTCCAGCATGTAGCTTGCTTCTCTCGACGACGCTTCGGGTACTAGTAGGCTTGTAAGTGGAATGCCCCTGGCAGCAGCAGTGACAGTAGCTCACGGTAGCGGGCCGAAGAAGCAGTCAGACTCGACTCTCAACGCGACAGAGCAATATGACATGCCACGTAGCCTGAGGCGCGTCACTAAGGCAGCCATTTCCTTGGCGCGGTTGCGGAAAGTCCTCGTGTGCTTTCAGATTTCTTCCATGCAACTGACTTGTAGCTGAGCCATACAACCCTCCTCTGCTTATTTGACCGTACAGCTTGCTGTCTTATGCCTCCCTGAGAGACACATCCTACGCCAAAGCTTTCCGCCAATCATGGCTCCGAAACTCATGACAATTCCGGCGGAGCTTCGTCAGAACATCTTTCGACATCTCTTCTCCGACCTCAAGATCCGCTATCGGCCACGACTGGACCAGCCAGCTGTCGGGCTTCCAACTCTGAGTGTGAGTGTCAGATGGAGTCGTGAGGACGGCCTCATTCACGATCCTCTCGAGCACTGGTACATGGTCGGTCGCGCGAAAGATGCTGCGATTTTGTTCGTTTCGAAGCAGTGTCACGCCGAGAGCCTTCACCTGCTTCTGACTACGGCTGAGGTCAACATTGCGGAAGTCATAGAAGACCATGATGGCTCGGTATATCCTGTCCATTTCAGCAATACCGTCATGCCTCAACTCATGTATGTCCGCTTGGATATGTCACAGTTAGTCCGGACCAGTGACATCGGTAAAATTGTTTCTCTAATGCCAAACCTAAAATCAATGCAGTTCGAGCTTGCGGAAGCCGACTACTTCTTCTCTGCTCTGCCCGACACTCTGAAGTTCATCAATAATGTCGCTTGGCCATGCGATGGTTCGCTGCAGTGGATAGCGGACAACCCAGAGCGTCTGCAAGGCATCGATGACGACAATGGGACTCTAAATGAGAGACAACGTGCCCAGTCCTTGCTACAGGCATGGAACGCTTGCGGTAGAAGCTTCGATCTGGTGCTGTCTTCGACAGTCGGTATGATAGATGATCACAACGATGTTGAGACCGAGACGATGTGTTGGGTAAGCTCTACAGCTTTAGCCTTACCCCTCATTATGAACGAGGCGCATTGGCAGCTAACCTGTACAGATCGCAACCACAGATTTCGCAACGAAAGTCATGACTCTCAGTCAGGACCAAACCAGGGAGACCATCTCGTTTGTCATCAACAAGCTTCAAACGTAGATACAAGGGAAACAAGCATGTGACATACTTCATAAGGGAACTTCTGCGCCAGGCAACCACCCACGGCCTACACAGCGACTGCATTTGCTTCCTATTGGGGATGCGGGGTTGACGGCTGGGAATGCGAGACTCGAAGGAACCCGGAAGTAACTCGAAAGACCAAAGGAGGTCTAGATGGCATCTGCGCGCGGTGAGACGGCAAAGACGCCGGGAATATGTCGACCGGACATCGACACGGGTAAGGAGAGATGTATGGGCACCAATATGTGCTGGAAAACTGCCTGAAGGATAGCTGGGGAAGCAGTATCATTGCAATCCGGAGGCACTGAAGCTCATGCCGACGTTTCTTTTGATGCTGACCTCGAATCATACCGTGGGAGTTCAATACGAGAAACATTGTCCCAAAGGCACTCTGCCCGCTTCCAATTCCCGCAACTCTGGTGTCGTATGACCTCGCTCATGCGACGCGGGGAAGCGTAGCAGGCTTGAACCGGTCTTCTGGCTGGCGCCATTAATGCTGCAGAACAAAAATGATGATCGGCTCGGAACCTCGATCTATCGCCCGCCAGCTATGCAATTCAGATGTGCTGAAAAGGGGCAGCAGCGGCATTCTCAAGATCGGCGATATGGGATAAAAGATGCTGTGTGGAAAAAGACCTTCCGGACGAGGCTGAGTCACCCTCCAATGGATTCAACGCCATCATTTTAGTCTGACTTGTTGCATGTTACGAACGGTAATAGCGGGCCGAGCAGACGAGGCTGAAATCCAGGGAGGAGGCAACGTTCTTGGTGCCTATCCGCCGCCTGAGAAACAGTAACTGCCTCGACGGCATGGCCTGCAGCGGCAGAGATGCCCCTCTTGGCCCTCGTGCCGAACAGAAGCGATGCAACGATCTTCAGCGGACCCTGGATCACCAACCCCACCACAGACCTAGATACTACTCAATAATCGACTACTATCCGCAAGAACCCCCTCCAGCTCCCTCCAATACCACCACACCCGGATACCGTCATGTCCGTAACGCTCGAAGAATCCCTCGCCAGCCCGCGCGCAGCGCGCCCCACCCCGACCGGCCCCAACAACGTCTTCGAGCAATTCCGCCTCGACGGCAAAGTCGCCGTCATCACCGGCGCCGCCGACGGCATCGGTCTCGCCGTCGCCGAAGCCTTCGCCGAAGCCGGCGCCCACCTCGCGCTCTGGTACAACAGCAACACCGCCGCGGTCGACAAAGCCGCCGCCCTCGCCGCGCAGCACAGCATCAAAGCCCAAGCCTACCAGGTCCCCGTGCAGGACGCCTCGGCCGTGCAAGCCGCCGTGGCCCGCGTGGTGCAAGACTTCGGCAGCCTGGACATCTTCGTCGCGAACGCGGGCGCGGGCAACTCCAAGCCGCTGCTGGAGATGAGCGTCGACGAGTACCGCTCCCTCATGGCGGTGAACCTCGACGGCGTGGTCTACAGCGCCAAGTACGCGGGCGAGGTCTTCAAGCGGCAGGGGCGCGGCAACTTGATCATCACGTCGAGCATCAGCGCGCACATCGTCAACGTCCCCGTCGACCAGCCCGTCTACAACGCCAGCAAAGCCGCCGTGACGCACCTGGGCAAGTCGCTGGCGCGCGAGTGGCGCGAGTTTGCGCGCGTGAACATCGTGAGTCCGGGCTTCTTTGAGACCAAGATGGGCGCGAGTGAGAATGTGCGGAATGAGGCGCATCGCATGGCGGTGCTGGGCAGGCAGGGGGATGTGAGGGAGATTAAGGGGTTGTATCTGTATTTGGCGAGTGAGGCGAGCAGTTATACGACAGGGAGTGATGTGGTTATTGATGGGGGGTATATCCTGCCGTGAGCAAAAATCCAGGAGGGGGCAAGGGATTGACAGGCAGAAACCAAGCACTGAGTGGTGAGGAAGGCAGAAACAATTTCAGTGTGGTAGGAAGAATAGTGTATTCAATTCCCCAATGGTGGCAATAATTCTCCCCAGAACAATATATAAAATCAGGCACTATCCGCTAGAACGCAACAAACCGACCCGCCCTCGACCATAATCCAGCGAGCTCATTATCGTGACAGAAACCAAAGCCAAACATAAGCGTCAGGGGTCGCCACTATCCTACCAGGCAGTCCCGTCTTCCATTGCTTGTTTCAACTTCTCGTAGAATGCACCGGGCCACCCCCTCATGTCCTCATCTTTAGGTAGACAGCTCGGTCCATCAGCCGGCAGCTCGCCGCTCTTGCGCATACCTTCCTCGCGACGTCGGCAGTAGCTGACGACGTTGCCAATGACGCGGCCGAGCATGTCGGGCGAGATGGCGACGGGGTTGAGGAACGGATCGGTGTCCGCCAGCAATTCTTGGATTGTCGGTCGGAGACTTTGCTCGCGCGTCAGACATCGCCGAAGCGTTTTGATGAGGCCAAAAGGTACCACTGCGCCGCCTATGCCGCGTGTTGGGAATTGAATCTCGACTTTTGGATTGGGGATGCTCATAATGCGTTGCATCTGGCTTTGAATATGTGCAAAGGGGGGCTGTCCATATGTCATCTGATACAAGATGCATCCCAAAGACCACACATCGGATGGTCGTCCCAGTTTGATCTCCTTGACTTCGCCGTGTGCACCAGAAGTGACGTTGTTGCAGATCAGAGATTCTGGAGACATGTAATTAGGCGTACCGATCTGGTTCTCGCGGTAAACGTTGACCGTATCGTCTTGAATGGCGTTGGCAATGCCAAAGTCGATAAGCTTCAGTCGCCCTTTGACGAGAAGAAAGTTGGCAGGTTTCAGGTCCGAGTGGACGACATCTTCGGCATGCACAGCGCCAACGCACTCCAGCATCTCTTTCCAGTAATGCCTCGTGAAAGTCACATCCAGCTTGGCATTGTCCGACTTGCACTGCTCATTGAGCATCTTGTTAAAATCTGTCTCGCCAAGCTCCATCATGACATTGAGCAGCTGCTTATCATCATTGACTTCATAATCGAACAGACGAATGACCCGATCAACGTGGGCCAGCTTGTTCAGCAGATCGATCTCTCCTTTGTAGCCAGCGATGGCGGCGGCATCGGCCTCTTCTAGGTTGACACGTTTGAGCGCGAAGATCTTGAAGTTGTCAGCCATGATGCGATAGACACGGGAAGATCCTCCGCGCCCGATGCAGTCGAGACGGCGGTATTGTCGGCCATTGATGACAACATGAGACGATCCCTTTTTGCTGCGAGCAGGATTCGAGGTCGCTGCATCCAAGAGCGACGACATCTTTGGCGGCGGCGCTGGTGCAGGTCTATGTGGAACATTGTTGATCACTGTCGCCAATGGCGGCCGCTCAGGTGATGATGCTGCAGGAGTTGGCTTTTCCGGCTGAATGTCTTCATGGACTTGCAGTACCGGAGCAGCCGGTTTGGATCTCTTGAATGTTGGCGGCGGGTCGTTTTCCTGGTCGTTCGCAGCCTCGGTTGGAAGTGGCGGCACTTTGAACGTTGGCCTCCGCTGAGAGCCAGACGAGCGGGTAGATGGCTGGGAGCCATTCGACGCTGGTGTGGGTCGCGTTTTTGGGGCGAGTGGTTCTCGGACTGGAGAAACAGGAGGCTGACGCAGCTGCCCCAGAGGAGACTGTGCGCGAACGAGCTCTGCTTTTGACCTCTTACTACTGCTGCCTCGAGATGCTGGCTGCGGACTACCGCGCGGAGCAAACCCAAGGTCTGGCTGATCGTCCAAGTCAGGCTCTGCCGCTCGTCTGCCGACCTGCATTTCGGGGCTGTTGGATCCTCCTCGGTCGTAGTCCAGAGCTGGTCCATCCTCATCCTCACTGGGCCTTCTAATCATCCCTGCTCTCCTTGGCTTGCCAGACAAGGTGCCGATTCTTCGGATGCGCATCGTGCTATGAGCGCCATGATCATCGGCTCTACGAGGCCGTGTTATTGTTTCGGGGGCTGCCGGAACATCCTCAAAACCTTCATTGTGATGTTGGGGACTTTGAGGATGATCGATAGCTCCTTGCTGCGGCTGTCTCTCCGGTGAGATCTTCTGAGGCGGCGAGCGAGATGCCTTGCGCACAGGCGAGAGGTATCGCTCTTTTGGAGGACTGGTATGTTGTGTTGTGCTCTTATCGTGCGTCTTATACATGAAAGAACCATCTCTTCCCAAAGTCGTCATTGGTGTAGGCCGCGAGGCCGAAGTTTCGCGAGCTGGTCTGGGCGCGGGACTGCCGGTACCATGGGCAGCGAAAGGTTTTCTGAATCTATGCCCGGAAGTTGATCTGTAACCTTCATTCGTGGTGGTAATTGTTCGTTTATGTTGCACGTTTATATGGGAATTCTCCTTGTCATCGGCCGTCTGTGAGTTGCCCTCGAGGATCGCCTGAGCTTCCGCGCTGAGCTTGACAGGAGCCAGGTCATCATCGTCGGAGCTGTCGCCGGTAGACTGCTGTGTCAAGTTGCGCTGGCCGTCTGTGGGCGCACGGTGGCTTGAGGACCTAAATAAGCCATTGCGGGAGAGAGAGTGAGGAGCGTGTCGATACCCGTTCGAGCTGGCGGAAAAGGACGCGGGTGTTGGTGAAATTAAAGTCGCCATTTGGAGAATCGTAGCTAGCTCGAGGAGATCATAAGGGCGAGTATTGTACCTTTGTTGGGAGGAGATATTTCGTCTGCGGATGCTGGAGTGAAGCTGGGATGCAAAGTCGCGTCCACAAGCAAGCCAATCGCGTACGGCGCCGTTGCCCCTCGCAACCAATTGCTGCCAAGTCTTTTTGATCGACTCAAACCCATGTCGGCTTTTGTGTTCAGCAACGTCTGACTTTCATTCCGCTCTCTCAAGATTGCGAAAACAACGCAGCTGGTGTACAAATATTGCCGCTGTCACATCACATCGCTGACTGGGAATACGGAGCTGGCATGTATCACGGCGGCTCCACTTGACCCAGGAGTGAGACAGAGAGCTCTTACTGCTCAAGGAGTGCTCGTTGCAGGTCATCCATTATTATTACTGGCAAACCATCTGTATAGGGAAACCTTCTCTCATAAAATCCTTCCCAGCGCCTCGCAGAACATGCTTGAAAAAACGCTAAGCAATTCGATTACTATTCCCAACTTTTGACCGGGTCCAAAAGCCCGTCTAGCGCTTAGAGGAAGAAAGTAAAGCCAGTGAAGACGCCAGCAGCGATGACAGCAAGACCGTACATCTCACCAGCGTTGATAACCATACGCGTAGCAGCAGAGTCGGAGTTGGAGCTATCAGCAGAGCTCGTTTCCGCGCTGCCACCGCCAAAGCCTGTGTAAACAGCGTCTGAGCCAGTGGCAGAAGCTGCACCATTGGTGCCGGTAGCTGACATGGTGCTGATGGTGCTGGTATTGACCCTGGTGGGATTCTGAGCTCCACAGGGGTGGTCCTCACGGCAAGATGAGGCACAAGAGGAACTGCCAGCACAGTTGTCCACACAGATATTGTTGTTTTGTGTGCAGATGAAGTATGGCAGGGTTTGAGAGTATTCCGAGGCATTGGGGCTCAGGCCGTTATCGCACACGCAATTGTAGGTCAGACTCGCAGTGTCACATGTATTGGCCTCAGTGGCTGCGGTTTCGGCATCTTCTTGAAGGCAGATCAGAGGGCAGGAGGAAATTTGAGAGGTGCACCATTGTTCTGGGTCTGTTAGATGCGTTCACCAAAGACTGAGAGGGCTCTGCTTACGTCTAGTGCCGATGGGGATATCGTCGGGGTTGAATGCAGGGGCCTGAGCCTGGGCGGTGGTAAAAAGCGTAGCAAGAGCGGCTGCAGCGAACGAAAGAGACAGCATTGTGTACGTAGCGAATGTGCTTGAAACCAAAAGACGAAATGAAAGTGTCGTATGCTCACACTGAGATGCTGTGTTGGATTGCTGAAGGAGTAGTTGACCATAAGACGACGGAACGACGCATGATAAATGGACTCCGTTGCGGGCACGGAGGAGGTGAGGATGGTCGGTAGGGAGTGGAGGTTATCTCGAGCTAGTCAGCATTTGTCGAGACTAGATCGTCTCCCGCCACTCGCTCCGCGTCCAAGGGCTACGCTAAAACTGCTTGCCGGGATCCTGTTGGTCGGGACAGCATCAACATTGCACGAGTCTTTCATGCACGATGCCTCGTAGAAATGTCAAGGTGGTGGACTTGTCTCAGGCTTGCATGCCTTTTCTTGTAGAGGCCAACAGATGCGGAGAGGGTTCTGCAGCAATGTGGATTTGTAGCGCTCCGACGCGTATTTTAAGTTAGGTAACAGGGATCAAGTGCTGATCGATCTTGAGCTAGACCTGTTCAAGACGTGACAGAACCCTCGGCTCGTCTTGGTGTCGGCAACAGAGCATCAACATGTTGGCCAATCTCGCTGTGATAGACAGGGCCAGCGTCCGACATTGTTGTGTGATCTGAGTCTGCTTACTCCGTGCACATGTTCAGATGGTGGCGGGGGAAGGGGTTTTCGTGCTTCCCACTCCCGCCGGCATGCAAGGGAGAGGTGTCGTAACATTTTGGCTGGTTGAGAAACACTCTAGCCGCTTCTAGCCTGGCTTGGCGCAGAAGCGTCGGAGTCCAAGCGGAAGTCAGCTTCTGGCTGTTTCTCTCCCCGCCAGAAAAAGGACATTTGCTGCATCTGATGCTTTGTCACATGTTGTAACCCGAGATAAACTGCAGAGTCCGTCGACGCGTTGCCGTTCAGCCCGCCACCCGGGTTTCATGGATGGAGAATGACCGGTTCCCGGAGCTCGCCACCGAGAGCTCTGAACCCACAGCAGAGGTGACCACCAAACGCCACTCGGCTCTGTCCCCGCCATACTGGCAGCATAAGAGAACCGATTCCAACGCGACTCAGACATCGCTTCATCCACCGCCCATCAGCCTCGAGGATCATACCGCTCCAGAGTCACCATCCAAGAGCTCGCTGTGGGCCAAATCCATTAGCATCGATGACTATGTTATTGTCAATGGCAACCCTACAGGCATCGGCGCCTACGTGGTGTGGAACTGTATAGTCCAGACCTTGGATGGAGGCCCATTGACGATCCGTAAGCGTTACTCGGAGTTCGTCGACCTACGGTACAGATTGAACAAGAATTTCCCGCAGTCGACGCGGACGTCACTGCCACCACTGCCGCCGAAGAGTGCCATCTACAAGTTTCGTCCATCCTTTTTGGAAAAGCGACGACAAGGTCTTGCCTATTTCCTGACCTGTGTCATGCTCAATCCGGAGTATGCTGGCTCAGACGCTGTCAAGGACTTTATATTTGGACATCTATAGGCTACAAATCGTGCATCTCAGGCATTACTCTCGAAAATGGAGAATAGTCTTGCGGCAATCGTTGAAGTGGTTATTGAGCATGGGTCTTGGCACGGTAGCTTTGCTATTGCCGACAAACATATAGCAGACTGGACTTCGCCGCCCTGTTGGCGGTGGCGTGTCCTGCTGCATTTAGTTCGGTCTGCGGCCTATCTTCCGCGTCTGAAATGGTACTGCTGTATTGTCTATCCAAAGGCTGATGGGCAAGCCTTGTACGTACGGTGACGAATAGCTAGCGAGCTAGCAGTACATATATTCGTAAAAGTCGAAAGCAAAACCATCTTACCGCATGTGAGCCCGAACCAACATCGCATACGAGATACCCGCCTAGACAGCCTAATTGTCGACATGAACATGCGCCAGTTAAGCTGCTCGCGTAGCCTGAGTTGCTGCTCGTGCGATCGACAGTAGCTCGACTTCATGCATTGAATTTAAATCTCCACTCGGAGCTGCAAAATACGAGGGACCCTGTTGATTGTCCGTACTCTTCACAGGTCCCTGTGGAACATGACAGCGGGTGTTCGCGTTGGCGGAACGCTTATGATATTCAGATCTTGACTACCTTGCTGCCTGGTGATTCGGTATCAAAGTGAGGCTCATTTGCCTAATTTGCCCCTGAAAAGACCGTTGTTACCAGCAGTACCCAATGCTGCTGCAGCACATCCATCGCCTGGCGAAGAATTTCCGGGCGTGGTTCGCAGACGATAAGCAGCAGGGGACGTGGCTTGGCGCATTCTCTGCAGCCCTGACCTGATGGAAAAGCAGAAAGGGTTCTCTAGATGGCAATGCTTCAGACTAACGGGGATAGCTTTGTCGTCGACTGTCCAAACTAGTTAAAAACTTGTGCCAAAAAGGACGTGGGCTGCGATCAAACTCACGGTACCTTGCACACTGCTTCCGTGATTGGATCAAAGTCGGGCGCCCCTGTGGCCTAACGGGACCGGTGGGCCACCGCGACGAGCCACGCTTTTCCCCGTTTTCCAATTGCACCGCGCCGCGTCGACAACGCCAGCAGATCAGAGGCTATCACAGTCGCGCTGCCACATATTCATCGCACGGCGAGGCGTCAACTCTGCCAGTTTTTCGAAGGCTGTTCTTGTTGCGGGTCTTGTCGCAGCCTAGGCCTTCACTTCACACCTTCATCTTCGCTCTCTCGTCCGTTGTATGTGTTTTATGAATTCTATTCCATCATTGCTTGTTTCGCACCGCGCTATTGGGCTCGCTTCGCCAGGCAAAGATCCTGACCCCTGAGACATCATCTGCACCGCCAACTCATAGATTCGGCGGCTCGGAAATCCAGCCAGTCCTCTGGGAAATCGTCAGACCTTCTCTCGTTCCATCCAGACATCTGTCCGGTAGCTGGTCTCCGTCGGCTTCAGATGATCTAACCTTGCACCCACCTTACCTCTGCAGACCGTCATTCAGAATGCCGTTCTTCTCAAAGGTTTTCAAGAGCAAGGACGATACAGTCAAGAAGCCAGCCCCTGTCACCAATGGTGCTGCCTCAGCCAAAAAGCAGTGGTCGGATGCATGGCTGCGCACCAGGGTCGATCCTGAACAGGTGGCCGAATTGCTACATTATTGTACACAGGAAATAAAATCAAGAGGTAAGCATCCAGTCGACAGTTCAACGTAGCAAGACTCTGATGACGGCTAGGTCTCGACGTTCCTTTCCTTCTACTTCCCTTCCGGCCTTCTTCGGACCCTTCCGCTGCGAGAACATTCGTGCGCAATTATTTCATCCCTCCCCATGATCGGGATCAGCTCAGCGGAGATGCGCTGGCTACTGAACTTCGCATGGCGACCGTCATGGTAGGTCCCCTGTCGATGCGGTAGAATCGAGACTAAGGACGCAACAGGTCATCATCAGTGTCATGAAGTGGTGCTGGGCTCGATTGCCCGGTGGTGTAGTTACATGGGAGACGTACGAGATGTTCAAGGTTGGCGAGAAAGGTATAGCCCACCCCACCAGCATATGACTGCGCTGACCTTTGACAAGACTCCCGCCTCGCTCGAGATGCTTTCACAACCTTCATTCCCATATCCGTGGATTCAAATTCCCGCGTCCAAATAATCCGAGACTTCTTTGACCTACTGGCTGCAGTTGCGGCTCATGGCAAAAGCAACGGCTTGGGTGCCTACAAACTGTCAAGATTTGCCGGATGGTGGGCTTTCAACCACATTGACACCGGAAAGGGATTTGATGCTGGTTACAAGTCGTGGGAGGCCGCCGCAAATGCTACAACCCACCTTTTCTTTGCGTATCTTCGATCCCTCTCACCCGAAGGCAATACAAGCGGTGTGCTCAGCCTCCCGCGCTCCCTACAACAGCTGCTAGATTCGACGGAATACCCTCCCGGACAGGGTTTCATCACCAATGAGACCACAAAGTTGGTTATGATTGTCGACATTGTTTCTCCTACACCTTACGCGCTTCTGCGACGCGCAAAGAACTTCGAATATCGCGATTCAGACCACGCTCTCCAGGAGTTCTCTAGCTTCGAAGATCCCATCAGAGCATTGACCGATGAGTGTCGTCGTGTGCTTAATGCCATCTCTTCCACCAATCAGTCTAATGTTTCTAATGCAAAAACGTCGACAAGTCTTGCAGATCCATCCTGGTCGCGTTTCGAAGATATTGGGTTTGGCAGCACCCTCGACGAGATCGACGAGTCGGACAACTTTCTGTCTGCTAAGCCCGTATCTAACCACCTCGCTGGCACCCATAGCGCTGTCGATTTAGCTCGTCCAACCACTCCAAGCTGGGCTGATTTCCTGTCTTCTGGATTTGCCGAGGATGGAAAGCAGACTGGTGCTCCGATTCTCTTGCCTCCGGACAAAATTCTTCCTCCGCTCAACGTGGCTGCTCGCGGTCAAAGCTCACAATCACACCGGAGAAACCTCGAGCCTGTCAATCTGGATCCTGGCGAGTTGGCGAGTATCAACACCATGGGTATAGACGATGCGTTCTGGTGGGTCTGGATCAGTAGTTTGGCCGGTGAGGAACCCCAATCTCGCAAGGCTGTCTTCGGAAGATGCGCCCTGATCGAGACTATCTTCAGCGACGGCAAATGGATGGTAATGGAGGAGCAAGTCAAAGGCGCCGCGCCTGAGCCGGCTCAGGGTGCTTACATTGCCGAGAAGAAAAGATCTTTCTTCGGCTTCACTACCAAGAATGGCCGTCTGACCCGTCGGAGGTCTGGTGTCAAGAAGAGTCCTCTAGCGCAGGACGTCAACGGCTTCGAATCCAGCCGCACCGCCATTGCCCCTGATCAGCAGGCTCGTATCCAGCAGGCTGCGAAAGAGCTGAGCCAAAAGAAAGAAGCCGAAGAAACCGCCGCCAGACGGCGCCAACAGCCGGCAGCAAATGTTCCTGCCTCGAATCGAAACAGCGTCTTCACGCTTGGTCCGAATAAGGAGGAGTTCTCGCCAGCCCTAGCATGGGCTAAGAAGTACGATAAGGAGGCGATCCGTGCACAGTACCTAGGCGATAGATTGGCCGGCAAGGGCTCTCGAGAGCTACTCACTCTACCAGAATCAGGTCTCGGTATGACTCGCTCGACTTCGACACTCTCTCATCACGAGGCCAAGGAGTTACCACCAGCACCTAAAGAGCCACAGCCGGTTGAGTCAGAGTGGCCTTCGCCCAGTCCAGCACCCATTCCGTCGCCCCGTCCGGCACTCATCTCTTCCCAGACGCATGAGCCACCCAAGATCATCGAGCCCGAGCCTGCACCAACCCCACCTGTACCCACTGTCCCTGTTCAGCAGGATATTCCAGAGGAGGCTGCTAAGGCTCCGTTGCCAAACACCACGTTCGACCAGATCGTCCCACAGACTACAGAAAAACCACAGCAAAGCGAAGTAGATGCTAAGCGTCCACCCGTCTCGCCTAACAAGCTACGCAAGTCGCTTGAGGGTCACCGTATCTCTCCAGACGAAAAGAAACCTCGAAAGGTCGGGCCGCCTCCGACGCAAAAGACAAGTGGTATCAGGAGACTCTTTGGAACTAAGAGAGCCAAACCCAAGGAACCTGAGACGAAGAAAGAGCAAAACGATGTGGATCCCGCTATCCTTGCAGCTCGTCGTGCACTCGAAGGCAAGCCGAGCTTGGCACCTAACGGGTCCACCGACTCGCCGCCACTCAGCCCCGGGCACTTCCAGAGAATGAAGCAAGTGAATGCTAGCAAGATTTCCGATGTCCCAGAAGAAGAGTCCCAACCAGCCACTCCTCCGGCCCAACGCGGGAGAACGCCTGAGCCTGAGCCGGAGCTTGCAGGGTCTGCACAACCTGCAGAACTGTATGGTGGGCCACCCCGTACAAGACGCGATGAAGAGTACGACCAACTGTCTCGTGTCGACACGAACGAGCGCGAGGATGCTGACAAGGAGTTCTCCACGTTCGACCAAGGGCCTCTGGATCAACCAGCTTTCGTACCTCAGGCGTCGACGGCTGGCGAGGAACTTGGTCGCGAGGAGCCCAAAATTCGGACCAATCACCAATCCACTTACTCGGCGATGACCGTGCCTATTGAAGAGTCGGATGAAGATGAGCCGACAACTATGAATGCGTCGGATCGATGGGCTCAGATCCGCAAGAATGCTGCCGAGCGTGCTCGTGCATCAGAGGAGCACACAACACGCTCTAGAACGGAGACGAGAACTGATGATGGCGAGACGAGTGGTGAAGAGAGTAAGTGAATGATCTCTGAGTCCGCTGAACACTGCTAACAGCTTGCCTAGCTATCGAGTCTCGTGTGGCCAGGATCAAGGCTCGGGTGGCCGAGTTGACGGGCAACATGGAAGCGACACGACGCTAATAAGTCTGCACATTATTCGACATTGACGACTCTCTACCCTTCATTAGACAGCGTTTCCTGCCACGTTTGAGCATACGATGCGACAGTCGATCTTTTGCCAGTTGCTGGCGGTTTCTTTTGACTGTGTTTTTTTGTGTGATTGCACATTTTGCAGAGATACCACATGAGCGAAGCGAGGGCTACCATAGCTGGGTCTATTAGTGTATGGGCCCCATAATACATATTGTTTCTGGCTTGTGAGTGATTTGTACCATGCGCTGGAGACGGTTTTGTCAATTGCGTACCCGACCGTATGCGCGAACGCAAAAATATTCAGACAAGGTCTAATGTCACGTTGGTCAACCCCACAAGGCACCGTTTAGCGTACAGCTGCTTGTTTTCCAGAACTCGAACAGAATACGGGAATGAGACGAGCACATCCAAAGCTGCTCTCGCTCCGTACTAGTGACATCAGTATATATCCCGATAATGCCCATATGCACCTAGATGGCGTTCAAGCGTCTATTCGCAACCGCGCCAGCGCCCCTACTCGACCGCAACTACAACCTCAGGCTCAGGAGCGCAGCCGCAACGAACGCAACATGAACCGTCTGCAGACCCTGGGGGAACATGGAATAGGCGTATACTCCAGAATGCTAGTGAGGTGCTTGCATATGCAGTGCGATGCAATGCAAGACCGTCTACGAGGCACGTGTTGTGGTTTATTTTTAGGAGTTTTGCTTTGCCAGTGGGGGCCGCTGCTGACTGACATGGCGTTGTGGCTACTCTGTACGGATGACGATGGACCCTGCTGCCGTGAGTGGCTGGTGGAGAATAGGCGGATGAAACGCGCTAGAAGGGAGCTCTGGCGTAGCCAGTGGGATTAGGACCTGGTTTAATTGCCGCGTTGTTGCTGCGGGGGTTCGCTGTGCGGTGTGCGGTGTGTACATAGGGCTGAGAGCGTGTGTTTACGTGAGTGGTGTGATGGTATGGGCATGGACGACGAGAGGGGAGCGAGGGGTCGAAGAGGCAACGAGGGGGGGGGGAGTAGAGAGCATCAATGTGTCTTTAGAGCGGGTCTTGATTCTGACAATATGAGCTTGTCTATTGCGACTGCGTCTCCAAGCAGTGCTCAGCCGGTACGGACTGATTTCCAGCATTTTCCAAGGCCACGCGGCTTATGCGCTGTACGTCCCGACCAGATGGTACACCCAACTGTTTGGTTATTACTGTCTACGATGCGCAAGCTGTTGAACAACATCGATGTTGGCAAGCCTAGCCCAGCGCTTAGAGAAATATCGCCGTGATTCGTCAGGCGGGCAGCCGTTGCAATTAGGCGCAGATACGACGCCAATGCCGCTCTGATTTCGGGAGCCGTGGCGAAGCCCCCAGCAGCCAGCAGCCCTGCACCCAGCCAAGGCCTAGCGGGACCCAGCGGGCGTCTCTTGAGTTCATCCTTCCCCTTCTGCTCTCTCAACTCGAGTCTTCCTGTCTATCTTTAGTATACCCAAACCACAACCCTTTCCCATTCCCTCCACCAGCGCCACACGCGCCCAGTACCCGACCGCAGCCTCGGGATCAACCCCCGATTCTTGACCATTATCAGCCTTAGATTATTGACTACCGCGCATTGGCATCATTGTCATTGTCGCCTGCACAAAGCCGCCGTCGCTGCCCGTTGTCTTCCATTTCCGGTACAGAGACCCTCTGCGACCGCTTCGAGACACCGCGCGGAAAATAATAATCGACAAGCGCGCCTTTGTTCCCCGCTGCCCAGAGCAAATTGTTCGAAGACGAGGTCGCTGTTTGTGATCGCCTTCGCTGACGTACTCTCCATCGTCGCTCTCGCGTACTCGATCACGTCTGTCCTTCGCGGGCCTACACCAAAATCGTCACATGCACCGCTAGCAGTCCATAATGGGTCGGAGGAAAATCGAGATCAGGGCGATCAAGGATGACCGCAACCGCTCTGTGTACGTGCCGCCGACCTACGAATAACTTCCCTGCTGACCGTGGTAGCACATTCCTGAAACGCAAAGGCGGTCTTTTCAAAAAGGCGCATGAACTGTCCGTCCTGTGCTCTGTCGACGTCGCCGTCATCATCTTCGGACACAATAAGAAGCTGTACGAGTTCTCATCAGGTGACATCCACGAGACACTACGCCGATACACATATGTAAGTTGCACGGGAAGTTTACTGCCTGCAGAGCTGACGTGAGTAGTATGGACAGCCCCACGAACACAAAGGTCCAGCCGACTTCAAGAACAAGGGCGGCGATGACGATGACGATGAAGATGAAGAAGAGCCTGACCAGCAGGTCAAGGAAGATTCCCTGCCGCCGCAGCACCCTGGCATGATGCCACCGCATCTGCAGCACCACAATTCTTTCCAGCACATAAGACCTCCACACCAGGCGTCTGCTTCCCCACCTATGCAGAATGGCATGTTTCCGCGACACAGTACACCTCAACCACAGATGGAGTCGAGACCGGGTTCGAGAAACACTATCCGACGGACATCGTCGAACTTGGTGCCTATGCAGCACCCGCACCCTACGCCGCCCCCACCACAGAACGGTTTCGCCTATGTGCCAAATCCGCCCATATACAACCCTCAGATGCAGCCGCATCCTTCACCGCAGCCTCAGTACCAACAGTACCCGCAACATCCTCAACCACCAGCCCAGTACCTACATCCTCAGCAGCAACCGCAACCACAACAGCATCCTCCTCCACAGAGGCCATCATCGGCGCCTCGACATGGTAGTCTAGGCCCTCCCCAGCAGCCACCACCACAGCGACAGTCACCACAGCCCGAGTTCAAGCCACCACAGAACACGCCACCTCAGATCAAACACCTCTCTTCCAAATCCCGCTCTATTTTTACGCCGATCGACGAAGGCGGATCCGTACTGGCTCAACATTTTTTCGGCGCCCCTGACCCACCTCGGCCGGGACCATCATCACACCTCAAACGTGAGACTTCACCTAATCCTAGAAACGAGCTTGCACCTCCTCCCCGCTCCATTACAGCACAACCCAGACTCGCACAGCCTGTTCCGCAGCCGCCCCGCCCCTCCTCTGTCAGTAACGACTTCCCACCACCGCAACGCAGCAACACCTCGGGTTCCCGCTCCGGCGCCTCTCGCCCAAAGCTGAACTTGACGATCCCCTCAGAAGCTTCTGACAATGAGGCATCTGGTGGCGCGGACGCCCCCAGCGCTTCGGCGGCTCATCCCCGCTCGGCGAACCCGGCCGGTAATTCAAATAGCAGCAGCGAGCGGGGCGAGAACCGACATATTGTCCTACCACCACCCAGCCCAAGCGCCAGTGCGGTGTTGAGTGCTGGCGCTGTTGGTCCAGGAAACCCGTTTGCACGCCCACCTCCACCAACGAGTAGCCAGAACAAGGACGCTTACGACACGAATCGCGATCGAGGCGGCGAGGTTGGCGGTCGTGCCGGCGCGACTGGCAGACAACAGGCTGGCGACGGCATTGACACTCCGATAAGTGCTTTGCCGAGCAGGTACATGAGTAATGAGTTGCTGCCTAGTCCGAGCAATTTCTTTAGCGAGTGGGGTGATTGGTCACGTGGTGGAGGGGGCACGGGCATGAGCGCCGTGCTGCCCAGTCCGATGGGAGGTGGGCTGGGATTTGGCATGACGCCCTCTGATGAGCGAGGCGGCGCGGCGGCCAAATGGGGCGGTGTGCCGGAGAAGAGAAAAGGCGAAGACGAGGGTGCCGTGGGCGATGAGAAGAGAGTCAAGACGTAGCAAGAGCATGAATTTTCCACCTGGAAAGTGGTGGGAACTTGCATGGCTACGAGCATGTATGTGTTTTTGAACAAAGAGACGGACAACTGACGATATATCGCGACATACCCCCCGCCCGCCCGCCTGCCTTAGTCTGTTTACCAGAAAAGGAGATCATCCAACATTTATCATTTTTTTTAACTTATTTACCACAAACATATTTCGCACGAGCGAGCGACCGTTTCGAATGGGCGCAGAAGAAGGACGAGAGCGAGCCCGGAATGCATGTCTTAAATCGGAGTCTGATGGGATTACGATTACAATCACTATCGTTATTACGTGGGGATAACAGAGACGAAAAACCATCTCGTCTATCCGTCCGTCTGGCTGGCTGGCTGCCCTTTCGAGAGGGTGCCTGCCCCCGGACTGGCTGGTATGGCTGTTGGTAGGACGGGTTTCGAGCATTGAAGAGGGAGGGGGGGAAGGCATGGACCCTTACCGGCTCGACTCTACCAGGCGGTGTTGTCCCACAGGAGCCAGTGACGGATTGCGACGAGATGGAGAAGAGACGAACGGGAAGTGGAATCTGAATTCGGGGGTAGTGATGATCTTCTACCCCCCTGATCCCCATTGATGCTTACGCGGTGCGGCGAGGGCGGGGCGGGGCGGTGCGGTGCGATGCGAATTGTCAATGATGTTCTGCCGGGGGAACGGGCTCGGAGGTGTGGATGTGTGTGTATGTATTCTTGAGGGTGCATGCATGCATGTTTTGAAGCGTCACCTTGATGGCGACGAATGCCACTTTATACTGATCGCTATCGCATGACAATTTTACCGCTAGATACCTCCGAGGGGCTGACTTAAGTCTATGAATGGCGAACGAAAGTCTGGTTTTGATTTTTGTCCCACTGATTTCGTCTCTTTTTGCCGTCCGGATCTGTTTGCGCTCTTGAGTTGTGTTGCTGTTGCAGGAGGCCGCTGGCTGTGAGGCATGCTGGTCACGGTGGCGCGGAGACACCGATCGCGCAAGGAACGGGCCTTTGGGTCAGCCGTATTTCTGCGACTTCGTGAGGAAGTCCAAGATGCAATTGACGTCCTTCATTGCTCCGGCTGCGCGATCTCGCCCTGCACTAAGGGGCAGCCAACGACCACAACTCGTCTGCCATGGTTGGCACGGGCCGTGGGTCCGGCTATGTCGCGGGTCTGACATGAGCCTAAGGTCCCGAGACAGTCACGGGAAGCCGGGACGGTTGTCGCCTGAGGCGTAACGAGCAATGAGAGGGATATCTAGGCATCAGATCGGAGCAGTCTTGTGGGCGCAATGGGGGGTTGTGTTGTGGTGGGGCGGAAAAATCAAAGCTGGAATGGAATATCCGTCCATCTTATCCGTGGAATCCTCGAGTGCTCACTACAAGCTGTGCGAATCTATTCCCACATGGATGATATACCTGATCAAGACTTAACACTGCTTCTCGACCTTTCCGTCCCAAGCCACGAATTATATGCCGATAAACTAACCCCCTCGGCATGGCGCCGGCCAGTGACCTTTCCTTCACGGACCCCGGAAATTCACTGACTCCCCCACAGTCACCCCCAGGCCCAGACATTCACCTGCCGCCCAACAGTCACCATTAGGCCCGGCAAGGCCCAGGCCCAGGCCACATCCACAAAGGCGCTGCCCTTCTTGAGCCTGCCCCCTCTAAACCTGGCACTTTGGTCCACCAGGACACAGCCCGAACGTGAAGATGCAGCACGCAATGTGCGCCGGCGAGCCCTTGCGCATCCCGCTCTCGGGCGCGCTGTCGAGATCGTCGTCCCCTTCATCGTCTTCATCTTCACCGCGCTTTGACATGCCCATGTCGTTGTTGTTGCCCTGTTGGGCAGCGAGGGCACCAGAGCCGTGGGCCAGGCCTGGAATCATGGCTGTGGGGATGGTGGGGAAGGCGGCGGCGTGGGCGGTGTGGGTGGGTACGGAAGGGGAGAGGGAGGGGAGGGCGGGGGCGGCGGTGGCGAGGGGGATGAGGAGGGCGAGGAGGGTGGTGAGGAGGAGGGCGAGGTTGGACATGGTGGTTGTGTTTGGGTGGGGGGTGTTGTTGGAAAGTGAAGTGATTGCTCAAGGAAGAATATTCGAGAGTGAATGTTCGAAAGTGAAAGCTCGAGAGTAGAGAAAACGAGAAGGAGACGTGGAAAGAGGGAGGTATTTATCAGGAAACCCGTAGAGCACGGCAGCAATTGAGAACTTTACTATTCAAGGCAACGGTTGCCGCGAACCATGGAGAACGGTGGCCTCAAGGCAAAACTTCTGGTACTGACGAACGATAGGGCCGCTGAAGGATGCCTTGCATTAGTCTTTCGTGAGGGTCCAATCAGCTCGTCACCTTCGAGGCAACCAGCACATGCTGTCAACACACTGGCGTGCGCAACCACGACAAGGGTAGCAGACTAGGCGTCCTTTGCGACCGCGTAATGCAGCCTCTGTTTACCCCTCGGTCGCCTGTACGACTTGCGCCCACGGTGCTTGCCCATACGCACCCGGCACACTCGGCCCATCAAACAAGCTCGCCATGACCACTCGGTCGCCCTGCTCTCCCTGCCACGGCTCTCGCCCGTGCTGCGCAATCACATTGTCGTATACCAAAACGTCGCCTTCCTGCCACTTGTGCAACACCCGGATCTCATCGGTAATGTCGGCTAGTCGCTCAAGGTATTTGTCCGGAATCGGCGTCCCGTCGCCGAACAGCTGCGTGGTCACATTCTTCCGCGCGACCTGGTTGACCTTTGCGTTCTTCCAGTACGCGGCTAAGCCGGTGAACAGCGTGGGAAGGCCGCTATTCTGCTGCGTCCGGATGGCCGGCAGGCGGTGTTCAATGATCAGCGTCTGTCCATCGTCCTCCCACTTCCACGTCGTGAACTCGCCGCGTCCGTAGCGTTCAATTTGAGCCTCTATCTTGCGTCGGCGCGTGTCGGCATCATCTGAGTCGAGGATCTCCTTGCCAAAGGCCTGTCGCAGCGTGCTGCCCCCAGCGTACTGCTTGTCGAGTTTGTAAGTTACTCGGCTAAGGATGCCTTTGGCGCCGATTTCGCTGATGAAGTCCGGTATCTCTGTCTGTGCACGCTGAAAGAGCTCCAGAGAGCTGCTGATGGGTGTCTCGCCTCCAACAGTGGGAGCCTTGTGACAGTAGAAGAAGATGTATTCGGGAGCATGTGGCACTTGAGGGGATTCATTGTGGTTGTAGATCAGGACGTTGGGTGGTGCCTCGTTGGCTGGAGCAACGTTGGGAGCAAGTAGAGGCCGGTCCACGACGATGCCGATGATTTCGTGGGGGCGGTAGCCGAAAGCATGAGCAAACTGGCTGAATTCGCTTGCTGAGGATATAGGGAGGCCACGAAAGAGCAGAGTCCCGTGGTTGGCGAGCAGCTTGGTCAGAGTACCGTTGTTGGCTTGGAGCCCCTTGATGGTGTTGATGGCGTCCGAGAGAGAGACAGGTGCTGTGGGCTTGAGAGCAAGTGGAATGGCGGTGTTGCCCGCATGGGGTTGACCGAGGGTACGTTGGTTGCTGCTCGGCAGAGTGAAAGGCTCGAAAGCGACGGCGGGTTCAGAGACACCGTCGAGCTTCAGAGGGGCGCTCTGGCCGATCGTGGTGGTCATGTTGGCGGCAATGCTAAGCAATCTTTCGATGATGGTGAGAAGTGTAGCATACGTAGGTGTATATGAGGGGGTCCCGGGGAACAGAAAGCCCCCATGTGGGATGTCGGCATGGGTAGACGGAGATGTTCACCTGAAGCCTTGCCGATATCAACTCATTCGCAATCCTACACTAAAAGCACGCGAGTCTCAAGCCGGTCCAGTGGTATGGGCCGCTATGGTCCCCAGCGATGATCAATGCCTTTTTCGTCAGTATACATACCCCTGGTCAAGAGGCACAACAAGTACCGAACCATTTGTGCAACACCCTTTGCCCGCGGTACGTGTGCACGGCTGCCCACGTTTTATGCCAGCGTGGGACCCCGAGTTTGAAAGACTTCCTCTTCTGCATGGAAGATTTCGCTCATAGTTCTCTAGCCAGAAAGTAGCCTGGCGCTGCTCCAGTCTAGGCTGAGAAAATTATCACCAAGTGCTGCTACTTGGAGGCTCTTCGGTATCTTCGGATCGTTCCTCCATTGTGACAGAATGGGGTAAAGTGACGTGCTCGAATGATTCATGGTATGCTGGAACAAAATCGATCCCCTTAAGCACTTCAAACAAGGTTGGGTCCTACCACTTTTAAGCACAGCAACCCAGTTTGCAAGCTCAGAGGGACCCACAGGCAAGTGAGCAAAGACACGCGGTATCGAACAAGACCTCTCGCTAGCATGGCCACGCCAGCAGCACCCGAAGCTGCAAAAGAGAATCCTCTCATTGTCAGTCACGATGTTTCGGGCGACGTCGACATCAGCACGCCTCCTAGCGAGCGGAGCCTTAAGCCCTTCGATCGAATCCGCTTTTTTCGAACCACACTCTTCCAGATCCTCATTGTCGGGATCTGTGCATTCTGCGCCCCTGGAATCTGGAGTGCTATGAATGGACTTGGAGTGGGAGGCTCGCAGTCCCCGGATCTCGTCAATGCAGCAAATGCGATTCTCTATGCATTCATGACGTTTACTTGTTTCGCTGGGCCATGGGTTACCAACCTCATCGGCTTCAGGTGGACGCTAGCCATAGGCTCGTTGGGGTACCCACTCTATGCGGCTGGGCTGTATGTCAATAACCGCTTTGGCGATACGTGGTTTGTATATGTTGGGGCAGTGACATGTGGCATCTCCGCAGGGTTCTTTTGGAGCGTCGAAGGAGCAATTGCCACCGGCTACCCGGAGTCTCACAAACGTGGCCGGTACATTGCAACGTGGTTCACATTTCGCAACTTTGGAAACATTATTGGCGGCGCAATATCCTTGGGCATCAATGTCAAGATCAACGAACGGGGCAAGGTCGGCTATCAAACGTACCTGGCCTTCATTGCAATCCAGTGTCTAGGCTTCTTCTTTGGTTTGTTACTGTCAAACCCGGAGAAGGTTCGCCGCGACGATGGTACCAGAATACAAGCACCCAGAGGAATCAACTGGCGCGTCGAAGGGAAAGAGATGTGGCGACTGCTCACAAGCAAATCCATTCTGTTACTGACGCCACTCTTTTGGTACTTCGGTTACATGCAAGGCTATCCAGGCACATATCTCGCCACCTACTTCACTGTTCGCTCGCGAGCATTAGGGAGCTTCATGTCTGCTGTTGTTGGTACCATGGGTACCTGGCTTGGAGGATCCCTGGTGGACCTGCCATGGGCAAAGAAGCGACAGACACGTGCCGTTGCCGTCTTCATATTGATTGCAGCTTGCAACAGCGCTACGTGGATCTGGGCCGTAATCATACAGAATGAGTATCAACATACTCATCCAACACTCGACTGGGGTGACCAGAAAAGCTTCCCAAGAGGATTTGGTGTCTATATGCTAGAGCGGATCAGTCTCGGCATGGTAGAGAACTACATCTATTGGTGCATTTCCAATCTTTCGGACTCTCCTGGAGACCAGATCAGGTACAGCTCCTTGCTTCGAGGGATTGAAACCGCCGGAGTCGCTGTGGGGTTTGGGGTCCAAGCGGTGCCGACCGTACTCATTGCGACAGCCAGTATCAACCTCGGATTTTGGTTCTTTGCGCTACCATTTGGCTATCGTGCCACACTGCAGGTAGTGAAGAAGTTCGACGAGCTGGATCAACAACGGGAGCAGAGACGGGTTGAGACCAATACCAATTCAAACACGGGTCCCCCAGATACGACCCTAACTTGGAAGTCCTAAGTGCGAATGCTCCAACGACAAGCACCTCCCAATAGCATAGAATCAATAACTACTCTATAGCAGCAAGGATGATTACTGCAGTCGCAGCTTGTCATAAGGTTCAGTTCTGAGGGACCTCAACAGAGTGCATGACGGACTCAAGGTCGCCTCGTAACCGGCAAAGGTATTCATGTGCTTCCTAGAATCCTTGACCCGCTTTGTTGCGTTCGGTTGTCCATAGTCGAATGCATCGCAAGAATCTCAAACGAATCTTTGTACCCATTGTTGGCGCATTGTTGATACTTTCTGTTCTACTGACGATAGTCTTCGAGCTTTGTTCGAGTACTTCGCCAATGAAGTCTTTGTTGCGATCAACAGATGATAAGCGAGCGAGCGCCGTGGTAGAGGTCTGGACTTGCTACGATAACCACCGACCCGACACAACCCAGACCGACCAGCAGCATACACAACAATGTACACAGGCGTCAACTTGCCTCCGACTCGAGGCCTGCCTGCGTACGCGATCTTTCACCCGGAGAATGGTGGCTCTCTACACTCTCAATTCCTTGGATCTGGAATCCAAGGTACAGCAACTCTGGTACGTTCCCGTGCCACTTGCCAGCTTATGGCTCGAAAACGGACCTGTCCTCAGCATCTCAACAACAAGCCATTCGCGGATTTGGACAACGCCATCAACCATCCCAATGTGGTGCGCCTTCTTGGAAGCGAGCGATACCACCGCGAGAAGGTGAACGGAACGAACGGCTCAGCTGTGTCTCTGTGGGAATTCGCGAACTGTAAGGATTTGAAGCACTTGATCATGAACTACCGCAAATCTGGTGAGAGAGTCCCTGAGCTCCTGATCTGGCAGTTCCTGAAACAAATGTTCGGTGCTTATGATGCTTTGCATAGACGACAGATTGCCCACATGGACGGCCATTGGAGTAACGTCTTTGTCAACTTTGACCCCCTGAAGAGCCTACCAGAGTTCATTCTCGGTGATTTAGGACTTAGCGAACCTTTCAAGCAAGGTTTCCAAAGGATCTATGCATCTGAAGAAGGAGCTCCCGGCATCGTCGACGACGATTACAACAGCGTGCCCACCCTGCAGAACCTCCATGATTACGACGAAGACAACGACCAGAACGTGCTTGACTTCTTCATCGGGGAGTCTCTGCCCCAGGTGGGTGAAGACATGGCAAGACTTTCCGGCGCTTTGAACTGCATGATGCACGACGACGACAGCCTCGACTTTGCATTCTACAGCCCATCACTGAACAAGGTTGCGACCATGATGATGAATATGAAGTCCTTCCTCTGGACCCGCCATGTCAAGACGCAGAAGAACGCTCAGATTCTGATTAGCATGCTGCGTCAGATCATTGAGCACCACTTTGCAGACTGTGTCAGTCAAGTGACGTTTCCAGTGCCTGGAATTGAGCTGAGCAGACCTCAGGGTCCCACGCCTCAGCCAATGCTGTTTGCCAGCCCCGAGGCTCTCCTTGCTGCCGACTACTTCCCACCCGGCCCATGGTATGTTGCACAGGTTGATCCATACGACTGCCAGGTCCTCAACGTGGACTACTCAGTGGTCTACGGTTCCGACGCGTGGTACTGTTTCGATGCTCAAGGCAGCGAGGTGACTTTCGCCCCAGAGTTTGACGACGACGACGACAACACGTCCGACTCGCTTTGGTAAGAAGCCCCATGGTAAATGAATGTACTAGGTAAGTCCCCCCTCTGGGACTGCAACTTGCAATTCACTCTTTTTGAACACATGCTAACTTTGGTACTTCAATTTCTCGTCCTGGACTTACGATTGTTCGAGCGTATAAAGACCAACCAAATATGGAAACGAAAAAGTTGAACTTTTGCGTGATGCTGACCATATGTCGGAGGGCAAAACAACCTCAGGCTTGCTATACCTACCCGAAAGAGCTATTTATCGACATGACACCGGTGGGTCTTCCTCAAATGGCAATCTGTAGTCCCCATTAGGAGGGTAGTAGCGGTACCATAAGCACTTGTGAAAATCATTAGGTGCGAAGCCGAAAGCCAGATTTAACCAGCGTCGATATGCAAGACATGACCTCCTTGCGCGCGACTAGACGAATAATACAAGCCAAGACGTCTTGAACTTGACCATGTGTATAGATGCCATCATGTGATAGATATTCTCCCAATTCTCTAGATTGATTGACTTCTGCGCCTGGTTGAGCCAAGCAAAGACTGAGTATCCCCATCTCTAACACGCAGCGTTGCACTTGGGCTCTCCAATGAACGACTTCGCTAACCGAGAGACCGCTATGCGCACGCGACCCTCCTTCCACTGTACAGTGGTAAGTGACTAACCACTGCAGCCACTGCAGATTGGGGGCGGGATAAAGGAGTCCGATGGCGTGGGCGAATCTCGATTTAAGCACCTACAAGCTTGCCTGGGCGGGAGCTTGGGCCAAGGCTTGTGGGGACTTGGGACGTTGTGGGCGCCAATGACGCCCCTGGTTCCTGCCCGACATTGGTGCCGTGTGGGAGCGCTTTTCCTTGCCCGAGTGTGCCTGTGACCCATCAAAACCATGGGCAGTGACGTCGATGGCAGCGATGCCGTGACATAATAGCAATTTTTCTCGTGGTGCGTCGACGCATTGACGACATAGAGAGGTGATGCTTGTCGGGGAGCCGTTCAACCTTTGTATACCCTTAGCTCAGCAGTTCTGCTACAACGCGCGAGTCGTTGGTAACGTAGACGTGTCTTTTTTTATTATCAATACGAAATATATCCATCTAGCTATGGCTTCTCGCTCGCCGACGTTGCGCGCCTCGGTAGCCGACCCCCCTGAGAAGGATGTGGAGAAGAGCGGACTCGATGGACCTCACGGCAGCCTGGATGGACAGGATCCGGAGAAACGAGACTCGGTGAAGAGGCCTCGGAAGGCGTCTCAGAATGTCGACCCGTTTGGTGATGCCGAGGAAGGGGATGTGCAGTACAGGAGTCTGGAGTGGTGGCAGGTAAGAGCCTCCACAAAGCATACTGAATGACGCGGCTGACGTGAAGCGCAGTGCTCCATGATTATGATTGCTGAGACCATTTCGCTAGGCATTCTATCTCTGCCTTCGGTTCTGGCGTCGATTGGTATGGTCGGGTATGCCAAAATCCCTTTCGAGGTAGACTTCTCCTGCTAATGAGTACAGCGGCGCCATTCTCATCGCCTCGCTGGGAATCATAGCAACATACTCCGGCTATGTGATCGGTCAATTCAAGCGTGCCCATCCCTGGGTACACAACATGGCGGACGCAGGCGCGGTCTTGTTTGCGCCCTGGGGCCATACGGCTGAAGCCATCGGCCGCGAAGTCCTCGGTGCCGCCCAGACAATCTTTTTGATCTTCTCAATGGCCTCGCATATTCTCACCTGGACCATCTGCCTCGACACACTCACCGACTCTGCAACGTGTGCCATAGTGTGGGGCGTCATCGGCCTGGTTCTGTTCTGGATCTTCGACCTGCCCCGAACACTGCTCAAAGTCAGCTGGCTCAGTATTGCCTCTTTCATCTCCATCTTCTCGGCTGTCCTGTTGACCATGGTGGCTATCGGAATTGAGAATCCCAGTCAGGGCCGCTTCAAAGCAACGCAAAGCGTGACGTTTCAAGCGGCGTTTTTGTCCGTGACCAATATTGTTTTTGCTTATGCAGGCCATGTCGCATTTGTGAGTGCCGATCCTAGTGCTCGATCTTGGGCCATTCTACTGACCACAAAAACAGTTCTCGTTCATCTCCGAAATGAAGAAACCACAGGACTTCACCAAAGCCCTCATCCTGCTGCAGATCAGCGACACCAGCATGTACTTCATTGCGGCGCTCGTCATCTACGCGTATGGAGGTGACGACGTCGAAAGTCCAGCTCTCAGCTCCACCGCGCCAACAGTCGCCAAAGTTGCGTACGGCCTTGCTATCCCTACCATTATCATCGCCGGGGTCATCTACGGCCACGTTGCCGCGAAGTACATCTATGTGAGGATCTTCCGCGGCACCAAGCACATGGGCAAGCGCACCTGGCTAGCTGTCGGGAGCTGGGCCGGCATCACCCTCGCGCTGTGGACCGTCGCCTGGATCATCGCCGAATCAATCCCCGATTTCAATGATCTTCTCGCGCTCATCTCGTCGCTGTTTGCAGCTTGGTTCACGTACGGTATCAGCGGCATCTTCTGGCTGTTCCTGAATTGGGGTGGGTACACGAAGAACTCGAGGAAGATGAGCTTGACAGCCGTGAACATCGGGCTGACGCTCATGGGTTTCGGCATTTGTGGCATGGGTTTGTATGCCAGCGGTTATGCAATCCATAAGGAGAGCAAGGGCAGCAGCTGGAGCTGTACGGTTTCCGAGTGAGTGATGCTGGGGTCTGGGGGCTTCCGGTCTTGACCTCTCCACACGCGGCGGGACGTACCCAGGGAAGGGTGCGTGAGCGTGCGGCACGTCACATATCACGCACCGACGGCCTGCATCAGGCTCTAGTAAATCGATGTAATGAATCAGACCTCTATGGTGAAGCCGCAATCCCTGAGTGCCAGGGCATATGATACCTTTGCACATCCCAACGCCCACAATCAAATCGAAGCCGAGCATCATCCCCTCCTCACTGCCTCTCAGGGAAATCAACGGAAATGAAGTTCTTCTCAGTGCATTTTCCCGCCTCGCATTGAGCGGCAATCAGCAACATTGTATATTCCGACGTCACCATCGATGTCGACTATCGCAACAATACCGAACAGCAGTGGAAAAACGGGAGCCCACGCGAAACTCCCCGGAGGTGCAGACAGACAGACAGACCTGCGCACTCCGACCTCGGGGCTACTCTCCCAAAAGTCGATCCGAAGTACCGATAACCAGCAAGATCATCAACGGGCACTTCACACAGAAAAGACAAATAACGATGGAAACTTTATCGAAGGGGGAGGGTCTAGAATTGCGGGGAAGCGGGCAAGGGTAAGAAACTATTGCGGAGAAAGAAAAGAGACAGAAAGTGCTGTGGCGATGACGCGCCGGTTCGTTCGCGTGCGGTCCGGTCAGGTAGGGTCGAGTCGAGTTGAGTCGAGAGCGATGGATCGGGGCCATTGGGATGAGATGAGAGGTGATTTGAGATCATATATGTGATGATGGTTTTAGATAGAGATAACCTCCATTCAGATATCAATGCTGCGAGTGTCATTTCTTACTGTCCGAATTGTGTCTCCTGCTCTGCTGGGCAACAGTCATCAACATGGACTCCCTCTCCCGCACTCCCGATGTCATTACCTTCGACTACCAGTTTGCGCCCAATGCGCAAAAGGCTCGCAACCTGCTCAACGTCGCCGGCATTCCCTATTCGTGCTGCGAGCAGCCGTTTGTGCTCCCTCGCCCGATCCTGACTGATCTGGGCATCACCTACCGCCGCGTGCCCGTCAACGCTATTGGCAAGGACATCTACTGCGACAATCGACCGTTCCTGGAAGCCGTGCAGAAGATTTTTAAGGACAAGGCTCTGCCGACGAGTCCTGCGGACCATGCGTATGAGAGCTTCGGCTATCGCACGTTCTGGACGTGTCTTCAGCTGGTTCCGCTCGAGCTGATGTCCAAGCAGCTGGCGGAAGATCGCAAGAAGCTGTTTGCGGTCCTCACCAGAGATGATTATGGCGACATCAGGCAGAGTGCGCTGGGAGAGCTGAAGCAGTGGCTAGACATCGTTGAGTATGACTTCTTGAGCCACGGCCAACAGTTCATTGCAGGAGACAAGCCTGGTGCTGCCGATGTGCATGCGATCTGGATGTTAAAATGGGCAATAGAGACCGTAGGCTGCGGCAAAGAACCCGGATTTGCAAAGGAGGATTTCCCAAAGGCGTACAAATGGTTCGAAGGCTTTCCAAACCATACGCCCGAGAACGATGCACCAAAGCTGGATGCTAAAGATGCGCATCAGAAGGTCCTAGATGCGGAGTACGCGGCGGAGGACATCGGTGTTGATCCAAAAGATCCAACCGGCCTCAAGAAAGGTGCGACAGTGGTAGTCGAGACAAATGATGAGTAAGTTCCCCCTTTCCTTTCTGCAACATCTCCCGCTGATTGTCTTCAGCGCATCACCGGGCAATGCGCCGCAGCACGGTAAGCTGGTTGGACTGAACCACAGGGAGATCGTCGTCGAGCTGGATAATGGCATCCGTGTACATTTTCCAAGAATTGGCTATCGATTGCGGGAGGCGTGAGCGGCTTGCTGGATACCATCTCTTCTTCAGATGGGTTCTCTCTTCCAGCGAATATCGGTATGATAAGATAATGAGTTCTCTTCCGAGCCATCCTCTCAGTAGAAGCCAGGCGTAGTTGGAGCGGATTGTGGACGGTCGAGAGGTCTTGGATCGTGCAGTTCTTCGCTGTCCTCCTCATTGATCGGATCCGCATCCATCTCTTCCATCTGTCTTTTATGCCTTTCGGCTCTTCTTCTGGACCGGTTGTTCTGCCACAGCCTCTCTTCACTCTCGAGCTCTCGCAAGGCTGCCTCCCACTCTGCCTCTGCCTCTTCATTGCCAGTCCCAAGTGCTTTCTCGACATCAACTTCCTCACCACGCTCGAGCTTTTCTATGACCTCACGCAGCTGCCGTAGCTTAATGTCTGCCAGACGATGTTCTTCCGCTGCTTCTCGCTTGATGGTAAGGATGCGGATGGCTTGGGATCCGATCAGGAGGTAGATCCAGATGAAGTAGTAAGCTGGGTTACGCGTGTTCTGCGCGGGTTTTGACGAGCCGGGCCAGGACCGGAGCGGTTTTGGGATGATGTCTTTCCAGATGGACGGCTGCGCGAATCGAGGAACGTGTGATTTCTCTGCAATGGTGCTCTCGAGGCGCCGGAACACCGGCGGCAGTTTGCGAAGCCGCCCTGCTGGGGTTTGTGTCGATGGCAGCCACAGTCCCCGAAACATTGTTGCTTCCAACAACGTCAAAGTACGACTCGACGACATCGAGAGCGCCATATTGCCAGCGATAGCTCTCAAAGAGGCGTACTGATGGCATTCGATCATGTCTCGCACGTCTTACAGATCAACATTTCTTGCCATGCCGCCCGCACTAAGCCCAGTCTGGACTCATCAACGCGGGTGCATTTCCATTTTGAGGTGGTAAATAGTCGACGCCAACGCGTTGTGCGCGCATCTTTTGCGACTTCGTTGGACACGGAGAAAGATGCAGCGCTAGGCAAGACTACAATATTGATCAATCTTGGGCAATGACTACAGACTCACGTACAGCTGCTGAGCTGGTGAAGACTGTCCGATCAGACATCGCCTCTCCCCAGACTACCACTACTGAGACCTTGAACCTGCTCCGTGCAGTCCTTGGCCTAGACTTGCAACTCGCAGCCCCGACCAAGACAGCTCTTGCAGGAACAAAGGCACCGTCAATACGACCTCCTCCGAAGTCAAGGGCGAAGCCGGCTGCTAAAGCCACCAAGACAGCTACCACCGCGTCATTCATTATCCACGAAACTCCCACAGCACAACCTCATCCGCTGGAACTGAAGGAAAGGCGCAAGGTAGCGACGGAGACATTCAACACCACTCTTAAGACACTGAATAATGCAGCCAAATCCAAGAAGCAGGAGGAAGTCGCATCGCCTCAGAAGCCATTGTCAAAAGCCCGGGACGAGCTGCAGCCATTGAAAGAGTGCTTGCCAAATGGCAAGAAAAGCGCAGGTCGCACATTGAAAGCGCCACAGGAGCCTACACAAATTTCGACAACCGCAAAATGTGCCGGTGCAGCTCTAGACTGCCTACGGGAGCTCGTGGAGCCTGGGAAGGACCAGAGCTCAGTTGACGTCGGTCTAGAGAATGGGGGATTGGTGCTTCTGGACAAGTTGATCACGCTGGAACTGCAGCAAGAAGCTGAATACCAGTCTCGGAGACTATATGACCAGTACTGGAAGCAACGAGGTTCTTCCAAACCGACCCAGCCACACCCACCTCTCTTTTCTCGCCTGTGCATGTCCTCAGAGCATAGCGCATCGACTTTCAAGTTCTCTGCCTCCTTGCAAGGCCAATTACTGCGACTAGCTATTTTGCGAGGATCGACCTGTGTTGAAGAAAGCTACACTGCTGCTCTGTCGCCAGAATATGAGGGCAGTCCAGCCTGGATAATCTTACGAGGGTTGAAGCTTGGCTTTATAGATGACGAGGCTGCCGGAACCCAGCTTCGTACACTATCATTGACACTTGCTAAATTTCACGCGGTCGTGGTTGGTAAGAGTGCCAATGCTGCGTTGGAACTGGAACATCTGACATTGGCATCGACCGCCCTGGAGATCAAAGCAGTTTCTTGGAAACACCTTGGCCACCAACCTGAGTTTTCGAGAGAATTATGGATGCCGTTCACTAAACTCGTCAAGAACAGTATGAGCCGGGCCAAGGACCAAGCGCGCGCACAGGAAGCGGTCAAGCAATGCTTGACGAAACTACGTCTGACACTATCGCACCTCGGATTTGCCACAGATGTGCCTGCTGCTCTGCGACAGTTTTGTAGTGTGGACGAGCAAGTGTCCCAGGAAGCTGCTGACAACAACTGCCTGGAGAAGCGCCTGGGCAAGCTAAGTGCCGACGATTCGCAGAGACTCCTGCTCGGGCTGCAGTCATGTCTCGTTCGTACCCAGCAATGGACAAAACAAACTCTAGTCACTATCAACGCGGTCGATCAATGCACTGAGATAGTTTCCAGCTGTGAGACTACAGTCGATGACATCGACGATGCTCTGATTGCTATGGCACAGCTCCGAAAAGCTATCATGTCCATTGTCAGCGATGTTGGATCTCTACAGAAGGCGAAGGCTTCGAAGGATGCCCATCACGATCTCCAAATTGCTAGCATACGTCTCATCTATGCCCTGCTCTTCTACTCTTGCCGGTCAGACACAAGAGCATCTGAACGCATGCCAACAGCATCTTCTCGCAAGAAGAGCGGCACACTCCTCACCTATGCAAAAACGATGGAAACCATTTTTGAACTCGACAAGTATCCGATTACAAGAACTGTCGTTCTTGAAGATGAGACCCATCGGGCCCTCGACGAATGTGCTGCGTTCGCCGTCAGACTCAACAAGAGGCTTGAATGTTCTGATTCGAATGCAAGTTTAGGCAGTTTTCTCCGGTCTGTACCCGTCCGGGTTTCGCAAGCTTTCTGGTCTCGTTACTTGCTGTACACTGAGCAGAACCGACCGGTGTCTATCAAGCTTGATGCTCTGAATCGATCTATCTGTGCTGTATCGGCTTGCAATCACGAACAGCAAAAACAGGCAACAGTTGCTCTAAAGTATGAAAAAGTCGCCGCGCTTTATATCGAACAGAAGTTATTCTCGAAAGCCCTCCGGAGCTTGGAGCTATCAATTGAGGCGGCGATCAAGCAAGACGTCTTGAAAGAAGCAACCAACACCGGTCTATCAAATACTACCGGCCGCATATGTCGCGACCCAAAGTCTCCACTTCAGAGCTTTGCTCAGATCATCAATTCCTACGTGGCTCTGTCGGTCACGAACAACATCCCGAATGCACGCGGTACATGGTTCTACGACAATACCGACCTCGAGGGCATTCAGCGTGCTGTGCTTTTAGAGAAACAGATACTAGCGGCGCTCGACCATACTTCGGCGTTTTTGAAGCAAGACCAACTCACCTCCATGCTACAACTTTGGGAACAGCTCAGTTTCGAATCCAAATATCGAGTGTATCAATTGAGGTTCATCAGCCAGACACTGCACATTCTGGAGAAGACCAAGTCGTTTCCGGCGATGAACGTACTGGGGTCACTGCTGCCACTGCAAACTCCCAGCTTGACAGTCATCCCAAAGGATGCTCATGCTGCTACACTGGGTCCCCTGCTTATGGCTCTGGTTTCTGTTCAGTGGTGTTTTGCAACCGGAACCATGAACGAGGAGCATCTGATCTCGTCTGTTGGCTGTATTGGCAAGGCCGTATCAGACCAAGCCCACAGTCAGACACTAGATAGGGTTCCGGATCCTCAGATTCTTCTGGCCAATGTTAAAGCCCTGGCCGACTATGCAGGCGTTTTGGGAAACTCTGCCGCCCAGGTGGAAGCCAATCAGACTTGGATGCAGCTCCTCGAACAGCGCACAACTGTCGACTCGGAGAGAAAATTGGCATGCTTGCTGACTACAGCGGCGGCCAGTCTAGAGCTCCACCAGACAATTGATGCTGGGAAACGGCTAGTAGCTGCTGAGCAGCTTGTGAAAAGCGGATCACTGGAAGAAGTTCAATGGCAACTTGCTTATGCAGCATATCATTTAGCTATCGGCAACTTCAAGCGAAGCAAAGACCTCATTGTTAGCAGCCGCTGTTTGTTCGAAGCTGGTTCTTCTCTTGCATCTCCGCGAGACAGACTCGGCCGGGAGATAAGCCTCTGTCAAGCGGCATATCTCGCATCTCGCTTGGCTCTTGAGGAAGGGGACATCACGAATGCTAGCCGCCTCGCTCGACAAGCGGTCAAACTCAGCTCTGGGCTATGGTCGTCACTCGAAAGATCACTCTCGTCTTCTGCCAGTCCTGGCCTTGAGGGGAATGACAGCTCTCTCAACAACCTTACGCAGGATTTGGGCAATCTGAGTCTTGTGGAAACTCAGAATCCGCAAAGTCCAATCAACTTTCACGGAACCAAGTATTGGCCTGCGCTGAGTATGCATCGAACGCATCTGCGCCACGCCGCTAGCCTATCTGCTCACAACGGTCTATACCAGGATGCAGTGTTCTTCGCTCAGCAAGCCGCCAAAGTAACTGCTTGGACAGGTGGAGCTTCATTGAGACTTTGTGTAGGCTCAGAGCTTGCCCTGATCTATGCGAATGCCTCAGAAACACAATCAGCTCTGACGCTACTTGCTGTCGACACGCATGAACCTAATGTGCGTTATACCACTGTGAACTTTGCCGAAGCTTCTCTGCGAGTAGGCAATGTGGAGCGTGCAAAACTTGTCCTCGAGAGAATGCAAGAACACGACTCCGGGCAGAGCAGCAATGTCAAGGTGGCAGCGCGGAATAATCAGCCTCCCAAATCTACCGTAGCCAAACGAGGCAAGACAACAAGCAAGGTAGTTGGCAAAGGAGCTCAGAAAGTGTCGGCTATTCTCAACGAAACTCCTAAAGTGTCAACACTATCTGTCTGTCCCAATAACCGGCTGCTTCAAGCTAGAATGGCGGCTCTTACCGATGAAATGTACCTCCAAGGCGTGGTGGAGCGACCAAGTTCCCTTGCGGACACCGAAATAGCACGATGGACGCCCCTCGAAATACTCTCCAGAGCCACAGTGTCTGTCCACGACGCCATGAATCACTTCGCCTCAGACCCTGCAAACAATGCCATTGCTGAGACGGCGCTGGCGCTTCCCGTCAGATATAGGACGACTAGGAAAAGCGGACAGATGTCTCTCCTACTTGAGAGTCCAGCGAAGAGCACTGGACACACAAGAACGCCTTCAGATATTCCTGAAAATGGCGATACTCTCCTGCGGCAAGCATACGAATGGCTAAGGGCGGTCGAAGACAAGCCACTTTCAGCTTTGCCGTCCGCTCGTGTCGAGCAATTGCACAAAGTCTTATCTCAGGTGATATTGTTGTCGACTGCACTAAATCATCCGCTGAGCTATTCACCGCTCGGTGTTGTTTTGCAATCGTTGCGGTCCAGAGATGCAGCAATGCAGAGAGAGCGATGCGCGATACTTGCCGAAAGCAGAACGACCACACGTGAGCAAATTCAGACGTGGCCATCTGTGAGCGATACAGAGGTCTTCCAGCAGAACTATGACGAGCTCATGCATCAGCTACCGTCTTCATGGGCAATCATTTCAATTGGTCTCAGCTATGATCGCAAGGAACTGCTTCTTTCAAAAATCATTGCTGGCCGTACGCCATTCTTGATGCGGGTGCCCCTGGAGCGACCTGGCCTTGAAGGTGATGAGCCTTGCGAATTTACCCTGGATTATGCAAAAGATGAGCTCAGAGATATCATATCTAAAGCCAACGAAAGCTCCCACGATAGCAGAGGCCAGGGAGATAAGCAAGCCAGGAAAGCCTGGTACGGGGAACGCGAACACCTCGACAAGCGTCTCGAGCTCCTTCTCGCCAACATTGAAAATATCTGGCTTGGGGGTTTCAGGGGTTTACTGTCACCGAACTGTGCGGATGAAGCGCTCTTGGCTCGCTTTGGAGAATCATTGACCCAGGCTTTCGAAAACCATTTGCCATCTCGTCAGAAGAAAGCAAAGACCAAACGGAAGGTCGAGCTGCACGCCCATGTCCTCGAGTTGTTTACCTCGGTCGTCTTCGCCGAAGGAGATACCGACTTTGAAGATTCCGTGACCGACCTTCTCTATTTTGTTGTCGATATCCTGCAATTCAACGGGGAGCCCAATGCTTTTGACGAGATCGACTTTGACGCCCTCCTGCTGGACACGATTGATGCTCTTCGCGGATACCATGCCGCTAGCACCAGCTCTCCTGCCCGCCATGCAATTCTCATTGTCGACAAAGAACTACAATCATTCCCTTGGGAGTCCTTACCCTGCCTTCGCAAGTGGCCCGTATCGCGCATGCCCTCACTTGGGGCGATCAAGGAGCGGCTCGACCGAATACCTGCGCAGTCGCAAGCCTACACAGTTGCTCGATCCGGAAGTTACATTCTGAACCCTTCCAATGACCTTCCCAGTACTCAAGCCACCTTCTCGCCACTCCTGGAACAGCTCCCCTTCCAAGCTGTCGTCGGTGAGCCTCCATCCGAGCCCGATTTCGAGCGCCTCCTCTCTGAGTCACCATTGCTGCTCTACTTTGGCCACGGTTCTGGAACACAATACATCCGCGGACGCACGATCCGAAAGCTATCCCAATGTGCAGTAACATGGCTGATGGGCTGCTCCTCAGCCAAGCTGACAGAGTGTGGCATCTACGAGAGCTACGGTGTACCGTGGCACTACATGCACGGAGGGAGTCCCGCGGTCGTCGGAACGCTCTGGGACGTCACGGATCGTGATATCGACCGCTTCGCCGTCAAGGGCCTTGGGGAGTGGGGTCTGCTGGATGTCAGTGGCGTGGAGGACAAGTTCTGGGGGACGGGCAAGTCCAAGACTAAAGGCAAGGGCAAGGAGACCGCGAGGCAGAAGGCTGTAGAGGATGCGGAAGCGCAGAGAAGAGAGCCGGTGGCGCTGGATGAGGCGGTGGCAAAAGCGAGGGATGCTTGCTTGCTGAAGTACTTGAATGGCGCGGCGCCCGTCGTGTACGGGATACCCGTTGTGTTGGAGTAGTTTTGTGCTGGGTTTTACTGGGAAGCACTACTCTGGATAGAAGCTACTGCTTCGAGTCTGCACTTAAGAGGCATGAGTTCTGCAGCTCGCTAATTTGGTCATGATGATGGTTATGATGAAGACTTCTACATCCTAGAACCACACTAGATTTGACGGCGCGCGAATTCCTTTTTGTTGATCACGCGGACTTCGCTTCATTGGGTCCTTCCAAGAATGCTGACCGCTGTTGACATAGCGATCCTGAAAAACACTTCCATACGCCGTCGCAGCTTTGTCGACTTGCGAGACGAGTTTCACGGAATGTGACTTTGTACACGGTATACGGCATTCGGCCCGTTTAGAACATGTGATTTATACGATGATTCTGTAGCTCTAGCTCTACTTATAGCTCTAGGTCTAGCTCTATCAGCTCTAACATCCATCTCCGTCCCCGATACAGAGACCACTACAATCAGGCAACCACAATTCGACCCCGCCCGCAGATGCTTCTTTTTTGGCCGGGCCCCCAACTCAAGAACTCGCCTTCATGACGCCACACACGCTACAGGTCCACCACTCCAGCTCCATAAAGTTCCCACAGCCGTGGCACGTCCAACCCAGGGGCTTGGTGTCGCGCTTCGTCTGGCTCTGCTGCTCGAAGCGCTTCAGGTTGTCGTAGGCGTTGTGCCGTGGCGCGAATGCCGCGGGCCGCTCTCTGTCTCGGTCTCGGTCTCGGTGATTATCGGGATTGGAGGATCGTGATGTCGTGGGGTGGTGGTGGCTTCGAGGCGGTGGGAAGGGTGTGGCTGAGGGGATTTGGGCTGAGATGTGTGCAGGGCGTTCGACGGTGCAGGCGTCGCAGGTTAGATAGTTGATGGGGTTCACTAGCGTGCAAATCTCGCACGTCCAGGTGTCGGGTGCTGGTGGTGGAGACGGCTCCTTGGGTCTTGCTTTGGGCTGGGGAGGTGCTGAGGGCTGTGGTGGTGTTTGCGTCTGTTTGCGAATACCATCCTCGATCTCGCGCTGTCGTTGTAGAAGCTTGCCTGGGTGCTCTCTAGGTAGCGACTTGGAGCCTGCCGGGTTTTCCTGGCTGGAGGGAATGTAGAGGTCCCCTAGCTGATTCTGCTCATCCTCTTGGATCAGGTCGATGTACGCCTGCATCATGGTAGCCTCGTCTTCGTCTTCATGGTCAACAGTCGTCCGTGTGACATTTTTCTTGTTCACTTCCTCCCGTTCGAGTTGTCGTCCCTTGTCGGTGTTGCTGGCGCATCCTCGCTCGATTCTCTGCCGACGCTCCACAGCAGCTGCAATCACTGCGCGAGGATCCTGCCCGCGCATGATTCCGCTGCCTCCCAGTCGTTGCCCACTTCCTGCTTGGAGGGTCTTGCGCCGCTCTGCCGCTGCACGTGCCTTTCTTCGTGCCTCGTTGAGAGGCATACGACGGCCGCCAAGCCTATTGCCTTGGCCGAGGAAGCCTTCTCCAGTATAGCCTTTCATGACGAGAGCTTGGTGCTCATCTCTGAGTTTGTCCCAAAGTGCATGGAAGTGCTGGTCGTGTGGGCCGTGAACATTGTGAGCCAGCTCGTGAAGCATTGTGTCGACAACAGATTCGATTGGGAGGAACTGTGTTTCGTCGCCAGCATGCCGTAAGCGAAGGCATATTTTCTGTCCTTGGTTGATGTTGAGTCCGAGAAGGTTGTTCTCCGGGGGATAGAACTCGGCTAGAGTCCCTACTCTCCAATTCCGTTGTCTCATTAGTGGCTTGACTAGCGAGGCTATCTTTCGAAGAGCCTGCAAAGCCTCTGGCGCCCTTCGTTTGTCTGAGAGGTGCTCGAAGTTGTTGACGAGCGGTTCCAGCTCGGTCGATGCTTGGTGCGACATGCTGTCAACGGGCCGATTTGCAGTTATGAGTGGGACTCTGGAACGCAATGGTATAGAATGTTGCCACCACCTGGATCTCACATGCGATGGGTGGCAGAAATAGTTTTTTGGAAGACCATGGTCGCTGAATTTGTTTAGGAGACGGTTGCGGTCGACACAAAGCGAACCAAAGCCCCTTCCGAAGCGAGGGTGACCTGGAAGGTGCCAGAAAGGCAAGTTGCCTTGTTGAAGAAGACTAGGTAACCGCTGCTGACGCCTCATTTTCCCAGCCTTGCGCCCGATACTGCGCAGCCTCGTCGGCTTCGCTTAACCTTCCCACTGTAAATCACTGCCTGCAACGTCAGTCGTGTCCTGGCCACTGATTCAGACACCAGCGGCTTCCCAATGCCTTGTGGTCCAGTCATTGGGTAATGTATACAGGAAAGGCCACTTCAAAGATGACGAGTGACGACCAGCAGTTCTTGGACGTGGTATGCAAGCACTTGGCTCCTTCAACTGCACATTGCTGATATCTCCAGTTGGCGTCCGTTCCGCAAGACATCGCTGCCTATGGGTCCCGCTTGGCCGACTACATCGACCGCTATACCAACACAATCGCTTCCGATATTCGGGATGCGATAGACAACAGTACATGGATACCGGAAAAGATCAAGCCTCCTAAACCGCAAGGAGGCCAGTTCTTCGCCCGTGCCCCACCTGCGCCACAAGGTTACTACGAGCAGACCGTCACATGGTTCTCAAAGAATCGCACGGCGATTGCCATGGTTGTGGCATTTGTGGGCACGACAGCATATTTGGCCCATCGCTCCAAGAAAGCACACGCGCGCAAACGACGGGCGAAAAAGTTGGCGAATGGCGCAAAGAAAGAGATCGTCGTCCTAGCATGTTCAACTTTCCACGACCCTCTGACCCGGTCCTTAGCCCTTGATCTCGAACGCCGTGGCTATGTTGTCTACGTGACGGTCTCTTCGACTGAAGAAGACAGCCTCATTCAGCAAGAAGCAAAAGCCGATTTGCGCCCACTCTGGATGGACCTAACCTCGACCGTGCCAAACCCCACCGTCGACATACATCCCAATCTTGAGGCCATCCGTGACCTTCTCACCCAGCTTCCCAAGGAGACATCTGGCGGTCGCTCCTCTGGCGGGTCCAGCATGGGCAACATGACACTTGCGGGATTGGTCGTCTTTCCTGGCTGCAGCGGCTACCCTTCTGGCTCACTGCCGCTTCTCCCTCCCACCGAAGTCATCGACACCCTGAACACGCGTCTCCTGTCGCCTCTACTTTCCATCCAGCAGTTCCTCCCGCTCATCCTCAATCATTCCTCCGCCACATCCCCAGCCAGCATCATCCTCGCCTATCCTTCCATACCGGCGTCTCTATCCCCGCCCCGGCAAATCCCCGAATCAATCATCACTTCCTCCCTCTCCAGCCTCTCCACATCCCTCCGCCGTGAGCTCCGCACCCTCTCTCCGCACATCACTGTCCACGACCTCAAACTCGGCAACTTCGACCTCGGCAGCGACCCAGCCGGCAAGTCACCCGCCGTCACACCACGCCCAAGCGTACAAAGCAACTACCCCAACCTAGACCCCGCCCAATCCCAGCTCATCCACACACCCTGGCACAGCTCTCAACGCGCCGCTCTCACGCGCTCCACCCTGCAGCGCCCCAGCTTCATCAAGGGTTCCTCGGCGCGTGAGCTACACAACGCCGTCTTCGACGCCCTCGCCCCGCCCCAGTCCTTCCGTGCCTTCGGGCGCTGGGACTGGACGAGCCCGAAGACGGGCGGGACGGTCTTCGTGGGCAGCGGCGCCCGCGTCTACGACTTCGTTGGTCGCTGGGTGCCGGGCGGGCTGGTTGGCGCGGTCATGGCGTTCAGAGACCGGAGGAGCAGCCGCGGCGCTAGGGGGGTAGGAGAGTGGCGGGCGCCTAGTGAGGTGAGGAGGGAGCAGCAGTCTGTTTACGACAGTCGCATGAGTGCCAGTGCTACGGAGGGGGAGGGCATCGGGGAGAGCGCAGTCTGGGAAAAAGTATAGTCCCTTTCCCTTTCATGGGACTCGCGTGTGGGGGTGTGATACCGGCGATTCTCGCGACATTGGGGGGCTAACGACCATTATCTTTCCTTCTCGACTCTTTTCACAGCGGCGTGAATTCAATGCCAAAGTCTTCCAGCTTCTATATGCTATATTCTCTTCTTTCGAACTATGTCTCCCCTTCCCTGTTGTGATCCTGCTGTATTGCAAGCTAATGTATCTTTCATTGAGATGCGTCCTCCGACTTTCTTGAAGGTCGCCGACATATGTACATGTCCTCCTACATGAAAACTGCAGCAGCCACCTTCTCAACCCGTCTCATCTCCAGCCCGACTCCTCCATCCTCCTGGACACCTGCACCTCCATCTCACCACTTCCCCGTGCGCCACCACCGCTTCCACCCCCGCTCCCCCTCACGCACAACAGCATCGTCTCCCTTCCTCACCTCATCCGCCAAATTATGCCTCTCGCTCAAGCGATAATCCTTGACCCACCAGACACAAATCACCGGGATGGCACTGGCCACCAGCGCCACGAGCGTCATGTACCGCAGCACATCACTGTACGCATTATTCACGGCCACAACCTCCTCGGGCGAAAACACATCCTCGGAGGCCGCGATCGTGTTGTACACGGCATCGACCTGCGCGGAGGCGAGATTCGGCGCGTGGCGCGCGATGCGGTCGCGGAACAGGCCCGTGTAGATGGCGCCGGCGACGGCGGAGCCCAGGGCGTTGCCCAGGTAGATGAACTGGAGCATGAGGGCGGTGCTCTGTGCGAGTTCGGCGCGGACGACGACGATCTGCGCGACGACGAGCACGATGGTGAGGATGATGCCAGACCCAAAGCCCTGCAGGAGCTGGACGGCGAAAAGCTCGGCGGTGGAGTTGGCGCTGCCGCGGAGGCGCAGCATGGCGCCGTAGCCGACGAGGCGGACGCAGACGCCGGTGACGAGCAGCCACTTGTAGCGGCGGGTGCGGTACATGAGGAGGCCGCAGAGGGCGCCGGAGAGGACTTGCATGCAGCCGGCGGTGAAGGTGAGGAAGGTGGCGTTGCGGGGGCTGTAGTCGTGCACGACGACGACCCAGGCGTACATGTAGGTGTGGGTGGCGGAGAAGGCGAAGGAGTCGGTGGTGCCGATGACCCAGGCGAGGACGAGGGTGGTGTTGCGGAGGAAGCGGAGGGGGAGGACGGGGTGGGCGGCGACTTTGCCTTCGTAGTAGAGGAGGGCGCTGAGCATGATGATGCCGACGGCGATGAGGGTGGGGATCCAGGGCGTGCTCCAGCGGGAAGGGGCATTGCCGGCCAGGGAAAGGGGGAGGAGGACACAGGCGAAGCCGCCGGCGAGGAGGACGACGCCGATGATGTCGATGTGGGAGAAGAAGGAGCGGACGTTGAGGCTGGGTCGTGCTGGGGCGCCGAGGCGAGCCATGCGTCGTTGGAAGAGGGCCAACGGGACGATGACTGCGCTGGCGCACGCGGGGAGGATGAGGGCGAACATGCCAATGCCCCATCTCCAACCGACGGTGACAAGTGCCGAGTCGACTATGAAGGCCGCGATCCAGGGTATGATCATGAAAGGGAGGTTGATCAAGCCGTTCGCAAGGCCACGGGTGCGGGAGTTGGTGATGTCGGCGACGATGATCTGGTTGAGGATCTGCATGCCAGTCTGGCCGACGCAGTAGATGATGTAGCTGGCCGAGTATTGATCGAAGGCATGAGAAGAGGAAGCCAGGATGTAGCTAAGGATGTATAGGATCACGGTAATGGCATAGGCTGTGGACGTTAGTGAATGTTTGGATCCATACGGGCAACTCCTACTCTCGGCTCTCCCAATGACATCAGAAAGCTTTGCAATGGGTGGCTTGAGTACAGCAGACAAGATGGTGCCAGCTGTGGTCAGCGTGCCCAGGTAGGATATGGACTCGAACTCGGAGGTGGCATAGTTCTGGTCTGAGGCGCATGATCAGCGAGTGCGAAAAAGTTTGCGCAAATATGTCACTCACAGTTGTACACGGTAGTGTTATCGAGCTCAAAGATGGTCCACATCAAGGCCATTCTGGGTACAAGTCAGTATGGCCAGAGGGTGCATGGCACAGGAAGCACTCACCCGATCCAGATGAAGACCTTGGTTTCCCGGCCCCAAGCTTGGTCTCGGAGGTGGTCCTGCTCTCCCTCGCTCTCTGTAGAGGGGCGATCATCCACATCGAAAGTCGCTGTGCCACCTTTGTCATGAGTCTGTGTAGTGTTGGCGGCGGCTGGCTGCTCAGTTGGCAATGCTGCTTTGCTATCCCCCATTATTCAATGCGACAGGCAGGAGCTGCCAGCTAGAAAGGAAATGTGAAGAAGATCAGAAGCAATTGAATGTGACTAGTACGAAGAGAGCGAGCTCCAAGGCCAGCAAAATCTTGGGGTAGCTCGCAGCGAAGCACTCCATCATAAGTAGCGGAAGGCAGACCGAGAGGCCAGACTCACAGTGGAAGAGCCCCTGAGCTCTGACAGACGTCCCATGGCGCCGTGGCTCGGATCGGCACACCAGAGTGCCAGCAGGACATGAGCCGATCACAATTCCATGGGGTAATATCGTGATCAAAGCGAGGCTTAAGCGTCCGAAGTTGTCGAAGGATCCAATCGCGGAGCCAGCTCAACGACGAGGTTCGCTAAGAAGGTGGGATAAGATTAGATGCTAAGCGAATCAGATATGATAAGATGAAAACTTTTTCGCCGCTTGTCCGCCCTTATGCCTGCAATGACAAGGACTTAGCTAGTGAGCCAAGTGAGTCTCTGAGGGGAAAGCTCATAGCTGATGCTTAGTCTTGGTGAGGGGACGTGATACCCGCTGCCCCAGCCACTCTCGGCATCTTCAGCTGGCCTCGCAAACACAGTACAGTAGAGCGGAAACATGTTCAAAAGAAGTGTCTCATTGATGAGCATTATATCCCAGCAATCAGGTAGGTATCATATCGTTGCCTCGTCGCTTCACGGCATCATAAAGCCCAAGTTCTCCCGGTTGTCGTCCGTCAATCGTCCCCATTCAAGCAACAGGCGGAAGAAGTACACCTCCATATCTTCCTTCCTCAAAACCTTGTTGGCCCACGCGCGTCCCTCTTCCGCAATGAACTCAGCTTCTCGTTCATGTCCGGCCCACTTGATCCTCCTACCACTCGGAAGGGTACCGTCAACCCCTGCAAAGTAGGCCAAAGTACTCCAGACGCCGTGCAGTCGCAGATCTTGCGGGACAAAATGTCGCCAGGCTGTGATCCGGCTATCATACCACTCTCGAAATAAGGCACTCTTGAAAGGAAGTGATCCAGACTGCAGGAAAGGTAGGAAGCGCCCCGAAAATCCCGCTCCATCTAGGTCGAAAAGATACTTGTACATCCAGTGCGCCTGGAAGTCCGAAGGCGGCACTGGTACGAACTCATCTTCCTGATTCGTGCAGTCAAACATGCCCTCGCCACCGCAGCGCACGATATGGTCCACCACGTGAACATCAGCGCTGAGACCCAAGTCACGAACCTTGTCGCCCGCCACTTTAGTGTATTCCCACTTGCCTTGATAACGTGGGTGAGGAAGGAGGATCAATGTGTCATCGTGAGGGTGGCTGGTCGCATTGTTCATCAGATGGATCAGGCGCTGTCGAGTCATGCCGCGCCATTGTCCACCGCCTCCGGATACACCCTCAGAAGTTGCACCTCTCCAGAATAGCGTATTGTCCTTCTCACGGAACGGAGGATCCGGATGCGCAGGCCGATAATCTTCCTCACCCAGCTGGCCATGTTGCTCCGAGGGCTCGTACTTGACTTTGTCCATGTAGTTCCACGCCGACGGATAGAGTATGTCATTGAAACCATGGGGCTTGGACTGGGAGAAGACAGGCTTGAGGGCATAAGCCGGCTTGAACGCTGCTGGTGACATATAGAATCCATGCAGGTGCGCCATATCTGGTTGATGGCAGATGTCGCCAGCGAGGGACCAGTTCGAGACGAACTGCCCAAGCGAGTGAGGCGAGGCGCAAGAGGTACACAGTGTCGACTTGGACTTGCTCAGGGCAGCATCTTTTCGGGCGGCTGAATTCGGGTCACAGCCCACGGAGCCAAAGTCTCGGAAAATCTGCTGAAAAGATGCGGCGCGGAAGTTGTGATCCGGGAAGTCTGTGGACTCCAATGGCCATCCCGCAGCTCGATCCGACGAGAAGGGCAGCGTCCCTGTCTGCGCTGCCATTGCTCCTTGCCTCCGAAACTCTTCCAAATCGGCGTACGGAGCTGAAACACGGGACTCATCATTGATATTGAAAACCAGATCCATATCGGGCAGGTGTACAGCAAAACTGTTGATGAGAGCTGCTACGCCCTCTAGCATCCACCGATGCGTCGGGATGACGTTGTCCTGGACCATGGCTGTCCCGTTGCGAATCGTAATACCCGAGGCTTCATTCCACTGGTTCGAAGCTATTTCCCACGTCAGACGACGCAAGTCTGCAGGACTGATGGTGTAGAAGGGTAACAAGTCGTTGTGAATTTGGTCGTACTCGTCGATGATCAGGGACGATCGATTCGTGGCAAATTCCCACCAGACGTCGAATTTCGGTGGCGGGTTTCGATGGTATCTGTTTCGGTAGTTGCCGACGGCTTCTGCCAGTGTGCCGCGGGGTGAGGTCAGGTTCAAGTATGCCTCATGTTGCAGATTAGCCTCGTAGATCAGAAGGTCAATGGGATGATAGTGTATCATCGTGTGCTTGAACCATGCCGGAACAAGCAGAGCCAACCCAAGAATGAAAAGGGCCTGAGAACGTCTGGGCCCTACCTGTGCTTCAGACTGTCCTGAGACGCGCGCTATTCTCCTATAAGTCCACCAACCAGTATAGACGCACAGAAATGTCCACGTTGGGAGCGCTTTAGAGAAGGGCGGGAAAGGGTTTGTTGCCGACCACGTCAAAAGCAGGCTCGGAAGCATCACTAGCACCGCGATCAAGGTGAGAGCCATCTCAAGAACACCATGCACCAGAACCTGTGTCCGTTAGCTTACATTTCTCAAGTGATGGTTTCCTTACGCTGTGCAAAGTCGATATGTAAAAGACCGAAAACACCAACGCTTGCACCATGATTGAAAAAACCATGGTGAAAATCGGTACATCCCATAACACCACGTAGTACCGATCCCGATGCACCGCCCAGTAGACGCCAACGCCTATCGCGGACCAGACCACAGCCGTGCCAGCCATGACTGAGCTCCATAGCACCACACTTCGTCTTGGTGAAAGGCCATTTCCGTCACGCCTCGGGAGCTGCTCCCACAAGATGATAACAAGCAGAAAGTCCAGAGCCAGACCAGCGATCTGCGCTGCTGGCACAGACTGTTGCTCCCCAGTCACGATGGGACAAATGAAGGTCGAATTCACGCCCGCCCAGAGCTTGAGGAGCGAGTGACAACCTAAGCAGAACAACATGACTGGTGGAATGTACCGCCATCGTGAGTGGAGAAACTGGCCTCCACGACCGTTAACGATAGAGCCGTAGATAGTCGTTTGGACCTTCTCGACGGGTTCAGTGTAACCATTCTTTTGAAAGCGCAGGCTGTCGTAGAGCGCTAGTAGCAAAGGCAACCATATCTCGACCGTGGGTATAGTGCACTCGGTGGCCTTTGCTATTCTTCGATACGTCTCAATGCGCAGCGAGAGTAGCGTTGTGGCGATCGCGACGACAGTCACTCGAACACGGCCACTTTGAGCGGGGGTTCGGTCCTCGGGTATGGGAAGGTCATCGTGGTCTGAAGCGGAACGAGGTAGCAAAGCATATGACGGCGCCGAGGGTCGTGAACGGGTCGAGTTGAAGAGGTTGTTCGGTAGGGTCTTGCTTGCGCTGACCAGTAGACAGGCGCACGTTGCGAGTGCTGTGACGGCGCAATGTATGGGCCTCTGGTATGCAACAACATGGTCTGTAGAATACGAGACCGCGACTGCGCTGAATATTGACAGCCAGTAGCAGGCCCCATCAAGCCGTGTCATCGCTGCCGGTGCGCTGTGTGACTTTGCAGGGATGGCATTTCAAAGCGGCGCGCAGATAAGAAGCGGTCGGTCGCAGTGTCAACGGGGCGTCAAGGTGAGGTGAAGGATGCTCATAGCGACATTGGCTTTGGACATGAAATTGTCGCTCCTTCGTAGCCGAGAGCTGAGCAACTTACAGCGTTCCTGGCGCGGTGTAGTGCTGGTCTTGCGCTCTCTCCAAGCTCCGAGATACAACTTCATTTCACGCTTAGATACTCCACTTTTCTAGATTCGATATGCTCCACTCTACCCGCGCCTGATCTCTTGGCATCGTGTCGGCACTGTGCCGAGGCCTACATCGTCGGGCTAACTCGATACCCGCTGCTGTACTGGTAGACACCGCTCGCCAACAGTTATACAAGGCCGAAGTCGCCAGATATTGGAGCACTCGTCTGACCGAGTTGATGTATCTTACGACCATCCTGCGGTCTTGGAGTAGGACCCGTGCTTGGTCGTTGGTTTGACCTTGCTAGAACCTCTATACATTGAACTGGTCTGCTTTCAACGCTATGGCGGGGCGGAGGCTGTCGTCTGTGCTCTCACAGATGCTGCCGAGCACTACGGCAGTGGACTCAATGTACGTACGACCATAAAACTTCAACAACGTCTACCAAATATAGATAGTACAACGCTGCTAATATATACATGACAGCACTCAGCAATTACCAGACGATGTCGTGATTACGCTCGCCGTCCGAACGCCGATGTGCAAAGCTGGCCGTGGTGGATTGAAGGACACCACTCTTGACACCCTAGTGTTCAAGATTCTCGAGCAGGTCCGCATCAGATCCAACGTTGAGCCAGCCCTGGTAGAGGACATCTGCCTTGGCAATGTCCGCGACGGGAAAGCCTCCTACTATGCACGTGCTGCATCGTTGGCTGCAGGGTTCCCAAACACGACTTGCGCATCCAGTGTCTCGCGATTCTGCTCATCAGGACTGACAGCCACTCAATTCATTGCCAACGAGATCCGCAACGGTGTGATCAGTGTGGGTGTCGCTGTAGGTGCCGAATCGCTTAGCGAAGGCAACGAGAGACTGAGTCGGCCTTTCGCTGATGAGCTCCTTGAGAGCGCCGAAGCAAGAGACTGCTTACTTCCGATGGGTGCTACTTCCGAGAACGTGGCGAAAGACTTCCATATTTCACGGGAGAGACAGGACGAGTATGCTGTCGAATCCTACAAGAGAGCCGAAATCGCACAGGGTGCTGGATGGTTTCAGGATGAAATTGTTCCACTCACGGTGAAGAAAGACGGCAACGAGATTGTCATTGACAAAGATGAGATTCGTCTCGGTACAACATACGAAGCAATCAGCAAGTTGAAACCAAGCTTTGGCGAGTACGGAAATACGACTCACGCGGGCAATGCGAGTCAGATCACAGACGGTAGGCTTCCCGGCAAGGTCCGAGGCAAGGAGCTCAGAAGCTCACTCATTTCCAGGTGCGGCGGCGTTGTTGCTCATGAGGCGGTCCAAAGCGCTCGAGCTCAAGCAGCCCATCCTCGCAAAATATGTCGATACTGCAATGGCCGGCCTCCCGCCGCGGATCATGGGTATCGGTCCCGTGTTTGCCATCCCCAAGCTGCTGGCCCGTTATGGTCTCTCATTAGAGCATGACATTGATGTCGTCGAGATTAACGAAGCATGTGCGTCAGTCTCCCATGACATAGAAGCAGATGTGCTGACCAAGCAGTCGCGTCCATGGCCGTCTACTGCCGGGATCATCTGAAAATAGATTGGACAAAGATGAATCCTCGTGGCGGAGCCATAGCCCTCGGGCACCCTTTTGGCTGCACCGGCATTCGACAAATCGTCACAGGGATAAGCGAGTGCAAACGCAGGAAGGCTCGGGTGTTACTGACAAGCATGTGCCTGGGGACAGGCATGGGTCTAGCGGGACTGTTCGTCGTTGAATCCTAGTACTCTATCTTACAGCTTGACCTCATTCTTGCTGGCCTTCTGGCGAAGCTCTTTCCGCAGGATTTTACCTGAAGCGCTCTTCGGTATCTCATCCAGGAACACCACTCCACCGCGAAGGCGTTTGTGACTGGAAACCTTAACTTTCACAAAGTCAGCCACCTGCTCGGCGGTGATGGGCAGGTGCTCTGTGGTCGTTGGCTGACGAACGACATAAGCTCGTGGGAGCTCTGTTTGCTGATTTTCATTCCAGATCCCTATGACCGCGGCGTCTGCTATCCGGGGATGTGACGTGAGGAGGCCCTCAAGCTCCGCGGGAGCGACCTGCGCGCCTTTGTATTTGATGAGTTCCTTCTTGCGGTCGATGATCTGGACCAGCCCATCTTCGATGATACCAATGTCTCCAGTACGATAGAAACCGTTGGTGAACGTCTCTTGATCAGCATCTGGTCTGTTGTGATATCCTTGGGCCAGAATGGGTCCGCCAACCAGCAATTCGCCGGGCTGACCCTCCTCAACGTCACGATCATCCTCGTCAACCACTCTCAACGAGACATTCGGACAAGGGCTTCCGACACTCCACTTGCCACTCTCAGAGTAAAGTTGCCATTCCTGAGCTGTAATTACGCCAGCACATTCAGTTGCGCCCCAGGTCTGCGACAGATACGCGTGCCCCCGGCCCAACTTCTTCTGGACCTCCTTCAGCATGTCCAATCCAACCGGCGCAGAGCCCGTCACCGCGACTTGTAATGCATCAAAATGGTCTGTGACTGCATCGCTCTTTGCGATCCGTAGCCAAATGGGCGGGACGGTGAATTGATAATGTGGACGATACCGTCGATGGTATCCCAGAAACAGGTCGAAGTCGAACTTCTCCATCCAGTAGGTAGTACCACCCATGTAAAACGGATTTGTTGCATACAGGCTGATCCCAGCAATGTTGGCCATAGGAAGGTGGGCGATTGTGTCGAAGGAGAAATGGGTTCCCCGTCTGGCTTGGCCAATCTTATACCGCCGGGCGGGAACCATGGTGCAAACATTGTTGGCAACCAGGCTTCGATGTGAGATACGCACGCCTTTTGGTAGCCCGGTCGTCCCGGAAGAGTAAAGCAAACATATTGTGGTCTGCTCCAGCACTCGTGGATCCGTCAGTCGAGGCCAGTCCAGCTCTTCGGAGCCGAGAAGGTCCAGGCCAGTAGCAGCAGATAAAAGTCGCCAATTTCTGCTGTCCAGGATAAGAAGTCGGTTCTTTGAGATACCACAAACGTCCGCGGCTTCTATGGCCTGTGTCTGACATTCGGGAGAGCAGACCAACAGACTGGTTCCTGAATCCTTGATCTGACGAACCAAATCTGAGACCTTGTAGTCGGTACCTGCACCACAGAAGATCCCTCCAGCAGCAACGAGGCCGTAGAAAAAGACAGGTGCAAAAGGACTTCCGTTGACGATGGTCAGAACGCGGTCTTTGCCCACACCAGATGTCCCAATGCCATAGTGATGACGAAGGACATGGGCAACACGTTTCGTCAATGTCCTTGCTTGAGCCTTGGTCACATAGCTGGCGGGATTTGCGGCGTCAACATGTATTCTCGTATCCTCCCGGGCCAAACAAAGCCCATGCTCGAAAAGTAGCGTCAGGATATCGACATCAGGGATGGCCTCGTCCCTCGGCGCCTTGTACACTTTCATCGTAGCTGCTTACTGGACGGGGCCTGCGCTCTCGTCCTATTCCCACGGAGGAAGCTTTTGATGGCCATTGTCCTGGTATCTGGTTGATATATCCAAGCCTCTGCACAAGTTCCCAGTGGAGCTTCTGCTTCGGCCCTCGGAATACTCGTGCTCGTAGACTGACGACCCCAAGAGGTGCGGGGAGTCGACGGAAACTGTCGATATTGGACTAAGCCTCTATTGGAATAGCAGCTTGGCAAAATTCACTGCCTCTGATTGAGAACTTCGGTCTCCAAAAGTTTTTTGGGATCTCCGCAACTCGTTCTCACCAGCGCCGCGCTCGTGAACAAATTGACCACCAATGCCCATACAACGGTAGCGCATCTTCCTGGGACGCACTTACTAAGAAAACGTCGTGATGCCTCGAAAGGCGATCGACTCGCGCATTCCCGCGCTTATTCGCAATGGCATTCAAGAGAAGAAGCGCAGTTTCATCGTCGTGGTCGGCGACCGCGCCAAAGATGTCATTGTCCACCTCCACTACATTATGGCGAGTGTGGACGTCAAGCAGAACAAGTCGGTGTTGTGGGCATACAAGAAAGACCTACTGGGCTTCACAAGTCATAGGAAAAAGCGTGAAGCAAAGATCAAGAAAGAAGTTAAAAGAGGTATTCGAGACCCCAATACTGAGGACCCGTTCGAAGTCTTCGTGACTCTCAACAACATCCGCTACGTTTACTACAAGGAGACGGAGAAGATCCTGGGAAACACCTATGGTATGTGTATTCTACAGGACTTCGAAGCCCTGACGCCGAACCTGCTCGCGCGGACCGTCGAGACAGTGGAAGGAGGTGGACTGGTGTTGCTCTTGTTGAAGGGCATGAAGAGTTTGAAGCAACTTTATACAATGTCCATGGACGTGCACTCTCGATACCGGACAGAAGCCCACGACGACGTGGTGGCCAGATTCAACGAGCGGTTTATCCTGTCACTCGGGAGTTGCGAGTCGTGCCTGGTGGTCGACGATGAGCTAAATGTCTTACCCATATCAGGCGGCAAAAATGTCCAGCCTCTCCCTCCGGCAGTGTCTGAAAGTGAAGATGCGCAGCCACGGAAAAAGGAGCTCAAAGAAATCAAGGAGGGTCTCGCAGACACGAAGCCCGTCGGCAACCTAATACAGTTGGCTCGGACGGTAGACCAAGCGAAGGCTCTCCTCACATTTGTTGATGCCATCTCAGAAAAGACGCTACGGAGCACAGTCACGTTGACTGCGGCCCGAGGACGTGGAAAGTCTGCCGCGTTGGGCGTGGCTGTCGCTGCGGCCATTGCCCATGGCTACAGTAATATCTTTGTGACGTCTCCGAGTCCTGAGAACCTCAAGACATTCTTTGATTTCGTCATCAAGGGCTTTGACGCTCTCGAGTACATGGACCACACTGACTACACTCTACTGCAATCCACAAATCCCGAATACAATAAAGCCATTGTACGGATAAACGTGCATCGGCAACACCGGCAAACTATCCAATACATTCAACCTCAGGACGCCCACGTACTTGGTCAAGCAGAGCTTGTCGTCATCGATGAGGCGGCTGCTATTCCTTTACCACTAGTCAGGAAGCTAATGGGGCCGTACCTCGTCTTTATGGCATCCACAATCAATGGTTACGAGGGCACAGGCCGTTCTCTGTCACTGAAGCTCATCCAACAACTCCGCGAACAATCCCGCGGCGGAGCAAGGTTGAATGGCGACGACACGGAGATCGCAGATAAATCGACTGGAAAGACCTCCAAAGAAGAAAAAGTCTACACTGGAGGGCGTTCATTACGCGAGATAACCTTGTCCGAACCCATTCGATATGCGCCAGGCGATGGCGTCGAGAAGTGGCTCAATCGCGTGCTATGTCTGGACGCCACTTTGCCCAAGGCAAAGATGAATACCCAGGGCACACCACATCCGTCGACGTGCGAACTAGTACATGTCAATCGCGACACACTGTTCTCTTTCCACCCAGTTTCCGAAAAGTTCCTCCAGCAAATGATGGCTCTATACGTGGCGTCCCACTACAAAAATTCCCCAAACGACTTGCAATTAATGTCTGATGCTCCAGCTCATCAACTCTTTGTCCTCATTCCACCAATCAAAGAAGACGCAACAGCGCTACCAGAACCGCTCTGCGTCATTCAGGTCGCTCTGGAAGGCCGCATCAGCCGGCAATCGGTGCTCAACAGCTTGTCGCGAGGTCAACGAGCCGGTGGTGACCTAATTCCATGGCTGGTCAGTCAACAGTTCCAAGACTCAGAGTTTGCCAGCTTGTCAGGTAGCAGAGTCGTTCGCATAGCAACAAACCCGGAATATCTGAATATGGGATATGGCTCTCGGGCTCTCCAACTGCTCACGGATTTCTACGAGGGTAAGTTTACCTCTCTCGCCGAACCATCTGCGACCATCGAGAACATCGAGCACATGCCCCGCGTATCAGACGCGGAGCTCGAGGATTCTAATCTTCTTGACGACAACGTTCACGTTCGCAACATCAATAGCATGCCACCTCTCTTCAGCAAGCTCTCTGAACGGACACCAGACCAACTGGACTACCTCGGCGTTTCCTTCGGACTGACGCAAGCGCTACACAAGTTCTGGAAACGTGCCACTTTCGCCCCTCTCTATCTCCGACAGACGGCCAACGACCTGACAGGTGAGCACACTTGCGTGATGCTTCGGCCTCTCTCAAGCACTACCACAACCGACTCGTCCTGGCTGTCGGCATACGCCTTGGACTTCCACAAGCGCTTCCTCACCTTACTCTCCTACCAGTTCCGCACCTTCGCCTCCGTGCAGGCACTCTCAATATCGGAATCGGCACTCGCACCCTCAAAATCCAGCTCCAGCATCTCATCTAGCCCCCTCACCCCAGCCGAGCTAGCAGCGACTTTCTCGCCCTTCGACCTCGCCCGCCTCGACTCCTACGCCAACAACATGCTCGACTACCACGTCATCCTCGACCTCCTCCCTCCTATCGCGTCCCTGTTCTTCACCTCCCGCCTACCAATGGTCGCCCTGTCAGGCGTCCAGCAATCCATCTTGCTCTCCGTGGGTCTGCAGCGTAAAGACCTGAACGACGTGGAGAAGGAGCTCGGCGTGCAATCCAGCCAGCTGCTCGCGATCTTCGTGAAGGTGATGCGCAAAATCAGCGTGGCCTTTTCTGCCCTGCAGAAGGAGGGTGTCAGCGAGGGACTGCCCGGCAAGGCAACGGATCTGCTACGTGGAGATGCGAATGGCGGGGACGCAGCAAACGTCGATGTGGCCGCCCACCGCGTGTCCGAGAAGGTAGTGCCAGGCGCCGACGCCGACGAGGTAAGAAATCCGCCCTATGTTCGACAAGTCATCGTTCTAGACTCTCTTGTCCAGCCAGACATTATGCAACCCCTTCCCCACCCAAGTTCCATCCCTGCTGACAAACCTTCCCCTCCAGGACGAAGCCACCACATCCCTGCGAGCACAACAACGCGCCCTAATCGACGCTCTACCACTCGACAAATACGACCTGAACGGCTCCGGTGGCAAGGCAGCCGATGTGGAAGACGACGAGGCCTGGGCGGCCGCAGAGCGATCTGCTTCTGCTTCGACCAAGGAGAATGGCCTGAAGCGCAAGCGGGACAAGAAGGACAAGGACGGCGGGGTCGGTAGTAAGGAGCACCGAAAAGAGCATCGGCGACATGGGGAGAAGAAGGCGAAGAAGCAGAAAGGATAGATGAGTAGCTGGGTAGGAAAAACTTTAGCATTCATCTTCCCACACACATGCATGTCGTTCAATACGACGCGCAGCCGCTGCTCACCACTGCTGCCTAGCCTGATTTGCAAGCAGCACAAACCCGTTCCTATTGTCCTTCATCAGCCGCCCGTGCCCGCCTCGCCTTTCCAAACCCCCATCTCCCGCCTGCTGGCGTCCCACCTATGCACGGGCCCCTCGCCCACATTGTAGCGGTAATAGTTCTCCGTCCCACCCACGACCCGCGCACGGCGGAAAGTGATGTTGATCCGGCCGCGCTCGGCCTCGGCGCCCTTGCCGGTCCGCTTCGGGATGCTGTGCAGCCAGTTGCTCTGCGTCTCGCCGCGCATGAGCACCATGTCGCCGGAGCCCAGCGGCATCTTGATGGGGCGCGTTGTGGGCGTTGCTGCTGCTGCTGCTGCTGCTGCTGCTGCTGTGTCCCCTGCAGACGCCTGTGCTCCTTCCTTGGCGGGCGGAGGGGGAGGAGGAGGAGGCTTATGCTTCATGAGGAAATCGCGGCGGGCGCCGAGGCTGAAGGAGGCGATGGCCGGGTTGAGGCCCAGGAAGCGCTCGTCGTCGCTGTGGAAGGAGATGCTGTCCGTGCCGGAGGCGTAGTAGTTAACGAGACAGAAGTTGTATTGCGTGTCGGTGGCGGCTTCGGTGACGCGGCGGAGAAGGTCCAGGCATTCGGGGATGGGCCGGGGACGGCATTTGTACTTGTCGCGGGCGATGGGGCGGGGGTCGGCGTTGTTGTTGTTGGTGGCGGGGCTTGCTTCGATGAGGGTGCCGGTGGGGGTGAAGAGGGAGGTGTCATCGACGCCGAAGACGGTGGTCCAGCGGGGGGTATTGATGACGGTTTCTTTGCCGAAGCGCGATATCGTGTAGATGACGCGGTAGAAGGGGAGTTGGGAGCGGAGGAAGTGGAAGTATGTGGTGGAGCACGGGCGTGGGATGAAGGGCTGGAAGTACAGGAGGTCGAGGTGTGGTTGGTCGGTCATGGACTTGCCTTCTGCTGTGACAAGCATTTCAAACTCCGAGGTGACTTCTGGGGGCAGGTTGGGAATGGGGAAGGGATATGTTGGGTGAGAGGAGTTGGTAGTTGGAGTCAACGGCACGCTCGGTTCATCCAACTTTGGCTTCTTGCCCTTGGGGGCAAAGAAGCCGTCGAGTGTGCGCTTGGACATGGCTGTTGTCCAGATGGAGAAGAGTGTAAGGCAACGAGGCGGCCTCAGCGGCCTCAGCGGCGACTTTGGGCAGATTGGTCTACGTCATCACTCACAACGCGTCGCACTCTACGCGTGTTCTGAGAAGCAAGATTCGTCCTTGAGCCAGCCTTTGCAGATACAGGATGAAGTTCAGCTAAGGGTTATCCGAGGCGAGGGCAGGACTAGTTCAAGGGGCGGGCTTGAGTCGGAGGTGAGAAGCTATGGGTCAGCGCGTGCCGCTGCCTGTGGGATTTAAACGTTGAATTCATGCCGATGCAGTTTCAATCAACTGGGCTAGAATTCGTGGAAGAGCCTTGCGAGCCCTGTTGCCTGTAGGCTCTGCAGCAATGGCATCTCCATGAGCGACTGATGTTTCGGTAGTACATCAATTCTTCACATGTCCTGGAGGCCCCGGTGTTGATTGCAACTGCATCTGCTTGAGTCATTCGTACCTGCATCCTCTTGGATCCTGACTCACAACGACCATCACATTTTCGATCCACAGCCCTGACGTTCCTAACAATATGGCGTAGACGACACGCAAATACCTAGGCTTCGATCGACGACGCGCGCAAAGATGGCTTCTGTGGAAGCAGAGTCACAGAGTGCATCTAATGCCGTTGACGGAGGCGCCGTCTTGCCACGCCTTGTTCAGGCTGAAATCCAACGTCTACGCGAGTTTCACGCATCACACTTTCCAGGACAAGACGCGCCTGTGATCGAGGAGCGCATTCTCGATTCAGAACAACAGCGTGCAGAGTCCATCGACGATGTTGAAAGCCTCGGATACTACAATGACGGAGTGGCGCGTACTTTGACCGATGAGCAGATCAGAATGTTCCGTCATTCCGAGATACAGCGCCTACTCATGGCTCGGAGACAGCGACGCGAGAAAGAAGAGCAACAACAAGAGAAGTTCCGCCGGCAACAGGAACGAGATCGATCTTCACGGCGGCGCTTCGACGATGATCAGCAGCAGCATCAACCCTCAATTGACACCCTAATTTACGATGATCAGGTCGACCAGGGCTCCGCCAAGACCGACAATGCAGTGCCCAGAGACAAGACGTTCCGTTGGCCCAGATTAGGCAGCTGAGGCTTCTGACAGCTGCCACCAACATGATCCGGGTGAGTACAATCATGCTTTCCATGTACTACATGATGAACGTCTTTTTGTATCATCCTTAGTCCAATGGGTGTTGGCGATAGCCTCGATTTGGTTCGACGATTATCCTGACGCAGAAGCCCAAGTGCGGACTACAATCTTCTCTCTGATCTACCTTTGCACGAGCCGATTATCCCATCCATTGAATCACATGTCTACCAAGCTGATATACCATCAATGTCCAGCTCCCAAAACTGAGTGCTTCTTCGACCATCATCCACAGGCCAGTCTTGGCTAGAGTGAATCTCTTTGCCATGCACCTGCTCCAGCAACATCGGCCTGCGAGTTGCGATGACCTCCCGTGGATTTGTTCTGTGCAGCTCCTTGTTTGCCACGATCTGCACGCGACCTTGATTAGCCGATCGGTCTTCCGAGCGTTGGTTTCCTACCTTCTACTGCACCGTCAACTGCCTTCTGATGGGTAGCGGCGGCTTCTTTTGGGTGCCCAGCTGAGGCCTTTTCCGAACCTGCCGACTGGGCATTATTGAACATGCCCCCAGCACATGACAGAATCTCGTCAGTGTTCTGAGAGTTTGGAAGCGTTGTCGAGTTGCTGGATCCGTTGAAGTCACCGCCCATGTCTACGGCACTATCAGTACTCCTGAACAACACATAAGACAACACCTACCTTTGCTCCGATCTTCACCGGTCCCATCGGTCCCACCAGTTGACCTAACGGAGTCGCGGATCTTTTGCTCCTGATTTGGCGCCATCAATGCTGTCTCCTCTAGACTTGAACTGCCAGAGAGAGTTCTCTAGAGCGGAGGTCAAATCCCGGGCTTTATATGCTGTCTTCAGCTCTTGACAGTCGTCTCGAGTAGCGATTTGGCTTAGCTCATGCTTGCCCATAATGCCACAAATGCTGCCGGTCGACAGACTCGTGTTCAGACAATCTGCTGACCGCCATCTGGACAGGGGGCGAACCTCGAAAGCGAATATCATCACCTACAATAGAGACTGTCGTGTCTGAACGCCTGCATTTCGAAGCCTGTGTGGACCCGCTAGTTGGAAGAGTATTGTTGCCAAAAGCTTGAAGTAGCGGCAGCCACATTGACAAGTGGCAACATAGTGCCGTGTCTCAAAGCACGGACGCCGTATCCATTCCTTGGAATCTTGCACTTTGTACTCTTCTGGAATGGACCGCATTCCAACAGCTTCTAGGCAGAACATGAAACAGCGGCTGATGCCGTGCTGAGATGAGCTTCAAAACGATGCTCCAATGGAACAAAATCTCGACAATATCGGCAACCCTCCTCCACTCGCATGCACTCCTATCAGATGAGGACCAATCATCGTGCGCCCCGGCCCTTGAGAAGCAGAGATTCCTGGGTCGTTTGAGTTGTCTCGGACCGTGGAGATGACCCGGAGAATCGACGGAAGATGCGCAGCGCTGTTCACTTGCATGAGTACAGGGGTCAAGCACCCATCCACAGCTCGAGATAAACTTTGGTCTCCATAATCTCGGCGGGCATTACGGTCCCAAGAGGTGACTCTGCCTTGGATATGCCAGCAGAGCTGCCAGTGCATTCATGAAACATAATGAGGGTGTTGCTGTCGGCCTAACGTTGATGATTGGCGTCCAGTTGAGACCGGTTCTCTCTTCAGACGGTTTGGTTACGCAGTACAAACAGTTGCTCTCGCCATGTCTGCGATGGGCCTAGCCGTCTGCCTTAATGCGGCAGTTGAACCACACCGACAGATCCGACAAGCACTTACCGCTCGTACATAGATGAGGTCTAGAAACGGGACTTAATCAACAGCAACACTATCGACCGTGCGCAATTAGCCGTGAGTGGAGTTCGGATGTGCGACCTTACAGAGTAGCACAGGAATGCTGGCGAGGTGTCGAAACCGGTGAGAAGGACCTGGTGACCAGAGGGATGCCTTCCGCGCCCCCAGCTGTCGTGGATGAGCCGATCATTGCCACGGGAAAACTCCGACCAACAAGGATTCTTCAGCCTTGGACAGGTCGGTACGCCCAAGCGAGGATGGCACGCCGTCAAGAGGCAATCATGCGCCGGCATTGGCCACTCACACCATTGTTTCATGCCTCCAGGCGCATACGGACCGAGCCTCAACTCGCAGGCTTCTCATACTTCAACGCCGCTACGCCGGCGGGACATGGGCTCTTCATGGTTGCCGGAGTGTGCTTGGACTCTGTTCGCAACCGCTAGCCTCGCGCTAGTTCATGCAGCCACTATGCGGCCTATGTGCGGCCACACCACCACCTTTGTTCTGGGAATCCACTCGTATGGGAGTTGAAACGCAAAGAGATCTATGAGATCCTGCAAGATGTGCTGCTGACCTGGGAAGATTGCAACAACCACGACCGCGACACGACGGTGGTCAACATTCTGACAAAGTACGCCAACGTTTCGTGGGGAGAACTACAGGTGGCTCGGTTTGGTAATGCCTGCCACCGGAATATGCATTGCCTGGTCTGAAGAGGCCGCGTAGCTGGCCATGGACAGTCCCTGGAGGCAGACCCATCTTGCACTAGAGTTGATCGACCTCAGACTTGTCCAGCTGATGTCGCCGTGGTTTTCCGAAGCCTCAATCTGTCCCAGCAATATCGAGACAGCAATCTCACCTCGGTGAGAGCTCATGACCAATCCCCATTCACGCGTCTTGTCCAAAATCTACCCCGTGTGCAAGGCGGAAAGAAGATTTCGCTTATTTTCTGCAGCTCGCTCTGCAGGATCGCCTGACCAGGGTTCGCCCCTTGTACGCTCGTCTGCTATGCTGGGACTTGGATGTGGTCCAGGTCACGCCTCGGTGCACTGTCGGCGAATCACGGTACCTGGCCTGCTCTGTATCGGTGTCCGAAGCAGTATAGAGGCTCACACATCCTGTCAGTGGCGGTGAGGTCCTGCGTACACCCCCAACCTCTTCTTTGCAGGTACTCAACTCGCTCGCTTAGCTGAGTTGTTCACTCAGAATCCCGGCATATGATGCATACGCTTAGGCGGACCGAAATTGATGGCACCTGACATTCTCCCGAATGCCGCAGAGCCTCAACTGCCATCGCCGATCCTTTACGATGTTCTAATAGCCATATCCCAGCTCTCTCCTAGTCCCATTTGGTTCACCATCGTGACCTTGCGTACTCTCGAGGTGCTCCTTTCCTAGGACTTCTTCGAGCGTGCGTCAGTAGAGCTCGCCTGCATCATCTCACTCTTCGTGCCGTCTCTGCGCTCCTGTGCATAGTTTTCAATGCAGAGGAAGGCCACGTTTACGAAGCCTTTCCCAACAAGCTGGCAAGAGTCATGCTCAGCAGTCTGGATGTGCTGGCCATAGTTAATAGCCATATTGTCAATGAGTGCCTTTCTACGGTCGAGGCTGCATGTCGGCACTTTGCACATCCTTGGACAACGTCTCTCTCGCATACTGAAGCAAACTATACGCCCTCACCACATGCCCATAACAGAAATATCATATTCTCCAGACATGAATCCACCAGGCTGTACGAAAGCTACTCGCCAAACAATCCCGCAACAAGCAGGGCGCACCATATGTTGGAGCCTCCAATGCCCCAGCTTTCTCGCTGAATGGCTATATTGAAAGTGCCGATAGCGAAGCTGACCCTGGTGGAAGCCACCTACTCGTCGCAAGGCTCGGAGACCGTGGGCCCAGGAATGAGTGCCATCAGATTGTTCGCGAGGAACAGCATCGCCTGCGACTCTGTCCCATGATTCTTGGTGAGGCCTAAGAAGCTTTGACTCTCCCTTCTTCGGACGTCTCGCGCAATCATACGTGTTTTCGCCATAGTCTACGCGTACCGGACCTCATGATCGGCCATGGGCCATCCACTGTGGCGAGGTAAGTAAAGATGAGCGATATCGGTGGTTCAGGACCCTGAACAGCCAGTTGCATATCGAAGCGGTAAGTCATCGTTGACTTCGGTTCAGGGTGCTGCAAGCAGCCGTGCTGTATGCTTGCTGGTCATTCATGCTCCTCGACGAACGCATGACTCGATACTCCCCTTGCTGTGTTACCAAGTTCAGATGCGCAGGCTCAACGGCGCAGAGCCACGCAGGAATCCATGGCTGCTCTTCGCCTTGGTCGAACCAGCACAATTGGGGGAAACTTGGTTTGAGGATATTGTGAGGTGAGTATGTGTTCCTAGGATGCCACTCAGGAGGCGGGCTCTGCTGGATCGACTTCTTCTGTTATAGATCATTGCGCTATTCGGTCTATTGATACTACAAAACAACAACCAGCTTCTTGGCCGAAACCCCCTCGCCCATCTTGTCGAGTGCATCCTGAACGCCGTCCAGGCCATGCCCAGCAATCAAAGGTTCCGGTGCGAATTTGAAACTTCCCGCTTCCAACGCCTTGGGCAAAAATTCTTGCCAGATTGCCAGGGCGACGCCGTTGTCCATGGTCGACAAGCTCGCAGTGAACTTCATGCTGACTCCCTCAGGCGGCTCGGGGTGATACCTCGCCACGGTGGCGACTACTTTCCTGCCCTCGACCTGCGCCACCACGGATGCGGTGGGTGCGGATGCTGGTCCGCCATACGCATCGAAGGCCCCCGCGAAAGCCTTGCTTTTGAGGGCACCGACGATGTCGGCTACGACCGTTGGGCTGCTGTAGTCGAATACCTCGCTTGCTCCGAGGCGTTTGACGTGCTCGAAGTTCTTGGGTGAAGATGTGCTCACCACCTCGTAACCCGCTGCGGAGGCAAGCTGGATCGCGGCGCTGCCTACGCTGCCTGCGCCGCCCCATACCAGCAGTGTCTGGTCTGTCTTGCTGGCTGTCGCTGGCTCATGTGGCAGGCGCAGGCCCAGCAGGTCCGGATTGAAGAGAGCTGCGCTCGCCGTTGTCACCGCGAGCGGGAGGACGACCGCCTCATCGAAGGTTGCGGTGGTGGGAATCTTGCAGGCTAGGATCTCGCGCAGGATAGTGTTCTCCTGGAAGGCTTGCTCGGTGTCGTCCTTGGTCGCGAAGCCGGCTGTGCAGCCTATGACGCGGTCGCCGGGCTTGAGGCGAGCGACTCCTGGGCCGATTGAGACGACGGTGCCGGCTACATCTTCGCCGAGGATGGCGGGGTAGTTGAGGGGGTAGATGGCTAGCTTCTGGAGCTTGTAGTCGATGGGATTGATTGCGATCGCTGAGTTGCGGACGAGGATCTGGCCCGCGCCCGGTGTGGCGAGCGGAGCAGATCTGACCTCGAACGTGCTTTTGGCAGCGGGGATGAAGGCCGCCCTGTTCTCTGTGGAGTCCATGGTGGAATTGTGCCGCTTTGAGAGTCTAGTAGTACTTATTGGAGTTGAGGTTGTTCTCCTTTCCGGAGTGAGATATCGACTCTTGGCGATGAGACAGGTTCTGACAGATGAGTGGTTATAAAAACCGAAGCGTTGTAAAGCTTTGAGGTGCCCGGGCGCGGGTTGTCTCAGTGACATTGCATGATGAAAAATGCTTCTACTGCCATTAATGATTATCATTGAGCATTTATATCGACTGTGCTCGGTGATGCTCGGTCTTCGTAAACTAGCAACGTCCGCAAGGACCGCGGTCAAAGATGCAAATGGTCGTTGTGACGCCGAAGGCGCTTCATAGTGGGCCCACTTTGATCCAACAACTCGAATTGATGAAGACCATTAGTACAATGCAAACGACCTGAGGTTAGCCTGGCACTCTCTGATTGGTTTTCGACCTCGACGGTGTGCTCACAAATAGAGCTCAACTTATCTCGTCATGCAAGCCCGACGGCGCTTGAAAGCTGACATAGTACCTCGGTCTAGACCAGAGGAGACCGAGGAAAATGTAGTTGCTGCAGCAAAAATGAGACCGAGCACCGAGAAGATGGACGTCGATGACTCGGAGGATGTTGCAATACGAAAAGCGGTTAGTGCCAAAAAGGCTTATAGGGTGAAGTAGATAGACACTTGCGCAGTGACGAGAATGGGCGTACCTGGCAACCGTAGTGATCGCCTCCAAACGAAATCCTGTGCCCGGACAACTTTTTGGAACACCCTCACTGCTGCCTACACGGTTGAGTCACCCACGCCGCTGATGGCGTCTTACTAGAAACCCCCTGACGCCACAGATCCCTCTGTCTACGTCTACATTCAATATGTCTGCGGTCCTCTCCTCCGCAGTCCGGCTGCCCACCCCTCCTCCCGGCGCATCGTACTCTCCAGCTCAGTCCTCCAACACCAGAAAACGTTCGCCGCCCTCTCGCTCGCCCTCTCCTCGTCGTCGCAGGTCACCGCCCCGAGGTGGCCGTGATGACCGCAACGGCAATCATGACGATCGAGAGCCGGACGAGCGCGAGCGCATGTTACAGGAGAGGTTCAAACCACGCGAGAATGATGAAGCGCCTAGGAAACCCATGACCGAAGACGAGAAGCAGGCTAGTGCTAAGGCCGAGTATGAGAAGCTGCTGACCATGCGCTCGGGTGGTACATACATTCCTCCAGCACGACTACGCGCACTACAGTCGCAGATTACGGACAAGACGAGCAAGGAATACCAGCGCATGGCGTGGGAGGCTCTCAAGAAGTCAATCAATGGCCTGATCAACAAGGTCAACGTTTCAAACATCAAGCACATTGTGCCGGAGCTGTTTAGTGAGAACCTGGTGAGGGGACGAGGGTTGTTCTGTCGGAGCATCATGAAGGCCCAGGCTGCCTCGCTACCGTTCACACCTATCTACGCAACAATGGCTGCAATCGTCAATACCAAACTGCCACAAGTGGGAGAACTGCTGCTTCAGCGCTTGGTCGTCCAATTCAGAAAGGCATTCAAGCGCAATGACAAGGCTGTCTGCGTTTCGTCCACGACCTTCATTGCGCATCTTTGCAATCAGCAGGTTGTGCACGAGACAGTGGTTGCGCAGATCCTGTTGCTCCTCCTTCATAAGCCGACCGATGACTCAGTCGAGATTGCCGTCGGGTTGACCAGAGAAGTTGGCCAACACCTAGAGGAAATGAGCCAGCCGATCGCCGTTGCTGTCTTTGACCAGTTCCGGAGTATTCTGCACGAAGCTGATATCGACAAACGCGTGCAATATATGATCGAGGTTCTCTTCCAAGTCCGAAAAGACAAATACAAGGACAATCCGGCCGTCAAGGAGGAATTGGACCTGGTAGAGGAAGAGGACCAAATTACCCATCAAATCGACCTGGACGACGAAGTCAATGTTCAGGATACCCTCAACATTTTCAAGTTTGACGCGGAATACGAGGCGCATGAGGAGGCATATCGGAAACTCAAGGCCGAGATTCTGGGCGAGGGTAGTGACGACGAAGACGAGGAAAGTGGCACTGAAGCTGAATCATCAGACGATGAGGACGATGAGCAGGAGAAGCAGATGGAAATTAAGGATCGCACCAACACTGATCTGGTCAACCTACGGAAGACAATCTACCTTACCATTCAATCCAGCTTGAACTTTGAGGAAGCGACCCACAAGCTTATGAAGGTCAATCTGCCTGCCGGCCAGGAACATGAGCTGCCATCTATGCTCGTCGAATGCTGCTCTCAAGAGAAAACGTACTCAAAATTCTTTGGCCTGATCGGCGAGCGATTTGCCAAAATTAATCGACTGTGGACCGACCTTTTCGAGCAATCCTTCGCTCAATACTACGACACTATCCATCGTTACGAAACGAACCGCCTCCGCAACATCGCTCGCTTCTTTGGGCATATGTTCTCTACCGACGCCATTGGATGGCATTGCCTGTCCGTAATTCACCTCAACGAAGACGAAACCACCTCATCCAGCCGCATCTTCATAAAGATTTTCATCCAGGATCTCGCCGAAGCAATGGGCTTACCAAAGCTCAAGGAGCGCTTCCAAGATGACATCCTCCGACCAAGCTTCTGCGGCCTTTTCCCAACGGATGAGCCTCGCAACACTCGCTTCTCAATCAACTACTTCACCAGTATTGGCATGGGTGCGCTCACGGAAGATATGCGCGAGCACCTGAAGAACTTGCCCAAGCCCGCCCCCCCACCTGTCGCGGCTGTCGCTGCCCGGGACGATCATTCAGACTCTGAGAGTGTCAGTTCCTACTCTAGCTACTCATCCTACTCGTCTCGTGACTCTCGCTCTCGCAGTCCTCGCTCCGCAGACAGGACCCGCGACCGACCTCGAGGTCGCAGTCCCACACGCTCGGTCTCAATTTCTCGCTCGCCTCCCCGTCGCAAGCGAGCACGCAGCTATTCCAGCTCCCCATCTCGTTCGCGATCCCCAGCCGGTGGCGCCACTCGAGGCCGACGTCGCTCGCCTTCATACTCCGCATCTCCACCGCCGCGTCGGGGTGTCGACAGAGGTCGGGCCCGTGCCCGCTCACCAAGCCGTGACTCACGCTCTCGTTCGCCGCCACCAAAGCGTGCCGTAAGGCGCCAGAGTTACAGCAGCTCGCGCTCTCGGTCTTCGCCACCGAATGGCAAAGCCAAAGGCAAGCTGGCGCGAGATGACAGCTACTCGCGATCGCGATCGCGTTCCCCTCCGGCACGGCGCAGACGTAGCCCATCGGACCCGCTCAGCCGGTCTCGCTCACCACCGCCGCCGCGAAAGAGTAACGGTAGCGGTAAGGGTAAGAGTCGCAGAGATAGCTTTTCGGCCAGTCCCCCGCCGAGGAGGACGAGAAGACGCAACAGCAGTAGTGAAAACAGCCGGTCTCCGCCACGGCCAGCGAGGAAACAAGGTGGGCCTTCTGGGAGGAGGCGAAGCCCGAGCTATCAGAGAGGCGGTGCTGGTGCTGGTGCTGGTGCTGGTGCTGGTGCTGGTGGGAGGGCGAGGGCGAAGGATTTTCTCGACTGAGTCTTGAGACTGTGAGTGAGCTTGAGATGAGATCAAGCTTATGTTGAAGCCATCCGTCGGCGGTGACCGCGTGTCGGCGCTAGAGATGGTGATTGAGTACAGAGGAATTCAGTTCCGACAGGGGACAAGGCGCTCGAGCGTCTTTTCAGAATGTCGCGGAATGAGTACATAGTAGTACGATACGATACTCCTCTGATGCCAGCCGCAAAGTACTCGAACGAGGGGCCACGCCTTGCAAAGTCTGACTCCTTTGATGGCGCAAGTGCAGTGTGGCATGAAGTGATTCTATGACCATTCTGTCTCTAAGTATTACGCTGCATAAGCCACCACGAACCCGCTCCGCTTATCTAGATCCTGGCGACGGGCTACCACTGGAACAGAGTCGAGAACTGCCCGCGTTGTGTATATCGTGGTCCTCGTAGATGTGACTGTGACTGTAACTGTGATAGCTGATTGCGATCGGCCTCATCGATGCAATGAATGTCCGCTGTCTGCTTGGTTGGGGTGCCTGTTGCCCTCGCGAGTGAAACTGTCTCACTGTAAAACGCCAGATTCGCCATCGCTCGTTTGAGAATATATCCTGTAGAAGAAGTCCACCTTCCCGTCCCCTTCTTTCCCTTGCCCTCCCTGCATAGAGCTGAGTCGTTGGTCACTTTCGGGCTTGGTGCGCCAATAATCGTACTACCCAGCCGGAGGCTGCCTCACAGCGTAAAAGCCAGCCAGGCAACTTAACTCAGACCGTATCATCGTCATACGCAAAGCGGACATCTCGCAAGCCTCGGCCGCCACCGCCGCCCCATCCTCTACCGCCGCTACTGCTGCTCCAGCCGTTCGGCCCGCGCACGCCCATGCTCTGGCAAAAGGCATCGTCGCCCTCGGGCCGCACGTTCTTGGTGTTGCCGGTCAGCATGCTCTGGATGGACATGCAGACGCTCTCGACGCTCTGGACGGGGGACCAGCCGGCGGAGCCGAGGAGGTCGAGGCAGATGATGCCGTTGGTATAGATGTGGGGGTGGATGGGGATGGGGCGGGCGCCGTTGTCGGGAGTCGCGGGAGGAGGTGCTGGTGGTTGGGAGTCGGATGTCAGGTCTATGGGGTTGGAGGCGGTGTTTGACGGTGGCTGATGCTGCTGTTGTGGGGTGCTGGAGGGAGCGACTTTGATGAAGGAGACTTCGGGGGCTTCAATTGGGTATTGGGGCCCGAAGATGAAGGAGAGGCGGTACTGCGTTGGCGGGTCAGTGGTTGCGGAGGGCGGGTGGAATGGGCTGGGCAGGGCATGGCCCTTCATAGATGGGACTCTGCTCGACGGCCGCTTCCACAGAGGTCGCCAGGGAGTCTCCCCATCTCCTTGAACGGTGATGGCTTGGTGCTCTTACTATTTCTCCTTTGTACAGCGGGTTATCATCTAGCACTTGTATATCCATCTGCCATTCGCGAAAGTCGTCTGCTTTGGCAATCGAGATGCCAGGTGGTAGTTTTTGCTTAGCCTAGTCGGATTCACATCAGCATACGCCCATCTTTAAACCTCACCGCGGCTTGCGCGTCTCATGTAGTGGACTATACGGCCAGTTGGTCACTTCGATGACTCCGGCAAAGCGGGGCAACATTGACTAGGTAGACGGTCCGCTCGTATTCATACCTTTTGTAGCTCCTGTCATTCGCGTTAGCGGGGTCTTACTAAACACACGTTGGTACCAATCTACCTTTCCCAGTCTCTTTGCGGCGAACATGGCTGGATATGGCTGTATGTGTAGAAGGTAGAAGCGCAGGTACCGAGACGATGGGCGGAAGAAGGTCGGGTAACTCAGGTAGGCAGCAGTTCACGTGGTCACGTAGGATCTAGCGTCGTTTGGCGTCAAAAGTCGCGAGTCTAAGGCTTGGAAAATACCACTGAACTGACCGAGACGAATATAGTAGTGCTTGCTGAAGTGAACGTTGTGGGCAAATGACAATTGTGTTGGTGAGGCGCAAATAAATCATTGACTGCCCGCCCAGATCGGCAGCGGGCCCGAAGACACCAAGCTGGAGATCGTCATAGCCTCATCGAGCAGTTCTACCTCCGACGAGGCTAGGCATTCAAGGAGACGAACAGACTATGTTTGCAGAAGAATATCTTATGTCATGTCACTTGCAACCTGAAGGTTCCTCAGAAGCAGGCTTGTCCTCGTCATAATAACCACCTAATCCTTTTCGAAAACGCGTCCAAGCAGCCGTTGGGTATCATGTCCGGCCATGTCTATTTCGGCCTGTCTCCGCCCTGAAAGCTCTTCCGCCTCTCATGCGCTTCTGTCGCGTCAGCGATCAATTTGCTCGTCTCTTGGTCCTGCTTCATCTCTCTCACTTTGGCCAGTACAACCTCGCGGAAGATTTGTGACTTGGCAGCATTGCCCATCTTGCTCTCGCCGGAGTCTTCTGTGCTCAAACCTCTGCCTGGGGATACACCTCGGGTTTGTTGATTTTCGACAGCCAAGGATGCTGCACCGGGAGCGCCGGTCGGGATATCGGCGGTATCATTTGCCTCCGGCGACTCTTCCTGCATTCTGAGCTGCTCGATGCGATTGGCTAACTTGACGAGCTCTATACCACGCTTGAGCTTAGCTTTGGCCACATACGAGCGGATCTCGGGCAACAGATCGTGCTCAGAGGCAGTAGCACCCGTCAACCACATATGCGCAAGAGCGGTCTTGCTGGTCAGACGTTTCTTGGGATCGGGCTGGAGTAGAGCTTTGATGAAGTCCTTAGCGTCCTGACTGACATCTTTCCAGTATCGCTCATGGAAGACGATACGGCCACTCCTGCACTCCTCGACCAAGTCCGTCAGGTTTTCCGATCGAAACGGAGAGTAGCCGCAGAGCAGAGTGTATGTTATGACACCCAATGACCACATATCCACAGCCTTTCCGTGACCAAGCTTGAGCATGACTTCGGGCGCTGCATAGCCAAAGGAGCCAGCCATACTAGTGAGCACCTCTCCAGGGTTATCCAGCATTTTCGCGATACCGAAGTCGGCGAGTACGAGCTGGGACGAGGGATCTCGCGTCAGGTAGAGTAGATTCTCGGGCTTCAAATCTGCGTTCGTTAGCAGGGCTCTACGTGCCTGTGCTTGTCGTACCTCGGTGGACAATGTTCTTGTCGTGGAGGTAGTCCACCGCTTCGAAGACTTGTCTGATGGTTTGTGAGGCATCCTTCTCGGTGAACTTGCCCTGATCACAGATCCGGTCGAAGAGCTCTCCGCCGGTCGCAAGTTGGGTCACGATGTAGTATTTGTCCTGACGGCGTCAGCCAGAGTCACCCACTTTCGACTGTACTTACTCTTGACTCAAACCAATCGTGAAATCTGACGATATGTGGATGTTGGACACTTTGTAGCATCTTCAACTCATCGTAGACCATGTTCTCATTGCCCTTGACATTCTTCTTGAGAATGATCTTGACTGCGACCTTCTGCCCATTGACATCTGCTTCGCGTACAATTCCGTACGTGCCTGCACCCAGAGTTCGACCGAATTTGTAGGCGGATTTCTTATCGTAACTGTCGGGCTGGCCATGCAGCCGGTTGATCATACCAGCGACTGTGAATGGAGCGTCAGCGTCAGAGTCGGGGCGCGATGTGTTGAACAAGCTAGGCATGTTGACGGAGGGATAATGAATGTGCTAGGAGCGCCTGGGAAGGCGTTGGGTAGACTAGGTGTGTATGCGTGACTTACAGGCCATATCTGCGAGGGCAGGCAACTGCCTGTTCTTGACTGATGGGGGGCTCGATCGGATGTGAAACGAGAAACGCCGAAGCGAGCGCAGGAAAGACCTATTTGGGGGCAGACGAGTCTGGTTTTGTTTCGTAACCCTAGCTGCAACGGATGAGCAGGCCCGGACTCGTGTGTGTGGAAAGTCTGCCTTGCTTGCTCGAGTGTTGTCAAAGTGTCTTGGGTGCGGGGCAGAAGACGGTGCCTAGCGAGTATGCGGAGAGGTTCAGAGTGGTGCAAAGGTAAGCACCGGTATGCAGCAGGCTGATGCAGCCTTTATGGAATTGGGCAGGATCTGTTCGTCGCTTGATCAGGAGCTGTGATGCGATAGTCAGAAGTAACAGGAGGATTCAGTCAACCTTATGCGTGGGCGCATTGGTACGATGGGGGCCAAAAAGCCCCTCTCGGGTGTTTGGAGCGCTCCCGCTGGTGCCGCTACGGGCTTGGTGGAGCGTGGCTGAGTCCGCAGCTGAAGCCCACCAAAGGTCCCAAGCTCGTGTTCTTGGTGATACGCGTCGCCAAAGGTTCCGGATCGACGAATCTTGAATGGGAGCTCGGATCCATCGCTCTCGCATTATGCACTCGACATCAATATATCACCTGCAGATCTACACTTCGCAAAAAATGAGCAAAATAGGGAAAACCCATACAAAAGCGATTCGGCCTTTGATGAAGCTGTGACTCGAGTGGTAACTTCGTTTTTATTGCCCACGCACTCTACAATATTTTATGTTGTCTGTTGATTTACATGCGACAGCGGAGTATGGCCAGCATCTCAAAATGACTTGCGGATTTCATCATACTGGAGGAGTTTTGAATGTTCAGCAACACTGTTATCCATACTCTGCAGTACCACGAGCCGTTCACAGAAAGCTTCTCCCTACCGGAGCCGACCATGCATCACAATGAAATTCGTTGTCCGCAGGGGATTCTGCATGTGATGCCTTGGACCCCGGCAAAGATGTCAATGCACCAGTGCATCTCTATCAGTCTGCACATGAGAGACAGGTGAAACCCGACCCAGTCTGTGATCGCCCAGGTCGTCAAACTGTTATGTGAATAACGCTGGTGGCCCGGAGAGAACCAAAGTGCGTCTGCTCATGGTATCAGTGGTATCAGAGCATGTCCAGACCCCCAGTGAGAAACTGCTCTAGAAGGAGGTGAAGCCTGTTACTATAATAATAACTGCTCTACAAATCAGCTAGGAAGTGTCAAGATTCAGAGATGTGGCAAGGTCAGAGCGACAACGAGTTTAGAGATAACGAGAGAGGGTCAGGTGAAAGACATGGAGAGATAACCGATGGGGACAGACTGAGTAGGTTGTCTGTGAGGTCGGCGTGGCTGTCGAGTCTTGAGAGCTGACCTCCACAAAATACTTTGCACGCTTATGAATTATAGCCAGTGAAGGTGCCTGTAACCGTCAATTACTGGCTGCGAAATTGTTTCGTTGAGCTCTATGAGCATGACGGAAGGACAGAGAGAGGGAGAGGTCAGAGAGGTCAGGGAGAGGGAGGGGTCAGGGAGGGAGAGGCCGTTGGATTTCTAGGATCAATGGATCCTCCCAACCGCATGTCCTCACGGAGCTGTACAAGAGTCCATAGCTAGTCAACAAAGCTGAATCCAGCCCACCAGAATCGACAAAACTAACACGAAGGCTCCTGGGACTCATTCAGAGGTCACCAATCCTTCTCAGCGCAAATCGAAGAAGGTCATGGCCGTCAACAGTGAGGATCCCTACAGCCTGACGGCGGGCAGGAGGGCTCGGCGACCACTGACCGTGCGCCACACGCGGCCCGCCGCACCGCAGGATCTGAGCAAGACGATGGCAAAGGTGGTACAGATCACAGAGCAGGGTGGTCCAGGCATAGATGCCAAAGACTCCATAGTAATGCATCCTGGGGCGATACAACGATGGCAAGGCACCACCCCACCAAAGTCATTGTCACTACTAGTCTAGAGCCTGATAGTGTCAACGCAACCCGGGCCGTGAGGGCAGCAATCAATTTTGTCGAGTCTTGACGTGACCTTCTAAGGAATCCCGGGAGCCTTCCTGTCAATTCTATCAACCCCTGCTGGCCTTGCAATTTACTGATAAGCTAAGGTCTAGACGTTGCCTGGGCTGTTCCTTCTGCCTCGCAGTGTCTACGTAGCCAGAATCCTCGTGATGATGGCACATAGAACACTAGATCTCCTGGGCGTCTCCCTTATCGGACTTTGACTCTGCCGGTGGGAGGCTTGCTGAGAGCTCCTGCATAATCTTGCAATGGTCGTCGATCATCTGCTCGAGTGGCCGCAAGATGCAACGCAATGCCTCAACATTGTGACGATGGACGCCCATGGCATACAACTTGGCAGAGTCCACGTCTGGAGAGAGGCCGTACTTGGTCCAGATCTGTGGCAGGGTTGGAGCGGTACTGATGGCGCTATCCCCCTGGCTGTCCTTCAAAGCTTGGATGGAGTCGTGGGTGAAGGTTCTAAAAGATTGCAATTTGTGTATCTCGGCATGGAGGACGCCACGCACGACATCACCTGGCTCACTAGCTGGCTCGACGTAGCTAGACTTGCCACCGATCTGGTAGCGGACATGATCCCTGCAGCGAACTACAGCCTCATTCAGCTCGGCGCTATCGTCGGGATTGAACTCCAACGCCTCGAGACGACGCAAGAAGTCGACGATGAAGGCTCGAGTATGAGCATATGGCAGCACAATCTTACTGCCAACAATGCCGGCACTCATGTAACTCAGGTTCTGAGTGCTGATGGGGAGGTCCTTGAGAGCAGGAGCGAGATCCTGGTGAGGAGCGTTAGATCATATGACACAAAACGTGGGAGACGTTTACTTACCAGCAGTTCCAAGCGTGCCGCTTCGCATTCCTCGCCTGTCATTGGTACTCTTGAGCTAGAGAACTTGAAGATGTGCCTATTGCTAGGAGGGGGCATGAACGCTCCGTCGGTATCAGCCTTGTCGATAAGGTCAATGGCGGATTGCAGGATGGTGCTATCACCTCCCGCAAGGAATGTGTTGATAATACTTGACAGTTCATTCGTGAGAGCTCGCTTAGGTGAAACCTGAAACTTAGTCTTGTCGTAGTGCTTGGAGTAGGTGATTTTCTTCTCTGGGTTGCTCACTTTGCGGACCAGTTCACTCCACTCACTCTTCCGCTTGTTTTTGTCGGTCTGATCGTCGTTCCGATACTGTGGGAAGAAGTAGACATCGTTCACGACGATGCCGAGTCCGTCGCAAAGGCCGGTCTCATCTTGGTCAGCGAGAGCGTAGTAGCTCGCAGTATCCTTGTTCGTTGGCACAACAACTCTCAGAGCTTTTGAATCTGTAGATAGGACTTTGTAGCCACCTTGAAGTGCTAAAGTGTTGACGGACTTTCCCTTGGTGCTCTTCTCGCCTGCAGTCTTGGTGCTAGCATTCTCATTTGCGGCCTTGCTTCGACCAGTGACTGGGAGCATGCCGACCCAAACACCAACATTCTCACTCTGATCAATGGAAAGTTCTTGGGGCGTCGCCTCCGAAGGAGGTACCCTGAACTGCGAATCATCTAGTGTGGACAATTTCGTGTTGCGTTTGATGTCCTTGAAGCCCAGGCGCTGGCTGTGCGGCACGTTCTCGATACCATGATCGTAGGCAACGAGCGACACGTTGAAGGCATATTGGTCAACGGACTTGATGACGGAGGCCGCCATGTTGTGTGTAATGAGAGGAATATCGAGAGCAGCTTTGGGAAATTCAGGCGAAGCGGTCGGTGAGGTAGTGGTGGACGCGAAGTCGTCAGTGAGGGGAGCGAAATGCTGATAAGGTACTGGTGGAGGCAAAGATATAGGTGAGAGCAGCAAAGTGCTGATGAGGTAGCGGTGAACGCAACGTTGTCAGTGAGAGCAGCGAGGTGCTAATGAGGTAGTGGTGGAGGTGAAGATGTAGGTGAGAGCAGCGAAGTGCTAATAAGGTAGGAGTGGATGTGAAGCTATTAGTGAGGGCGGCGAAGTCCTGATGAGGTAGTGGTGGGTATGAAGTTGTAGGTGAGAGCAGCAAAGTGCTGATAAGATAGTCGTGGACGTAGAGTCATTAGTGAGGGTAGCGAAGTCCTGTTGAGGTAGTGGAGGATGTGAAGTTGTGGGTGAAAGCAGCAAAGTCCCGATGGGGTAGCGGACACTTCACTGCTAACCATATCCGGTAATTTCCAAGCCGCTAAGCCAGACAACTGAGCCACTGGTCAGTCGTCCACTTTACCCTTTCTTCTTAGCCTATTGCTCATCCCTTCCGAACTTGACTACAGTCCCCTACAGATCTCATCATGCCTCCACACCAAAGCCAACAACCAGCTGCGCCAACTGTCCCGCAAGGACCCAACCATCAGCTGAATGTTCTCCGACAACTTCTCGACACACAAGTCAAGGCTGAGGCAACACTCGCTGGAACAGATGACCGCGCACCCGCAGCCGCACTCAAGGAAGACATCAATCGCCGCAAGGCCCCCATAACAGAGGAATTCCATGACTTCCTTCATGACCCATTCACAAATCTCCCTGCTAGCGACTTCACCGACCCAGAGAAGCATGCGCTGAGACGCCTTCGGGCTGCTATCGTCAGCGTGATGGAGCAATCTTCCGAGTCTAACAAGAAGGAGCTGAAGGCGGCGAACATGTCACTCGTTCGGCTCATGGGTCCCGACGAGCAATGATGCCTCTGCGACGAAGCCCTGGGTGCCGAAAAAGTATGGATCTGATCCAAAGGTTGACGAGAAGACTCACCGTAAGTTCATCACTATGTGCGCTTGCTCTGGCTCATTTGTAGCCAGTTCCTGAAGATAATCACGATGTGTCGGACGAAGAAGAACCTGGGAATAGCGTCCTCGACACATGCGAAAGCCTGGTGATCCGGCGCTCTACAAGATCGCTGACTAGCTTTGAACGCATGACACGTTAGGAAGCAAGTCCTCACCGACTTGCCTTTCAGCAGTGGCGGAGAAGCGAATGGTTCAGATGCCTGGGCGCCCTCGGAACGCGTAACTCGTTGACATCGACGCGATAAATTCCTAAGTAGCCACCTCCAGTGATAATGGCAAGCATATTGATCAAGCATGAAGCATGCATTTATTCGCTCCTCATCGTGACTTGTCCCATAAATTATTTTCCGGTTATCATGTCTTTACGCAAGATTGGTCCGCAAAGAATCAGTTCGTTGGCTGTTGTAGGTTTAGCGATACTGATCCAGAGTGACTTCTGTAGAGCAGCTTTGATTGCAGCTTTGGAGAGGCTGACTATCATTGCTGATGCCCTTTTGAAGCGCATGTCACACCTGCGGGTGAGGCTGTGCGACGCCCTCCCGGTACATCTATCAGCACCTTCAGGATAGTTTACTGATCGTCGCTGGTGCCTTCCCGGGACACCCATCCACGTCCTCGGGCAAGCATTTCTTATTGGTGCTGGTGCCCTCCTCTTACCAACATCCCCGACACTAGGTGACAACATCTATAATAGCCAGTGCCCTCCTCATACATATATCCAAAATTTCCAGAGAGATCACTATAGCTGCCAGTGCCCTCCACATACATATATCCAAAATTTCCAGTGAGATCACTATAATTGCCGGTGCCCTCCTCGCTATTCCTTGAAGCACAACTCAAAAGAAAACATTGGCACCTTCCCCCAACCAGTAGCGGTGGCCCCTAAGGACAGTACGGAATAGTCGCTGGTGCCCTCCCTATATCCCACCTATGGCTTTAGATGATACTACTAATAGTTGTTGGCGCCCTCCCTATATATGTATTCTCTACTCGGCTGAGTGCACTAATAAACGTGGGTGCCCTCCTTGACATCTTTTTAGACCACCACCTAGAAATTCCGGTGCCCTCCCAAGGTATAGATCCTCACCTTTAGATGGACCCTCTAGTGAGTGCTGGTGCCCTCCTTGTACCTATATTACAAATTTCATTTCATCCACTGATAAATGTCAGCGCCCTCCCCGAGAATCTTTAGGTAACGTCTCAAAAATGCTGGTGCCCTCCGGATACACCTGTCCTTGCACTATATTAGATTACTAATAAGTGCTGGTGCCCTCCTCATAGCTACATTACATGTTTTGCTTGATCTACTGATAATGGCCAGCGCCCTCCCCAACATCTTCTTAGGTAATAACCCAAAAATGCTGGCGCCCTCCAGATACACATATCCTTGTATTATATTAGACCGCGTACGGATGCTGGTGTCCTCCTTGTATCAGCAGTCGTGTCTAAGTATAATCGTCCACTCGAGTTATAACAGCTTTACGGCCAGGAGTAGTACAGGTCCTTCTAGATACCTCTGGACACCATCTGGTAACTACTATCTCGGCACCACTTAGGTTTACTCGCTGTAGAGCAGGTACTTTGTCGACCGCTCCAGGTACCACTTATGTCGTTCTTGATAAGTTGCTATTGCAAGGGAACTCCTGTAGAGTCTGGCCAGTATCAAAGGCCGTGCAGTGGAACCTCTCATTGCGCCCTTGATACAGCAGGCCTAAGGCCTCTAGACTAAGGTCCCCACCTGGGCCACTACTACTGTACCAAACCCTCTGATATCAACAAGTAAATTAAGACTATAATACATACTATAGCCTCCAACATGTAACACGTTGATTTGCCTAGGAGTGGCTTGAGCGCTCGTTTCAGAGCCAATTACTGATTCCACTCTATTCAGAAGTCTTACAACAGTACTCAAATAAACAGGCACCGGCGAGCGAGAAGTCAAGCTATGGTTCAACATTGATGTGTTATGAGATGACCTGAATTCCAACGCACCGGTGCCTGTCAACCCTTTGAGTCTAAGTTGGCTAACTGACTACATGTGCTTTAGATGCTCCTGAGCGAGTCGTGGGGTCTCACGTCACCATACGCTCCAATTCGCATTGAACGCAGCTGACTTGCGGCTCTTCGGGAACTATCCTACTATTCAGCGTCCGCTCAGATCCGAATGAAGTGGTCCTGGCTACGGAATGATTCGAGACTCAGATGCTAAAAGACACTTAAGGCTTCAGACTGTCTTGAGAGAGCCATCGAGGCTCACGTTACCACGACTTTACCTCAGATCAAGCTCACCTAAATTGAAGCTCTTGTGTGCTTGCGTTGATGTTCAATGTTGTTTGAGTTCTGAATGAGATTGAACAGCCTATAACATGAAGAAGGTGCTCCTGAGCAAGCCGATAAACGAGTAATACGTTGTGTCTAGAATGAACTCAGTAAACGTTGTGGGACAGAGACAGGTCGGACAATATGGTATTGGTTGGTATACACAGCGGTGGGACGGGAGCAGGCAAGTCTAGGCGCATGCGGAACGTTCCGCCAAGGCCCAATAAGGTTTTACCTCGACACTAGTGGATTCATATGTACAAACGCCAAGGCCGGTGGAAATGCCTTTCCTCCTCGTCCTCCTCCGCTGGCGATAACAACGAAGACGAAGACGACGACGACAACAACGACGACGTCGTTACTACCTATCAACCTCTCCGAAGACTAGGTCCATGGTTCCTATGATGGCGACGGCATCAGCAAGGAGATGGCCCCTGCTCACCTGGTCGAATCCTGCCAAATGAGCAAAACCTGGTGCTCGAATTTTGCATCTGTAGGGCCTCTCGCTACCATCGCTCACAACATAGACACCCATCTCACCCTTTGGAGCTTCGATCGCACTGTAGGTATCGCCAGGGGGCACAGTGTAACCCTTGGTGTAGAGTAGAAAGTGGTGGATGAGAGCCTCCATATTTTCCTTCATGGCAGCTCTTGGCGGCGGTGAGATCTTGTAGTCCTCCATCTTAACTGGCCCAGGCGGCATCTTGTTCAGACATTGGTGGATGATGCGCAATGACTGTCTGAACTCCTCCATTCGGCAGAGGTACCGGTCATAGCAATCACCGTTGATACCGACAGGTACATCAAACTCGACCTTGTCATAGGCGTCATATGGCTGGCTCTTGCGGATATCCCAGGGCACACCGGATCCGCGGAGCATGACTCCGGAGAAGGACAGGTTGAGAGCCTCAGCTGCCGTAACGACACCAATGCCTTTCGTCCGACCGATCCAGATACGGTTGTCTGTGAGAAGTTCCTCGGTTTCATCGATACGGTCGCCGAATTGCGTAGCCCAGGCATAAATGTCATCCAGAAGTCCAAGTGGAAGGTCCTGGCTAACACCACCCGGTCGGACGTAAGCTGCGTGCAGGCGAGCACCGGACACACGTTCGTAGAATTCCTGTACTTGTCAGTGTCATCACACGAGATGCCAAGCCACTTACCATCAGCTTCTCACGCTCCTCGAAGCCCCACAAGAAAGGCGTCAGAGCACCAACATCCATAGCATGCGAGAGAATCGACATCAAGTGATTGAGAATTCTGGTAATCTCGCCAAACAGTGTGCGAATCCACTGAGCTCTCTCAGGAACCTCAATATTGAGAAGCTTCTCGACGGCCAAGGAGAAACATTGCTCGTTGGTCATCATAGAGACATAGTCGAGACGGTCGAAGTAGGGCAAGGCCTGGAGATATGTCTTGTATTCAATCAACTTCTCTGTGCCGCGATGCAGGAGACCAACGTGGGGATCCGCACGGATGATCTCCTCACCATTGAGCTCCAAGATCAATCGCAATACACCGTGCGCAGCGGGATGTTGAGGGCCAAAGTTGACGGTATAGTGGCGAACTTTGCGAGACTCGTACTCATCGCCCAAGCTAGTGTCCGGGACCTTGTTTGGCTTCTGATCTTCGTCGGCCAGATTCTTCGTGAAGGACTGATCAGTCTCGGTTATCTTCATTGTCAGTGGCGCATCCTCGGTAGGTTGTGCATATCTTCGGGGGGTAGTGGATGCGGCTCGGCTCAAGAGGGGTGTGCGAAGGGCACTTTGGAAGGAGGGTCGCAGGCACAAACGTTTCGCGCTGTGCGCGAGGCGAAACGGTACTGCCATTGTCGATAGTGTTGGGCTACGCCCGGCGTAGACAACTCAATCGGTGGAGGCCAGTTCTGAGCGCGGATGCTGGGAAGAGGGGAGAGTCAAGTCGTGGTTCATCTACATTTCACGTACTCGGAGTCGATGACAAGCTGAAGCTTTGGCTGCCTGTGATTGGCTGGCAAAAGCTCAGAATCCAGGAGTTAAACGGATATAGAGTTCACTGCGATTTCTGCCAGTCTGCGGCTCTCGCGCGCCGGAGACTGCCTGAGGACGTCGAGGGACGTCTCCAAAAAGTTTTTGGACTCCCCGCAGCCGACTCTACGTCGAGAATATTGTCCTGGTCTACAACGCCGGCCATGGCTTCCACTGCCAATGACGATGAGGATGCCCGGCGAAGGACCGTTCATATCAATGCGGAGACTGTCACCAACATCACGTCCACCGACTTCCCTGGCCATCACGCTGGCGAGGACGCTTCTTGGTCTCTCCAAAAATTTCGCGACGGCTTGACTGTCGAGTTTCACAAAAACCAGACACACGACGCCGTGTTCTCTCTCGTTGGCATTGATGCCTCTATCGCCAATGCCTTCCGTCGTATACTTCTCGCCGAAGTCCCCACGCTCGCCATCGAGAAAGTCTACGTCCAGAACAATACGTCTGTGATCGCCGACGAAGTCCTCGCCCACCGATTAGGCCTAATACCCTTCCGCGGCTCGATCAGTGGCCTGAAATGGCTGAAATGGTATTTTGCACCCAACGACGAGCAGAATTACAAGGGAATGGATCGTACGGACTACAACACTGTTGTCTTTCAGCTGCAAGCAAAGTGCATGCGGAATCCTGATGGTAGCGATAACCACATCAACGGCAATGTCTACAGCGAACAGATCCAATGGATAGAGCAAGGACGGCAGAAAGAGCAATTTGCAGGCGATCCCATCAGCCCCGTGTCGGAAAAGATCCTCATTGCGAAAATGCGCCCGGGACAGGAACTCGACATGACGATGCATGCGCATCTGGGAGTCGGCAAGGATCACGCAAAATTCAGCCCTGTGGCGACAGCAACCTACAGGCTCATGCCTATGATCACGATATTGAAGCCAATCCTCGGTGCCGATGCGGTCAAGTTCCAGGGGTGCTTCTCGCCCGGCGTTATCGACCTGGAACGCGTTACGGCTTCGGACGTGGCTTCCGGCAACCCTGTGTACGCGGATCGAGAAGGCGATGAGAAAGCAGTGGTGAAGAACCCTTTCGAAGACACAGTATCGCGAGAATGTCTCCGACACGACGAATTCAAGGGCAAGGTGAAGCTGGGCCGGCGACAGGATCACTTCATCTTCAGCGTCGAGAGTACGGGCCAGTATCCCAGTGACATTCTGTTCTCGGATGCCGTGGGCGTGCTGAAGTACAAGGCCAAGAGGCTTCTCAGAGCAATGGAAGAGATAGATGGGTGAAGTGACGGTCAGCCCTGCGATTCTGGCGCGGGATATCATAATGAACAGAGAGCATGCCGAGGAGGCTTGTCCACGGCAATATTGGGTGGACGCAGCGTCAGGCTACACCCTGATCGCAACAGCGACAACCGGAGTCGACTCAGCAGACACGCTTTCCGGTCTGCAATCTGGAGCAGAAGTTGCATTATCGAACTTCTTAGCGTCCACCGGGACTGGCCGCAGTGGCTGGAGCCCGCCCCACCAGATCTCGACTGGGGAGGCTGAGGAGGAGCAAATGAGGAAAAGGGGACGCTGGGCGTGTAAAGACGGCTGAATTCTAGATACCGTGATGGCAACATCAGTCTTCGAGTCTACATTCTCTCTTCATTTGTAAACCAGCTTGAACTTGAAGCTAATCGCAAATGCCGCATCACTGACGCCCACCTCTTCACCATCTGCCACCAATTCGCTCAATTTCTTCTTCAGATTTGGACGCGTCGTCTCCTCCAGACTCGGGGGCGCCTGGTAGTATAGTGTCTTGGCCTCCGTACGAATGCTCGGCTTCTTTAGTTGTGCCTCCGCGCGCTCGGCCAGGCTGGCTAGGAAATCCTCGAGACTTGTGTCTGGGTCAATAACGACGGTCTTGGCCATATTGCCGCAGACGGGGCAGTCTGGCAGCTTCTCTGCTTGGAAGGTGTACGTATACAGTCCGACACCGTCGGAGTCGCCGGTGTACATCATGTAGTTGTCCAGGTAAGGTGCACAAGAGGATGCAATCTTGAGGGCTTCATTCGTGCATGCGGCGGCGATGATGGCATTGGTGGAGGCGATCGCAGGAATGATGTTCTTGACAACACCCTGAGTCATGGAATATGTTACTCCAGAGATGTTGAACTCTTCCGCACGCTTAAGTGCTGTGGTGTATAGCCAGGTTATGTGCTCGGGGTCGTCAGTATCAAGGGTATCATCCTTGCGATGCTCTTCCCAAGCGATGATGTGCGCCCATTCAATGCAATGTTGTGGCTGGCGTGGGATGGTGGCAAGAGTGCAGAGTGGGACAGCGGCGCGGGGTGCATGCATGGACAGCTGACACTCGATGCACGATGAGATGGAGGGTAGAACGACACGAGCCTGGCCTTTGAAGCCTTCTGTGCCGCCATCGACTAGTGGTTTGAGAGATTCAGGCTTTTCGTGGTCGATCATTTCGACTAACGTAGCGTTAATCCAACGGCGGGCTTCGATGCTGTCAAGGCCACAGACAACGAGCGTGAACTGCATATAGAAGTCTTCATCGAAATCCTGGATTTTGCAGTTGTGGGGTGTAATTTTGACGTCGGGCACGCGGCGCTGCACAAAGGCGGCGGCCACTTCAGCCTTAGACTTGCCAACATCTGCTTGACGGAAGAGAAATTGCCGATTGAGGTTAGAGACATCGATCGTGTCCATGTCGATAACGTGAATGTCCTTGAAGCCAGAGAGCGCCAGGTTCTTGAGAATTTCGCACCCGAGACCACCGGCACCGATGACTAGAATCTTAGCAGCAGCTACCGCCTGTATTACCTCCGGTCCTGGTTGATAGAGTTCATCCGAGTAGGGCGATTCGGTCTCTAGGATGCGCTGAAGATACTTCCATCGTTCACTCGAGTGGGGCGGCTCGCCATTTGTGAGGAGCGAGGACACAGGGATGGACATGATGCCGACAATAGGTTAAAGGTGACGATGGAGGTATGTCTCAGTCCCAAGTATCTGATTGAGGTTTTGAGGACGAACAGCCAGGACCAGATGTCGAGGTAGCCTTTCTGCCTTGTTTGCTACCTGAACCGCCACCGAAGTGCACTTATCCACTAGGCGTCCCTCCGCAGATTCGGACCTATCAGGTGACTTTGGCACGGCGTTTCGCAGCTTGAACAGAATCCAGAAGAGCCCTGGAAGATCGAAAAGTGCCTGGAGACGGCGTAAGATGACACATGCAGCTAAAGGTAAGAGCGATGCTTGGATGCCTGCCCGTTTGCCTCCAAAGCGCCTTGGCACTCGATAGCGCCGAATATTTGCCTTGTTAGCCTTATCTTCTCAGCTACAACCCCTCCGAACTCCTGCATCAAGCGCGGCATCAGGGGCGATTCAGTCTGCGGATCGATTTTCGACCACGAGGTTGCCTCCACCGTCGAGACAATCAGAGGAGATGGACATCTTCGGTCGCTCTTGCTCGACGAATTCCAAGCGCCAGCCCCAACGTTAATACAGCTGCAGTCTCGTGTCCAACCTGGTTGTTCCTCACACATCTCCCGCAAAGTGGCGTCTGGCGATCTTGCCATTGGCTCTCGACTTCATTATCCCAGATGGATCAGTTACTAAACCTCGAACGGTCCAAATCCGCAGGTAAAGTGAAGGGCAATATCGATAAGTTCGAGAGCCTCTCACTGCGCGAGCACAGCAACTCAGACCGACCAACCAGCGCGAAATCGAAACGGTCCATTCTCGAGATTACTTCTACCGCCAGCAGCGACGACATTAGCACTAGTGATTCTTTCGATCTTCAGATCTCCAAGCAACCATCCAAGGCCTCTTCACAGACGACTGTTGAAGCCGATCCTGCCTCTGATAAGCGAAGGAAGCGTGAATCGGCTGCTTTCCTCCAGAAGTCGTACCTGAACCGAGAGAGCGATACCATCGACAGTCTGCCCGATGATGCTAAGGCAATACTCAAAAGCCAACCTGATTACGAAGATCTCCTCGCCGTCCTTCAGTACCTTGAATGTGGAATCCAGGGCAAGCATGATTTCAATGTGCATGTAACTGGACCGAACGCTTCCCAGATCATTAATGCATTAGTCACTGTCACCATTCCCGATCACTGGCCCGTCCTCCGCATCCATAAGCTACCTAAGCAACACGAGCTAGTCAAGCAATTGATCGTGCTCACCTTTCGAAGCGTCGCAGGAATTGGAGCTCTCCTCATGCAGATCAGGAAGCTCGGTGCAAACCCCAGAGAAAACACCTCTATCCTCGAGGATACCATCGCCGTCCTCCAACTCGTGCTCCATAAAGAACAGTTCCTCGGCATGATGCTGCGAGACGCTCGAAGATTATCTCCTAAGGAAACACAGCGCCGTCTACACTGGCAAGAGGTGGTGTCATTGGTGGGGGGCAGCAAAATACTGTCATTCGTTGCCCAAGCCATGACCGCAGGACACATATCGACAGGTCGCTTAAAGTGGTTGGGTGACGGCAACGAGTATTGCAAATGGCTTGCCAAGAACGTGGCAATTGTTGCGATTGATCTCAGTCCACAGGACTTGGAAGCGTGGGTTATGCTTGCTCAGGTTGTGAAGCGGGCACTCAATCTTGGCTATCGAGGTGAGTCGAATGCCTGTGAGTACTACCCTTACTGATCCAGCAGACACTTTCGTATCTGAGCTCTATCATTCACTACTGCTCGGTAACCAGGCGCTGTGGACGCCGCTACGGACGTTGTTAAACCATCTCACTGCACAAGAGCAGCGACTGTTCTTTGATGCCATGCTGCGAGACCTGGTCCGGAAATATTTGCGACATGGGCCTGTCACTAGTCCGTCACAAAAGAACGGGCTGGAGAGCGAGTCAAATGTAGGAGGAGTTGCGGCCATGGTTTCCGGCATGGCTCAGAATAATACCGTCCTGGAGGATCATATCGTTCAGTGGCTAACAAGCACCAATGGGAAGTATGCAAGTCTTGGTCTTGACACCCGTCGGGCCGTTATTGCAACATTGGCGCTCCGTCAGGGTAAGTGCATCTCGTATAGCTCTAGAGCTGCTAACACCCATTCAGACAAACTACAGAGTATACTGGACAAGTGCTTAGAGAACTTTGGCGACAAGCTGCAAATCCAGCACAACCCTATCTTACAGCAAGAGTGTAAGTGAGATCACGGATATCAGCAGCGCCTGTGCTTACTTATTTGACCAGCAATGGCTGAGGTACTACTCTTGACTATTGGGTATTTGCATCGTATGAACCCAGAAGCAATCAGGCTTGTGTCCAAGAGCGGAGTATTTCTTCACACTGTGTCGAGTCGACTCTCCGCCTCTGTGCCGCGGGTACGCTTGCTTGGCATGATCATTGCGACGGCGGTCTCTAGACTTGTTGATGGCCCTGAGAAGGCCATGAGTTTTGGCGTTGATGAGCTCGAGGCCGACGAAAGCCAGCATTTGTTAGATCTTGTGAACATCAAGGATGAAGTTGGCAGCATCCAGAAGCTGAGGACCCAAGATTACACCCCAAAGCCTGACCCTATTGAATCCAACATCCTCCCCAGAGTGAAAGTAAGGAGAAGTACCCGACCGCAGCAATCCAAGATCATCGCCATTGAGGAGATTGAGGATGACCCAGGCGAGGAATCGGAAGACGAAGACCTGATACCCTATCAGAAGCCCGACGAAGACCCATCGGACTCTGACGATGATCCAACCCTTATCAACCGGGACAAGCCTTCAGCCCCTGTCTACATAATTGACCTTATCAAACAGTTGCAGAGTGACGAAAAGCCAGATGTGATAGAGCTGGCACTCAAAACCGCCCCGTCGCTGATCCGACGCAAAGCCAACTTTGGCACCGAGATCTCGGACAATGTTCAAGTCGTTGCTTCTGCCCTTATGAACCTCAGGTCGCCCATTCTCGACACCGCCGAACTCCATCGTCTTCGCCTAGAGTCACTCATCGCCTGCCTCATCTCCCAGCCTCGGCTCATCGCACCCTGGCTCGCGTCGTTGTACTTTGAAGGTGACTACTCACTCGATCAACGCGCCAGCATCCTCAGTACCCTAGGAATCGGTGCCCGGGAGTTTGCTGGCTTGGATACCCCTACTCCCACCTCCGAATCAAGTGTTGCGTTCCCATCCCAACAGCTTCCACCACGTCTCGCCTCGATTTACGCACCAATCGAATCCACCGCCCGCCAGATCGAGCACAGCACCATGCAGCCCCTAGCGCTCGCCGCCGCCGACAAACTCTCTGGCCCCGACGTCCTCAAGGTGCGGACCTTCTCTTCTCGGCTCGACGTCGAGAAACGGCGCAAAGAGCAAGCCGCGGCGCGCACAAAGCGCATTCCCAAGGACCTGCACAAATTGCTGGCCGAGTGCTTCTTCCTGCCCCTCTGCAGTCGACTGAGTCTGGTGCTGTCCAGTAACACCATCGGCTTCACGCGAAGTAGCAGCATCTTCGACCCTAACATCATCAGGCTCTACCTGCAGACGCTGATCATCGTGTTGAACGCGCTGGGTCCCAATGCCGTGGAGCTAGGAACGGTTACGCGCGAGGCGCTGGTGCTGCTGGAGGCGCTGACGGGCCAGGCGCTGGCACTGGATGCGGTGGTGTTGCCGGCGGTGCTGCATCTGTTGCTGGTGGTGTTGGACCTGACGGTGGAGGCTGGGCGGGCGGCGGAGGAGAGGCTAATCACGGAGCTGGGGGCCACGGTGGCGGAGGTGATGAGGTGGGTGGGTGGGCTGGAAGATAGGGGTGTGCCGGTCGTGGATGTTGAGGGCGTGGGCGGTGGGCTGCAGTGGAATGCGTTGGCTGCTGGGTTGCAGGTCAAGTGGCATGAGATGGGGGGAAGGTGGCAGGGGAGGATGCTCGGGCTGATGGGGGTGGAAGGGATGGATTTCGACTGAGCCGGATTTCAATTTCAGAAGGAGGCATGGTCTAATGATGGGTGTTTTGTGGCTGTGGCTTTTGCTCGGCTATGTAAAATAGCACCGTCTGTGTGATGTGCTCATGAGTGTTGTTGGTTGGGCCGTGTGTCTATTATTGACATTCGAGACTTTCTTTCCAATCCCATACCCTACCCCGGTCTTCGTTTCATGGAGCCTTGCTCCGGTATACACCTAGTATTCACGTAAAGAGCTTCCTCCCCATAAATAACATTGCCCAAGTATTGTCAACCAAAAAAAAAAAAAGAACCGACCGTTCGTTCGCGTGGAGCTGAAAATGTTTTCCGTCTGTTTCGTTTTGCACCGACGGGCCTCTTCGTGTGCTAAGAAGGGCTCCTCGAGCCTTCCCCAGTCTACTCCGAATCTCGGTGCATGTGCTTCTTAACGCTGCCCCAGCGCTTCTTCAGGCCGGTGCTCAAGCTGCCAGACCGCTTCATCTGGCCATCGCCGCTGCCGCCTTCGGCGAAGACACCGGTGCTGGCCAGCGCGCCGGTCGCGGAGCCGCTGCTCGCGTGGCGGGTGTGGGGCTGGGACTTCATCTCCATGCCGAGCTGCTCGGGCTGGTCGCGGTAGGCGCCTTTCTCCAGCCGGTGGTCTTTGAGGGCCTTTTCGATCGAGTAGCTCGGCTCGCCTTTGCCTTTGATGTCGTCCGGGTGGTACTGCACACCGGGCCACTGTTTGTAGGCACCGCCGGCCGGGTTGGCGTCGACCATCATATTGCTGCCCTCCTCATACTGGTACAGGTGGCCGTTGCGGTCCATCTCGCCGGGTGCGTAGGTCGCGACACCGTCGAGCGGTCGATGTCGTTGTAGGCTGTCGGCGATGCGTTCTTTCGGCGTCGCGCGGAGAGTCTCCTCGTTGGAGTCTACGAGGGCGCCGAGTGGGCCGGAAGAGGAGTTGTTGCGTGCGAAGAGCGTTGCGTCGTAAGGGCCGCCGTGGTGGTATGCGGCGCCCGCCGCATCGTCGAGACTGTCGATCGTGTCGGGCTGAATGCGGTGCTTGCGGGAGGTCTGTCGGGCGCGATCGGCCTTTCGCTTTTCATGCGCTAGCTGGTCGAGAGGACGATGCGACATGTCGCCCGGGAACTTAGAGTTAAGAGAAGAGCCACGGCGGCGATGTTGGGTTGGGGGTTGGAGGGTGTCTGGTGGATGATTGGCAACGCGGGGGGACGCAGACGGGGGTGGCGAGGGGTAAGCCTTTGTCGAGGCCGATGGCGATTTCAGCGAGGAGCTGCGAGCGAGATCTTGGACGGGCGGAGGGGAGCCGAGGGACTTGCGATATGGATTGTTCTTTGTGAGCTTGGAGCCTGAGCTGCGCACCGAGGCACTTTTGGTGATCGAGGGCGACGTTGGAGTGGGCGGTTGCGCTTGTGGGCGGAAGGAAGTGCCTGGGCCGTCTTCTTCAGAGGGCTGCGGTGCACTTATAGGGTCGATGAGATATTCTGTGGCCTATTGACAGTTAGTGACGTCGTGCGGAATGCTGGAGGTTGATGCGCACCCAGTTCTTTGTGCCGGGCTCCATTTTAGCTGGAGTCGTACGATATTGTGCAAGTCGGGAGAATTATAGGTGTATAGGTCAGATACTGGGGAGAAGAATGGACGGGGAGACGGCTGGGAGGTATATCTCCCACTTGACCGTTAGCGACTGTTGGTATGGCCGCGGGAGCATGGATCGTGACTGGGTGCTGGTGGTGGTCCCTGGGTGGCAGCTGGACCACCACCACCACCAATCACCATCGACGTCATCGGGTGACTGGGGTTTGTGTCTCTTTTTTTCGATCTTCGCACACGTACTCCCTCCCCACCTCTGCTCAAACCTCGCCAATCACCACAGTCCGAGACTCGTCTTCATGTGAGAGTCGTTGTGCTTATTGTGCTTATCTGTGACCGTTGCCCATGCCTCCGGGGCTGTGCTATTCCGGGACTTCCATACTTCAGACCTTCCACGACCTTGTCCACCTCATCGACGCTTGGCAGGCACACTTGCCTATGACGGCATGGCTCCTCTGGTCGACTACTCGGATTCCGCTGACGAGGCGGATGAGCTTCATGAGCCTCAACCGGCACCCAAACGAAGAAAGCTTAGCCTGAACAAAGCTGTGCCTACCCTGCCTGCGTCCTTCTTCTCGCTTTACGCGACCAATGTGCGAACTGCCGCCGAGGACGATCCATCCCTACATGGTGGGCGTGTAAGGCAGGTTGCTCACAAAGAAGGCAATTGGCCAACGCACATCTATCTTGAATGTGGGTATTTCCCCTGCTACCAACCTGGTGCTAACCCGTGCAGGGTATCCCCAGGAGCGGCATGAAAAAGATATTGACTTTATGATTAAGAGTGCCCAGCAGGCTGACGCCAATGTTCACTCCTTTTTGCGGTCGAACTTGGGGGTTCAACTTCCGCTACATATCAGCTTGTCGGCTCCTCTGGTACTCGAGACTGAGCAGAAAGATGCCTTTCAGCAAGCCGTCAAGGACGCCATCAGGGACCCTGGCGTCAGGTCTTTTATAGTGAGTCCAGTTTCTGTTGATTGGGTGCCCAATTCCGATAAGAGCCGGTATTTCTTGGTCTTGAAGTTGACACGGCCCCCCAACAACGATCTGAACAAGCTTCTACGAGCATGCAATGCGTGCGCTCGGCGCTACAAGTTACAGGAACTGTATCAAGCTGCAGAGCCGGAGCTGAGTCCGAACTTGGAGACACGAACCACCGAAAGCAAAGACAATCCTTTTCACATTAGTATTGCGTGGACGCTTTACAAGCCCTCGGTGTCAGCCACAGATGCATTGAAACAGGCTCTGCCCGCTGAGCTGACGGAGGCAAGCATTGCATTCGACACAGTCAAGCTGAAGATCGGGAATGTGGTCTACGATCTTCCATTATTGGCTGATGTGGGTGGATGAATGATTCCGCTATGTACCAAGGTATGTGTCTTCAGTTGCCTGCACCGAGTGCAGCGAATCACTATGGCTGTACATCGGCAATGGCCACGCCGAGCTCACTATCTCCCTGGCCGTAGTAGAGATACCACTTGCCCTTGAACTGCACAAGGCCTTCGGCAAAGACCACCTGGTCAACCTGCCCTTCCTGCTCGTTGCCTGCTTCCGGCACTAGCAAAGGGTGTTCCAGTCTAGCCACAGGCCCATTCCTCAATGCTGGTTGGTACTGCCCTTCCTGCACGGTCAAGTTGGGCAAGAAGCTCAGCGTCGGATCGATCAACATCTGTCCCACCGAGTACTGGTTCTGCGGGTAACCAACACGCCCTGTGGTCATGCCGTTGTATACGAGCAACCACTTGCCGTCTCGCGTCTTGATCGGTGCCGGCCCAGGTTCAATCAACCGGTTCTCCCAGGGATTCATGGGGGCGGCGAAGTATGCGTCCGGCGGCTGAGCAGTCCAGTTCCGCAGGTCTGGCGATGTGGCGTGGTAGAAGAACGAATCTCCAAAATACATGTGATACAGACCGTCGGCGGTGGGCTCGCTGACGATGGCGCCGGATTTGCTGTGGTTGAGCCGCGGGCTGGGCACGTCAATGTCCGAGTAAGCGACATCCTGCCACCCCGGAAACAAGGGTGGCTGTTTCGTCCAGTTCAGCAGATCGGTAGAGCTGGCAATGCAGAGTTGGGCGGACGAGTTGTCAAAGGCTGTGTAGGTCATGTAAAAGGTATTGTTGATGCGCACCAGCCGCGGATCCTCGGTCCCACCGATCGCTTCCCACGCCTCGGTCGCGTAGAGGATGGGCTGGGACAGACGCGTGAAGCTCACGCCATCCGTCGACCATGCAAGGCCAATAGACGACGTCTTGGACTCATTCTGCGCGCGATATAGCAGGAAAATGGTCTCGTTGAGCACAATGGCCGTCGGGTTGTACAGGTAGGCCGACTCCCAATCGTTGGCCGGGTTCGGCGTCAGGATGGGGTTGCCGGAGTACTTGTTGAAGGGCAGGATGGGGAAGATTGGTGCGGTGTAGTTGGCGTCGCCCTCGACGGTCGCTTCGGTGATGTTGAAGGGCAGCTCTGTAGCCGAGGTGGCGTTGCCTTGTTGCGCCCAGGCTGTGAATGGCAGGCTACTTAATAGGAGCAGTGCTCGATACATTATTGGAAAGTTGGCGAGGTTTGTGTGTTTTACCCCAGATATTCCCCACGTGGACACTGGAGCAATATGTACATGTACCTCACACCCTGAAAGCTTACCTCTACTGGCTCGTGGTGGGGAGCATCGTCAGTGGCGTCTCATTGCCAAGACCATCTACTGAGGGGGTGGTACCTGGCGGACTGAAAACGCGGAGATGTCGGGCAGCGAATCTCTGCTGTATGCGAATTCATCACTTCATTCTTCTACCTCGTGACCAATGCTACGCCGCCCTCATCGTCTGTGTCGTCGCCATCGCTGATACTCATCTTCTCTGTGAGCAATTCTGAAATACCTGTCTCAGCTTTCTTGGGATTTTTCCTGCCCTTGGCTTTGGGTACTGCGAATGTCAGCGACGCAGTGTTAGCTTTCCACGGGCAACAGATCTCACCTGTATCTGGAGGTTTACCAAGGCTGACAGCATCGAGAATAGCAGGATCCAAGCCTCTGGGCAGACTCTCCCATGTGATCGAGTCGAATTGCCGCATGCGTTTTGAGGGCCCTGTTTGTTGCCTCAGTTGTTCGATGGCCGTGGTACGAATTGATTTGACCATCCTATTCAGCATTGCCCTCTCATGGATCGCGCTCTCCGAATTTTGCTCCTGGGCATCCGAAGCACTCATCGGTGGCACCCAGTTGAGATAGATCTTCTGGTGGGAAGCCGGTTGGGCAAGGTCTCCGGGGTGCTCGCGAAAGTACAAGCTACAACAGTAGCATGCTGGCTTGCTCGCGCCAATGTAACGATCGCTGTCGTAGAACTGGAGTATCTCACGGTTGCGGTAATAATGCTCCAGGAGAATGAGCTCGGCATGGATCTGTGGCTTCTGACCTTTTTCTGAATATTCCTTTCGGATAGTCTGCTCTAGGTCCATGGCTTGGTTCAACAGCTCGAGGCGACCTTGGACCTCCTTCGTCAGCTCTCCGTCGTTGCTGGCCAGGCGGTTCGCGATCCCAGAAAGCGTCAGTTGATTCCTTGCTCTTGGAATGGGCGCGGGAGAGGTAGGTCCAGTGACAATTTCGATCTCGAAGTCTTTGAACAGAATTGGGAGGCGTCTGGCCGCAACCAACAGCACTTTTACGACCTGGACGTGGCTGCCTATCCGGCCAACAAAATGTCGTAGCTCGGCAAACGGATTGCGACCATGTCCGTAATCTTCACTCCTAATTGCTTGTGCGGTAATGATGCTCATATCCTGCGATTTGACCATGGCGAAACATCTTCGGCAAAGGTCAACATACGACTCGGCTGACTCTTCGAGGACTTGCGCAATCTTTTGCAGCCCTGGGGTTATCTACAGTTAGCCGCCAGTTCCAGATCAGAGGGAGGTGTCAGGTTTTACGTTGACGAATCTCGGTTCCTGCTGCCAATTCGAAGCAGATCTTCAATCTTATCTGAAGCATTCTTTTGTAAGCTTTGATCCTTTTCTCGCTAAATTGAATACATTCGGCAAGCAAACTTTGACTCCTATCCCTATCATGTTCGTCGACATTCTCCAGTTGGTTGAGCACGGATTTGAGAAAAGCCAACACCTCGCCGGGATCGGAGGGCTTTTTGTTACGGGCCAGATGATACGTGAGAGGCGGAGATGACACAAATATTGCCGTCATTGTGTCACCGCCCTTCTCACTGTCGCAGATGTATGCCAATGAATCTAGTAACCGTCTGCGGAGATCGGCTGTTGATTCATTGTCGGGAGGCGAAAGGTTGTCCCTTGGACGCGGCATTCTCTCACCTTGGACCCTATTAAGGACACCAAGAAGGACCAATGGCTCGTAGAAGCGGTGGAGTGTTTTGTTTCTCGGGTTGGAGGGAGGCTTTTGGGTCCTCATTGTTTCGAGCCAAAGAGAAGTGCCAACCTCCGCTGGCCTTGTTCATGAACTTCGACGAAATATGGGTGAGCATATGACTGTCCTAGACCAAAACAAAGAGGAAAAGGTCAAGGATCATGACTATTTGTTGAATAACACCAGCTCCATGTCCCATCAAGCTGAGATATCTGAGCAGCCGATAGCATTGTAGCCACCTCAGCGGCTTCTTGATCCCGATGTGCAGCCAGGGGCTGGAGAGAGCCGAGTTCGAAATGGGGAGGCCAATCGACTCGGGAAGTTGTCTTCTTGAGATTGTCATTCGATGCTGAATCATTGAGTCCAAGGCTTGCGTTCAAGAGAGGAGTTGGACCACGTTCATGCTGATTCGTCGTCGTTCGAAAGTCCGCCTTTGACTGCATGGCTCGGCAGGTCGGGACTCACGTCAGAGCATCCGTGCCATGTTGTCGCGCTTGGTTGGTGCAATTATTTGCGGTTATCATTGGCTTAAGAACGATAATTGGCCAGTGCAGTTGGTCCTGCGATGCAACCTCCTTGGTCATGAGTCTGTGCTGCAGACTAATCTGCCGTGTGTCAATTTAGCTCGACATTGAGTTTTTCTGAACTCCAGGGCGTTGCTACACCTCGATGAGGGATGTCTCTGGTGCCTTTCGTTTATATCTAGCATGGTTCACCATCGGTTCTATGCTAGGCTCCAACATCTTAGGGTTGTGTTCCGATGGGGGACTTCGTGTACCCGGCCGAAGGGTGTTTCACCGCGCCTGATAAGGTAATCGAATGTTTCGGTACCGGCTGCCTGTACTCACAGAAACGTAGGAAGCCGAGGAGATCAATTCCTTCCTCGCGTGGATCCACAATCGAAGCAGTCACGACGAAGCATTCGCAAGAATTCTCAACTACCACATCAAAAGAAAAGGTGAAAACGACGAAAACCGAATGGCGAAGTTTTTCGCCCTCAGGGGTCCTGACGAAATCACCTCTACCTTGCTGCACGCCGAATTAGACAACTGGCTTCAAGATCCATATACATTCTGGGTCCGACCTGGGAGGAGATCTCACATGTCTAAGGTTCCTCTTATCGAGATCGTGAAAAGCTTTATCCAAACCGAGCGAGACGATGCCTAGTCTCGTATCGTACGAAGACTCCTTTGTCTTCTTTTGGTAGAGCGACCAATGCAACCTGACAGTCTCCAAATTACTCAACTAGCAAGCAGAGATGTTGGCCTAGATTACAAGCACGTGCTGATGACTTTCAATCAAATGAAAGATGCGGGTTCTCGGTACAGAAACCTGGAGAAAGCTCTGGGGGAAGGAGTGATATTCGTGTTGGGTCAGGATCTCCCTGAGACCCAGTAGGTTCCTACCGAAAGTGATCTCCGGATCTTCGTTCTCATCAGTTAACAGTTGGACGAAGCTTTTACCAAAAAGCGGCAACAAATTCGACGGAGTGGTTGCTCATCTCCGCAGCGTCTACTCACCTGTCACACGACAGCGATTGCCTGAGTTGCGTCGAGCTGTAATCCAGCAGAAGCTAGCTGAGCTAGAATCTCTGAGAGCGCAGCAAGATGTGTTCGACTGCGGGAGTCCAGCAAATTCTCAAAACTGGCAGTCCGACGTCTCTGTGGCCTCTTCCCACCATCAGAGCCGCTCTGGTGTAGTCTATGTAGATTTCCCGACGGTGTAACAAAGGTCGACACCTGGAGTGGAAGCATTCAGGCTTGGTGTCCCGGCGACCACCAACAACGATTGCTGTGAGAAAATGACAAGCTGTATGGAACTTAGCAGGAATATGTATGACATGGTATTGCTGTTTCTCAAGAAAATGTTCGGCATACCGTCTAAATTGATACATCGCGCTTTCAGAACATACTTCCTACGACCTTCTGGAAGATAGATTCGCCCTGTCTCAATTTCCTCTGGCGGTCGAGGTAGATTTGTCTTTTGCGTTTTACTGACTCCGGCTCAGCCGCCACACTCATTACCTCACCGTCGGTCATGCCGATAATGTCGAGAGGAGAAAAGACTTTGTCAAGTCCGCGTACCAGATGCCTCTCTACCACCTGTGCAACGACATTCGCCACAAACGTTTGTTGTTGCGCCTAGTGCAAGATTAGCATTCTGACAGCCTTAAGAAATCGTACCCACAGCGTAAATAGAGAGCAGGCTGTCCAGGACATCATCACAGCTGTATTGCTCCAAATCATGCTCAACTTTATCGCCGTAGTTACGAACCGCTGCTGCAACGTCAACTTTGGCAGATGTGTGATCGGACTGACACGCATCCAGCCGCTTACGTGTGGTAGCAGCCTCCACAGATGCTGCCAGGTCAACCTCGGTTCTTTCCCTTCGCGCCTCCTGTAGTCGTTTTGCGTACGCAGGGTCGTGAATAATGGGAAAGTCTTGTTTATCAACAAGGAGCCGGTCCAGCTCTTCGTGCGCTCTCTGCTCTCGGTCCTTCAACACTTCGGACACCTTGGTCACGGACAGACGAGTGTACACATCTCGGGCGCACTTCTCCCGTAGCAGGGTGTCAAAGAACATCTGACAGGCAGCAGACACCACCCATAAATGCTGCTGAGCCACGTCTTTCCATTTGGAAGACTGCTCCCAGAACAGCTCGCCGATGACAAGGGGATTGTAGTTGCCCATGGGCTCTCGACCTCGCGACCGAAGAAGGACGCGGTTGACCCAAGCTCGACCCTCCGCCAGGGAGAGTACAACCGGAGAGCTGGGCATGTCGTTGTTAGACTGGGAGACGTCTGTCTTGCCCACGAACCTGCCATTTCCGATTTCGTATTTTGCTCCTTCCGTGCGCAGCCTTGTCGCAAATTGGTTGTTGGCGAGTTGAATCACGGCACGAAGCCGACGGAGACACGACGAGGAATCGACTTCGAAATCGACTTCGAAATCATCTTCACCCACCACGACGAAAAAGTCGCCCTCATAGTGGCCGCGGATAGCGTCGCTCGTAATGCCCATGCAAGTCAAACTGAGGTCAGTAAGGTAATGTCTGCACTCTTGAGATGTTACTCGCTGCGAGCCAAGGCTGTCAAGTTGCGAAATCGTCTCCGATAGGGCAACTTGAAGATCTTTACGCAGGCTGGGCAGCTCGCGCTTCACATGATCAAAGAGGAGACGGCTGAGTCGCGATCGAAGCGCGTCGACTCCACGAGAGTCGGCCGGAAGTTCTTTGAAGTTTGAGCTCCGAAAGTAGGAGTCTTCGGAAGCGTGCCGCTCGCGAAGTGAGTAATGAGACTCCTCAAATTTTCGATTCTTGACCACATGCCAGCCAAGTTTGAAGAAGATGTCCTCATTCCGAGCAAGACTTAAAAAGGCTGCTTCGCTGCCAGATCCAGGAGGAAGCTGATCTGGCTTCGTGATGATGCCGAGAGTCCGCTCTCCCTCGGGATCGACTTCTCGCACCCTGGTAAGGATGCCCTGATTTGCGTAGTCGTTAGCACCGGAAACGACAGCCAAGCAAATCGTTCGGGGTTGCTCGATATAGGAGTCGGTGATCTTTCTGACCATATCGAGATCGTGTTTGGTTACGCCCTTGGTATCGGTCTGGATTAGGCCAGGGACATCAACTAGTGTCAGATGAGGTCGGTGAGGTCCTTCAATCTCGATACTCAGGACATCCTGAGCGAACGCTCGCTTCGAATCCGTCGGTGTATTCAGTCCCATCGTCAGCTTTGCCGCTTCTGTGACCGCAGGTAGCTCAGCGAGGTCCTGAATCATTTCCGAAAAGGAGGAGATTGCTGTCTGCTCCGCGGATGGTCGCGCAGAGTCGGGAATGATACGCAAACGAACCGTTTCGAGCGGCCCACGACGAAGAGTAATCTCGGTCGCGAACCGTGTGCACAGGTTGTCGCTGCGAGGGAAAGGGATTCCCGTTAATGCCTCGAGCACGGAACTCTTGCCGGATGATTGATCGCCGCACACAACAAGCTGTGGAAGAGAAAGGACGGCATCCAAACCACACATTCGGATTTGGCCAATGGTGTCGAGGACGTGACGTTGTTCGTCGGACTGTAATTCCTCCAGAGAGGCAGTCGACGGTCCAGTGCTTGTCATGTGTCTGTTACAGTCCATTTCCTCTGACGCTAGCAGCCTCATGTGCAGTCACACAAATCCAAGGAGATCTTGTGAAGCCGTCGATGCAATACTAGTATGGATGGTGGGACTCAATGGGCGTACATGTCAATAATCGTCCGCTGACCTGGAATGGCGTGCTGTGTCTCAGCATTCGAGTGCGAGGATCTCGCAAGGGTTTATGAAGCATGGGTTAGGATATTCGGCAGCAAGTTCAGATGTTAGTGAAGCGACCCTTCACGCATACGAGTCACCTGGATCCATCTTCTGGTGGTTGCATTGTCAAGCTCCGGCGTGCAGGGTCTACAGGCCCGGCATCATTTAGTATGGCCTTCGAGATGAGCAGATCAGTGGGATTGCAACTACAGCATTCCGAAGGCTGGGATTGGACTGTCTTGTCTGCATCATGCGCAGTGGGTGATGTTTGATGTAGACGTGCTAACATGCTGTCGGTTGTTCTGACCTCGCAGGATGCTAAGCGGCCGCTAACTTGCGGTACGGCATTTTAGAACAAAATCGGAAAGTTTAGTGAAGAGTTGGTCCAATAGGGAAGTCCCCAACCTCCAAGTACTAGGTGTGGGAAAGGGAAGTGCGACATCAGATCACCAGGCTGTGGTTCATGGTTGGGAGAGATCACGGACAAGAAGCCCGCAGGGGGTTGGCTCCTGTACCTATCAGACGTACCGTTCCAAAGTTCATGCGAACGTACGTGGTCACCATCGGTACGAGCTGGAGGGCGTGCGTCGGGATACGTGGCTCCAGTCGGTGCCAGTGGCCGAGCTTAGCCAGTCTGCATTGTGCCAGCCTTGCGGACCAAACTGCGTCTCGGCTCTGGTTCGCTGTGCCAGGATATGAGTCGGTCCCCTCGAACAAGTTCATCTGGCGAGGCATACCAACCGGGACCTGCGATACAAAAATAGAACGGCCGATGGCCACTACACATCAGCTCAAGTACCCAGACCATGGGAGAGAATACTGATCATCTAGCTGCAAGCATAGCATTATTAAGGAGCCAAGGTGCTGTGCCTGGAACACCTGGCGTTAACACGGTCGATCAACATGACTCATGGGATGAGCCAGAAAATGGCAGAGTGCTTTCTCTCAAGCACGAGATTATTGTAGCTCAACAGCTAGCATTCGTTGTCGCGTACTCAGACGATCCCCTGCACGTTCTAGCGGTATGCGTCGAAGAATTTCGGTCAAGCTGCGGACTCTTTATTCAATTAGCAGCCAACTCGGGCAGGCATCATGTTCTTCTCGAAAGTTTACGTGGAATAGTTGAAGTCCTTCAAGCTGAAGCCAGGGCCGGTCCTTGAGAACTGACGGCAACAGGGCACCAAAGCATCAGCAACTATGCATTACTTCGTGCCACTCTTGCGTTGAATCGCATGCGCATTTTGTCCCGTATCAGATCGCAGCACTCATCATCCTCCCGAGCGCGCAAAAAGACTCCCTTGACGCGCAGACTAAGGACGTTTGAATCGCTACTTCCCGCAGATCCAACAACTTTGGAGGGCTTTCATCGCAGACTTGGTGCCATAATAGAACTCCTGGTTCGAATAGAGGAGACTGAAACCACGAAAGCACGGGCTGGAGGCGCTGATACTGCGTTACTTGCCCTGATACACAGCATTGAAGCCTTGCTCGCGGATTACGAATCAGATTTCGGCCAGGTGCCATACACAGCTGGCCTGTGGAACGATCTGGCACGGTAACAGGCGAGGTTCTTGCAACGCTCGCTTTGATACCGGCAGGCATGGTACAGTACAGCCTTCTTCGGGCTTGTCGACTCGCATCTGATAAGAAAGCGCCTTAGAAACGGCGCCGGCCCCCCCTCCCCCTCCATAGTTTGTCTGTAGTTGCAGACACTATGACAATCGCACATCTTTCCAAGCACGACCTTCTCGACGACCTTCTCGACGACTTGAGTTCGACGCCTCCCTAATATTTGGGCGCCTTCTTGTCCGTGGTGCCCTAGAACGGCTGTGGGTAGATTATCGGCCGACGCGATGCCTCAGCCCTGCTACAACCAGTGGCAGCGGGAAACAGACCACCAGAACAATGTGTTCATGGTTGACCAAGGCGGTGACCCAGCACCCGCAGACTCAGCGTCTGAACTTGCAGTTTCATATTTCGGATACAAGTAGACGGGCTTGATAGTGTAGTCTAGCGCGACGGCGAGACACATTGCCCAATTTCACGCTCGGGAGCGGGACCTGGCCGATACGCTGCACCGGCCAGCCTTGGCCTCATCTAGCTAGTTGTACGGGCAAAGCTCGTGTCATCAAGGGAGCACACGTCTGTATCACCAGCTATAGCTCTCATTGTAGAAGTCGACATCTCCGACGCCGCCGACGTGCTCGCCTAGTGCTTCAACGACCGCCGTCCGTACCGCGTCTGCCAGGCTCGGCGGCCCGCAGCTCACGATGGCGATGCGGGGCTCGCGGCGGCGACGCGACGGGTGGCGCGACTTGTCTTCATCCTCTGAGGCGGTGTCGGAGAGGGAGGCGTTGGTGGAGAAGGTCCAGCGGCAGGCCGAGAGGATGATGCTCGGGATCGGGGGGTGGCCTATGGAGTGAATGGTGACATGCGCGTTGTTGTGCAGGATAGAAGTCGACTTCGGTGGGGAGGGCAGGTTGGGTAGGGGCGGGGACGTCTCGCGAGTGGGCGGCGGGCTCGATGCCGGCGAAAGTAGTGGTGAGTGCTCCGAGGTGTCTTCATGCGTCGGTCCCGCAATAGTCCGGGAATATGCTGCACCGAAGCTATCCGGACTCACGGCGCCGTCCGCTCGTGTGACGTAGACGTCCAGCTCCAGGTGAAACGGCGCACTAGCTGCCATGTCGACCATGACTTCTTCCAGCCGGGGCTTGATTTCGTGCTCGTAGACGTGCTCGAACAAAGCTCGATGCCGCACCGCCCAAACGATGCGAAAGTGGCTGGCTCTGTATAATCGTCCCTTGTCCGCGATAGTCGCGCACAGATCTGTCAGGTACGCCAGTGCGACCGCGATGCCCGTTCCGCCAACCACGAACGTTAGGGAATCGTGGCTCCGTAGGTCGTGGCGGGGGCCGTACGGCCCTTCGAGCAGGACGCGCGCTTTGCAGAATCCACCACCGCTATTCCCACTACCAGCCTTGTTGATTCGCGCCATGTCGGCCAGACGTTGCGTGAAGCCATCGTAAGGGCGGATCAGGAAGTTGAGAGATGGTTTGGCACCGCCGAGGGATGCGACGTTCCAGGAGCTTAGGGTGAAAGGGTGGCTTTCATAGAAGCTCTTGTCGTGCAGGAGGTAGAGGAAGTAGTACTCGCCAGGTCTTGGTTGACGGTTGACGGCGCAGGGCACAGCAAGCGTCACAACGTTGGTGGTTTGGTTCCAGGATATGGTTGAGTGGCGGATGGGGAAGTTGAGGTAAGCCAAACGGGCGATCCGGGCGGCGCGGTCGAGCAGCCAGACGGCTAGACAGGGATATAGGTACCAGTCGTAGGCGCCGTGGAAGATTTCGATGTGATAGTACATGCCCAGCAGGGTCAGGATGCCGAGAGAGATGTGCAGAGTGAGGAAGAGCTCATAGTGGTGGGTGCGCATCGGGTAGAGGGACAGCGCGCATAAGAGGCACATGACGAGGGTAGCGAGCGCGCCCATGCTCCAGTACCGCAGCGTCCATTCCTGCCAGTAGGTCTGCCAGGACTGGCCGAGGATGACGCAGAGGGTGTAAGCGAGGCTGTGAACCACGGCTTCGAGCGTGGAGATACGCGCGACCCAGCGGTGGAATTGCATGGCGGTGTCGAAACTCCAGCCCGTGACCTGAAGGACCAGGTTGTTGCGGGTGGCGAAGAGCCAGATTATGGGGAGATTGGCGGTGGCGAGGATTCCGGTGCGGTCGCCGATGTAGCGCGTCCATTGCACAATCGGTGTCCAGTATAAATTGCCGGTGAAGACTTCGTAGGTGGTGCAGCTGAGGATGAGGTTGATGGCAGCGAACATGAGCAGGGCCAGCGACTGCATGCGTGGAGGAACGGTGCACCAGCCGATGGGATCTGCGCAGTGGTGCGATAGGGTTGCCGGAATCGTCAGATAGCGCTGGAGAAGGCGCTTCAGCGCCAGCCAGGTAGCGGATTTGGGACTGTTTTCTATAGCATCGCTTGCAAAACGCGGATGGCTCGCAGTCAGCCACCGGTTGGCAAGTCCAATAACGACGACAACTGCCCAGAAGTAGAACATGGCATTGCCGTAGGCGTGTCTGGTGGTGACAGAGTTGTTCCAGGCATCCTTGGTCCTGTATGCGAGATGGAAAAGGGGGCTGGTGGGGAGCGCGGGTTCATCAAGCTTGAGGCCAACGTCGAATTCATCGACGCCAAGCTGGCGGAAGTGGGCGACGTCCTCATCTGTGACATTGCCGATGGTCGAAAATGGTGGCAGTGTGATGTTGGCATACAGCTCGCAGTCCTGATTAAGCTCAGGCCATCCGGCGGCGATCTCGCCCGGTCGGCAGTACGATCTCATACACACATAGACGGAAGTGATGCGTAGCTTGCTTCCGCATTGTGCCGGGTAATATCCTAGGCTTGCGTTGACATCTGGGAAGACGACATGACTGAGGGCGAGCTCACACGCTCCCACACAGCTTTTAATGTGAGCGGCCACAAGCGGGGGCAATAGGAGGAAGGGTAGGCTCTGTTGTACAAGCCATGCTCTCATACTGCTTTGCCATAGATATGCAGTTGTGTATTAGTGGCCGGTCCTTGGATGCGTGCGCCGTTGAAGACCTAGTCTCGGTAAATATACAAGAGGCATAAAAGCACCACAAAGACTGAGAAGGATGTCTACTGCCTGACCGGCCCACTCCGAAGAGCGGGCCGCCACGACGTGTGGCATTCTCTTTTCCAGCTCTCCGCTTGTCGCGCGCGCTGGAGGATGGCAGTGGGGAGCAGGGAGGAGACAGAATGGCGTGGAGCTGGGCATCGATTGGGCGGGAGAAGGCGCCTAGACCGATTGATAAGATAATCGCTTCCGGGCCTAACGCAGCCCCTGTTCACTCATTACTTTTAGCCTGGCTGGGTGGTCTCTTCCCGGTCATTGTCCCGGCCGACATCGCCATGCACATTTCTTACGCTCTTCTGCTCGCACAAGCCGCACAATTAGACCATACACGAATCTCAGACTTTCCCATCATAGCACCACGCCTGACCAGTCGCCGGGCGTGTTGTCTGCTCTTCTGACGACAAACCATCCTTAGCCCTGTGACGTTGCCCAGTCGTAGTATCGCAGCCTCGACGCACAGGATCTCAAGCCACCAATTCGATCTCTGCCTTCCGTCTAAATGCCTCATAGTAATCGCCGCCCTTCCACCCGTACCGTTCCTTGCGCACGTGAAACCCATGATCCCGCAGCTTCTTGATCCGCTCCGCACGCCTCTCCTCCGACTCCTCCACGCGGTTCCGCAGAGGTAACTTCTTCCGTCCACGCAGCGACTCTGAGCGAGCCAGCAGTTGCGACCGTGAAGCCGATAGAGTAGTCGAGTCCTGAAGACGCCGACCGGCACCACCATGCCACCCGTTGGCTCCTGTGGGTTTGCCGGGAGTGGACAGCAACCACATGCTGGCGAGCCGATTTGTGGGAAGGCCATCTGGGGCGTCGCGCAGTGCTGCAAGACGCTTCTCTTCTTCGTGCTGGCGCTGAAGAGTCTCAGCCGCCACAAGGAGCTCGCCAACGTGTTCCGAGACGGTGAGGAGACAGGTGCGAAATGCTGCAAGCTGCGCGTTGTAGTTGGCTAGGGAGCGAGAAGTAAGGTATGCTGCCAGGTGGTCTTCTGCCACGGCTGTGTCAAAGGCGTGGTGAATCATCTTGAAGCGAGGCGTGATGGGCGTGTGCAACGTCGTCTGCGTCAGGGTAGAGGGTGGCGGAGTCGCGGTCGTGTATGAAGAGGGGGTGTCGGGCCCAGGTATCGTCCCCTCGTATTTGGAGATGAGTGTCTGAACTGCCGTCTTGCGTGCGGGTAAGAGGTTCAGTTGGCTATGGGAGGAGAATGGCATCCGAGGTAACGGTCGAGGACTTCTACTGGTGGCCGCAGGGTCGTCAGATTGGATCTTTGCCACCTTCTTGTACTTGCTGAAGAGAGGTGGCGGCATCAGGTCTTCACACAGCATGTGGTTGGATGACAGGCTTGCACTCAGACGAAACACTTGCGCTTTGCCTGCTGCAGGCTTGCTCAAGCTATCAATGGCGGCAATGACTGGGGTTGCGAGAGCCAAGGGCGTCGGAGCCTTGCTGGGAGTACCTACGGCGTCATCAGATTCCTCATCACTGCTGTTCACCTCATGAGCGGCGAGATTGAGACTGCGCGAAGATCGCGGTAGCCACCCCATTTGCTTTTGGTTATCTGTATCTTCATCGTCACTCGAGTCGGAGTCCGCATACACGACTTGCACCACGGGCGTGCTGCGTGGCAGCATGTTGGCCGATCTGTTGGCTTTGGGTGTTTCGCTGCCGGTATCAGACAGGTCTGAGTCTTGCTCGACGCGGTCTCGTCGCGGTGAGTACTTGCTGAAGTCGGGAATAGCGAACATCCGCGAGAAGGAAGGACCGGAGGCGTCAGAAGCGAGACTCTCGATGGAGACTGCTCTTGTGCGCTGAGAGACTTGCATGCGAGGTATGTCTGAAGATGTGTCTCCTCCCAGTCCTGTGAGTGATAGAGTCTCCTCGTGCTTTGTCACACCAGCTTCATCCATCGAACGGTCGGGGAAAGGAGAAGTTGCTTCATCTTCAGACACATCAGAAGCATCGAGAGGTGAGTTCGGCTTTGAAGAGTTGCTACCATAACCTGACTCATCATTGGGATCGATCTGTGAAATAGGGGAGCCGGCCTGATCATCTCCATAAGAGCCATTCTCGCCACCAGCGAACGGTTGTGGCAGCACCTCTAGCGCGACATCGAATCTCTCTTTGGCTGACTCAAAAAATCTCAACTTGTTCTGCGAGTATTTGTGTGCCGCAAGGCCCATGCTCTCATAGCTGATCGCCTGGTGAAAGACGAGGAACATGCGATGTACAGGGTGAAGTTCGAGAGGCGTGTTTGTGAAGAAAGAGGGTGTGACCGGCGTTGACGGTGGGGTTTGAACGAGCTCATCGCAGGCGGCAATACAGTTCTTGTATCGCTTCTCGAGGTACAGCTTGCGGATGCGGATCAGCTCTTGTGGCGGGATGAGTCGTGCGCTGCCGCCACGCGCGTGAGCAACGTGGGCTGGGTTCGTTGACATGGCGCTTGCTGCTGCTCGGATAGAAGATAGCTCGGTCTGCAAGTCCCTCATGCGGGGGCGCAAGCAAAGATGGTGGGTTCGAGAGAGTCAGAAGCTCTCATAGCGTCACCCGGCCGCCGCGAGGCAAATGAGACGAACGTACAGGTATTGACAAATCAGCGCTCAGCATTCCAAATCGTCACCCATGCATGAAAGTACTCAACTCCTCCAGCCTCAGTCATATTATGTCTGCAATCTCAGAAGCAATGCGATGCAGTTGACTAGTGGTTGAGGTGACTCAATACATTATCATTTTTAGAAAATGAGTTCGACAAAGCACCAAGCCGGTCGTGACCTAACTCACAGCCAACCTTCCATGCCAAGACAAGGCAACTAGGCGTCCATTCACTGCATTATGGACGGTTCAAATTGACGTAGAGCTACATTATTGTGCGCACCACTTCTCAAGCTTGTTAGGCTGCACACTCAAAAGACAAAGCCTGGTGCACTTCTATATAGCAGTACTAGTATCACAGGCCACACCGATACCAGGACTAGGCAATAAGGCACCACAATGGACGCAGTAGCAGCAGAGGATTCACGAGCCCAGATCCTCAGCAGCCCATGACATGCTTCGCCTAGACAGAGCTCCACGAGTACTAATACATCAATTCAAACCCGTGTCTCTAAGATGCCGGCCCCTCGTGACATGGTCTCATGCAACATGATTGGCCACTGCACTCCACATCCTCGGCTTCGCCTCATTGCCGGTAAGCTGACGCCTGAAAATCATTCCACCCCACCGCTCTGAACTTACCTCCAAGGGGGTATATGTACCGGTCTAACTTTATACGACTCGGCCAGAAGCCACACTGTCGCCTTCCAATCCGTACAGCTAACCCATCTAATCCACAATACTTAACATCTACGCATCCCAGACGTTCCTTCCCGAGCCCAACCCCAAGGACCCGCAACATTAACACCACAACCAGCAAAATGGTCAACTTCTCCGAAATCATCCAGATCATCGAGAGCAAGCGCAAGCCCTCCTTGCCTTGGGAACGCGAAGAGCCCGTCCCACAGCCGTTCTACAGCTACTCCCCCACCACCCAGACCTGGCAAGCAGTCCAACCTACTTCCACCGAGACCACTTCGACCACCCAGACCACCAGCAGCAACACCACCTTCTCCATCCTCTCCTGGAACATCGACTTCATGCTCCCCTCCCCCACCCCCCGCATGGCCGCCGCCCTCTCGCACCTCCACTCCCTCCTCACCAACATCCCACACCCCGCCATCGTCTTCCTCAACGAAATGCTCGAGTCCGACCTCACGCTGCTACAAGCCACGCCCTGGGTCCGCGAGCGCTACCACCTCACCGACCTGGACGCCCAGCACTGGGAGAGCGGGTACTACGGCACCTGCATGCTCATTCCCCGCACGTTGCCCGTGACCAAGGTGTTCCGCGTGCACTACTCCGCGACGGGTATGGAGCGGGACGCTCTGTTCGTGGACGTCGCCGTGCTCGGCGGGGCGGCTGCGAAACTGGTGCGGCTCTGCACGACGCATCTGGAGAGTCTGGTGGCGGAGCCGCCGAAGCGGCCGAGGCAGGTGGCGTCGGCGGCGCGGTTCCTCGTGGGCGAAGAAGCGAGGGGGGAGCAGGGGCTGGTGGGCGGGGTCATGGGTGGTGATTTCAACGCGATTCAGCCGTTTGATCGGACGCTGCATGTGGAGAATGGGCTGAGGGATGCGTATTTGGAGATGGGGGGTGAGGAGGATAGCGAGGAGGGGTATACGTGGGGGCAGATGGCGCCGACGAAGCAGAGGGAGATGTTTGGGTGTAGTCGGATGGATAAGTTGTTTGTGGGTGGGGAGGTGGAGGTGGTAGGGTTCGAACGGTTCGGCTTGGGGGTCAAGGTTGGGGATGAGGAGGTGGAGAGGGTGTTAAGGGAGGAGGAGGGAATGGAGGAGGGTTGGGTCACGGATCATGCGGGCGTGTGGGGGACTTTCAAGTTGAAGGAGGGTGAGAAAGGTGTGGCTAAAATTTGAGACTGTTTGTTGATAATCGAGGATGGAATTATTGCTGCGGCTGTGCCGGCTGCTGTATGCCCGAGCCCAGGGTTGACTTCTCGATTGCGCCCTCCATGATACTCCGCCCACTGACGATGCCGGTGGTGCAGATCATGATCTTGCGGCGCTGACCGGCTTCTTCGAGCTTCTTGTTGACGAAGCGAAGAGCGGCGATCTCAGTGAAGGTGATGCCGCCGAGGAACATGACGAAGATTGTTTTCCAACCGGCGCTTCCCGTCAAGGACGCTTTAGCCTTGCCTGCTTTCTCGTCTGTTGCACGTTGTAGAATGTTGAAAGTTGGTCCTTTAACTGATTTGAGAATGTCTTCGAACCCGGTCCAGCCTGTGCTTGATGGAGTGAGAGGTAAGGGTGACTTATGCAGTGTTTGCAGATACTGCTTCTGTAAGATGCACTGAACCAGGCGCACGCTCAATGGCGCATAGCCGGAATAGACAAAGGCGATGTCGTCGGGATCATTCTCGTTGTATTCATCGATGATCAGTCGGAGCTCCTTCCGTAGGTACGTGTAGTTGGTCTTAGTGCCCGAACCATTCTGAGCGCCTCCTACGGGCAGCAGGAGCGCGTTGGCACCTGATCTCGGCAACAAGAGCTCCATCTTCTCCAGTGCGTTGAGCGTGAGCAGATGTTGGTAGCCGTAGGCGTGAAGAACTTGGCGCTTAAAGGACTCCAGATCGCGAGGCTTCAATCCGCCTGCTATGGTGGATTCGAGGCAAATCAATCTCAGCACAGTGGCGATGGGTGCGTCACGTGCAATTAGCTCTTCGATATTATCATGCTGGTACGACGGATCTCCGCCGCCCACGAGACTTTGCTGCACTTCAAGTTCCTTGTTGAAGATGTCAGACCGGGTGTGTTTGATCATATCGTCAGCGAGATTGGTATGCAGGCCCAGGGACTGATGCTCAGATTGAAGTCCAGGTAGCTTATTGACGAAGTCTCTCAGTTCGTTAATGTTCCGGTTGTGTCGTCCCTCGTAATCAGACTCCAACCGTCGAGCCACTTGATTGAGCATTGGTCCCACTCGAGCAAAATTGGCCGATCGCAGCTGGCCAAACAATGTATCTGCACTGTCGAGCTTGATCTTACGCTTCAACGACTGACGCGCTGGAGCCGCGGTCGAGGATGACCCCGCGGTTCTCTGCTGCGGCCCTGCTCCAGCAATGGATGAATCGATCTCGGCTTGATTATGTTTGATCCCGATCAGCTCCTCTATCAAGCCCTCATACGTCAACTGTGTGAGAAGTGGTGTTGCCATGTCTACATCTCTGTCGATGATGATCAGGCTCTCAATGCTCGTGCTCGGCATGTTGGTGTATTGCGTGGCCGCCTCGTCGGCATCGAGTTCCTTGCGAGCTCGCTGGAGTAGCGATGCTAGCCTGCGAGCGTTGTCACCTTTTCCAAGCATCCGTGGGAATAACCCGTGCCGCTGTTGAATCTGCATAAGCGCTTTTGACGCCAGGAAAATCGAGGTCGGATCATGTCGCCAGTAGAGATCATTGAAGGCGTCTTCGATCTCCAGGGACAACAAATCATTCTCGAGAGGGAGGAAGAAGAGCGATAGCTCAGCGACGTTCACGTCGCCAAGCACGTTCTCATCCTCCAAAATCTTGTTAGAGACCAACGTGCGTCGGGGTACCCAGAAGATGTGGATTTCGTGTTCATTCCGCGGTAAGCGTTTGATCTGCTCTACGAACTGTCAGCACTCTCTGATGGTCTACAAGCGGGGGTGGGTCGGCGCAAGACGATGTGATTGCAAGCTCGGCGGGTCGCTGTAGGGAGCTTAGACCGATGACGAAGAGTGGAAGCAGCAATCTACGCAGTCTCGTTGTGTGTCCCATCAGGGTAGAAACACTTACCAGCGACAGCTTGAACAGGGCCAGCTTTCTCGCCATGGACCAGGTAGACGATGTTCCGCTGAGAAGAATCCGTATTATCGTTCTCAAGTTCGAACACCTTATCCACGCCATAATCCTTGAGTGTCGCGAACCCAACAAATAGACCCAACGGCCCGGTGAGGCTCTTGCTGAGGACAAGGTTCTTCTTTCCCCTAACCTGCTAAGGGGTCAATATGTCGTCGCTGGGACGCCACAGCTGCTGCCTTACTCACGCCTTCAAGGAGACCAAGCAGATCTTTCTTCGCCTTTTCCCGGATATGATCGGCTTCCCGAACGATATTCGGAACCATCGCAGCTCATCGCGCGACGTAGACCGAAGGTGGGTATTGGTAGCGCAGCGATGTTGAAATTCGGACAGCATCGATGCTGTTGGTGATCGTTGCGACAGCAGCCTTGGCAAGTTTGTTCCCCAATGCCAAGCCCGGCAAGCCAAGGTCCAGGCCGCTGACCGCCGTGCTGAAGCAGCGGGGCCGTTTTGGGTTGCGACGCAGGCACAGCATTCACCGCGCCACAAAGACAACGTCGGTCGTTTCAGCTGGGACTGCCTCCTACGTTTGATACAGCAGGGAATCTACTTCCTCCTTAACATATATCCCTCCACTGTCACTCTCGCTCCCGCTATCAGTCGTCCTTCAAAAGCACGCCTTTGCCGTTGAATACATCACTCGAGCGTTCAGAAGCAAGTCAATAACATGGGTTTCCTTAAGAAGAAAGATGGCGATGACGACTCCAGTAGAAAGGCTCTTTTTGGCGGCCGGTCGTCCAAGTCCAAGTCGCCTGCCCCTCCGTCTGGCAACCCTTATGCGCAGCCTACCATTCCGGCAGACCCCTATACGAGGGCCAAGATGAATGCAGGCGTTTCTCAGGGCCCTACTCAATCATATCAGGGGCCACCTCAACCGAGTCAGGGTGGCTATGGTAGTATGGGTCGACCGCAGGAGAAAAGTGGCTATGGCGGCCCTCCGAATGACTACCGTGACAACAAATCGGGAGGAGGGGGTGGAGGTTACGGCCCTGACAAGTATGCCGCGCGAGGAGGTTACGGCGGTGAACAGAGCGGAAGCAATCCTTATGGGGCACCACAGCCTTCTGGTGCTGCTCGTTCAGGGGGCTATGGCGGCCTCGGTCGAACTGCCAGCTACGAGGATGCTCCTGATGCTAATAGAGATCAGCTGTTCGGTGGTGCCCGTGAGCGGATCGAGCAAAGGCAGCAACAAATGCCTCCTGAATACAGCTACAACAATGCTGATCAATCTGGAGCCGACACTAGTTACGGAGCTTACGGCGACAGGCAGTTGACCGCCGAGGAAGAGGAGGAGGAAGACATATCAGCCACCAAGCAGGAGATCAGGTTTATGAAGCAGCAAGATGTGGCATCCACACGCAATGCCCTCCGCATTGCCGCTCAAGCCGAAGAGACCGGCCGCAACACACTTGCTCGCCTTGGTGCACAGGGCGAGCGTATGCACAACACAGATCGCAACCTCGACATTGCAAACAATCAGGTCAATATCTCAGAAGACAAGCAGCGCGAGCTCAAAACACTGAACCGCAGCATGTTTGCCGTGCACGTCAATAATCCGTTCAACGCCAAGCAACGGCAGATGGAGAAGGATGAGAAGATCATGGACCGCCACCGCATGGAACGGGAACAGCGCGAGGCCTCACGTGACCAAGCATTCAAGACTACGCAGCGTATGAACAATAACTTCAAAGGTCTCGAAAACGCTGGTGGGCCAAGCGGTCCGCGCAAAACCAATCTGGCGGAGCGCTCCAAGTACCAATTTGAGGCGGATTCGGATGATGATCGTATGGAAGACGAGATCGATCGGAACCTGGACGATCTGTCGGGGGCGGCGAAGCGGCTTAATTTACTGGCAAAGGCGACCGGCGAGGAGATCGAGTCCCAGAACCGGCTTATTGAGCGGATAGGCGACAAGGTAAGTCGATGCTGGAGCGACATTGTTTTTTCTGTGGATTCATGCTAATATGTTTACAGAGCGACAAGTTCGACGATCGGATACACTGGCAGACAGAGAAGCTCAAGCGCATCCACTAAGTCGGAGGGGGAAACTGTCGATATCATCGGGGCCAAAGGTACCAACCACCACCAACCAGGAGGCTGCAGGCGTTAGGTAGAGTTGAGCAATCTGACAGAAAAACATCACCTCTACAACACGATTGCATAGCACAGCTCTTGAAATTGCATGTTACCTCCAGCTGCCAGCCGGCACACATTTACCGGGCCAAAAGACCACCAGGCTTTTGTGTACAGAAAAATATGTACGACTGACATGGTTGAAGCAAGATGGGGCGCTCCTGTTCAGCTCTCCAAGGCATGCGCTCAGCGCAGCGACCCCGAGGCCTAGTCCAGGTGACTGGGGTCAAAGTGAAATTGGGCAGGCGAAATCGCGGCGAGCTCTTAGGGTGGCGAGTGCAAGTTGATTGGGATGGCCCTAATCGCCACGTCCACGTAAAGAGGCATGATTGATTATATTATTTTTTTCCTTCTTCCCAGTCATCCGCGACGCTTTTGACCTCGTCATCGTGGTGATCCCAGGCATGGGAAAGGATCGACGTGTAACACGGGCGGGGTAAGCCACAACTCTCGTAAAAGTCAGCCAGCCTCGTCCGTCGAAATGCAGTGCAGCAGACGCCATCAGATCCTGTCGGACCGGTCAGTGGCACCGCGATCGGATACGTCAGTTTCCGACAAGCTCGATGGCTTCGGATGGTTGGGCATCTTTCCGGATTGTGGAAAGAAGTTCAGCACGCTCGGACTTTACACATCGTCATCGACAGGAGAGCGCCTGGAGCATGTCGCAGCCTCAAAATATTCGGCATCACCATTTGTGTGGCGGACGTGCTCAGGAGTACGGGTTACAGGCTGGCGAGGAAATGGACTATACACTACTCGATGAAGAAGTATCCCGGTCTACGAGAACCTGGCTTCAACGGCACGGCAGGTGGCCAACTTGTTCCCCCACATCACCACATGTGGGTCACCAAGAGGGCACGGGACGACTCGCTGCGAGAACCTTAGATCTGGAGCTTAGATGTAGAATTTTAAATTTCTTCTGGAGAATGTTTCCTGTCGACAAGTATTCGTCCATTTTGGTGGGTTGACCCTGGAGGCAGCTGTGGATCTAGATGGCCAGAACGAGCCATGTCCAGACGATCGACAGGACTAGCAGCTGTTTTGACGTTCGGATACGATTGATGCTCACGAAGCTAGCTCTATTTGAGACCGTAGTGCTTGATGGAAAGCTGGTCCCTGCTTGACTGGCCTTTGCTGAAGGTGCTGTAAAATACGTTACCCGGTTTGTCGTGCCGGGCCCAAGAGAAGCTGTCTGTGAGGATGTGTCAACGCTATGGCTAGGCACTGACCATGGTCAAAGCTTACCAAAGATTCAGGAATGGTCAGGACCGCGTTGATGTTGCTGCAGTGGGAATACCCGGTTATCTGATCGAGATGAGCGGGGACTTGTAGGCAACTGACATTCCCAAGCACACTGCAGGTGTATTCCAGTGAAAGTATGTCAGGATCGCAGACACAAGAGCTGTAGGCGGTAGTGTCGCTGGTTTCGCCGGTCAAAAGGCATTGACTGCGTGAGTAGGACATCTGCTCACAAGCAGTCGAGGCGGCCGGACACGCCCTCGGATCATAGGATACACTGATCGAAGACAGAACCGGCGTTGTGGGACTATAGATCACCACGGGATCACACCACTTGTGCCACGAGGAGTAGTCGTCGACGAATCCAAGATCGATCTGTGACACAGATTGAGGCAGGCACAGACGCTCTTCATTACTGCAACTGCAAGCCGTGTTAGAGAGTGTTAATCGTACGTTGGTTGTGGTCTTACTCACTCGTATAGAGCATTCAGATATGCCTGTTGGCAATAGCAATTGAAGTAGCCATCGGCGTCCGAGGTTTCAGCGTAGCTGCCGCACGACGTTACCAGAGAGTCCCAGGCTTTGCAGCCATCAAAAGCAGTGATGGGACTATTGGCGACACAGCGAGCAGCATTCTCTGTGTGTTGAGCATCGACCAATTCGGTGACGAAGAGTAGAACAACGAGCTTGAAATACATCATGAGTTTGGTGACTTTTACAGAGGTCATCTCTATTCGAAGACCCATCCACCCCGTATAATTTATACTGCTGATACATGAGCGGGCAAAGGCAGTGTCATAGCTTTTCGTAAGCGGCTGTCGCGAGGCAGACTCTGCCATCTTCATGGTGGCGTATCCAGAGTGACAGGCCAAATCGGACCGCATCATGGCTGAGTAGCGGCTGGTCTGGGCTATGTGGAAGACAGATCACCTGCTCTTCGGACTCTGAAAACCCCACGGCGTGAGTCCCCATCATGCATTCACCAATATTAAGGCTGCAATCAACTGTCAACACTGCCATCAATCGAAAGCCGTGACCGTGGCGCAATATATACGAGTTTTTGTGGCATTTGGGTTGGAGATAAAGGGGCTAGGCTAGCCCCAAATCTACCTTCTTGTACACCGTCAATCATCGTTTCCAGCTCATATGATTAATGGTCATGTTCTACCATAATATAGCACGTACAATGTCGAGACTCAGAAAGAAACCGAGACTCCCGCCGGGTACTACAGAATGGAGACCGGTTCCATTGAGGCTTCCATCCCTCGTGGCTCTCCTCTTCGTGGAGCTTGGCCTGATTGCTACGATCATTGCGCTGTTGGTGGTGTCTTCTAAAAACAACGGTTTTGCGAAAGCGTCCGAGCGTTCGCTGGGCTCGTTCCTCACGGTGCCGCTCGACAGCAGTCTACTATGGACAGGTTTGCCACCGATCCTGGTAGCGTTCTTTGCAATGTGGTATGGCGAAACGCTTGCTGCCGCTGCTGATCGGCAACCGTATGTCGATTTGAACCATGATTGCGAATCAGCACGCAATGTCCGACGCACCATCTTGTTGGAATATTCCGGATACCAGACACTGTACAATTGGTTCATCGCATGGCGCAACAAGCATTACCACCTCAGCATGGCCATGTTGGCACAGTTGACTGCCACTCTGATCCTCGCCCCACTCATGTCCAATGTCTTCGCGGCAAAGATAACGCAGATATCCACAGACATACATCTTTTCAGCCCGAATCGTATGGATCTTTCGGCTCTGCGGAGTGCCAATCTGCAGCCTGCTCTGGACATCACAAGTGCAATGCTATCCCACGGCGCAAATCCTCCTATCTGGATGCAGAACAATGCCAGCGTGGAACCGTCCTATAATCAAGCTACATCCCAGGCTGGTGAGGTAAGGTTTGCAGCGTTCGTATCAGCTGCTGAACCAGGTTGTCAGATAATCGACTCCACAGCGCTCCAGATAGAACCAGCCAACAGCAGTGCTGAGGGATTTGGATCGGTGGCTATTAGCTTCGAAGATCGGAAGTCTAGTGTCAACGATCTTGAATGGCCGATTAGCGAGAGTCGCAGAATGTACTCGAAGACATGGTCCCAGACCTGCGGCAATGACGAAGACCCGCAAGATCGAGTCGGCATTTTCGCTGCGGCTTACTCGCGCGACAGCGAAAATTTTTTGAGCAACATAACGGTCATCTCTTGTTGGCCAAGATACTGGAACAGCAGCACTAACGTAACGGCAGTGTTCGACGAGACCGGTCCCGTTGAGCTCAAGGGCATCGACAATCCACCTGCCAATTCGTCACAAATCACGAGCCTGTACCTGCGCTCCCTCCATACTAACCTGCAGCACTATACGCTCACCGTGCTCAGCAATGACCTTGATACGGATACTTTCGGCAACGTCGTGCATGGATACGCCCAAAGGCTATCTCCAGAGACCAACATTGACCCGACAGCGTATCTCAACGCCACATCTGAAGCCTACAGCACCCTGTGGGCATCCGTGGCTTCGACACAGCTGCTGAGACCCCTTGTGCCACTTCGACAGGCTAACGGCACGCTGACAATCGCGACAAACAAGGTACACGTGGTTGTCCCCATCGCCGGAGTCCTCCTGGCGCTGCTGTTGTGGATGACAGCCAGCACAGCAATCTTACTGCTACACATTCTGCGAACCTGTTCCATACTCTTTGAAGACCCACAGGGGATTCTGGGGCGGGCACTGATCCTGCTGAGAGGCGACGTGACGCCCTGTGTTGAAAGCATCAAACAGGGCAATCCGAGGACGTTGAAACTCCTGGAATACATCAAGAGAAATCACAACACGAAGGAATCGATATGCTGGTACGACTGGGATAGTGGAGCGGCGTCCGGGAGAATTCGTCTGTACGGTCTCGATGAAATCTTGCCGCCACGGCCAAGTTGGCCGAGGCGTATGTGGGCTCGCATCTGGCCTTTTGGGATATCTCAAAAGTAACACTGAACAAGCTCTTTACGGCTCGTCATGGCACACTAGCCGATTGTGTGTCGTAATTTCGTAGGAGGACCTTCATTACACAGGCCACCATATTCTTGTTCCGATATTCAAACCGGGCGGATTCCAGTTCTGGCCGGATGGCTGCAGCTCGTCCTCAATGGCCTCGATTTGTGATGAACATCAAGTCTTAGATGCCCGGCCTCTTGGACACAGTCCTTAAACTAGGCCTAGCTTCTGAGACAGCTTAAGACATTAGTTTAAAGTTGCGATGTAAAGGCAGCAGCGTCTTGAAAAGACTTGACTAAATCTGGTCTCGATGCTCCACTGCCCGCAGGAGCGCACTAGAGAGTATAGGCCATGCGATTATGGCGGCAGATACCACTTATTCTGCAGTGCCGAGTCTTTGAGAGTGACATTCCTAGTGTGCAGAAAGACTCCGTGATATCCGAGAGATTATTTTTCGCGTGTGCGTGCGTGCGGCTGGGCTGGGGCTGGATCAGCGCGCACCCGTGCGCGAGAAAAAACCCCTCCTAAGGCACCCAGGTGCCTGCACCCGCCCAGCAGACTCCTCGTGTTCTGTGTGTTTGTGTGTGTGCGCAAGCAGTAAGGATTTTCACTTTTCATCGAAGCCTGGTCCCATCATGAGATTTTCTACACGTGGTTGGTTTTTACCGCTTTGTGGGGAGAGAAGAAGGCCGCCTGAGGGATAGGCGGGTTGCATGGTGGGCATTGTCAGCGATCGGGTCGATCCATGCGATGATCTTTTTGACGTGCGAAAAGAAAAAGGAAAGGGGGAAAATCCTAACGGGTGATGTGCAGTGATGGGCAGTGATGGGCAGTGATGGGCACAGGGCGGCGATCTCTCGAGGGCTTATTTTGACCTCACTTTTTTGTACGTACTTCTTCTACTGTATGCAGGTGGCCTGGCTGGCGCAGGAATGTTGGGCTGAATTTTTATTGGAGCCCTTCATTTTGACTGTACGCGCGCTGCGAGGGGAGTAAATGTGATGGCTTGGGTATCTTTGACTACGGGTGTACCCAGCGACGTGAGCTGCAAGGGGACGATGGGAAAAGACCTTGCGCGCGCGCACGGACAACACAGCTCATCACGCACAATCGTGCGATTCCATGCGCGGCAGCTAGAACGGACAATCAATCATTTCTCGAATGCCGTTGCAGAGAAACTATTGAACACCAAAAGGGAGATTGCACCTCCGAATTGACAAGTGTGTTGTACCAAACACGTAGCAACAATATCTGCATGCCGCAGGGCCTTGCTGCTGTCAAGACGCTCTAGATTCCTCGATAGAACTGATAGTCTAGGATTCGGCATACTAGTTAGCTGTAGACCGAAAAGTGCGGTCAAGTTAGCTCGTCGAGGCTCTCTCTCGCCTGATAGTGGGTCCTGCAGCTGGGAGGGGAGGGCTTGCAGATTTGGTGGAGAATCAGGAAGGGGGCTCTTCGGGTGGCGTCGGTTCGGCGTTCTCCATTCTGCACTGATCGACGATCATATTGATCAAGCTTGACAAGGGTACTGGCACGGAGCAGGGGGGTGTCCACTCTTAAAAAGCGGGCGGCGGAGATGGCTTGCCTTGCATGCGCGACGAAGAGGAAAGGTGTGTTGGGAGCGGACACGGATTCTAGCAAGCTAAGTAAAACTACCGTAGAAGTGCAGAATGACAGGTTCAGGGCAGATGCCGGAACGCCAAAAAGCATAAAAGTGTCAGTTTGGAGGAGGAGTGTTACATCTGAAGGTAGGAATGGAGGTCCGCGTCGACGAGTTGCGAGTACCCGGAGACGCCACAAGCGGCTTCGTGTCGAACGCTTTGGTTCAAGCCTTGAAGCCCAAGCTCCAAGGCTCGGAGGAACGAGAGCAGTGGGACGAAAAGAGGTTGCCGTTTGCGGTTTGACGTTGGGGGTTGAACTCGCATCAGAACTTTAAAAACGCCACCAGATTCAATCTTTGAGGGGGCCGCTTGCCCGCGTTTGAACAGACGGGGACGGATAGCTTGGCCTGGGTGCCGTGTCAGCCGGGAGTAGTTTGCGACGAAGCAGTGAGGCAGTAGTCCAACATTGAACGTGCGGGCATGATAAAAGCGAAAGATAGGGGCAAAGTCTGGTGGTGTACTGTAGAGCGATATCGGGCGGGCATTGTTGGGTTCGTGTTGGCCAAATTACAATGACGTAGCTTCTTGGGTGCGTGCGACAGCAGTTGATCAGAGAAGACAGGTCTTGTCACACCAACAGTGACAGCAATGCGCAAGCAGTCAGCTCACCAGACCGAAAAGAGTACCAGGCTTCACGGTAGAAGAGAGAGGATGGGCCACTAAGTGCAAATCCCCGAGCTTGTTTGGCTGATGGCGGAGGATGAAATCGCTGCTATGGGTCTTGGCTTCGTTTCAGGTTCGGCTGGCGAATGTCGCTGAGTCGTTGTAGCGGGACCAATGTGCGCAAGCGCCGACCTGGCTTTGATTGCTTGATTGCTTGATTGCTTGATTGCGCAAACTGATACTCCGTATCTTAGCACAAGGTAAGGTTCGCTTGGATTGAGGCAGTGCTGACGACCACCATGTACTCTGTATGGAGAAAAAGGACATCCACAGGAAGATGCAATTCAAGCGGCGCTCCGTTAGGGTTTCCGTTCGCTTGTTGCACGTTCCGCCATCTCTTTGGGCAGGTATAGGACTACAAAGATAGCGCACAAATTTTTGCCACTGAGGAAGCCGCAGTAGAGTACAGCCTCCTGCAGGGTTCGGTCGACCAGACCGTTGTGTTCTCAACTGTGTGTGGACAGCGGGGAGCGGTGAGGCGGACCATACTGCATTCAGACGCCATAGTGTGATAGATGCTACAAAGGGTCTAGCAAGGCCGTCAAATCAGCGTCCGTGCAGACTGAGCCTCGGGGAGGCAAATAAAACGATACTAATTTTCGCACTACCGCTTGGGCCTGGATAGACGATTGGTGGTGCGTGACTGTCGATGTGGACATATCCGTACACAACGTAGACAGAGCACTCGGGACTTGTTTTTGTGGCTTTTCGGTAGAGAACCCTTCTTTTTGGCGCTGGGAGAAAACGGGAGCACAAGACTGCAGACTTACGGTGGTGGCTTGAACTAGCGAGCAAGGGTCAACAAGCCATGGGAGATCATGCGCTTGGCATACGTGAACTTTGCCTGGGAGCAAGAGCGGTCCCTGCGCCTTCCGGCAGCCACTCGACCAGCGACTGCCTCCGCTTTTCTGCAAAAGGTGGGCCGACGGCCACTTCCCGCTCCAATCCAGCATTCCGATGACGATGTTGCTGCTGCAGGGCCGACATCGTTCACCGGAGGCTGTCCAGGGTGCGGTCCCAGGGTGCCAGGGTGCTTCTCAAGCGGCGGCCTCAGATATCCACCACCAAAACCACTCCCCCCTCGGCCTCTGGCAGCCCAACCACAATTCCAAACGACTCGAATCATCTCGAGCTACCAACCGGCCCTGCATCCACAAAGTCTACTGGCATATTGTGCACTTGTCCCAAAACTTGGACTTTGAGCCCAAGTGAAAAGGGTCCATTACCACATCCTTCCACCACCAGCATCATAGCTTGACGACCGCTGCTCAAAAACTACTTATCATCCTCGCATTCCCCACACATTGCTGATCCTCGAGCTTCAACTTTGGTCCTGCATTCCAGCTTTGAAACAAACACCCACTTGTATCGAATCCATCAGCAGAAGGAAACTTCTCCCAAACACCAGCCAATCTTGCAGATCTGCCGTCCTCCCAGCAGCTAAGGTTATCCGCCTTTATCTTAGGGAAAGGGGCGCTGCACACGCCTACTATTACACCAACAGCAAAGATCGTCGACTGATCAGCATTGGCTGCCCCATTGGCATCTGAATCTCCATCTCCTCCACATCGACTCTACATAACCGTCGCCGATCCTCTCTTTCAACCTTTCAGCTTTCCGATCTCCTGGGTCGTAAACAGATCAACACTACCATCCACGTCGTCGTAAGGCCAGCCTGCAACAGCAAGCTCCTTACGCGTTATCTTCACAAACTGCCCTCATGACTATGGTCATTGACAACCAAGGTCGTCAGTACGGCGGCATCTCCTTTGATCCGATGTATCCCAACACCATGCACGCCCCACCCCAGTTCAGCGACCCATGGTCGCATCAAACTGGCAACACCAACCAGACATACTCTGCAATGTCCAAGCCAGATACGCAACGACCAGCGCTGTCGATGCCTTACTCGCACATGCCGCCTGTGTCTGCGCCGTTAGCTTCAGGTAGCCAGTTCTCCAATCTCGGGTACAGTGCAGATGGACTAAGTGTTGGACAAGACATTCCCAGATCAACATATTCGGAGCAACCCACCTACACCGCAACGTCGGCGCCGCAATACTCGGCTGCATACCCGCCAATGAACTATGCCCAGTCGCTGGTGCAACAGCAACAGCAGCAGCAACATGATCAACAGCATCGCAAAATGTCACAACCGTGAGTCAAGCATCTTTCCATCGAGCCACACTAATACTTGACAGTGATACCGCCCGCGCTGCGCAAGCTAGCTTTGGTGAGCTTGATGCGTCCAGAGGCATGCTCGCCTTGAGCCATCAGAACCTCCAAGACCTTACTCCCCGCAACATATACGAAGCGCGTGCTCGTGGCTCAACCGACTCTTATGGCTTCCCAGCTCAATCTTCTCACTCTTCAATTTCGAACGAATCTGGCCGTGGTTATCCTTACTACGCGTCAAGCGTTGGTTCAGCGACCGACTCAGCAACCGACTATAGCTCAGCTGCCAGCGATGCCGGCTACGACTCGATGGCTTCGCGAACACTACCCCGACCATCTCAACTGCTCGGCGCTCCATTGGGTCCCCCCGCTCCTCAGTCTATGATGGGACAATTCTCATCCAAACTCTCAGCCAACACTCAGAAGAAGCACAAGTGCAAAGTATGCGACAAGAGATTTACGCGACCAAGTTCGCTGCAGACGCACATGTATAGCCACACTGGTGAAAAGCCTTTCGCGTGCGAGGTGGAAGGCTGTGGCCGTCACTTCTCGGTTGTGTCCAACCTGCGACGACACAAGAAGGTACACAAGGGCGAAAATTCTTCGACTACATCCGACGACCATGACGACTAAATGATGACACGCCAGATGTACAATATCGTCAAAATCATCAGTCAGCCGCAAGAACGGCATTGTACCAACAGTACCAAACAGACGCTAGAAGAGACCGACGACGACAACACCATGTTGTGTCACGAGGCTCAGTTGCGTGTAGAGGCGGAAGTGAAGACGCGGGTCGCCAGTCGCCTCGCCAAGGACATTCGGGCGAATACCACGGCTTGATTTAATCGATCCACGGCGCTTGACAATGATTTGATACCCTGAATCAAGCGACCGTTCGGACTTTTGGACGGGAATTCGATGGTACTGTGAGGAGCTATGTTCCCCTCATCCACCCGCGACCAGCGACGCGTCATGTTTACAGTACAGGCGTTTATCATTGGCGACGAAGATCATCACTGCAGGGTCAATTGATCTGGGTGCAGATGCAACCGGTTTTGCTATGCTATGGAATTTGCCTTTCGAAACGATACCCCCAATTCGTTCGTTAAAAGGTTTTTGAGACGTCAACGCGCGTACATGCGCCAGCGTCAAAGTCACTCGCTACGTAATATTAGTGGAATGAGACAGGAAGTCCACACTGGGAGGGTCACTTCTCGGGACTCTGAGCGGTTAGTGAAGTATCTGCTCACCCTTGCTTCAATCAACATCCGATTGCGCAATAAGTGGGTATGCAACCATGAAGAGAATGAATCAATCAAAAATATTGAAATCCTAGACATAATTTCCCCAAAGTCGCATCCGTGCATTTTGAGCCTCATTTTTCCCTCCGTGTCAGCACTGGAGCTTGGGGTGGAGATTTGGTACGGAGGTACACATTCTTTGACTCGCGAGCCGGGTGGCAGCAAACGAGTTTATCGCCCCGTAAGCCACGGTATACAGTAGATATGTGATCTTTAAGGTAGAACTACAGGTGGGGAGCTTTTTTTTCGCGGGAGATGTGACAACAACACAACAAGAAAAAGTGAAGCTTTTCTGATTCTTGTGTTGATTATCCCGGCTACCAGGTACTCACGGGTACTTCAGACAGGAGGAGTACCGGAGCTCCATCATCATATGTACATGTGCTCAATTTTTCGTTCGTCCAACGAGAATATATGTACACTACGGGTGTTCAATCCCGGGGCCCACACAGCCTTGGAGCTTCTTTGGAAACACAGCGCGCGTTGGGAGGGAGGGAGAGGGGGGGGGGGGGCAAGGGCTCCATTCGGCGATCATGTTTCTGAGATAGAGAGAGAGATCCTACAAGTTTCACTGCCGGATTCGTTGAAGCGTGAAGGGTGAAGGGGGTTGACACGAGGCGGTTGGAGGTATGGGAGGGAGGAGCACGTGCGGACGGGGGAGACGAAACGGGAAAGGGTCACAATGGCAAACAAAGAATGACGTGGTTTACGGAGTACGGATTAGTTTTTTGGTGGGCTTTTTTGGTGGGTTCTGAGGTTCAAGAGGCTGCCGCATGTACGGATAACTTGAATAAAAGTGGCCGGTTAGGGCGAAGCGAGCGAGCAAGAGGGAGAGAGAAAAGAAGCACGCGCAACGATGACGAGTGTCGACGAATGGGAAGGAAAATGTGCTGGACTTTTCAAGACCTTCAGAGGCAGTGTACCTTGACGAGTGGTGAGGGCGAAGTAAGCGTCGTCGCTTGTCGTTGCGCGTTCGTCATCGCCGGTGGTCGTCATACGCACAACGTACACGCAAGAAGCATTACTCTGTAGAATCAGCCATCATGGAAGCGCTCCGCTCGTGCAAGCGTCTCCGTTGTCGTTGGAACTAATACGCGACGGGGCAACGGCCGAGTAAATACCCCATTATTTCGTCCTAATCTCACACGCCGCCTACCAATGTTGTGAGAAAGTGCATATTGGTAGAAAGGGTAGAGATGATGCAACAGGGTCACTGATAGAGGCCGCCCGGTGGTGGACAGTGGACCCTGTATGACGACAATGGCGTTTGGGAAGCCGACGTTGGTGGCTTACAGGGGGGCAGGGGTTTGGATTGGACTTGGCGGCGGCGGTGGTGGACCGGACGGGGGTTCCTTGCAATTTCGAGGATACGGGAGGGGTGGAGGTGGAGGTGGAGGTGGTGAGATGATGGCATTGTAGAGGGATGGATGGTGATGGTGTTTCTTGTGATGAGGCGGGGAGAGGATAGGAATCGGTCGAGGTTTTTGTGTACATATAATCGCAGGCTGATAACAGATGAGCTTGCGGGACTACAGTAAACTGCTGGGACATGCCGCCGGGTGTGCTCGAGCACTGATGCTACAACCTCCCATGCAAATTACTCTCGCCGGAGCCGCGGGCCCATCTGGACAACGCGCGAGGACATTGACAGCATCGTACGCAAGCACTGCATACCGACATTACTGCCCAGGAAACGGCAGATAATGACCACAAGTAAAGCCCGAGATTAACGTGCTTGGACTTGCCAGCGCAGCATGCGTTCCACAGTCCACTACCGGTCCCCGCCAGCCGCTGTGGCCCGCCCCAAAATCGCCTAGGGACGCCACCAACTCAAGCCCAGCAAAGCCCACCCAGCCCCCAAACCATTGTGCACAGCACAACCACCTTCCTGTTGCGGTAATGGCCCGCTGCTTGAATTCTAGAGGGCGCCCAAGACGACTTTTTGGCTGAAACAGACCTTCAAAGTGCATTGGCCGAGGCTGTGGTCAACGAAAAACGAAGGGCATGGGGTACAGTAGCCGGGCGGTCAGCCTGTCAGAACCGCCCACTGCAGTTCTGCTAGGGGATTGAGGACTTGCTGCCGCGAAAGTGTGTGTCCACAGCGACTTTGAGGTCGTTGCTGCGGTCAGACTGCAGCTGCGCGGATGTGGCTTGATTATGGTCACCCTACAGGTAGGCGTAACTGCATAAGCCGCACAGCTGGTGGATGCCCATTGCAGCCGCAGCAATGTTTGGTCACGACAATGCGCCGACGCCTATGCAGTAGTCCGCGGGCTCAAACGGTGGGTTCCATATAGTTACAGTGACGAAACCATCAACGGTGAGTCCCAGCTGGAGGATGACCACAGTGTACTGGCATTATGGGAGAAAATGATACGCCTGAGAAAAGAACATGCGGATGTACTGATCTGGAGTTGCTCTGCAGGCAGCCGATGCGCCGAGTCGCTGAACAGGAGGTGCAGCGCCAGATAGAACGGTGATGCCAAGGCACGCGAGTAGCGAAAGACAGCATAACCCGGCACAAACAGCTACGATATCTAGTCACTTTGACTGAAGCCCGAAGACTCGACAAGTCAGTACAGACTGGCTTGGGGCAACGTACCTGATTGCCTTGCCAAGTTTGCCGATTAGGCAGACTCGGCAAAGATATACAACGATGATCCTCCCGCCGTACTCAGACGCCCGGCAGCGCCCGGATAATCGACTGTTCGCTGGGGTTGGACGCCTGAAAGGCTCATGTAACGGGCGCTGGATGTCTTACGCTGTGCCACATCCAGAGCGTCTCTACCGAGCAGTCCCCATGCTCCTACCACCATCGCCAAGGCAGCTTCAGCACCATGCAGCTCATCCCCGCCACAACCGCCGACGCCGCATGCCTAGCCGACATTCTCTTCACAGCCTTCGCCGATGACAAGCTTATAGTCGGCACCTGCTACCCCGACACGCCCGCCAACCGCGCGTGGTGGGCGCGCAATATTGCTTCCCAGATGTCCGATCCACACACGAAAGTCTTCAAAGTGGTCGCCGACGACGGCCCGATCATTGCATGGGCAAAATGGCTCGTTCAGCGCAACAAGGACGACGCGCCAGCCGAGGGCGCCGTCAATCCCAGTAACGAGCCCAGTCCAGACATGAATCTAGAGGCGTGCATGAAGCTCGCGGGCGCGCAGTATAAGATGCGTGAGGCGGTTATGCAGGGGCGAGATCATTACTGTGAGTGATTCGTCCTAGCGTGGCCGAACGCTGGTCCTAACTTGCTTCAGGGCTGAATGCCCTCGCCACGCATCCAGCATACCAGAGCCAAGGCGCCGCGACGGCGTTGGTAGCGCTTGGAACGAAGCTGGCGGATGAAGAAGGCGTGGAGTGTTTCAGCGCGTGCACGACGCAGGCGAATGCCAACATGAAGCACGTCTTCAAACGAGCCGGCTTCAGTGTCGTGGCAGAGGAGCCCGTTGCCAATGGTTTGAACGTGCATGCTGGGTATAGAGCGGCATCGCTGGGGTGTGAGAGTGTAGATGTTGATATGACATGAAGATCAAGCTGAGGACGAGGCTGGTGCGAACGTGGCATGTTTTCGAACGTAATGATTTCCTCTTTGGGAATGCTTTACGCGCAGGCGTGTTTGAAGCCCGGGCTGATTAGCAAAGGACTGCCATGTCCTGAAAATAGAGAAATCGATACTTATAGAGCGTCTTAGGATGGGTTATTGAATTCCTAGGCACCACGTTGATACCATCCCCACCTGCACTCAACCACAACCATGTCTCTGTCCTCAAGAGGCGAAGCTCTAGCCCGAATCGGCTTCGACCACGGGCCCCTCGAAGAATACCACCCACTCACGAACCCTCATGGTACCGTGAAGTTCCTCTACGCCGAGAACCGCCTGATGCACGACGCCCTCGCCACCTTCATCAACACCAATGTCTGCTTGCCACCCCCATGTCCCCATCTTCCGCTCTCTCCCTCCGTCATCTCCCTCCTCCCCATGCTCGTACGCCGATATCCACTCCCAACTAACGTCCCCCTCCCCCAACCAGTCGACCCCCATAACCTCAACCCACCTCTCCTACAACGAAGGCTACACCGGCACCTCCCGCCTCCGCGCCGCCACCGCCACCCACCTCAACACCCACTTCCACATCCCTTCCCACCAATCCCTAACCCCCGAATCCATAACCTTCGCCGCCGGCGCCACCGCCCTCAACGAAGCCTTAGCCCTCACGCTCTGCGACCCCCGCCCCGCCACCGACCATGCCAGCGATGCGAACGCGAGTACGAGCCGTGACGCCATCCTTCTGGCCAAGTACAACTACGGCGCCTTCCCGACGGATTTCGCGGCCAGGACGGGCGTGGAGCTCGTGTATGCGAAGTTCAATGGGGGAGAGCAGTTTTGTGGTGGAGGAGAGGACGAGAGCGTGATGAGGCCGTATGAGAGGGCGTTTGAGGAGGCAAAAGGTCGAGGGTGCAGGGTTCGGGCAGTGGTGCTGTGTAATCCGAATAATCCGTTGGGTATGTATGCATGCATGCTGGTTGCTACTGGTGTTGTTGGCGGCGTTGCCGCAGTTCGACGGCCCCTCGGGCAGGGGCTGGAAAGAGTCGGGAACGCAGAACCCCCATCCAGCTTCGTCCTGCGACCAAGCGTCCCACGACTGACCTTCCGATGCGCGAACAGGACGCTGCTACTCCCGTCAAGCCCTCGCGGCGCTGATGCACTTCTGCCGGCGGCGCGCCCTGCACCTCATCAGCGACGAGATCTACGCGCTGTCCGTCTACGAGGTCCCCGGGCGCGCAAACGAGCATTTCACCTCCGTCCTCGCCATCGACCACGCCGGCCTCGTCGATTCGCGGCGCGTGCATGTCCTGTACGGCCTGTCCAAGGTAACACACACTCCATCTCTTCTCCCCTTGGCCGTGCTTGAAACCAAAACCTCCTACTCTCCACCAACAAACGTGATTTTGACGGACTGACACCCCACCCACCCACTCAACAGGACTACGCGGCGGGCGGCCTCCGCCTGGGCTGCCTGATCTCGCACAACGAGGCGCTGCACCGCGCCGTGCGTGGCGGTGTCTGCCGCTTCAGCAGCCCGTCGAGCCTGTCGATGGAGGTCGCGGCGCGCATGCTCGAGGATAGGGGGTGGATGAATGGGTTTTTGAGGTCGAGTGTGGCGGCGTTGGCGAGGCAGCGGGTGCTGGCGGAAGGGCTGTTAGATGAGGCTGGCGTGGGGTATTATAGGGGAGGGTGAGTTCCTTGCTTTTTCCTTTGCGTGTTGGATGGTGGGTTTTGCCTGGGGGAGAAGAGGTGGCATTGGGATGGGGAAGTAGTGCTGACACGGAGGATTGTGGTAGGAACGCTGGGCTGTTCATGTGGCTGGACCTGTCTCCCTGCTTGCGTCTGGATGAGGTGGGTGGTGATGGGTGGGCGGCGGAGAGGATGTTGACGAAGCGGTTGCTGGAAGGAGGCGTGGTTATGTCGACTGGGGAGCGGTATCAGTCGGAGGAGCCGGGTCGATACCGTATGGTTTTCTCCTATGATGAAGCGACGCTGCAGGAGGGCATTCGGCGGTGAGTTTCTGCTTTGGTCGTCTGTGACGTTGAGAAGCTGACTCGAGGGCCAGGATAGGAGAAGTGGTGAAGGCGACGGCGAAGGACGCAGAATGAGCAGTTCTGTTAGGAATAAACATATAAATGATTGGTGGGCACCAGCGGGGACCAAACGGTGCTCTACAGACGGGTATCATGCATTCTGAATTCACACTTCGCAAATGACTCTCCGACACCATCCGACTGCTGCTCGTCATCATTATCGACTCATCTCCATGACTTGTGCAGTGCACGGCGATACGGCATACTTGCGATTGCCTCCCTTGCGAGCAAACGCTTCCAGCATCGACGCTGCGTCGATGCAGTGACCAGAGCCGTCCAGCTGTATATATCTTGACCCGCAGGATCATTCTGATACCAGCAATCATTCATCCATGCTCATCAAACAAAAATGGACCGACGTGCGAAGCTCTCAGACGAAACGACCGACATTCCGGTTGAAATGGACAGACGTACAAAGTTCGAAGACGAGCGAAGCGAGCCAACGATACCCTCGAAGAATACACGACCTCCACCGGGCAATATCGCTGACGATCGGGCGAGAAGGAGTGACAACCCACCCCCCACCCTTCGTAAAACCAAGCAGGCACCGACTCGCCCACCTGCGAGCGAAACAACAGCCACCGGCTTCACATCTGGCACGGGCGTGACATCGACAACTCAGCAACCTCCTACTGAGGGTCCAAGAAGCCACGCTGGGCCAGGTGACCCCAGTAGCTTCTCTCGGACCACGGGCGATGGCAACGACGGAGAGTCCTCTAGCACTGGAAGTGAAAATAGCGGCTTCTTCGCACCCATGCCTCCGCCTCCGTGGCAAAAGAGACCTTCCCAGCGAAGGAACCATGACGAGGATTCAGGCCGTCGCAGCAGAGAGCCGAGATATTGTTCCGAGCGTGCCTGGTATGTCTGCTATGATCGTCGACCTAGCGACACAAGATCCAGGACCGTCACTCCGACAGACAGTCACGACAGCTATACGGATGATTCCAGCACAGGTTCCGATCGGAGTAGTGGATCGAGCACCATTGGATCTGGAATCGGTCAGAAAAGTAGCCGCTACGTCAGAGAACAACGCTTGTGGCGTCCTGACGCTCCAAAATGGCTTAAAGCTGCGCGGTGGATAGTGGCTGCGACCCCTTCCCCAGCGAAAAATGCTGGCGGATCTGGTAGTACAGGCTCACACAGCCATGCGCACCACAAAGATCGAGAGAGATCTGACCGCAGATTCCGTAATACTCGACGAGACGAGACTAAGCCCGCGCCCACCAGGCGAAAAGCAGACCACCAAAGCAGACCTGCTCAATCGAGGCGCAGAAGATCGCGCCAGCGGACGACTGCCCGTACAAGAAGGGACGAATCCCATGCTCGAGTTCCAGGTAGAGACCGTGGGTAGGAGGTCCGCGACTAGCAGCGACCGAAACTGCATACATCGCGTAGAGACCACGATACAGTGAGTTGCGACCCCTTCTGTACCTGTGCGTGATGACTGACTATCCAGAAACACTCCACAGCGAGCAAACGGCGATACCGATAGTGGATGCTGAATTAGGCCCCTACGCAAGGAGCATTTGTCGAAGAATTCGGCCCGAAAGGAGCTCTTGTATGGTTAGCGAGACAACCTCTTCCGGTCGAAACACTGTCGTTGAGATTTGAACGATCAGTCCCCTCCCCCTCCAAACGAGATCACGACCCACCCCACCTCTTCTTTGCCGTCGATATTGCCGCCCTTGAGCGGCGTGAAATGCACCACGAACCGCTCAAAGCCTCTGTGACGCGTAGTGCAGAGCTGCGTTTCTAGACTGACCGCCTTCCCCTCCTTGAAGGCAGCCTTGGCCTTGCTTTTGAAACCGGAGGGCAACGATCCGCCGGGAGCATGCACGCCGAGGAAATTGAAGACATTCTGGCCGACGGGTACCGGCTGGCTGGGTTGGTAAGTGGCGGTGGTGCCGGGCAGCCAGAGCAGGGAGGAGATGCCGGCGGAGTGGAATGCGATTACAGATGTCGCTGCGTTGACGACGAGGAACTGTGAGTGACATAGTTAGCGATAGCTTCTTCTCTACCGAAACAAGGGAATTGCTCACTTTTGAATATGCCGTGTAGAAGCTGTCCATCTGTTCGCGCAGATTCAACTTCTCAATCTTGCCAAGGAGGCCGTCCTCCATGCCTGGAGAAGGCTTTGCAACAACACCATTCGACCTACTCCCTTTGAAGCTTGGGAAGAAGCGACTATACCGAGAATTCGGTTTTTCTTGGGCAGGTGCGCGCGGCGCAGTGTCTTCTTCCACGTCCTCATTAAGGGCCAAGATGCGCAAGATATCGTTCTGGCTGTGGATGGTGGTGCTGCAATTGATCTGACCGCCCAAGAAGAAGACAACATTACCGCGTGCATCTCTCAGCGGCGTGACGTAAAGCAGGTTCCAGAATGGCTCTCCGTTTTTGCGCTCGTTGAGTAGCAGCTCGACAGACTCCTCACGAGCGTCAATGGCGTCCCCGAGACGTCGCACGGCTTTCCTGTCCGTGTGTTTGCCTTGCAAGAAGCGACAGTTGCGCGGAATGATCTCGTTCCTTGTGTAGCCCGTGACTGAGACGAAGCCGTCTGAGGCAAAAGTGATTGGGTTGTCGGCCTTGGAAGGATCCGTGAGCACGAAACAGTCGCCGAGTCCGGCATACTTGGCCTTGTCTCCTGCTAAGGCTCTCGTGGCAGACATGGTCATCTGGTGGCGTACGAAGCGTGGGTAGATGTCGGTCGCGACTAGAGTCTCCACATCGTTTTGTGAATCTGTGAAGACGGTTTCGAGCTTAGGAAGGGTGGTGCTCAGGCTTGTCTTCAGGTCCTTGTTCACCTTGTTCATGATGTGCTCCGGGATGTTGATCTGGGACGGCGCCTGTGGACTGAGAAACGACTTATGGACATCAAACAGCGTTTTAGCAACGTCATTGAGCAGCGACTGATAGCGGTCCACGGCAGAGAGAAATTCCATGTTCTCGGCACAAAGTCGCTTGCGAGAGAATTTCAGAAGCTGGCGTGATGTGATAGGATTGTGTAACACAATCTGGAGGACTTCATCGCTGAAGAAGTCTGGCAGTCGTGATACTGACGAACCGGACGGTGCTGCGGAGCGTGTGTCGGTCATGTGCGACGATGTGACAGAAGCGGCATCATTGTGGCGCTCATCTTGTCGCACGTTGTACCGCTCATCGATAGGCTCCAGGTTGAAGTCAAGCTTACGCAATTCATCCTGCTCCTGGGCCGTATATTGATGTTCGGAAGAGTGATCCTGATATGGCTTGTTGTTCGCCATGTTGTCGCTGGTTTGACTTAGAGAACGCTCAGGCCCCCGAGCACGCAAAGCAGAGGAACGAGCGCCCTCGCGGGAATCTGACCTCACTCGATGACCATTGATACGTGGAGGACTGTTGTAGATGGCATCAGTGTCGTAGCCCATGGGCAGTCCCTGGGGTTTCCCTTCGCGATATCGCTTGATGGGGGGAGGAGCATCGTCATCGTCATCGTCGGTCAACGTATAATCCTTTGTCAATCGCATTCGAGACATGGGAACCACGGGTGATTCCATGGTTGACAGCTGTCGAGAAGGGTTGCGAAAACAAAAAGAAGATTCAGCGGAAGCGGCAGTGTGGGTATGGGCACTCATAAACGTGGAGCCGAAGAGAGTTCCGGGCGCTGCTGGAGCTAGTTGGCAGCAGGTACCAAGTGCAAAAGTGTTCGCAGGATGAAACCCTGGGACGAAGTTGGCGAGGCGAAGGGAAAGTCATGATGCCATGGAATTAGGTTTCGCTGGCGGATGATTGGCACTGATGGCGAGAGTGTTCCAGGCCGTTTTGACGCTTGACAGGTGGTGTTTGCAGGTCAAGTGCCAAACTTAGAGACGGCTGCTGGCGTTGTTGCTGGATATGGCAGAGGCTCAGAGGCTAGAGCCGTTGTCCATGAGCTAACCTTGCTGACTGCCGTTGGATTGGCAATGTACTCCCTCGGGCGGAATTTTCTCAAGTGTCATAATAGACCAAACTCAATTCCACGCGATGCCACGAGCTCCAATGCTGTTCCTTGCATGTTTTGCATGATTCCCAGCCTCTTGACCAGAGCTGTGACAGGACCGCAAGTGATCAGCCGTGCTGCGACGAGAAAGGATCGGTGCCGTTGAGAAAAATCGCAGTAGTAAAGGACAATGGTGAGAAGATGTCGATGAAGATCAATCTGTCCCCTGAATGTGGCGCCCTCGCTAATTTGGCGGGTACCTTGTGCCCGGCGCCGCACAACCGGGGTGTCCTTGATCGAAGAGGCGGGGAGGCAGAATCGCAGGGGCTCTTCAGCTCGCTTGGAGATCGTGTTTGGGGGTTCTCTCGCGGGCTTCCGCAGGGATCGACGATGAATGCCTGAAGATTTTGAGACATGCGTGTGGCTGGTCGGCGCACTATGCCAGTACCGCTTGGCATGGGGCATCGCTTCTCGGCAACACTGTCGCAGACAAGGATGGGATCTGGACAGTCAACACATGCGAAAGTCAGGGAATTAATCACCAACTGCTCTGGTTTCAGCGCTGTTCTGGTGCCCAGATTGCCGGTGCCCAATATTGCCCGACCCGAAAGCTAGTCCGATTGTGCACTAGGCGGTTCCGGCCAACCTCTTCATCGAGTCACATCACCTTCACTCTCACTGGACTTCGCAGTCATATCAACGCAGCTACAAGGAGATCAGATCATGGTTATCCCACATTCCTACAACTCTACCCTTGCCATCCGTGAAGAAGTTGACGGCCTATCCAAAGGCTAGAACCCTTCATATACGCCCACGCTCCATCACGCAGCAGCAGCAGCAGCAGCAGCAGCCCTAATCAAACCTCCTTGGGCATCTCGCTGACTACCTCAACTTCCTTGGCGTTGACATCCTGGCCCCTCGCCTCGGCATCCATGGCGTCCCACCGGTCTCTAAACTCCTTCATCGCTTCCTTTGCCGTTCCTGGGCCATTGACCCAAGCATTGAGCGCCCTTGGCGGAAAGATATAATTCAGAGCCACAAAAACCGCGGCCGAGATCGCTAGGCCACTAAGGAAGCAGATGTAGTATAGCCTCGTAGCTCCGATCGGGACTTTGATGCCGGGACTCACCGCGGAGATGAAGCCCGGCATCGACGGGGCCACGCCGCAGATCCACTGCTCGAGTGTCAGCTTCAAACACATGGTAAGACCACTAAAGGGAGAAAACTGACAGCGACAGGGGCACGCCAGTTGATACCCGCGGTAAACCAGTAGATGCTCTCCGAGTTGCCTACGTATAGATGGTCCACGTTGATCTTCTGCTTGTTGACGAGATAGTAGCTCGAAATCATCAGTCCGATCATGGGACCCAAGAAGACTGAATAGCTCGACAGAACCGACAAAAAAACCGAAGCGGTGGCCAGAAGTTGCCATGGGTTGACGACCATCGACAAGAGAGCTGTAATGTATGCTCCTCTCCTGATATTAAGGTACTTGGGGAACAGGGCTGCGAAGTCAAAGCCGCCGGAGAGCGCATTGCCAGGTACGTTGATTCCTGTTGGCAGACATCAGTGATCTTGCTCGCGGACTGGACATTATATCCGACGTGAATGGCATCGTCTTCTAGGGAGACAAAAGAAAGCTTTTTCCCAGACTCGGCCTCGAGATCTTGGGGAAGTACTAACCAAACCTGTCCCGTTAGCGAAGATGAACAACGGTTCTGGGGAGCCGTCAACTTACTGGCTGATCACAAGCGCCGCCCCAGCAAAGAAAGCCGCGGCACGCGATCGCGGTCCCCCGGTCTGCTGAACAGCGCTCAACAGGCCCGGCAAATTCCACATCGCCTCTCCGTACCTCTCCTGTGTTGCCGCCGTGACCAAAATGCCGATAATCGGCGTCACATTCGCATAGATGACGGGACTGATAATCTGGCCCAAGATGGCATCTCTCGGCCGGCGCGCGAAACGAGCGTAGTCATTTTGATTCAGGATGCCGGCCGAGATGCCGCCGATGCAAGAGATGATGCCGTACACGATGCTCCAGCCCTTGTTCGTATCCTGCACATCAGGGGCACCGGTGATGGTATCCCCAAAGCCGCCGGAGCCCATGGTAGCCAGCGCCCAGATCAGCAGGGAGAACTCAAAGACCAGCACCGTTGCCGAGGCGACGTAGAAGAAGTTCCGCAGCTTATGCGGCCGGATCCAGATCAGCGGCAGCGAAATGATGCAGAAAATCAGGTACGTCACGAACTGGGCGGTCGTCATGCCCGTCGACGCCGGCATATGGTTCGGAATCCGCCGCTCCAGATCCGGCCAGATGGCCTCGAGGCAGACGTAGACGCACGACCCGCCAATCCAGGCCTGCACGGCATACCACACCAGACTCAGCAGAATGCGGTTCAACACCACGAACTGCATGCCGTACATGCCCCACGTATACCGATTCGCGATGGGGAATCCCAAATGATAGAAGGCGCCGGGCGTGCTGTTCAACACAATGAAGACCATGGAGATGACGGACGACACCACGATGGCGATGACGGCCTCCCACCAGCGCAAGCCCAACGCGATCAGAGAGCTGCCCACCATGTAACTGCTGATGTTGGTGTTGGTCAGCACCCACAGATTATGGAAAGTCCAGAACGTCCAGATGCGTCGCCCGGCCTCGATGGGCTTGATGTCGTTGTTGATCCATCGGTTCGGGGCTGTGCCGCCTTCGTGCTTGACCTGCAGCCGCTGCAGCAGCGGTTTGATTTCCATTGCTTTCGCGATGCGCGCGCGGAGGCGCCGTAGATTACGTGGTGGGTTGCTGCCGCTGAGTTGGAGCCTTTTCGGGCGGGCGGGCGTGTGAAAGGGTCCCGCAACGCTGCGGAGGCGAGTGAGGTAGTGAGGTAGCGAGATGGCAAAGGATAGTGCGGAAGGGCAAGGTGAGGAGAGATTGTACGCGGCGGCGACTGAGGGTCCCGAAGGAGATATCAACGAAAAGAAAAGCAGCACTTATCGTCGTGTATATCACCTCACCTCACCTCACCTCCGCTGCACCAATGCAGCCCGCACGAAGCGAGTAGAGGGTCCAGATTCTAGATAGGCCCTATCTAGCCAAGCTGGTTAATGAGAGTGAACGGCGCGCTTTTTGGGCCCAGTCCAACGGTGATAATGCACCAAACCCTCTTCGTCCCGGGGCACAGACGTCGCAAACAGGCCTTTCTCAATACCACCTCATACCTCACATCGCTCAGCGGCAGGCAGCCGAGGCGAGCGCCGATCACACAACGCACGCTCCCGCTCCCGCTAACCCGACGTGCATCTCCGCAGCTCTCTCGAAGCGCAATTGGCGGTATCAACAAGCACTAAAACCCCCCGAAGGATTAGACTTGAGCAGTGCTAAAGCGCGGCGTAGAGTAGGACAGGGGGGCGTACACGGGTAAGCCGCAGGCTCTGCCGTGTCTTGCATGCAAGTCACTGGGGCAGCCACTGGGGCACTACATACGGAGTACGGTACTTGTGGTTATGCCCACTACACTACTGTAGTATAACCTTAGATATGCCAGCGAAGACTTTGTGGAACTCGTACTCCGTACCTAACGTAGCGGTTTGTCCAACGGCTCTTGAAACCGAGGAACCGATAACGGAGACTTGGCGTGTCAATGGCCCCATCGTCTGAGCTGCTCACAGCTCACATTTTGTGGTACTGCGTACTGCGATAAACTGAGCATGCAGGAGAAGAGGCTCTACGGTCCGGATCTTGAACTTTAACGCGGCAGTTCCGTCGAGATCCTGTACGTGTTCCATTCTGCCGTTGTTGGTTTCTTATCTGATCATCTTATCTTCAGGCAGTGGAAGACCCAGAGGCCGTGTACAACTGCCAAGTGACCGTCAATCCTGTCTTCGAATTCATAGAGGAGGGGCTGATTAGGCCACTCAATCATGTTCCGCATCGGCGTCGACGTCGGCGGCACCAACACCGACAGCGCGCTCCTGGACGTGACGCAGCTAGCCTCGCCATCTCGCGGCGTCCTCGCAACCTGCAAGACGCCGACCACCCCCAATGTCACCGAAGGCATCCAGACGGCCATCCAAGACGTCCTGCTGACGTCCAGAGTCGACCGCTCCAAGATCCTCAACGTCGCAATCGGCACCACCCACTTCGTCAACGCCGTGGTCGAGAAGGATGCGCGCCGCCTCAGCAAAGTCGCCGTGCTGAGGTTGTGCGGACCCTACACGAGACAACTACCGCCCTTCATTGACTTTCCCTACGCGTTGAAGGCGGTCATCCAAGGGCCGCACTACTTCCTCAACGGCGGGCTCGAAATCGACGGGCGGGAGATCACGCCCCTGAACGAGCAGCAAATCCGAGACGCCGCCGCCGAGATCCACGCCGCCGGCATCAGCGCTCTCGCCCTCGTGGGCGTCTTCTCGGCCCTCGACTCCTCCGGCCGCCACGAAGAGCGCGCCAAGGCCATCATCCAAGAGGCCTATCCGCACATGTCGGTCGTCTGCTCGCACACCATCGGCGGGCCCGGCCTTCTCGAGCGCGAGAACGCCACCATCCTCAACGCCTCGATCCTGGCCTTTGCGCGACGCACCGTCGCCGGCTTCCGGCGGGCGATGCAACAGCTAAACCTCCGCTGCCCGCTGTATGTGACGCAGAACGACGGCACGCTGGCCGATGCCGCGGCGGCAGCAGAACTGCCGGTCAAGACCTTTGCGAGCGGGCCGACCAACTCGCTCATGGGCGCCGCCTTCCTGCAGGGGCTCGGACAGGGCTCACAGGCCGCCAGTGACAAGCAAGTCATCGTCGTGGATATCGGCGGCACGACGACCGACATCTGCGCCTTGCTGCCCAGCGGATTCCCGAGACAGGCTCCGAACTTCGTGGAGGTGGGTGGCGTGCGGACGGCATTCAGCATGCCAGAGGTCTTTTCCATTGGCTTGGGCGGCGGGAGTCGCGTGCGCGAGGATGGTGCAAAGGTCACTATCGGCCCGGATAGCGTTGCTCATCGGCTGAAACAAGAGGCTTTGGTGTTCGGAGGTCAGGCCCTGACGACCACCGATGTGATTGTCGCGGCTGGAGGTGTCAGTGTTGGTGACACGCATCTCGTCAAACACATCACCCCGGAGCAGATCACGAGGACGAAGACGGAAATCAAAAGGATGATAGAGAAAGCCGTAGATGCCATGAAGGTATCGGCAGAACCGGTGGTCGTGCTGTTGGTAGGTGGTGGGTCCATACTGGTGACGGATGACCTAGACGGCGTCGAGCAGTGCCTGTGCCCTCCACATCATGATTCAGCCAATGCGGTGGGGGCTGCCATCGCAAAAGTCTCGGGCGAGGTCGATCTGATCGAGGTATTGCTGGGGAGAGACGAGGCCGAGATCCTCGCTTCTGTGAAAAAACGAGCAGTCGAGGACGCTATCGCTAGAGGGGCAGATCCTGACCGCGTTGACATCGTCCAGGTCGAGAAGATCCCGCTACAGTATGTCACCAACAAAGCGACACGCTTGGTTGTGAAGGCTGTCGGTGATCTGAAGGTCTCCCACGCAGCGCTGACGAGTCCAACGGAGACGAATGGGGATCAAGGCAAAGCAGATGCCGTGCAGGCACCAGAAACAAGGAAGAGTGAGATTCTGTCCCAGGAACTGGGGAGCCTGGCCAGGCCTACACTGGACGTAGACCTGAACACATACAGACCAGAGGTAAGGGACCGAGTGTGGTATCTCTCTCCAGTTGATGTCGAGCTCATTGCTTCCGGCACCGGCATCCTGGGCACTGGTGGCGGCGGATCCTCATACAACATGGCGCTGCACACGCTTAACATCCTGCGCCAGCAAGGTCCAGGCAGGATGCGAGTTGTGGCGCCGGAGTCTCTCGCTGACGATGACATCTGTGTCGAGGGCGCAGGATATGGAGCCCCGAGCGTAAGCAATGAGAGGATCGCTTCTGGTCAGGAGGTGTTTGACGCCGTCGACACCGTGAACAGGATAATGGGATACAAAGACTTTACTGCTATTGTGGCAGTCGAGATCGGAGGAGGTAACGGGCTGGTGACCTTCCCTTCTAGCGCACATTACGATCGGCCCGTCGTGGACTGCGACCTGATGGGCCGTGCTTATCCTACCATCGAGCACACGACACCTTATCTTTTCGGCGAGGACGTGTGCCCCTGTGCGACGACAGATGGAGCCGGCAATGCGGTTGTGGCAATGAACGCCCAGTCCTACCGCAAAGTCGAAGGGATGATCCGGACTGCATGCATTGAGCTGGGCAACGCTACCGCTGCCGCAGGTGCTCCATTCAAAGGTTCCATCATCAAGAAGTATGCTGTGCCCAACACCGTATCCCAGGCATGGTTCCTGGGTCGAGCTGTGCATATGGCGCGGCAGACCAAGGTTGACTTCATCAAGGCTATTGGGAGCGAAACTCCAGTGAAGTTGCTGTATACGGGCAAAGTGATTGACGTGACCCGCGATGTTTCAAGAGGATACACCGTTGGTCGATGTCTTCTAGCGCCTCTCTCGTCCGACGAGCTGCAGGACACGGGACCTGGAGTAGCGGCTGAGACCAGGAACATGGTGATTCCGTTCCAGAACGAATACCTAGCAGCGGCGTTTGTCGTGCCGGGCCAGGCCGATGAGGCTGGAGAGATGGCCTGTACGGTGCCTGATCTAATATCCATCCTTGGACAGGATGGCGAGGCGTTGGGATCTCCGGAGTTGAGATATGGTCTGCGGGTGAAGGTTATCGCCATGCCGGCCTCGCCAATATGGACAAAGACGGAACGCGGCTTGCAAGTGGGTGGCCCTGAGTTCTTCCAGCTTGGGTGTGACTATAAGAGTATCGGCGAGTATCAGAAGCCGCGAAGTGTGATAGACGAGTTCTCGCGGTAAGACGGTATCGCTGTAGAGTGCGCCTTACCAGGCAACCACCTTACACAAAGTCCAGTCAAGCCTCTTCTTCTCTGGAGCTGGCCGTGACGTGAAATCTGTGCTTGCTGTGCTTGCTACACTTGCTTGGCCCAGTCAGGGCCATACCTCGTTCTTTCAATCATAGACAGTATCGCGCTCAGCTTGAGTTCCCGGTCCAAATTTCTCATAGTACTTTGTGAGTCTACTTTTCTCGCTAAGGTCAGTCGCTCGCTCGACACACATCTCTGTCTCTGTCTCTACTAATATAAGTCTATAGAACAAAAACCTCTATTGTAAAAGCCCTTTGCTGCATGCACATGCCGACCCAAAACTGCTGGTGCTGCTGATAAGACAATGTCTTTGGCAGTGAAGTGCTGTTGCTGTTGCTGCTGCTGCTGCTGTTCTGTGCCCTGTGTTATAGTTGTTGTTTACTCCCAGAAAACACCCACGCTCGCCAAAGCTCCAGCGCTTTTTCATTACCCGCCTGCCACACCATCCGTAAATACCATACGTGTTGTCCATATCCCATATCCATATTCGGAGTCGCTCGCTCGCTCAAAGCACTTTTTGGGGACCTCCTCGTTCACATTGCAAGGCGTCATCAGCGTCTAATCAGCGGGTTTGTCTAGGCGTCGTTGTTCTTCTCCGCCTCGACCACCCGAGGCGCATTGAGCTTCTTCCACAGCCCACTGATGGCATCTTCGAACTGCTTCCACCACGTGCGGTTCATCCAATTACTTAGCTCTCGATAGGCGTACATCTCACTCCAACAGTCCCTGCCCCACTCACAGCCCGCCATGTTGACCATAAAGTCGCGATCCGCCTTGTTGTAGTGGTACCGTTTGTCGAGCGGCTGATGATGCTTGCCTTTCTTGATGAGCTCCTGCTCCTCATCCGACACGGGGACCGCGCATGCGCCGCTCGGGAAAGAGTTGATCATGCGCTGGTCCAGAAAGGCGATGTGGCTCCGCAGGTAGGGCTGTGCTTCGTAGAGGTGTTCCAGCGCATCCTGCTCCTTGTGCTCCCATTCCATATGTTTCTGCTCGTACATCACAGGGTCCCACCAGATGTCGAAGAGGCGGTCAGTGAACGCGGATCGGCGGGCAAAAAAGCTCCCCAGGTTGAATCCTGAACAGTCTTGGGTGATGATCAGGTCGATGCTGGCGGATGAATTGTCGCCGGAAGGAGATGATGTGACAGGGTCGAGGGTGGGATTGACGGGCGGATGGGTAATGTTCAGTGGATTGTAGTGGTTGATGTCGCGATAGACGGCGCGTGAAAGGTGATTAAAGATGTGTGACTGCAGCGAGTACGACGGCTCCATGATGAAGGTGTTGAGATCGAGCCACCAGAACCTGGAAGAGAGTTAGCCTGCAGCAGATGGATATTTAGCAATTGACATACCACTCGGCCTTGGGATATTTAGCCATGGCGTTGCGCATCGTGTCGACCTTCTCCCAGCTCTCACGCCATTCGTGTGCATATCTCTTCTTGGTGCTCATGTCGGCGATTTCGAGGTGATAACCCCATCGGTCGGCATACTTGCGCTTGTTGCGGATGCTGTCTCGCTCGATGGCCCATTCTCGAGGCCCTTTCCACTCCATGACGCCGCCACCTTCGTTGGCTGCTAGTATTATGACAAAGTTACTGCCTCCACCTAAAGACTTGCTCGCGCGGTATTGCTGTTTCATCCCTGTTCCACGTTAGCCTGCTCCTCGATGACAGACATATAGCATACCGGTCTGCGATATCAGTACAGTGCTACTGGCGACGATGGCCAATACAATAAAGACAAATTTGAACCTCCGTAATACATTGCCAACGAAGGTTTTTAGTCGCGTGACACCGCTGCCACCTCCTGGCGTCCACCTTCCGCGCCCGAGTTTCTCTGCTTCGCGCCAATCTTTCGGTATTTTGGGGCCCGATCTGTGGAAGGCCGGTAATGGCAGGGTCTGAGAGATTTTCCGACGAGATCTCTGAAAGAAGCCCTCATTTTTAGTCTGGATGGTAGGACCACCCCTCACTCTTTGGCTTTTGGCCCTGGCAGCGGCCCACTGGTCTTCTGTGTTGCTGAGGTTGTTCATCTCGCCGAAGCTGCGTGGCGAAGAATCTCTGCTGTCGGTCAGACCCCTAGATGACCATCCTCCGTTTGGTCTTGGTGAAGGGGTTCTCGAGAGGGACATAGAGGGGCTGGGCTGTGGAGAGCCGGCGATCGGGGTGAGGGAAGGAGCCGGAGCTCGGGGAGTATCGCCCCACGAGACACCAGACGTGGGTTGTCTTGGTGTTGCTGGCCCTTTGAGATCGTTCGGTGGAGGTAGGTTATTGCCCGAAGGGCGGCGCCGGGGATGTGCTGAGGATTCGTTGAGGCCCGCCAGGATGCGATAAGGAATGGAATTGTTGGACTTCTCGATCACGGCACGTCCAATACAAATGTGATAGGTGCCAATACCAGTCAAGGAGGTCAGAGAGGCCGCATGCAGCGGGAGGCCGCAGCAATGTCCAGCGCAGGCGCAGTGCCCGAACAGCAATGGATTAACGACAGGTGGGGAACAAGAATCAATTAGAAGGCACGACCGGACAGCAACATGACGGCAGCAGTCGAGATTTGCAAGACCGAGAAATTATGTGTGCAGGATGGATGAGACGACGCAAAGGACAAGGTGGTGGTTATCCTTTCCCTTGTGCTACGAAGACGCTGCTGGGGACTGCGGAGCAATTCGACATGCATTGTGAAACAGAAGTTTTGGAGATTTGACCGTCTGCTTAGGCCGCTTATAGCTTAGGCTGGATCGTCGCGAAAAGGCTTAAGAGGGATGCTCCCTATCGCGCCCCTCTAGCCCTCTCGAGCCCCTGTCTATCAGCTAAACACATGCAAATCATGACGCCTAAGAACTGCTTGATAAGTGACGATCCGTTCATGGGAACCCTCCCTGCCAGCTCGTTGCCATCCAACAACGCGGGCAGCTGCTGTTACTGTTGACAATCTCCGCAATCAGGACCGCGTAGCATATCGATTGCAACGGAGTCATCGCAGTCCACTGCGCAACGCCCTTGCAGCTGTTGAGTCAATAAGTCCCACTTGAGTGAACCAGTCCCCGAGATGATATTCGCCTAGACAACTTGGCTTCGCTGGCGCAAGTTGTTCTGGATCCTTCACCCTGGTCCGCCATCTCACGACGCGTCTTCAGTGGATTATGAAGATCGCTTGTCAGTAGATATCGGTACAAGAAGCGCCTGAGACTGAGGCTTTCTCGGATAAATGTAAATGTGCTCATCTCAATTCCATTGTGAGCTACTCACAATATCTGTACATGGGTATTCCTCCATTGCATCCTCTTTTGACCATAACTCCTTGCTATACAAATCGCCGTCGTCACTTCTGAACTGCCGCTGCAACATCACTTTTTCGCCCTCCCAGGTGCTCTTTCCATAGAGCAGTCCTACCTTGCTGGATGTAGAAACTCGCCTCATCCTTGGGGCGGGGTCTGGCACTGTCGCCGAACAAGATTTCCACCTTCAATCTCAGGAATTTTCCCTGACCTTGCGTCTCGTCAACCACCGTGACAATATCGCCGTTGTAGATCTTGCCGTAGTTGTAGAAATGGTCATCGCTGGTGCTCTTCCGCAACTTCACCCCATTGATCAAGATGTAGCTTGAGCTGGAGGTCGAGATTATGGTCTCAATCCCCTTTACCGCGGTCCAGTCACCGCCAGCCTTTACAACAGGCTCGATACCGCGCGCATGGAAGACGACCTTCAAAGCAAATCGGGCAATCAAGATATCATCCGGATCCGAGTGCTGGTATGTACAGGCAGGAGACCGACCCCAAGCTGTTTCTTGGCCAAGTAGTGGAATGTCGACATTGACATAAGACCCAGGAAGACTTGTCAGCCCTCCGAATCGCCTGGACCGGGACCCGTCCCAACCACCAACGTTGACTCCTGCTTTCTTAGTCGGCAGGATCTCGAATGAACCAGCCGTGATCGGGGACGGAACTTCTCGGCCAGTCAATGCATCAATAGTGCGAGCAAGCTCTTGAGACGGTCCTTGATCGTAGGAGGTTGTTCGTGCCTGGAAGGTCTCGGCCTTTTGTTGCACGGTTGCGACTCCGACTTCGCCGCGGGTGCCAGATACATGAGGGGCTGCAGCAGGCGGTACATTTTCATCAACAGCTTCTCCCAGGTCCTCATCATCAATGTTCTGGGTCTTATAACCAGTGGTGGTACCTGCCCCAGGAACCAAGCGTGATGGGGTCAGCCCCCTTGTATGAGGTGTAGCCGGATTTGTCGTTTCTGGCGTATCTACATCCGACGCTCCAGCCGGTGGTGAGGTGACATTCAAATACTCGATCTGAGCCCCTAGCACGCTTGGGGAGGGACCTTCTGACTTGGCAGCATCGTCGCTAGTCCCATGCATGCTGACGTCCGGCGCCCGGTTGCGCCAGTCATTGACACTGATGTTCTCCATGCCATATTGAATATCTCGTGTGGTGCCTGCAGGAACATGCATCTGAGTTCCGTAGCCACCAGAGCTCTGCGACGGGAATCGGTCGGACGCTATCGGGCCTCCCATTCCGAAAACTCCAGAGCTTTTGAGGACGGATGGGGTGATCTCTCCGAAGAGTTTGCCTTGTGTGGGAGGAGGTCCGTCTTCTAAAACGGAACTGCCGACCGGAGTCGGCAGACTAGGATATCTGACTTCGTCTTCTACCCGGCCGTTGTTGCTGGCGCGGACGCGCTTGTGTGCACGCTGAGGGCTTGACGATCCCTGCTCAGGTGTTCTGGGATCCTGACTAAGCTGCTCCAGGACGTTGGCGTCAAGGTCCTCGTCTGGAGCTTCGTCCACGGCTTCGAGTGCGCGACGGAACACCTCGGCGCCTGGGCCTACGTCTTCATATGCGACCAGATCAGGAACGTTAACCAACCATGGGTGCCGCAGGCACTCTGGCTCTTTGGGCCGCTGGAATGGATCGCGATTGAGGAGCCCGGCGATGAATGCGGCGGCATTCGCACTCACACCTTGTCGCCTCAAGGGCTCGAAGTCGACATCTTTGGTCATGATATTGCTGAGCATCTGGGCGCCCCGATCATCGCCTCGACCCGCGATAGGAGCTTTGCCACATAATAGATGAAAGATCACTGCGCCAAAGGACCACATATCCACAGACTCGTCATATGGTGAGGGCCGTGGAGGAGCCTCGCCAAGACGACGCCGCTTCGGCATCGATCCTTGTGTGTATGTGTTGTAGTCGGGATATATCTCGGGCGCGCAATAGAGGAGTGTGCCACAGAAGGTTTTGAGGAAGGTTTCTTGATCCGTCACACACTTCGACAAGCCAAAGTCGGACAGTTTGACAGTGAGTGGATCTCGATTGGCGATCAAGATGTTGTCTGGTTTGATATCTCGATGCGTTACGCCACGTTGATGCAGGTAGTACAATGCATGCAAGATCTGACGGGTGATCTGTTGAACCTCAGCTTCTGGGAGATGCGAGCGCGCGCGCAGCTCCGCCGATAACTCGCCATGAGGAATGTACTCCATGATGATGTACACCCATGGGTCGTAGAACTGGCAGTCGACATATTCGACGATATTTGGATGCTTTAGGTTCTGCATGATTTTGAGCTCGTTGTCGAACCTGATGTCAAGCACTCCACCCTTGATAAATCTCCGCTTATCTAGCTCTTTCGCAGCATAGATGTAGCCATCGCGTTTGGTCTGAACACGGTAGACACTGGCAAACGCGCCTTTGCCAAGGTTCCCAGTAAAGTTGTATAAGTCGCCGCCATTCCAGTGGTTGCCATACATGCTCTCTCGCATCGACGCGAAGTTGGCCACAGTTCCGCGCATCTCGAGATACTTCCGCAGATTTCGCTCGTATGCATCTTCGTGACTGCTCCGGTTGGGGATGCGAATCATGAATTTGACTTCTGATCTTGCCGGTCCACTGACCACAGAGATGATAGTGCCGTTCTTTAAGGCCAGTGTCGGGGGCTTCTGCATAGTATCTCTACGTCTGGCACGCAGGTGCTGATCATCCACAATAGTGCCATTTGTAGACAGATCTTGTAACATGAGGCTACCATGCGCATTGACGTAGATTTTGAAGTGTTTATTGCTGATGAGCTTCTCTGAGGGATCGTCGGTCAGGAGAACATCGCAACTGTTTGGATTGCGCCCAAAGATGAAGCCGTCCCTAGGTGATCTGACAGTTGACGAGAGTCGCAAAGCGAATTCACGGCTTTCCTGGTATTGCGGCAAAGATAGGTCGAATTCGGAAAGATCGTCCAAATCTTCATTCTGGTGAATGTGCTGCGGCCCGGTGATCATGGTCGCACGGACTGCTGTCTGCGCCAAATTTGACTGGGGATGCAGCAAACAGATCACATCGGTCAAATCATGGGCGGAGACGTCTGAGAGGTGCCTGCCGGCTTTGCGAGGATCCTCTGCTGGCTGAGTAGCCTGCTGAGTGGCTTCCTCAGCCATGACGAAAGACGCTTGAGAGGATTGGCCTTACGCGAAGTATTTTCTTTTCCCTTCGACACAATTCTTCGCGTCCACTCTGCCCCAGGCTGCTCAGGTTGTGGGAGAGGCAGTCCAATCTTGAGGAGCAGCTCGCGTCTTTGAGCACGGTTGAGAGACTGCCACAATGTTAGCAGATCAGGTCTACCATCATTAGATGAGACTTACCGGACGGCCGTCGACACCGAAACCTGGCGTGCGATCGTGTTGTCGGTCCAGTAGTACTCATCGGGCACTAATTCGGTGTCGCTCTGGTCGTCCTCGTAATTCCACAGGCCATCATTCCTACCTGCAAAAGCCGTGTTTGCAGCGCTGTCTTTGACGTGGTTAGCCATTGTTTGGGTAATATAAGATTGGTAGTGATGTGGTGTGACGCTTAGTTTAAGACAATGTCATGGTGTTGTTGAAAAGAGTCTCATCCCTCCGAATTGTGAACCAGACAAGCAGGATGTCCTGGTAACAAGCTTGAAGGTCTCATCGTTGCTAAGAGAAGGGGCTGTTGAGCAGTTGTAAAGCACTTACAATCACCGCGGCAGCAGTCTTGCTAGTTCGTTTAATATGCTGGTAGCCAGTCAGCAACCATTCGGATTTGCGGTGACATTAGCATGAGTGCCCAGGATGTCGATCCATCCCTTAGGTATTTCCTGGCATCGTCCCCTAGGTCTGGAGGAGACTCGAATCCTCGAAGTGAAGCCTGCGCTCGATGCCAGACGAGCTAGCCTTTATATGGCCCACGCATTTCCGGCTCTTGTCCATATGGATCTTTCTCTCGATGATATGGAAATGGGCAGGGAATTTCGGAGCTGGCTTCTGGGTGGAAACACTCACACTGTCACTTCGCCTGCTTGCACAGTGTCAGTTGCTGCAGTCGTGCCTCATTGCGGATCAAATTCACCTCAAAGCCCATACAATTTCCCAGCCTAGACATACACAGTCACTTTGAAGGTCGTTATGTGTCCAAAACACAAGGAAACCACTGGGCGATAATGTCTGTTGGTGTTGGGGTTGTTCAGGTGAGATATAATTGTTTACTAGAGGTCAGGTTGTGGCCACCACAGAATCTCCCCTCAGCGGCGCATTAGCCGAAGTGATGCCTACCGCCACGCGGCGGAGTCCGCAGGATAGTACCTGGCACTATGCCTAAATAGAGACTCCTGCCTACTTCGCCCAGGCCCGAGGCGACGGCACGGGCGATCCCTGGTTCGCCGTTTGAGGCATGTTGGAACGTACGAGTAGTGTTCAGGTGTATTAGCAGGTCTAGCATGCAGACATTTAGAGGTACAAAGTGAAAATGTCCAGCTCAGCTATCTGATGCCTGGAACATGGAATTTAAGAGTGTCTGGATGGTTTACTCAGGGACAGTATGCTAGTATCATTCATTAGCCAACCCACTCTTCGTTAATCGCAGGTCTAAGTTCCTTCTTCTGACAGCATCGCATCTCTTGCCAAATCGTCTCTTCGCTCCATGTCCGACTTGCGCTGCCGACGCCTCGTGGTCGGGCCTGTCCCCGTTCTCTGATTCGCTGGGTATTTCTCAGGCTGGTATTCCCCACCACCCTCCTCGCTTTGACCTCGCCTTCCGCGATCGTTCTGTTGGTTCGTGACCTCAGTAAGGGGCAGACCGTCTGCAGTCGTCTCCAGGGCAGGATCAATTGGAATATGCGACGTCATTTGCGTCCTCGTTCCGCTGGTGGTCGGGCCTGGTGTTGATTCTTCCTTACCAGCAACAGAAAACTCGGGTAGATTTTTGTCTTTTCGAACTCGTCGCGCAATCTCCCCAGGCGTGAAGTTCAGGGCATTGTTTATGCCGGGCGCCAACGCGGGTTGACGCAGACTCGTGCAAGCACCAGGTCGCGGGAATGGAGGAGGTCGATATGGTGCAGGTTGGACGGGTGTTTGCTGCGGAGGTTGACCCTCGAAAGGCCCATGTGGTGCGCCAGAGTTTGATGGATCAATCAACGCATGCCCCATCCGGTTTCCTCGATGATTTGGTGTTGGTCCAACACCTGGGAAGATAGGCGGCTGGGGACGCTTGCGAGGAACAGACAGCGGAGCGTCGCCCGGGGCCGGAGTCGCTATCTCGTCGTCACTAAACTCAACGCTGTCGCCCATGACCGGGCCACTGTCTGCAGGATAGTTTCTAGATCTCGAAGCGCTTCCAGCGACCTGGGGGTCCTTTCGCGACTCCGGTCTAGCCAGAATTGGAGGCGGGATTTGCGAAGCATTCTGTCGTGCAAAATGCTCATTAGGATTGGCATAATGACTCTCGCGTGGCTGAGGCGGGCCATATAATGAAGCTGCTGGGGGGTACTGACCGAGGCCCGGGTCGCTGTATTGATGCCGCAACGGGGCAGGGCCATAGCTTGTGGACTGGTGTCGAAAGTAGCCATGGCCATTTACGGACTGCCGTAGTGCTGGCGTAGGCTCCCGGGCGTTTGCAAGCTCCTGTAGTGATTCAGGGGTTGGCGGATGGAATTGATCGTTTCCATGCAGTGGACCATAACCTTCAGCAGGGGCGAGTGACTCTTGATTGCGAAAGAATGGACGGGCCGGGTGCTCTTCAGTTCTCTTACGTTTTCCAAGGCTATTTGCGGAGCCATCTTCGTCTTCTGACGAGCCGTCTGGGGGAAGGCCCATGGCACCAGCGATCGTTGACAACCTTTCCTTGAGCTTTCGATTCTCAACGCGCAGGAAGTCAGTCTCCTCGGCTACTGCCTGGCCGTCTCTAACGGACTTCATCATCTCCTCGAATCGATTCATAATTGCAGTTTCCTGGAGTGAGCCAGACTGTTGCCGCGCTTTCTCAGCTCGCAAGTCTGAGATGATGTCCCGCAGATCTTCGATAGTGCCCTGTAGGCCGTTAACTTGGGCCGTTATCGATGCAATCTGCCTCTTCTGATCCTCGATGATCTGGGCATGCTGCGAATGAGGAAAGCCGAGACCGACATATGGCGGCCCATACTGTTGCGGTGGAGGCTGACCATATTCCTGTCGGGGAGGTGCAACGCATGCAGCGAAACCACCGCTTCGCACAAGTCGCTCGAGCTCGGCCATTCGATCGAGCACTGCCTGATGTTCCACCTTGTTATTCGCACGCTCTTCTTCGTCGTTATTCACCGGCCCCGTCTCGGGTGGTGATGTTTTCGGGCGCGCAACAGAACTAGAACCTTGTGCGCTGCTGTCCTTCTTTCGTTTAGCAATAGGCGTCGAAGGTCCAGCATCCACGTCATCCACAAACACAGGTTCCGTTCTCTTTGCAGTATTCGCACCCTTGAGGTATGTCTTCGACAGTTTGTAGAAATCCTGGCCGACCATTTGCGCCTTCTTAGACTCCGGCGCTCGTTTGCAGTGTTGGCCAATATGAGTATTGCATCCTTCACAGAAGACCTCGGCCATTTCGCAGCCCGCCGCCAGTCTGTGAGCAACTCCATCAGGCACCTTCTTCGTAGAGTCCCCGACGCGGGTTCCGAATTTCTGTCCCCGTTCTTTCGGGCTCGCATATGAAGGTGTCAAGTGCACCCATTCGTTGCTGAAGATACCAATTTGGGCGTTGCATTCTTTACAATAGAGGTTAACTTTTGCAAGCAACTTGTGGCTGCGATCGCCAGAACGTGCATTGGCTTTCGCCATGTGCTGATCGTTGAGCCGCGGCCTCTGGTGATGGGAGGAGGTTTTCGATACTAGGGAGGGGCGGTCCCAGAACCTCACAGGCGCGTGTCGCGAGATTGGAACGCGCACGGACGCGTAGATGGGCTCAGCTATTGCACTGGCGCCTTTACAGTCCACCGTACTCGGCCACCTACGGGCATCGCCGGCCCGGCTCTACTCCACAGCAGGAAGGTCGACGGAAAACCACGAGCGAATGCTCCACAAGTCTGCACAGTACCGATATGTAGTTGGAAGGTGAAAGGGCGCAACGAGTGTCACAGGTGAAGTATTTCGAGAGGCATGTTGAGGTTATCCCCCGGGCATCTACATCACTGCCTCTCTGTGGCACGACGTCTTAGTCCGTTCAGAGCCTTCACCATGGCTGTCTCCAATAGCCTGCCTACACCCGCCACGCCCTCTACCACCCAAAATGGCAGTCACAAAGAATTCAATGCTTGGACATCGCCAGGACCAACAGCCTATGATTTTCGATCTGATACCATGACCACACCAACGCTGTCGATGCTCGAGGCCATCAAAAACACCACCCTGTTTGACGATAACTTCCTCGAAGACCCCACTACCAATGATCTTGAAGCCCACGTCGCTGAACTAACTGGCCATGAAGCTGCTCTACTCGTCATGTCTGGCACCATGGGCAATCAAGTGGCTCTGCGCACGCATTGCACCTCACCTCCGTACTCCATCGTCGTCGACCACCGAGGCCACATCATCAAGTACGAAGCAGGCGGCGTGGCCCTCCTCTCCGGCGCTCTAACCATTCCTGTCACCCCACGCAACGGCCATCATCTCACCCTCCCAGACATCCAAGCAGCCACCGTCCTCGGCGACGACATACACGCCTGCCCGACACGCATCATCTCCCTGGAGAACACTCTCAACGGCACCGTCCTTCCTCTAGATGAATTCCGCGCCATCTCCGACTTCGCCCGCGCCAACAACATAGCCTTGCACCTAGACGGCGCGCGCATCTGGGAGGTCGCATCAACAGGCAAGCACGGCTCCCTGCGCGACTACACCTCCCTCTGCGACAGCGTCTCGCTCTGCTTCAGCAAAGGCCTAGGCGCACCCATCGGCAGCGTCATCGTCGGCAGCAAAGCCTTCATCAAGCGCGCACGCCATTTCCGCAAGATGCTCGGTGGCGGCACTCGGCAAGCCGGCGTCATCTCAGCCGCGGCGCGCGTCGCCGTCGACGAGCAGTTCGGCCTGGGCCAAAATGGAGAGGGCGGAAAGCTGCGCGCCACGCACGAGCGCGCACGCCAGATCGCCGAGACCTGGGAGAAGAAAGGCGGCAAGTTGACGAGCCCCACCGAGACCAACATGGTGTGGCTCGACCTGGCTGCCGCGGGGGTATCGGGCGAGGACTTCGTGGCGTCGGGCAAGAACCAGGGCCTGAAGTTGTTTGCAGGGCGCGTTGTGGTCCATTTCCAGATCAGCGAGGATGCGGTGCGGCGGTTGGAGATCGTCATGGACGAGGTGCTGGCGTGGGGGAAGAAGACGGCGGGAACGAGGAAGCTTGGGCATGAGCGCCCGGAGAACATGTACGCTAACGGCAACGGACAGAGCGCAAAGGCCGATGATCGGGATGAGATGTAGTAAAAACAAACGTGCTGTGAAGATATGAATCGAATATAGAGATCGTCGCGAACGTGATAGAATCAGGCGGCAGCGGCGTCAGATACATAATAGACGAGTTTGACTTCATCAAGCAGAAGGGAGCTACGGGTACCTCAATGCTCATACGGCATAGAGACATGATACCTAGACAGGAGACCAACACAGAGCGAGTACCAAAAAGGGCGTCATGCCCAAACCATTGAAAAGTTCAGAAGCGTCTGATATCACATTCGCCATCAACACCGCGAGTCACGAGAGCAAAGATGCGATATTTCCACATATGCTCATTCTCGCTACTACCTGCAGCAGCCTTAGCGCTGTTCACGTCTTTGAGCTGCCAGCTTAGCAGTATCCAATGGCCACCCCGTTCCAAACCCCTCTTCCCATAAGAATCAAAACAGAGAATACCTGGCCAGTTCCCACCGCGGCGTGGGTCACCTCCAGAAGATGAGAGGCTTAAATCTTCTACTGTATCCCACTCACTACTCCTTCTCCTACTTTCGCCAAAGTTCCCTTTCTTTCGTGAAGTCGTGATATTGGATTCGTAGTTTCGAATGAATGTTCTTAGCCCGTAACTCCTAGCTGCGGCTTGTTCCCGTACGATTGCCTCGATGCGTTGAATGAAGCTTGGTCGGAATCGGAATCGGCGTGCCCGCGCGAATAGGGCTGGTTTGGTGCACCGTACTCAAAAGTCTGTTGCTGTTGAGAAGGCGGGCCAAAATTTTGCACTGGACGAACTGAAGATTGCTTTTGCCAAGCATTCGCCTGAGAGGGGTCGACATCGACGCGCATCGCGACCGGATTCGCACTCTTGGTCGAGCCGTGCGCCGACGTCGTACCTTGTGCAGGTGCATCAGCAGCTTGCACTGTTTGCTTTGCGACATTGCCTCGCACAATGTCACCATATCGGGATAGAATCTCTTTGGTGGTGAGCTCGGCAGAGCTATTGTGCAGACTGCTGTCAGTCAAAATCGACTGAAGGTCTTCAGGCACCTGCTCAAGGTTAGTTCACTGTGCAGCCGCACTTCATGGTTTCGACTTACCTCTGAAAAAGAGTCGTTCAATATGATCAAAGTATGGATTGTTTCGATCGCCAGGAAACTCTCGTCCACCTGCGGTGTTTGCGATTTCACATTATCCTTCTTCGGTGGAGCGTGGAGGATATTCGGCGCCATCACCGTTGCGAGGTTGTGAGCATCCATCTTACTACCAGACTCCTCATCGACCTGCGAGAAAGATGCCGTCCAACGCAAGAAGGCAAACAGGACCTCCATCGTATCGCGGTGGCTCTTCGGCATAAGACAACAAGTCAAGTGCATTACTCGTCTCCGAACCTCCTCGTCTTCCAACTTCTGAGCAACTACCCACAGGGCGTGCAGCTTGAACGTGAGAAGAGGGTCCGGCATATCGCGCAGGAACTTCTTGAGGAGCGCCGCCACCTGGACGGGATTCTCGCGAGTAAGATCGGGAATCTGGTTGCTGTCGATCATCTCAGCTGCTTCCTTGAGCCGCTTGATGTTTCCGTTCTTGCGGAAAACACCTTCGACGGACATATCCATCTGCTTCATGGCGCTGATAGCTTCGTCAACAATGCCTGGGACCCGGAGTGCGCCAGGACCAACGCCATGTGTCGATTCAGCTCCTTCACGCTCACACAAACTTTCGAGAGGAACCCCGAAGACGCCCTTTTTCTTCGTCTTGGGATCATTGCGGAGCGCTCGACTGACTTTGCCCCAGAAGGTTGGCTTGCGTGACTCTATCAACCCTAGCAATTCTTCGAGGGTGAAGTGGCCTTCAAGCAAAGGCTGCATGGAAAGGACGGCAACATGCCGAACAATGAAGTATTCCAGTGCGGAGAGCTCGGAGAAATACCTCTTTGTACGCAGAGGGCTAGGTTCATTGGCCAGGAGATCATTGCCAGCTGAGGGTCCACGTTGATGCCCATTGACCAGACGGGGAGCGGTACCGCCAGCGCCAATCAAATTATTACCCGCATGCCTGTAGGCGTTAGGCCGCTGCTCTTTGGCCTGTTCTGCCGCGACAATGCGTGGGATATCGTCCAGGGTCAATCCGTCTTGGTTCCCGAAAGTCAGCTCTGGGCGCATCTTGCCGTCGAGGTCTCGCTCCTCGACAATCTGGAATTGGCCCCGGCTCTGGTCCGCACCATCAGCGCCTGCAGATCCGGGACGAATGCCGGTGGGACCCTCCATAATTCGCGAAGCTCGAGCCTTGCGGAAGGTGGTGGATAGAGTTCTCTCATTCCTCGTAGAGCGAAGTCGCTTCATCTCACCCACAGTCTGCTCCAAAGAAGATTCTTCTTGCTGCGACGCACCCGCATATGACTTGGAGCGCGATCCCATCTTCTGGTGTGGGGTGGGCCGGGGTTGGCCTCGATGCCCATCGTCGGTGTTGTATGGCGTCAGACTAGGGTCATCGGTGGTATGAGGTAGGGTGCCACCCGACTTCAGGACCTCGAGAAGCCTGGCGAGAGCCACTTTCAGGAGGAAAACGTACTGCTGCAGCTTCGTCACATGAGAGAATCCCGAAACAGTCTCGGCTGCCCGCTTGGCATGATCACTGCAGTACACACGCTCGTCACGCTCACTGTACTTTGCCAATGGAAGCTCGCGGGTCAAGTCTCTCCTGCAGACGCTGCAGGTCAAATGTGGTGGCCTCATATGCCAACGCTTGCCATATATCATGATGCATTCGTCGTCGATGGGTTCCAAACAAGAGGCGCAGCAGTCTGACTCTTGACCGGCGAGACCAGCAACGCCGTCATTGATATCGATGTTCTTCAGCTCTTGTTCCTTGATTGTCTCCAGATCGGCGAGTTCGTCCAGGAAGGCGTGAAGACCTTCGGCTGTGCCACGCTCTCGCTCCAACTTCAGCGCACCTTGCAGTCCGATGCGAATGAGCAGCTTCAAGTAATGGGCGAGACCGGTCACAAGGGAGAGGAGTTCCTGGGTGACTCCAAGTTTGCGAACACCCGTCTCTTGTGTTTTCGAAAGTAAGGTAAAGAAAGCCACAACCTTTTTGCAAAGCAGCTTAGCTTCTCTGCCGTAAGAGAGCTCTTTGAGACCGGACTTGACGATCAGAGACGCAAGGCTGTCGACTGCACCGAAGAGGATATCAACGTGCCAAATAAACTTTCTGGCAACAATGACACCTTCATAGTAAGAGCCATTGCTAACCTGTAACAGCATGTCTGAGATGCATGAGGCAGATGATTCCTCAAATGTCGAAAGAATACTCCAAATCCGATACACCTTGTTCTCCATGCGCTCCTCATCGTCACGAATGAGTTCACGCTCGTCATCTCTGACATCGGCATGGATGTCGGGATGCCGGGAAATTTCTTCCGCGGCTGATAGCCGAACATTCCAGAACTTGTGAATCATATAGCACTCTGGATGCCAATGCTGATTTTGGCCATTCCGGAAGATTTCGACAAATTGCTTGAGAATGGCGGTCTGACATCCGTTGCATCTCTGAGCGAATTGAGTGGAATAGTGGTAATGGCAGTATACATTGCCTTCGTGCTCATAGTAGCTGTCGGAAGCTCCAAAGACTGTAGGGCATACGGAGCAGGTGAAATGTTCGATGTGGTATTTCCGATCGAGGGCGGTGATATAGGATCCTCTCAAAGCACCTCCGCAGTCGAAACACAGCAAATCGAGACGCCGGAAATAGTCAATCTCGCACAACGGGAATTGTCCAGAACCATCAGCGGCGTCGACAGGGAAGAATTTTGACGCGACGACCTGACCGCAGTCGGCACACTTGAAGCAATCCAGATGGAAGGTGCCGCCAAGTGCGCGGACGAATTGGCCAGTCAGTGCTTGACCGCACTTTTTGCATATTCGGACAGTTCCTCGAGGCTTTCCACCACTACCGGACCTACTACGATCGTTGGCATCGGCTCCGATTGAGCGCTTACGTCCCGTTCGACTGTCAGTAGACTGTCTTGTGTCGCTGTCGTACTGGGTCTCAGGGACGCTACCATTGTGCTGAGGATAACCGCCACCATTCGCACCATGTTGGTTGCCAGGGTTTTGGGAACCTATGGTGTATCTAGCGGGGGCCGAGTTCGGATCTCCGTAAGGAGTTGTCATGATGAGTGATGTTATGAGAACGCTAGTCGGGTCGAATGTGCGTCCGGCGCATGCACGGGAGTCGAAAGCGGCACTTTGCTGTCGACTTCAAGTCGTCGGCAGAGCTGAGAAACACAGAATAGAGGCGACCGCAGTCATCGACGCGGCTCGACGGGCGGATTCGAACAAAGATGCTTCTTTGACAACAAGCGGTGTCCTTTCCTCGAGGTTGCGGACTATCCAAGCAGGTCCAATGCGCAGTGGGCGACCAAAGACGCTGCCAATGTACGCAGACACCGACGCAGGCTCGAGGAAAGGTAGGTAGGTCGACGTTGTTTTGAACCAGGACGGAGGTGAACGAGCGTCGGACTGTGGAGGTTCGAGGGGGACCAACGACAGGGCGTTTAGGTCGTTAAAAGAGGAGTGCAAAGGACTTGCACAAAGATGAAAGGAGTGACAGAGCCTCTAAGAAAGCTAACAAGAGGAGGATTGCGATGAATGTGATCACTGACGGGCAAGATGACTGCGCGGCAACTTGGAAGTTGAGGCCGGGAGGCTCTGTCTTGCTTTGGGGTATGCCAAGGCGCGATACTCTATTTAGTAAGGCGTCTAGTGAGTACCACTTCTCACCAAGTGGTGGATGCTGGCGTAAACACAGGACTATGGAGTATGCCTGGTGGTGGCAGGAGAATGATTTTGGGCTCATAAGGATGCAAAAGCATGCACCTAGGTAATCAGCGCCGAAACTCGGTCCGTAGGATGGCAGTGAACCCGATCAGCGATGATTCTATTTCGGTCTCGAGGGCGAGACATGAAGCCAACAGGCTGGATTGATTACTTGCAATCGTGATGGAACAAAAGATATTCTTGGGACTTGTGCTAAGAGATTGGCCTACTGCCGAAGGACAACTCAAAGGATGCATTGAATTAGGCTGTCCAATGCATGGTGGCGACCCAAACAGAGCCAACACGCAAAAGTGCCTGGTGGGGTCTGGGACACACGACTTCGAGAGCCGAAGCCAGCACGATCTTAGCCCCAAGCACTGTGAGGGATATCACTGTCGTTGATGCTGTCTACGGGTGGTCGTCGCTTAGGTGTATTACCTAGCAACCATTGGGATCATCTTCTGGATTCTATACTGTAGGTAGTCAAGTCCAGCAGTCAGTGCTCAACTTCCAGGAACAGCCGGTGCACAGTCAGTCAGTTATGCTACCGACATGCCAATCGACATAACCTCGACTTCGCCGGGTAAGCAGCAGGGTGATTTGAACTCTTTCCGCTTGCCTGTACTGCCTTGCAGCTGTAGCCTTGTGTGCCCCGCGTCGGCCCACTTTTTTTGAGCGCGCGTCTGCCTTTGGCAGCGGCGCAGTCGAAGACCAGACCAAATAACAACTTCAACTCGTCCACCTGGCGTCCTCTTTGAGCCATGAGCATGCCAGAGACTTGTTCGTTTAGAGTCAACAAGACCCACGTTTCCTTCTTCTCTAGAGCTTCACCCTGCCAATAGTATGGCCAATCAGCCCATTCTCCGCATCTCAAGAGTGAGTCCTCATTCCCCAGCCTTACCCGACCGCTAACAGGCCTCCAGGAGATTACCCGCATACAGAAGGGGGCAGATCTATGTAGGTACATCCCCCATATTGCTGGCTAAGTAGCTCACCTCCGTAGCACTCGCCGTCGCCTGTCAAGAATCCGATATCCGACAAGTCAAGGCTCTCGTGATCGGTCCGCCTGAGTCACCCTACGAGTACGGGTTCTTCGAATTCCTTGTCCGTTTTGGCTCAGAATATCCTTCAAAGCCTCCGAAAGTTGACGCTAAGACGACGAATGGTGGACGATGTCGTTTCAATCCTAACATCTACGCTGGGGGGAAAGTATGTCTGTCAATACTGGGCACATGGCACGGCGAACGCCCGGGCGAAGAATGGTCTCCTGCGCAGGGTCTAGAGTCCGTTCTGGTCTCTATCCAGAGCCTGATGTCGAACAACCCATACGAGAACGAGCCGGGTTACGAGAATGCCAAAAGCGCGGATGACAAGAAACTCAACGAGGCATACTGTGCGAAGATCCGGCACGAAACTTTGCGGATCGCTGTTATCCAGAAGCTAGAAGATGCTCTCAACATTCAAGGAGACGGATCTGTTGAACCGAATGGCCCAACTTATCAGTGGGACGACTCTGAAGAAGAGGACAACAAGGACGCTGAGGAGGAGCAGAAGGCCAAAGATGAACTCAGCAAGTTCGAGCCCTTCAAGGACCTCTTCAAACGCCGCTTCATGTGGTGGTACGAGCACTACATGAATACCATCGACCAGAACAAGTCTAAGAACAAGGACGGCAACCCATTCGAAAAAATGCCCTTCGAGGGCCCCGGCAATACTATGGACGGCAAATTCGGCTACAGCGATCTGACCAAGAGACTGGTGCGCATCAAGGATGTCATCAAGCAGGAGACCGAAGGCTGGGCCAAAGAAGGACTCACACTGAAGGCTCGGGAGTCTACGAAGTCGAGCAACCTGCAGCGACAGTTCGAACAACTATCCGAGCTACTCAAACAGAAGAAGGTCTACAACTTCTCGATCGAACTGGACAACGGCAATCCTTTCGTCTGGGATATCACCTACTTCGGCAAGCCTATGACTCACCTTGATGGAGGCGTCTTCAAGATTCGCATGGCAGTCAGTCCGCGATTCCCCGATGAGCAGCCGCGTGTCACTGTCATGACCCCACTGTATCATCACCGCGTTTCCAAGGAAGGCGTCCTCTGTTACTTCCCCAACAGACATGAGGAGATGAAGGACCACGTTGAGAGCATCGTCCGGGCTCTAGAGGAGGAATCACCACCGTACGATCCACGTACTATCGTCCACCCAGAAGCAACCAAGTTGTTATGGGGTAGTGACGCCGATAAGAAGAAGTACTATCGTCAGATGAGGCGCTCTGCTCAAGACAGTACGGAATTCTGATGATGATGCAAGTGTCATGACACAACACATGATTTATGACTGCACGGATATGACATCAATGAGGATCGGATTGGGGCATTTGCATTGCAGGCGAAAACCGAACGTTATCGTGGGAGAACAGGTTCAGATCCGTAGCGTGGCGCTGGGGACTACTAGAATCAACACGAAAGGTGTGATTGCTATATCAACCTTTTCGGCTCATACGTATTGACGCTGTAGCTCTCCGTGTAACAAGGGTGCTAGCGGCTATTGCGTATCTTCTTAACCCCAAACGCATGGTGGCAGATTCGCAGCCTGGCTGACAAGTCGAGCTTGTTGCTCACGGAGTATCATTTCCGGGCGGCGGCGGCACCCCGTGTGGGGGAACGCCTTACCCACCAACCGCCAGGAACACGCCACGAGATTTGTGGCTCATCCGAGACGACCCCTGCCAGGAACATTATGGGGGAGCTGTTCCCAAAAATTTTGAGAACCAAGACATGGGCAACTTGGGCAACTTGTTGTCAACGTATCTCGCGCTCTCCGTCTACGTTCGCTAGTCTATCTCGACCACAGTCCCTATTGTCTCTCATTCATCATGTCCGACTCGAAGAACCTTGGTACTGTGCTGGTCGTTGGCGGCTGCGGCTTCCTCGGTGCCAACGTTGTGGACCAGCTCCTCAACTTTCCATCAGAAGACAGTCACTCCGCCGCCGTCACAGCGAATAACCCCACCTCGCTAGAACATTACACCCCCGAGTCACTCGTTGTACACGCCGATACCATCTTTCCCTCACTTCGCGCTCGCTACCCTTCTTGGTCAAAGTCCATGCAAGTCCATGCCCTCGATCTACGATGCACACACAACCGCTATGCAGGCTGTACGTATCATGAGGCGGATATCACAGATTCAGCGGCACTCGCCAGGGTGCTGAAGACGGTGCAGCCGGAAGTCATCATCAACACCGCCTCGCCGGCCTGGAACGCACCCGATCCCATCCTGCGCAAGGTCAATATCGAGGGCACCAAGATGCTCCTAAAAGCCGCGCAGGATGCCGGCGTCAGATGCTTCGTGCACACCAGTTCCAGCTCTGTGGTGCATGACACACAGTCCGATCTTCTCAATGCCAACGAAAACTACCCCTACGCCTACCCCAACCCGAACGAATACTACTCCGAAACGAAAGTGGTGGCAGAAAAGGCGGCTCTGGAGGCCAACGGCGAGGCTGGCATGCTCACGTGCGCCGTACGGCCCGCGGGAATCATTGGCGAGGGCGACCGAGCTGGCTTTGCCTACGCCGTGACACACACAGGCAGCGCTGCACCGGATTGGCAGCTCAACATGCAGCTGGGCGACGGCGAGGGCTTGTTCGATGTGACTTACGTAGGTAACGTGGCGCTTGGGCTGCTGTGCGCTGCCGAAGCGTTGGTAAAGACGTGGGAAAGGCGCAACACGGACGGCAAGACGGACGTGCTGGATTTTGAGAGAGTGGACGGCGAGGCGTTCAATGTGACGAACGAGGCTCCGGCGTATTTCTGGGACTCATCGCGGTACATCTGGGCCAAATATGGAAGGAATGTACGGGGCAGCGAGCAGGTGTGGGCACTGCCCAGGGAGTTGGCCGTCTTTGCGGGCTACGCGGCCGAGTGGGTGAATTGGGCTCTGGGGCGACCTACGAGATTCACGGCCAAGGCCGCAAGATATGCTTGCATGAGCCGATATTACAGCTGTGAGAAGCTAAAGCGCCGGACGGGCTATCGACCTGTTGTGGGTGTGGACGAGGGCTTGGAGAGGACGGTCAAGTGGTTCAAGGAGGTCGTCGAGGGAAGCGAAAAGAAGAAGGAAAATTGAGTTGATTGAGTGCCTTGGTTCTGAATTGGATGCTCAGGAGAGCAATGACTTTCGATGTACAATTATGATGCTGGGTCAAGCATAGAGCAGGGTAATAGACATGCAATTCAGGACAACGGCGAGGTGCAATTTTGACTCAATCAGAGCGAGCAGGGCATTGAGCGCCGACCAACAAAGGATTCGTCATGTCGTGGAGAGGTCTTCTCTGGCCTTCCTGGACTCTGATGCTGCAGCTCAACGGTGGCTACCACCTGGACGTGTTACTCACGTCACGGCACTGCCAGATCGTGAGCGAATTTCCAAGAACGGCCGATTCGGGCGCCGACAAAGCAGTTCGATCGATCTTGTAGCGCCTCTAGAGCTCGTATCCAGACCGACGGGAGACGCAAAGGAGTCCTCGGTCCCTGCCTCGATGCCTGACAGAAGGGTCAGCCTTGCAGTAAGAATATAGACTCCCAGCAAGGGGCAGTCTTCCCCAATCCTATTCCTACTGTATCAGGCTGTTTGGCAATCATTGACAGTCGTGGCAAGCCAACGCCTTGATCGGCACCAGCCAGATGCCACGGACTCCTTTTCCTTGCAGCGGCCATGGGTGTCCCCTCCAAGGAATGAATTGTGTCTACTTCAAAGTCAGTGGCGGTGTCAAGAAGCAAAAGTCACGCATCAGATGACTTTCGGACTAAGCCTTGGGGCCTTGTAGTCTTCCGAGTAGTATGTAGGATCAGGATAGCGGAAAACGATCTCCGCCCGTTCTAGCCGTCGACGACGTGCGTTGGCGGGGGCAGTCTTAAAGAAGATATGTAGTAGTGGGCATAGCTGTCAAATCGTCGAAATTTCCAAAACACATCATATGACACCCTACGATTGAATGTGGTCTCAGCCTTGTTAGGGATCGTAGGGCGTTGAAGGTGACTTTGACATCTAATGGTTCTCCCCAGAACGTGCGCTGGGCATGCATGCAAGTGGCAGTGGGAGTCTGAGGTTGGGACGGGTCATTGGTCGGAATGTAGTTATGGATTAGTCGGGAGTTTGGTTGGTTGCACGGCCCGTGCTACGACCCCTTCGAGCTTGATGCATAGTGTCAGCTGCGCGTGGATGACGGTTGACGTGAAGGGGAGGGAATTTGGAGATGGATGTTTGGCAGGTTGGCGACGTGGTGGGGGGCAAAAGCCTCCTGGCATGTTGGTCAGCGGGGCGAAATGGAGAGGTGAGGTAAGGATAGCGCGCTTGTGAGGAGTGTTTTGGGCCATGCTTTCTGGTGATGTCGGCATACGATGAGAGGAATTGCGCAAGCGGCTTTCTCACCTGGGCGCGGCACTTTCCAGACGAGTTCCAAGAATTGTTGGAAAAGGATTGAACGAGGTGGCTCAGTCATGTCAGCTGGAAACTCCCAAACCATTTCAGTCAAGGAGGTAGAAGGTCGCCGACTGCAAGCCGGAGTATTGCAAGGCCGTCAACATGCAAGGAAAGAATCTAGTGAGGCCACGCGATCGGAAGCATTTTCTGGGACGCGTTCTGGAAGCGAGCCAATGCATTGAAAATCCTGAGGGGTACTAGCCGGGGCTCGCGATGCTGAGCAAGCGGCATTGTTGTTGAACAGTCAGATAGAATGGAATTACAATAGCAACGTTCATCGACGATGACGCGAGGATAGTCAGGAGACGACTTCACCGTGCATGTAGTTTGCATCATCTGTGCACAACCTCGACATTGCTTTCTAGCTGAGCTCATGGGTGGCCATTGGACAGGACCGTCCTGGGTAATAAGGATGCAGCGGCTAGTGGGGGCCATGGCAGGAGGGTTTGCTGCCGGGACGAAGCAGTCATTGGAGCCCACTTCGTCTACTGCATGTCAGCTGAGCCGTAGGGGGTTTGTGAGCACGACCCCCGGGGGCAGCGTACACATCAGTAGTGCGGACGGAATGCTGGGAACATGGTCCCCGTCCGAGAAGCTTCGTCGAGTTGATGAAGTGGATGAGATTCGTTTGGAAAACAAGAGCTGCAGATCGCGGGCAACGACTATGGTTGTGGCTGCGACACGACTGGTCGAAGCCTCCTGGTGCGGTGGGTTTCTGGAAGCGCCATGAGGATCATGCCACCTAGGCGTGCACGCATCGTCGACAGCATTGTTACCGGCGCAAGATCTGACAGTGTGCAAGCCTTGGGTGCAGCAGTGAGGGCAACGGGGGGCGACAGGCCATGATTGGACGCCGCAGCCAGTCTGCTGGTTTCATTCTTGTCTCGTCACCAAGCCGACTTGCGCGGGAGATGGGAGAAGTGCCGATGCTCGGCCGCTGCATTTTGGCAGCGTGGAGTGCAGATGGCATTGCAGCAAAACATCAGGGCGAAGTCAAAACCACCCCGAGACCCTCGCTGACATGTCTATCTTTGCCTATTCATCAACGGACCAACGTGTAGTCTTGTTGCAAAGGTCGTCGATCCCGAGCCATTGACACGTAATGGACAATGCGGTGTTATGTCTCACCCCCTCAAGGGCAAGAAAATAAATGATTTTCGAAAAGGTGCGCCCACAACAAAATACTTCCAGAAGGGCTAGAAAGGGTCTACTGCTCATTCTTGCAGGGTCAAAAGGAGGGGCTTGAAACGCGCGTGTGAACTGTCCCGAGTCTGATAACGGTAGATACGAGACGCGAGGGCCTAGTACGCAGTAGAGAACGGCACGCCTGGTTCCTCGCCCTCACATACCAGTAGTACCGGTCCTCTTGGTCCCGGCAGAGGGAAGTGGCTTGCCTGGCTTGACGCCGCATCCTTGTATAGAGCCGTTTTTTTCGGGCGCTGGAGGAGTGCTAAAGCCAGGGGGTCGATTGGTGGAAAGAATCCAGCTCTAGGCAGCGCCGATTACAGTATGCTCAACTGTGCTTAACAATAGCTCGGGCCAATGGGCGACAATCTAGGTGGGGCAGCACAGGGAAGTGCACGCTTCACGTCCCAGAAATCCGTGCCGTAGCGCAGCCAGAGCCAACTGCGACATGACAGCCCATCCGCCCTCTCCATCGTGCTCCTCAAGCAAGGGCTACTGTTTCCGATTGCCATAATTTTTCAGATACTGCGTCTGCGTCTGCGTCTACGTCTCCGACCACGCTTTCTTTGTGTGTTTGCAGAACAGCACCACATGTAGGTCGGCTACTTGTCTTGCTTGCACTCCCGCTCCACCCTCTTTTTCGCCGCCCGAGCGTCCCTCCTCCCGCGTCCGCGTTGGAATCTACCCGCCATCGAACGACACCTCTACGTGCTTAGTTGGCAGATTGATCTTTGAGCCTAGCTTGCGAGATCGTTCTGCGTTCAGTCATGGCCGTTTAGAGAAGCCAATAGTTGGCTCCCTTCGTGGGTCAAGAGTGAATGCCAGCCGGTCGTCGCCCTCGCTACCACGCCCTGGCTCGGCCGTGCCCGCCTTAGCAATACCAGAGTGATGGCTCAAAATGAACCCGACAACAACATCCTGCCCCCGCCGGCGATTGCGGCCTTGAAGAATGATGCTGGCCTGGGTTTCCACAAGATCGCCATGGAACGGTCGTTCAGCCAAGATATCCAGGAAGGAACCCAGGAACTGAAAGAGGCCGCAGAACAGACTAAGAACATTATTCTCGACCTCAGTCTAGATGGAGTCGTACGATGGGTCAGTCCCTCGTGGACCGAGGTGGTTGGCACCGAGCTGGAGAGCGTCAAAGGTCAGCCCATCTCGAGATTCATCAGCGACAATCCTCACGTTTTTGAGCCGGCCATAGAGGCTCTCAAGTCCAATGCCTCCAAGAGCCAATTCGTCAAATTCACTATCAAGGTCGACCCTCAGTCCGATCTTGCCGAGATGCTACCAGATTTACCAGAGGAGGACAAGTCCTTCGAGAGCGAAGACGACAAAGAGATACTCGAACTAGAAGGCCAGGGCATCATGGTGTACGACCGAGCGTCTGGTGGCGAGTCCCATACCATGTGGATGTTGCAGCCTGCGACTGAACCCTTGCGAATAGAGATCTCGCTGCCACAAACCCTGGTTGATTCCCTTGGTGTTGGTGCCGAAATTCTGGCCAAATACCTGACAGAGCTCACAGAGGATAGCAACAATGATCCCCGCAACCATCCCCTCCCGGATCCGGTGCTTTGCCGCGTCTGTGAGAGGTCGATCGTGCCCTGGTGGTTCGAAAAGCACTCTGATCTCTGCGTGCAGGAGCACAAGGCGGAGATGGATGTTCAGATGGTGCAAGAATCCTTGTCCGAACACCGACACGCCATTGTCAAAGTGCTCGATGCCTTCGAGAATCGCCAGGGGCGGCCAAGGTTCAGTGATGGCTCACCGGTATTCTCGCCTCCACCGGAATACAAAGGGCAGCCTATAGGACCGTCGCCACCCTCGTCATCCGCTGTCTCCTCCGGCCCGGTTTCGCAGACTGCTAGCCCTGCCCGCTCACGAAGTCCGTCTACTTCGAACGCTCGTAGCGGGCATGCTCGAGCTCGTTCTTTCGTCGTGCGACGCCCGCTTGTCCGGATCGTTGAACTGATCCTCGATTTGTGCGACACTGCGAACGAGATTAATGTGCCATCAATAAAAGAGGAGAGATCTCCAAATGATGAGTTCCCAAAAGCTCAATCACCTCAGTCTGAGTCGCGCGCGGCTCAAGTACTCCAGTGGCAACAGCCAAGCAGCCTGGAGAACGAGCCCGGCCTACTTGCTCTTGCTCAAGACACCGAAAAGCTTGCCAGGGCCAAAGTTGAGGCTGTGAATCGTCACCAAGCTATTCTGGAATATTCTGAAAGAGTTCGTCAAGAATATATCGCCGAAGTCGAGGCATGTATACAGGAGGCTCTGGTCAAGGCTGAACGCGCTCACGCTGGCGAAGCCCTTTCTTCGAGCGAGGATAGCGAGGTCGAAGGTCAGACACCTGTCGATGAGAGCCCGCCTCAACAACACTCAGACGAGCCTACCCCGATCGCACCGGAGTCGCAAGACTCCGAATCTCAAGGATACGTCGGCATCAAGTCAATGGCTTCGGCACTACGCAGCGCTCGAGACGTCCCTTCTATCTCGAGGCTGAGCCAACGTCGCTCATCCTCTCAGGCGGTATCGACTGGGTCAAGCAGCCCCGCCGAATGTCCGACGCCCAAATCACACAAAACTACTCAAGTAGCCCAGCCGCAACCAATTTCTAACCGCCGATCCATGTACATTGAGGATCCGAATGACAGTGATGGGAGCATACCTTCTTCATCCGTGCTATCAAGCCAGTTCCGTACCGACTCGCCAGCATCGGTTTCGGAACATGGTCTTGGTCGTACCGCCAGCTCCCGAGAACGCAAGCGCAGAAGTATGCATCTACACGGACTTGGAAGTGCGTCACCTCATCGCCAACATTCTCCTGGCCGCTATCCGCCTCCACCCCCCTCGCCGCTTCGTCTGACTAAGTCCCGGATACCAAGTGGAGAGCTCGCGCAATCCCCTGTGGTCTCGCCGCTCCTGACTGCAGGAGAGTTTATGCCGCCGCCCGACTTGCCCAACAAACACCATCGCCGACAGTCTTCTATTCACTCCTCAGACCCCAAGGCGCCTGGCTCCCCGAGAATGCATTCAATTGCCCATCCACAAGAACGAGTTCAACCTCCATCAATCAAAGACTTTGAGGTCGTTAAGCCCATCAGTAAGGGTGCATTTGGAAGTGTATACCTGTCCAAGAAGAAGCGTACTGGCGAATATTTCGCCATCAAGGTCTTACGCAAGTCCGATATGGTTGCCAAGAATCAGGTAACCAACGTTAAGGCCGAACGCGCTATCATGATGTGGCAAGGCGAGAGTGACTTCGTTGCCAAGTTGTACTGGACTTTCTCGAGCAAGGACTATCTCTATCTGGTCATGGAGTACCTCAACGGCGGAGATTGTGCTTCGCTGATTAAGATCCTTGGTGGCTTGTCTGAAGATTGGGCTATCAAGTATACTGCGGAAGTTGTGCTCGGTGTGCAACATTTGCACAGCCGAGGCATCGTCCACCGGGATCTGAAACCTGACAACCTCCTCATCGACTCGAAAGGTCATCTCAAGCTCACCGACTTTGGTCTGTCTCGTATGGGTCTTGTTGGGCGACAAAAGCGGGCTTTGAAGCAGCCCGACGACGTTGGACCAGATCTTCTCAAGCAAGGTCTGCCGTTCACCGGTCAGTCACAATCAGGCTCTAACCCCAACTCCCGCTCAGCCTCTTTCGATTATCAGGGCGCCAGTGTGTCACCAGCCCAAACGCCACTCATGACTCCTGCATTGGCCGGAGGATTAGATCAACCGTCATACTTCAACCTCAATAGAGAAAGCTCTTTGAGCAGGGAACTCTCGAGGAGGACTTCGGGTCACCGAAGCGACAGTGGAAGCATGTCAAGCCACGATTTGCATCATGCTTTCAGAAACTTCAATCTACAAGACACAATATCCCATCCCAGCTCTGTCCATTCCAGAAGTGGGCCAATTGAAGAAGAGTCCGGCAGCGTGGGCAGTGCCTCGCCTGACTTGTTTCCACTCTCTCAGTCGATGAGTAATATCTCTCCTGCTCCGCCTCCACCGATGCCTCCACCGACGGCTCTATTCGACCCAGAAGAAAGTACCCGACGGTTCGTCGGCACACCAGACTACCTCGCGCCTGAAACTATCAACGGCAGTGGTCAAGACGAAATGTGCGACTGGTGGTCGCTTGGATGTATCGTCTTCGAGTTCCTGTTTGGCTTCCCGCCTTTCAATGCCGAGTCACCTGACAAAGTCTTTGACAACATCTTGCACCGCCGAATCGCTTGGCCTGATGAGGATGAGTATCCTGTCACAGACGAAGCGAGGGATCTCATCAATAAACTCATTCAGCTTTCTCCACAGGAGAGGCTCGGCGCAAATAGGGCCGAGAAGTATCTCAACGGTGGTGCAGAAATTCAAGCTCACACATGGTTCTCAGAGATCAATTGGGATACTCTGTTAGAGGACGAGGCGCAGTTCGTACCCAATCCGGAACATCCTGAAGACACCGAATATTTTGATGCCCGTGGAGCTACGCTGTCGTCCTTCCCGGAGGAGCTGGAGGACCAGCTCTCACCTTCGGGCCGCACTCCAGGCTCAGCCGGCGAGCACCCGGATCGACCTCACGATGCACTCTTCCGCGCCAGAACTCAAGCTGCATCAGGAAAACGTGGCCTGATGCCCCTGCATATTCCACCGCATATGGCCAGAGATTCGCGCAACCGACGTCTGAGTGAGCCTGTCATTGCTGACGACTTCGGCAACTTCACCTACAAGAATCTGCCAGTGTTAGAAAAAGCCAACAAGGATATCGTCGAGAAGATGCGAAAGGAGGCAATGCAAGCTCAGGCTAGAGGTTACAACTCGCAAGCTGTCTCGACCACGAACACGCCAAATATTGGCTCACCCGTGCCATCTCTGGAAGGTAGCCCGATGATGCCTATGCCCGTCAAACGCGCCCTGTCTATTAGCAAAGGTCACCGTCCGGCTTCGCCTTCCGGCCTGGGGAATCTCAACTCTTCTCCGAGCAGACCGTCGCAGCCTGGTTCGCCGCTGCTTCTGCAATTCTCGACTGCACAGCATCACGAGCGTCGGAAAACCTCTGGCTCGTCTCACGGCTCGAGTAGCTCCCTGCAACCCAATGGTTTCTTTGACACGGCCGCTGAAGCCAAGAGTGGCACGTCCGCAGCTTCTTCGCCGAATAAACCTGTCAAGGCGCCTACGGTTCCTAGTCCTTCCCCTGCGAAGCAAACGAGCCTTCCGTCCCGCTCTGGTAGTGTTCATGGCCGTACCAGATCTCAAACTGTCGGCTCACAAGACGGCACTGACTCCGCTAACTTACGTGAGAGTTTTGCGCCTGGACATCACAAGCGCCGGAGTCAGCTGTTCTCGACTCGGGATATCTCACCTTCGTCTTCTGATAATGAAACAGCTCAGCAGAAGGCTCTTCTGAAGGTGCAGAGAAGACGGCAAAGTTCTAGAAGATTGTCTCAATTCAACCTACTCGATGGTGGTCACCCTATACCTAGTTATCGGCCGCTTGACGTACTCATCGTGGAAGACCACCCCGTCTCCAAGATGGTGATGGAGAAGCTATTCGAGAAATTGCGTTGCCGCACCATTACCGCCTCCAATGGACATGATGCCCTTCGCTTAGCTGTCAGTCAGATTCAATTCGACATCATCTTCATGGAGTTCAAGCTTCCCCTCATCAATGGTGTGGATGTCGCTCGAATGATCCGTGACACCAAGAGCGCGAACACGGCAACGCCAATCGTGTGCGTAACGGGCTACCTGAGAGACCTTCCGGAGGTACACAATTTTGACACCCTGATGCAAAAGCCTCCGACGATTCCTAAGTTGACGGAGGAACTATGCAAATACTGCTCCTGGAAGCCGCCGCCAAAAGACATGAAGTTTGCGATGCCCTTAACAATTCCAAGCAATCCTCTGAGGCATGAACACCTGCCTACACAAGACAGCCCTAGCTCTGTAGCCTCGAGCATGGCTCCGACCTTTGATTCATCATGGAAAGGATCTAGTCGAGAGGATTCAATTGGCAGCGGCGGATTCTTCAGTGATCTCGAGTCACTGAAAGCGGAAGACATACCTGTAATTGTGTCTCGTGCTGCTACGGATGACTGGGCGCGTGGCCTAGGTATCTCCGGCGAACCGGCCCGTACTTATAAGGAATCCACGTCGGCGCCGCCGCATCTTCTACATACGGAATCTGCACCTCCGACTGCACCGTCGGACGAGGCTCTGACCAGCCATGGAGCGGGCACACCAACGAGATCTTCGGAAGCCACAAAAGCCAAGCGACGATCACTAGAGAAGAATGCCACTACGGGCGGCGCCGAAGAAGGTGACGATGAAGACGATGAGCTGGGTAACACCCGGCAGGAGTCTCGCTCACCAATGTTGAAGAGTGCACGCACCACATCCAAGCTTGGCATCGAGATGATGCGCACCAACAGCCGTGGAAGTGTAATATCTATGAATGATGACGGTCGCACAGCTGAACCCGAGAGCTTGCGTAAAAGTCTTGAGATACTCGAACGAGGCATGGAGTCGCTGACTATTCCGGAAGAGTCCATTTACGAACCCAGTGCCGTGCAGCCACGAAAACTTGAGCGGACCGCTTCAAACCACTCGCACCCAGAGCCTGGGGATCAAGAGCAGCGACCTTCTAGCCGTGGGCATATTACGCCTCCTGTTATCTTTCCTCAGAAGCCAGGACAGACAGTCACCGATATTGAGATGGATTGTGATCTGACCCCGATGCCGACCAAGCCACAGACAGATCCTTTCACCACTCAAGAGCAACCTACGCCCAGAGCAAACCCAGCAAATTCCGAGGCCTAAAGTCACCTCTACTCCACACCCACGATGGCTTACATTCGATTTTACTTTACTTTGTCTTGTACATACGACGCATGATTTTGAGGTTTTTTTTACGTTGCGGCTTTTCGCGATGGAACGACGAAAACTTCTCGATTTCCTTTTGTCCATCATGTTTGCATGGCGCTGGCGGCGAAGAGTTTGATTCATCTGCTGGAAGCAAGCGCACGGCGTTGCATAGGTGTTCAAGTGATGGAACACCTGTGATGTATTAGTGGTGGAAGTTGCTGATTCGAACGAGGGTGTGAAGAAGTGGCAAGTCGTTCTTTTCTGCTACTTAAGATAGGGAGATTCGATAATTCGACCGGGGAGCTTGGAAGAAGAAGGCGGACGAGAAGGGGTTTCTGATGTTCGGGGTCGAATGTGCTAAACCATAAGATGGATGGACGGATATTGTCAGTGGACTGGCTAGCACAACCGCCTAAGGAAGAAAGACTGGAAAGTTTCCTCGCCCTTGTGAAGTTCAGAAGCCTTTCGTCTGCAGGTTGAAGACAAAGCGAGACAGGATCCGAAAATCACTTCCTCTTCTCTTCTAGGCTAGCTGCGATCAGAATGTTACATACCATTGACAACATGACGACTTTGAAATCAATGCCAGACCATCCTACTTGCCGTCAGCCGTCTCTCTTGTGTGCCCGGGGCCGTAGTATTTCCTGGAAGTGGCACTTTGTCTATAGGCTGTCAGAGTTCTTTGGGCAAAATAATGCACAACATGGACGGACGTCTTTAGCGTCTACTCCTCTTCAGTATTCACTTGCGAACTATGTTGCTTCCACATGAAGTGAGATAGCCTGTCGTGATTTTAGGATGGTAATGTCGGACCGCATTCGCTCGATCTGTTCGATGAACAGTAGGCTAGGTAGAAATGCCTCTATTTCACAGATCGGGGGCATCCCGTCCCTGCGCAAGCGTCTCTACCCTCAAGACTCCCTTCCTGAGCATACACCCCAGGCGGCGGGCGCTCAACAGCTTCGTTCGCTTGTCGTATGCATTCGCGGCCCTGGCCCGGAGAAGTGAAAGATCGGGCGATTATTGTTCCGCCAATGGCATTCAATCGTCTCCTTGTGACAGTCCTGCGGTGGTCTTGGCTGCTTTTCCCATTGGATGGCTTTCGGCGCTGCTGTGCGACCATGTCTATTTGGGCACAAAATGGGGTCGCTAGCGAGCTTGATCCTAAGCTTATTCCGAGATCAGGCGGGGCCGAGCGACCGGCGCGAAATCACACCTTCTCTTTCGAGCCGTTCACGCTGGATGGTCTGTGGTATATACTTCAACCACATGGTGTCTGGTTCAATTGCCCAAACTCGTCATGCGGCATCGTGACCCAAAGATTCCCTGGTGGACCCTTTCTGCCTTGTGTTCGTGTTGTGTCTCCCATTGTCATGAAGTCCACGCAGAAGAGAAGATGCAACCTGCGCGACTCGCTAGTGAAGTGCGTCCAGAAGCTGCCTTGCTTGAGCAGCTGCCACTTCGCCTACTCGCTCTCACTGAAGGTATATGGTTTCGGGGCCAGGATCGGTGAGAAGCAATCGTGCCACAGCGCAGCATCGATAATCGCACCGAACTGGGCGCGAGAAGAATCACCACAGTCGACCTGGTGCAGGTTGCCAGGTTTCTGCCGTCTGCGATGTTGCTCCGCAGCATGAAGTCAAAGGAAAATGCTTGCCGACGGTGAATCCAAAGGAACATATTTGACAATGGTCGAAGTGATCCACTTTTCAGCCACGGCGGCGGAACTACCCCAGGCGGTCATTGCCGAGCCGCTCAAATTAGGTACGTAGTGAGCATTTGCTGGAGATCGTGTGCGGACAAGACAGCCGAAATCTATGTGGTCGCTTTATTCTCGAGCATGCATTACATGAGAAACATGGCATGAGGTTTTTTTTCGACAACTCATGTCCATGGCTGTGCAGAGCAGATCGCTGCTGTACAGCATCATATCGTCCGCCACGTATTTTCAAGAGTGAGCCGTGACGATTTCTGACCGTCTGCCAGAGGAATGTATATCTCACACAACTCAGGTCGTAGGACTTTTCGAGTGAAGATGTCTGCCCCGCATACCGTAGCAAGCGAGAGGGAATTGTGGGCGGTAGTAACCTTGGGCTACACTGGGGTCAAGGAACCGATTCGGACCGACACGCTGCCCCGTCAATCTTCTCTGCAACAGCTACAGGCCTTGCATCTGTGTGGGAGGCTCATCCAGATGTCAGCACACAAACATGCGCTGGAACGTCTACTTCAGGTCTTCTGGAAACCGTCCAAGCTGGAGACCGAGAGTTTGCTCGGAATCACTAGCCAGTATGACCTCTGCTCATCTTCCTTATTCTGTCGTCGTCTGATCTGGATGCAGCGGACATCTCAACGATTGCACAAGCTGTTTAACAAGAGTGCAGCTCCTCAGTGGCTTCACAGAGCCATAGCTCAACGGCGCTTTATTGGCTCTGATGCCGAGTGAACATCGGCGGGCAGAACGGGTTCTGACACAATGGGTTCGACATTTCGCAACGTTTGGACGGTCCCACTCGATCAGGTAACGCGAGAGCTGGCCAAAGTCATACGACATCTACCATGTTTTTTGTGGCATTGGCTGCAGCAAACGAAAGCCGGGATTTCGACCAGCGGAACGAGTCGTGCCGACTGGTATGCCTTGTCCATAACTTTGTTTGTGGTGTTTCCTTTTAAACCTGTCCTCAAACTCTTTGGAAGGGTAAGTGCATAATCTAGCGTAGTATCATCAATATGCGTACCCCAAAATCTTTGTAGAGCAGAAAGCTAGAGGTTCTGGCCACGGGTGCTATGATTAGCATTGGTTTACCAAAGAGGAGCTGGTAAGTGCCAGAATTAGCAGGAATAGTGGACTTGGTGGGCATCTTGAGTCAAGAAGACTTCGTCAAACTGCCTCTCGGCTTCATCTGGTACCCTGGAACCAGTAGTTGGGATGGTACTGAGATCTGGGGGGATCCGAGGGCACATATGAGTGAGTCCGGGACGGCAGGAGATCATTGTAACCGTGCAAGGAATTCACCCCGATCAGACTGATGTAGTTGTACTGTAATCACAACAAGGTGTTCAGAGAGGTCGCAGTCGCAATCAAGACTATGGTTGTACTGATCTGGTCTGCGTTCGCATCGTTGGGGACGACCACATTCGACATGTGAAGTGTGTGCTCGTCCATGTGATCTCATATGGGCGTCCAAGCCAGGTGAAGGGAGTTATTATCATATTTTTCTTGTTCACATCGACCCAGGAGATGCACGGACGATTATTTAGAAGCGTTGCCGAATAGCTCTGATTTGAGGGGCCCGAGGGAGTTGAGGGAGTCCTGTTGTTGGCTGTTTTTGCGCCAATGCCTGCGCGCATCATTCGAGGAGCTTAGAAGTGGGACGATGATGGGCTTGGAGCCACTGTTCGAGGCTTCAGATGAATTGCAGAGACGATGAAGCCCTTACATTTCCACTGGACCGACGTGGATCGACCTAGTAGAGTAAGCTGGCTTAGATATCGTTGTGACAGAGTTCTTTATCACTCAGCCCCCTGGGGGATGGACAGCGACAGCAAATCAGACGTTCTCATCATTGCTAGGAAGCGTTGTGGCCTCAGCATCTGGTCTGCAGATGATTTCGCGTATCTGCTGGGCTGTCCACCATCAAAGGATGGGGCGGCGAAGCTCTGCACGATCGATATGGGTTGCACGTGGATGATCGATCTGCATGACTTGCAACAGCTTTGCGGAGATTATAGTTCGCCCGAGTGTGGTTAGGTAGCCCGCCAGTGCCAAACCATGTCCAGTGTGTTCCTTTGTCTTCTTGCCAGTTAGGAGACTACACTACAGGGCTGCAGACAGCGGATGTTATCGCTGAGGAACTCACTGGTCATTGCTGACGCATCTTCAAACGTCAACCAGGAGGGAAGACATGCCCTTTCCCAGCATCGGACGACCTCGCACCCAGGTTTAGCAGGCATTACGCAGCCAGCTTGTGTCGCGCGTGAGCCACATGATGCGCCCTTGTCGCAATCAACCAGAATCTCAACAATGCAATGAGAAGTGCTCATCCCTCATTCCTCGAATCCGCGCATCAAGACCCCGGACTTTCCAATGACGCCATGGGGATGCAGAAGGCACAAAGACATCGATAAGAGTGGCGTTGGACAGATAGACACTAGCAGTCCCCTGCATGTGGCTGGCTGTTCTGAACACCAGACAACAGGCTGTCAACATCGTCCCTCACACACAGCGCAGGATGGACCCGAAACCACGATGCAGCCAAGTGACTCGGCGATCCCTCTCCCGCCATGGACGTACTCCGAGGCTTGCCGATCCCCTGTACATAGGCCTTCAGCATAAGAGGGGTCCATCCTTTTCTTGCGTAATACCTACGTAACAAATGCTAATGATAGGCGCAGTGTTCACGCCACGATCCCTCTCTAACGCGCCTCAAAACTCGGTCCGTTCAAGGCTACCCGCAAATCGGGACCGAGAGATCGCGGTCGCGTGATATCATAAAGACTAATGCCTCGCGACATCGTTGGCGCAAGAAATATGCTTCAATGGGAGGTTTAATGGGAGGTTTCGAGTATGGCCAGACGGCTCTCAACGTTGACAACACGTCGAAACGGCGAAGCTCAACGGCTACGCCCTTTAAACTACTAGCCGGGCATGAGTATACGGGTACGCCAACGAATCACGATTCTACTAGAGATCAAGATGCTCAAACGACCGACGATGCTACATTTGCGTTCTCAAAGTCACTCTACAGCCACTCCTTACCTCCTGCTTTCCATGTCGAACGATTAGACATAATACCGGACAAGAAACTGTGGTCCATTCTGCAAAGCAGTAAGTTGGAGGCACTCAACGACTGACCTGGACCACTGCTAATACCGATCTCACAGTTCGCGATGTCCACGAACAGGTCTTCCCGATCGACTCCGGCGGGAGTGCCATTGCCAAAGCTTGGATGGAGAGGATCGTTACTTCGCCGGTGGTCTTTTACGCGCATGTTTTCGGCCAGATTGTCAGGGAAGAATGCAGCAGTACAGCTGCAGCCGCCCAGCTGAGGCTCGTCGCCAGGCACTTGTATTACAGGGCCATTGAGGCCATCAATAGAAACATGGCGAACCCCAAGACGGCGTGCAGCGACGACAACATTCTCGCCGTCCTCTCTTTGGCCAATCATCGGCTGCTCGACGATGTCAACCCACTGCAAGGTCCACCCTCGACCGTCGCGCAAGGCCCATTCAAGTCTATGCGCCTCCTCAATTTGTATGGGGGGCCGATTGACTTCGACGAGGCTCACGATGCTGGTGTGGCCAAGATGACCGAGGTCCGAGGCGGTCTACATGCTCTGAGACTCCCTGGAATCGCCGAGATGATGAGCTAGTAGGTGCTCCGGCCATTCGTTCGCTGTTGGGCTAACGAGCAAAGTGCCGAGATCCTAACAGCTTCTCGGGTGCTTCGACCGCCACGACTTGGGTTCATTCCGCAAGTGAAAATGGACTTCGACGCTTCCCTTTCTACCCAATGGCGTGTCGATCATCCGCTCCGGCACATGGGGACAGGATTTGACTCACTCACATCTGGCGCCTATTCGTTGAGGCGTACGAAAATCCAACTGGCACTTAATCGGTTAGCGCTCTACAGTCTATGTGTCGATGACTATGTTGCAGGACGACCGAGCAAACTCAGCCTGTCTATTCTTGGTGAACAGCGTAATTTTGTCCAGCACAGCATGATCTCACTCATGTCTTTACATTTTGACAAGACTGATCTGGTCAGCCGTGTATGTCACTTAGCTGGTCTGGTATACAGTTTTCTATGCGTCTGGCCCGCCCCCTACGCCCCTTTCCAAGATCTGGTACATCGGATCAGATACTGTCTCCCAACCAAAGAATTTTCAGCTATGTGGACGACGGCACCTCATCTCGTTCTGTGGATCCTATTTATCTCGGGTGTGGTCTCGACTGGCGCGGACAGATTATGGACCATTACGATTCTTGAACGGTGTTTTCGGAAGTTGCAAGTTGATTCCTGGGAAGCGCTCAAGGCTATCCTACAGACCTTTCTATGGCTTCCGATTACCAATGACGCCGACGGAGAGTCTTTCTGGGAGGAGATTGAGGCGTCAAGCCCGTTCGACCCTCTCCACAGAAGAGCGGAAGACCTTCGGTGAAGCGCTGGTACGCAGACCAAGTCACCTCCCGAGCATGTACGCTCTCATTAGAGCCGATCCTCAGACTCTGAGTACCTATCGCTTGAGTTGCAACCCCGGGAGCTATCTGCGACGCGCTCATCAGATGTCAGGCAGCGAATGCTTGGCGGTCATCTCACGCAGCGATTTCTGACTGTTTGGCTATGTGAGAGATGGATTCCTGGCATGTACGCTCACCAGAGCACTTCTTTACCATCATACTGGAAGAACTTCGCCTTACCAACATACGCATCATCTGCCTTCACTTGCTCAACCACCTTCAACATACTTCCGATGCTGTACTCCTGCTCCAACACCGCCCGTGGCCCTCCCATATCCTGATGACCCTTCGTTAGCAAGCTGCATCGCCCACGCACGGGGCTGGTCCCGCGACTTACCGTCTTGACCCATCCAGGGTCCATGACAATGACCTTGACGCCCTTGGCCTCCAGATCTTTGGCCTGGTGCACACTGAGCATGTTGAGCGCCGCTTTGCTGATGGCATAGACGGCCTTGCCATCACCCACGATCCTCCGACCCAAGCTGCCCATGCCGGACGACATGTTGAAGACGACGGAGCCGGCACTCAGCCACGGCAGCAGCGCCTTGACCATCTCCGCTGGGCCAAGCACGTTAGTGGCGATGTGCCGCTGCAGTTCATCGCCCGTGAGATTCAGCGAGTCCTGTTCCGGGACGGAATTGATGCCGGCGTTGTTGAGGAGGTCGACTTTGGTGTCGTCGGGCAGAGAGGCGGCGAAGGCGTGGATGGACGGGATTGAGGACGTGTCGCATTCGTGGATGGTTAGAGTGGAGTTGTTGCTGCTGTGGCGGGACAGCTGGTTGAGGGCGCTCAGATCGGTCTTCTGCAGGGAGCGCACGCACGCGAGGACGGTGTTAGGGCCGGGTGCGGTGGTGGTGAGCTGGCGCGCGAATTCGAGGCCCAGGCCGCGGTTGGCGCCTGTGATGATGTAGGTCGGCATCTTGGGTTTGTGGTGTTATGGAGGTGCAGGGTGACTTGCTCGCGAGCCAGAGGCTGTAGTTAATGGTTTCCTGCGAGGAAGACCAGAGAATGGAATAGACGGAAAGCTGATCTGTTCTTTTAAGATAGATATTGCCGGTAAAAGTCTGGAAAGGGAACCAGTAGGCATCACAGTCGCCGGTGGAAATGCCACCAGACATGGTTGATATCGACCTACCTCACCTACCTAATACGGCTGGAATTTAGCCGGAAGGAGAAGCGCCCTCGACTGATTGATCGGGGCTTTTTCTTTCATGACGACGGATTTTTTGGGAAAATCTGCTACTCTGTCTGTACTCTAGATTGGGGGTCCCCCGGGAGCTCAACTGCAGGGTTTCTCCAAACGCGCGGAGAGTCGCCGGTGTACATACGGTACTCAGGGCAGGCAGGGCGACGAGGGCGATTTCTGCCAGTGCACTGAAGTAGGCTCCGTCCTCGAAGCCTTCAAACGTTGCAACGCGTGGCATCAAAAGTTTCTCATGGATCCCTACCACAACATCATCTCCAGAGTTCAGCGCCAGGCTGCGGATACGTCGTTCGTTCGGATCTGGAAAATTTCCTCATACGGCGGTGGCAAGGGTCCAGTCTCTTGTGGTAATGCTAAAGCCATCGGGAAAGACGTCCGCTTGGGAGGTCCAAGTGGATTGTAGTTCCATCTTGGCTGTCGTAGTTGCCTGGCTTGAAAGGGCAGGTTTTATATACATTGCGTTGTTTGCTCCAGGAGGAGAGGGGGGTCTACTGCTGGGATGTTGGGAGGGGGCGAGATGGCTTTCGGGTATTTAAAAGGGTTGAGGTTAAGTGCAGTTCAGATGGCCCGCTACGACTGGCAAGTAAGTGAGAAAGCACAAATTAGTGCGGCATCAACATCTATCTACGTATCGCAGGAAAATCGCAGTTATAAGATATGGCAAGTCCCGACTTGAAGCTGGATATGCGCTGGCAGGACCAGAAGGTGGTGAAGAAGGATGGCGCGTGGACCGTCGACGGGTAATGAGCTCTCTGCTAGGTCCAGGCGCATTTGATCACGAAACTCACCTTGACCACAGGAGACCAGGGGTGGGCGTTGAGCTGGCCTTCAAGCACGCGCCCGCCAACATCCCGGACCACTACTATCTTGGCCTCAAGGTCACGACCCCAGTCAACGGCGCGACCCCGCCGCACACGCATGGCGGAGGAGCGATTGTGGCGACGGTGACGAAGGGAAAGGTGCTGAATCAGATGGTGTGTCCGGAGCATGACCCGGAGTCGCAGGGTACGGGGCCCAAGGTGTACGGGGTGGGCGAGTCGTGGTATGAGCCGCCGGGGTGTCATCATGTACGGGCGGAGAATGCTGGCGACGAGGAGGCTGAGTTCATCGCGGCGTTTGTGATTGATAAGAAGAAGGTGGATGATGAGGGGTTGGGGGCGCTGGTGGTGATTGATGCAGAGGTTGAGGAGGCGAGGAGGGCGAAGGCGTGAGTAATGTATCAAGAGGCCAGCAAGGTATATGGTATAGCATCAGGACTCCCTGCTCCAGTAATGCGCTGGAATGAACATTGTTCGCCCGTGGTCGCCATGTGGGAACACGACTTCGAAATCGTCTATCGCCTGGAGGAGCCGCGCGTGCGATTGCCGGAAGAGCCCAGGCCGATTGTACCCGACGCGTAGGTCCTCGATTGAGTACGAGCCAATCAGCTTCGAGAACAGCATTGCTTGACACTCTGAATCGAAGGGATGAGCTGATGATGTCGGGTGGGCTGTTGGCGAGCGGGGAAGGCGTTATAAGACCTCGACGGTCTCGTCGTCGGATGGTGTTTCCTGGACTTCATTGCATGACTGTTGTTTAGACCTGTAAAATTAGCTTGACATAGACGCTGACGCGCTCACGGGTATAACGCCTCGGCTGACGACTGCGCACTCACACCACCGAGGCTATCTTCCTTTTCAGAGCGATAACCAATTGCAAATATCATACCAGCCTTTGATCGGTAGCCGTACGCCCGAAGCCCATTACAAAGTGTCAGCGCTGTCGTCAAAATGCGATATCAGACACTTCGGTTGACCATGTTCTACAAGGAGCCCAAAAATGATCGGGCGTCGTCGCATCAACCGCAGCTTGCAGCTCGCTCACCAAGTGGCAACCCACACAATCTGACGCCCACAAGTACCATGGCACTGCTGCCAAAGCAGACCGGGTCCACTGCCCATGCGACATCAGCAAGCAGTATTCGAAGTTCCGGAAGTTCGGTCCGATCGGACTGAGAGGAACAGACTGCTCTCGAAATTCGCATTCCTCGTGAGGGGAAGCATCTCAAACAGAGCGGAGGAGACCAAGAGCGGACTGAGCGAAGCGGCTTCGATCTATTTGAAGTGGTGCTGGAGCCCAGGACGCAGCAGAAGCCGGGCCAGAGAATTGGCAATTGCCGTCCGGCGCAAACGCCGACAGCTGGCCAGCACGCGACAGATGGGGTAAATTTCCCTACTTGAAACTCCTCGATGTCTGTGAAGCTGTCTGCAGGAGAGTCCATGCCTGCGGAGAGCTTGGGAGGACTTGGGAAGATGTGCGATGACCGTTCAACGTGGCTGAAGTGATGACTTATACATTGGTGCACTCGAAGACATGTGGAAGCGCGGAGTTAGGTGGGGTAACAACCGGGAGTTGGTTCAGGATGCATTTATGGCTGCATAATGATTCGAATATTGGTCTGCTAGTAATGTCACATTGCTTATTGGCAGGTCAACGCTGCAGTGTCAGCATCATCCCTGGGTCTGGTCTTGATTTTCACATGTCGTGTGCTGTAGAGCTGACACGTCTTTGCCCTTCACATGTGACGGGTGAAGAAGCGGACCGACCGTCGGTTGCAGCTGACCCCGATGCGCAGCGAATCGCCGGCCGGAACCCCGTAACTGAAATCCAGGGACCCCAGCTCGCCCCGGCGGCCTCTCGCTCCCCCACGAAAGCCTCATGCGCATCTCGGAGAAGTCGCCCGTAGGACACTTTTCCAGCAAGCAAAGATCCGGCGAGGACGGCGAAGGCTACAGCGGTCAGTAGAGATCACGTAGTCAATATATCAAGACTAAAGACAATAGCGAGCAAAGTTCCGTCGCGAGTTCTTGCACGGTTGCTAGGGGCAGTGTGAGTACGTGTAATAGCGAATTGCTGGCCACCTGACTGGTGCCCACTCTTTCTTTAGGCCATTCACAAGTGCCCCAGCTTCAAGGCCGAGGCATCTCGACACACGCACCCAACCCGTCCAAGAGGCTATTTCTCCTTCACTGTCCTCTGGTTCTGCCGACGCTGTTCTTCCTTTCATCCTTGCCTGTCAGCGCACTCATCAATACCTTCTTTCCGTGCCATCTATACCCACAGAAGACCTTGAGATGGCCCCACCTCGTGTCATTGTTGTCGGCGGTGGCCTTTCCGGCCTCAGCGCTGCGCATACCGTCTACCTCAATGGTGGCAACGTCCTGGTCCTGGACAAGAACAGTAAGTTCTGCTTGCTCTTCCATGCGCTCTGCAGCCAGTTCACTGACGGAATCAATCAGACTTCTTCGGTGGCAACTCGACAAAGGCCACCTCCGGAATCAATGGTGCGCTTACTCGCACTCAGGTCGACCACCAGATCGGCGACAGCGTCAAGCAATTCTACGAAGATACCCTCAAGTCCGCCCGTGACAAGGCGAGACCAGACCTGATCAAGGTCCTCACATATCAATCTGCTTCCGCCGTCGAGTGGCTGCAGGATGTTTTCAACCTCGATCTTACCCTCGTGTCCCGGCTCGGTGGCCACTCTTTCCCCCGAACCCATCGAGGCCACGATGCCAAGTTCCCTGGTATGGCCATCACATATGCTCTCATGCAGAGATTAGAAGAGCTGTGCGAGTCCGACCCCGACCGTGTCCAGGTCATCAAGAAGGCCAAGGTCACGGAGATCAACAAGGACGGCAATACTGTGACTGGTCTCAAGTACGAGTTCAACGGCGAAACCCACTCCGTTGACGGCGTTGTCGTCCTTGCTACTGGTGGTTATGCTGCTGACTTCTCCGACGATTCCCTCCTCAAGAAGTGGCGTCCAGATACGTTCGATCTTGCCTCGACCAATGGCACCCATGCCACTGGCGATGGCCACAAGATGCTTATGAAGATCGGCGCCAATGACATTGACATGGACAAGGTTCAGGTTCATCCTACGGGTCTAGTCGATCCCAAGGACCCTGGCTCAAAGTGGAAGTTCCTGGCTGCTGAAGCCCTTCGTGGCGAGGGTGGCCTGCTACTGAACAACAAGGGCGAGCGATTCTGCGACGATCTTGGCCACCGAGACTACGTCTCTGGCAAGATGTGGGAGGAGAAGGAGGCCGGCAGGTGGCCCATCCGTCTTGTGCTTAACTCCAAGGCCTCCAACGTTCTCGACTTCCACACCAGACACTACTCTGGCAGAGGCCTAATGAAGAAGATGACCGGCAAGGAGCTCGCCAAGGAAATTGGCTGTGGCGAGGAAGCCCTCAGAAAATCTTTCAAGACGTACAATGCCGTTGCCGAGGGCAAGGAGAAGGATCCCTGGAACAAGAAGTACTTCCACAACGGCCCCGTCGAGGTCGACGATGACTTCCACGTTGCTGTGATGGAACCCGTGCTGCATTTCACCATGGGTGGTATGGAAATCAACGACAAGGCTCAGGTGCTCAACTCGGAGAAGAAGCCCTTTGACGCTCTCTATGCTTGTGGTGAGCTAGCTGGTGGTGTTCACGGTGCCAACCGTCTAGGCGGTTCATCACTACTTGGCTGTGTCGTTTATGGTCGTGTTGCGGGCGCTTCGGCGTCGCAATATCTCTTCCAGAAGCTGACTGCTGGAGGTGCTACTGGTGCCAACCAGCGCCTTGGTCAAATCTCCCTGCACATCGATCCCTCGACACCTGGCAAGATTTCGGTCGAGTGGGGTCAGGGTGCTGAGGCTGGACCGTCGGTGGGCAATGCCACCACTAACCAGCAGGCGCAGAAGAGCGCTGGACCTGTTATGGATGGCAACAAGTCTTCCGATCCTGGCAAGAAGAAGGATACCAACGATGTTTCAAATTTCAAGGTCCCCGAGAAGGAGTATACGCTTGAGGAGGTGGCCAAGCACAACAAGAAGGATGATCTGGTCAGTATGCCGTGATTACAGTATCGAGCTTTGCTGACTTTGAACTAGTGGATCGCAGTCAAGGGTGTCGTGATGGACGTCACCAACTGGCTGGACGAGCATCCTGGCGGCCCTCAGGCTCTTTTCTCACACATGGGCAGAGATGCTACCGAAGAGTTCGAGATGCTTCACGATGATGAAGTTATCCCCAAGTATGCTGCCGACATTGTCATTGGACGTGTCAAGGGTCAGGAAGTTACGCTGGAGTATTAGAATGGCCCTGAGAAGAATAAAAAACATTAGGACTCGAGAAGTGCTTCTATGGTCGAGCAAAGAGGCTGCCCAAGAGGACGAGCATGAATCTGCTTGAAGCACGGAGTTTTCCGAGCATTGTATAACGAACCACGGATCTGCAGGATGGCCAATGAGCACCAATATGTTTCCGTCTTTGAAACGATCTACAACGTAGTACCATATTCCGAGCCGTGCAAGCCGAGCACGTGTTGTCCTGCCTCGCCCGCAGGTAAAATCTGGGGTTCGCTTAACTTTCCTTTTGTGGTGTCGACTTCGGGAAGCACAACGCACTTCGACCTCGTTGCCTTTCTCGACTACGATATACCCCCTCGCAATCTTTCACTTGCGCTGTATAATAGACTAATCTCGCGCAAGGCGAACAAGTGGCTGTCCTCGACCTTTTCCATTCCTCAGCCCTCAGGCTTCTCGTATAGGGACTTTCGATTAAGGTAAGAGCATATTGCAAGACTACCCCTCGTTGCCTCTCGGTGCCCAAGGAGCTGCCGGCATCACCGGCTGCGGCTAGGCGCAGATCCATGAGTTATCGTCAGTAGGACAAGCGGCACGCTGCAAGTGTTACGAGCGATCGGCGAGGTGAATCTCGAGAGCAATTTTGTTGTGCATCACCCGACATTGATGTGTCACTTGCTCACAGCAATATCACTCTTTGTCTCCTGCAGATTTTAGACATGGACTTCACAGTTGCGTTTGCTTTGCTGACGAGCCATTAGGCCGGCACAGATAAGATACGCAGTCACATCATCCGCGCAGACGCGACCACTATCACCTCTGCCTCGGCGCACAGGCGCACAACACAACAATGGACCGCCGCGAGATTCAAGCGAAAGGCGCGCAGCTACAAAAAGCCGTCGCTGCAAAAGAACCCTCCTCCAATATCATCGCGATCCTCAATGACCTCAAGACCGGCATCAAGCCCACAGAAGAACTGCTACGCGCAACACTAATAGGCAAGATTGTCAACAAAGTCAAGGGCATTCAAGGCATCGACCCCAGTGTTTCACAACTCGCCTCCGAAATCATTCACCGCTGGCGTACGACCGTCAACGAACAAAAAGTCGCATCCGGCACATCAACCCCCGCCAACGGCGCAAAGGTCAACGGCAACGCTTCCGCACCCTCAAGCAAGCCGTCCACCCCAACACCGAAAGCCGCATCCCCACCTAGTGGCATCGACCCTGCCAAACGTACTTGGAAACTCGACAAAGTAGATATGGAAGTTTTGCCCGACAAGGCGCGCAACAACTGCATCGGTCTGCTCTACGATGGCCTCGTGCAAAACACCACCTTTCCTGCCGCCGACGTCCTCGCCAAAGCCACAGCCATTGAGAATGCCGTCTTCGAACTTCCTGGCGCCGACAAATCCTCCACCTCACAAACCTACAAGGTCAAGATCCGTAGCCTGTATCAGAACTTGCGCAACAAATCGAATCCAGGCCTAAGAATATCCGTGATGCGCGGTAAAGCTCCATTCACGCCATACGAATTGGTGCGCCTGGATGCCGACAAACTGAAGAGCGCAGAGCAGCAGGAGGAGGACCAGCGGCTGGCCAAGGAGAACATGGCGAACGCCATGGTGGCGCAGGAGGAGCGTAGTGTCAGCACGAGTCTCGAGTGTGGCAAATGTCACGAGAAGAAAGTCAGCTATACGCAGGCGCAGACTAGAAGTGCTGATGTAAGTCCCCATCTTCATAACGGCTGGGCTATATTGAAATGCTAATACAAACGACAGGAACCGATGACGACGTTCTGCGAGTGCTTGAATTGCGGCAATCGCTGGAAGTTTTCCTAGCTGGACTTGCCGCTGTTGGACCCCTTGTCTGAGAGAGGGACGCGCGAAGCCATCTTCTTGCGACATTCGGGAAATTAAGTTCAAAGTGCCGGCCATCATTACGCTTAATACCACGTGGCGGCTACAACGAGTCCATACGCTCCGTTAGAAGGATTGGCATTTGGCAGCCAGCGAGCAAACTGCGAGCCAGGGTAGCCGCATCATTGCAAACTCAGACTACTGTTCCAACCCTTACGACATCATCCAGAGAATGCGAGCCACGAGCGATCGCGATGCAGGACGGGGCGATATGCTACAGCGATCTGTGCATCCTATTCGAACCTAGTGGCTGCCGCGAGAGAAGCCGAAAAGGTAGATATCATGTTCGGCAGTGTACTGAGATGATGGATGGTTAGCGGATGAGTTCCAGTGTGCTCGCAGGAATCAGTCTCGAGGCGATAACAGAGCTGGAGCTTACATAACGCATCAGGGAGCTGTAGCCTGCCATGACATGATCGCCCACGTTGGGACGGAGAACGCTTGGTCCTTGGTTTTGATGTACCATGCTCGTTTTTTCCCTACTACGCTATTGTAGTCGAGACTGCTTTCTTGAACGTAGGTACTTAGGCCGGGGTTGTACCATGAGTACTGGTTGAGGGGGTGCGGTCGAGTAATCGGTACACCTTCAGGATGTTCGAGTCTTTGTCATTGCCTTGAAAGGTGTTGCCAGTCCCGTCAAAACACAACACAAAGCTAGCTCTGTCTGATTAGCTGAGGGCCTGCTGATCAGCCATGGCAGCCCACCGTTGGAGGAAGTGGCCTTGGAATGTCGGCAGAGCCGGGAGTGGGTTTAGTGGATAGCGATAGCAGCATTCGCTGGCATTGAAAAGTATTTGTTGTTAACGAGCGACGTTCGACCGCGATGAAAAGGTTGATTCTAGGATAGATGTGAGAGCCATATGCGGCTTACTGGGGTTGAGTTGAGCACTTGCGATTGCTCCTACCTGGAAGACCTGCACTTCCGCCGTCGTCCCTTCAACACGTCGCAAGGCATGCGGTCGATCGACGTCGGGCGTCAGATACGGACGACCAAAGAGTCGGGTACGATTAGTCCTGTTGCTGTCAGTTACGAAGGTCACCGATGTCATTATTTACGGGAATAGGTCGCCGCGCAAGAAGCAGCTGAGTGACAGCTATCTCCTAATCATGAGGTGGAAGGTCCTCCACAGTTCACGGAAGCGGGAACGGTACAGAATCAATGCCTTTTCTCTCCGATCGAGATCAATCATGTTCAACTAAAGCCTCTGCAGCGCAGGCAGTGAATCCTTGGCAGACGCGTTCCTTTACGCGACTTCCATTTAACCCTTTTCGGCGCGCGTCATGAAGATGAACTCGATTCTACCATCGCATTCGTATTTTCCCATCTCCCAAAACCTCGATCCTCCCCCACTGACGCAGACTGCCAATCACGACTGGTGCTAGGACTCTCCCAAGTATGGCTCGTGGTGCACCTGCTGCGGAACCCTCGGACTTCGAGAAGCAGCGTTTAGCCAACATCGCGGAGCGCGACGCCCTCCTCCAGAAACTCACGCAAGAAGCCCGAGCGGCAGGCTCTTTTCCGCCTCCCGCTTCCGTCAACGGCAATGCGAACCAGAAGAAGCGACCCGCGAAACCAAAAGGCCCGCCCGCCAAAAAGGTGAAGAAGGAGGACATCGAGCCCAGGCGTGTTAGCTCTAGATTGAAGGGCATTCAGGCTGATAGCGAGGTGCAGCGGGCGAAAGAGGAGAAAGAATATGAGGAGCGTAGGATAGTGGAGCAAAAGAAGCGCGAGCGGCAGACCGACGAGGTCTGGTTCGAAGGCAGCTTGCTTATTGGGACCGACACATTGCTCAAGGGCGTGGCGAGGCCGGGTGAGAGAACTTTCGATGCAGACGATGTCAAGGAGACTAGCGACAAGGATGTCGCAAAGATGAGGGAAAATATGGGCGCGTTGAAGTTGTGGGGCGAGTGGGATCCCAACCGCATCAAGCTGACGCCCGAAAGAATATACAGTATGGCTCTGCATCCAATGGCTAGTAAACCAGTGGTGTTTGCGGGTGACAAGCTGGGTAACCTAGGCATTATTGATGCAGGCCAGAAGAATGGCACTGGAAGCGACACCGTGAAGAAAGAAATCAAGAATGAGGAAGAAGAGGAAGAGGATGAAGACCCCGACCCAGTGATCAGTGTCATCAAGCCTCATACGAGGACGATCTCGGCAATGTATACGCACCCGAGCAAACCTCAAAATCTATTCACAGCAAGCTATGACAGCTCAATACGGTCCGTAGACCTGCAGAAAAGTGTGGCTGTGGAAATATATGGGCCTGAAGCCAAAGATACAGACGACCCAATCAGTGGGGTTGACATGGCTACAACAGATCCGAATGTGGTGTACTTCACGACCCTAAATGGTGGATTCGGCCAGTACGACACACGCACCAAGGCGAAGGATGCAAAGACGTGGCAGTTGAGCGAGAAGAAGATTGGAGGATTCACACTGCACCCACTGGCACCGCACTTCGTCGCAACGGCATCTTTGGACCGGACGATGAAATTATGGGACCTGCGGAAGATGGAGAAGGGCATTCCGGTGCTGGTGGGTGAGCACGAGAGCAGATTGAGCGTCTCCCACGCAGCTTTCAACTCTGCTGGGCAGGTGGCGACGAGTAGCTACGACGATACGATCAAGATCCACAGCTTTGGTCTCGGGAGGCAGTCGAAGAAGGGCAACGCTGCATTGGAAAGCATGACCACGTGGAAAGCAGGGCATCAAATCGGTGAGGATGTCATGAAGCCTGAAGTCGTAGTCAGGCATAACAATCAGACTGGTGAGTTTGTACTTTATATCAGGCGAAAGACAGCTGCTAACATGGCTCAGGGCGTTGGGTCACAATCCTGCGACCTCAATGGCAGCGAAGCCCTAAGAATGGACTTCAAAAGCTGGTGATTGGAAATATGAACCGCTTCGTCGACGTTTACGCTGCAGACGGCACGCAGCTGGCACAATTGGGTGATGATTTGGGCGAGAACCGGATCACAGCCGTGCCAGCTGTTGCAGTCTTCCACGAATCTCAGGATTGGATTGCAGCAGGGACCGCAAGCGGCAAGTTGTGTCTTTGGATGTAGATCATAGCCGGCTTCAACTGCACTGGCGCCTGACATTTACCAAGGCATCAGGCGACGACTTCGCTCTGCATATAATTGGCTGCTTCGACATGCATGAACCCAATGCCAGTGTAGCTGCATGGCCGCCACAAATACGAGGCTGGGCCTACAACGACATATATAAACCCTGCCAACCTCCTGTTCTGTCCAGCATCCAGTCTCGTCCTCCAGAGATAATACCAGCGACTCTACCGAGAGAGATCACCGACTGGCCCTTGTCTCCGATGACATGACTCAGACAGCGATGCGTCGAAACCCCGCTACTTCCACGCCCCAATGACATGACATGTAAGGTCATGGGGTACTGACAGTCTCTATGACTGGGCCGCTGTTGGCTCGAAAGCGACGGTCGAATCGTTGATCCGCCTACACAGCTTTCTCGCAGCCACCCTTTTTCCAATCGGTTCAGCCGCCGCCATCGCCGGTCCGTTGATGTGTATCAACGGACCATACGGTCAGCAAACATTATTCTGACCAAAGCACCACTCAAGATGTCCATGCCTCTCATACTTCTCCTCTTCACTTTGGAGTTCCTCATGGACAACGTGCAAGGCAAAGAGGTCCTCGACGCTATGATGACGTCTATGTAGACCATCCAGATGCGTCAACGAAGTTTTCAGAGGTTCGAAGGATCTCGTCCAAACTTCATAGGATTGCTGGAGTCAAGCGTACTCTTGGTTGGCGATGTGGATAGCTTGCTCGAAGCTGCACCTCCAGAGCGAATGACGGCAGAGAAACCTATGCCCGGAGCCAAATTGGATGAAGATCTTCGATCCACCGCAGCCCTCGGGTGCTACATCCTCGTGCGCTTCATGTCTTCCTTCTTATTGCCCTGGATGTCAATTACAGAGGCGGATACGTACCGTCAGGATGCTTTTGATGGTCGAGCAGCTCTCAGATTTGTACACTACCAGCGCGGACAAGTTAGTGGTGCTGCTGGCTTCGATAAGGCCTGAAAAAGAGCGAGCAAGTTGGGCACGTCATCACGAGATGGATGTGTGGGAATGGTTCACTTGATGAATCCCCATGCGAATTGCTGCCCGAAGGGGTCATGCTCGACCGACCAGGGCGCCTCATGCTATTTCGCTGAGCCTTGTAATGGCCGCCAGATATGGCTGCACCTCGTTGCCCAATATCTCACATTCCACCGACACTTTTCCGTTCTGTCGGCTTTCTCATATCTCGTTCGACTCCTGGACCTCCATCCAGTGCCTCCTGTCCCATATCGAAAGAACATCGCAGCTAGTGGTCGCCTTTCAACGCGGCCTGTGGTAGCAGCATCTAGTCAACGCCGGCGCCTGACCCATAACCCTGAAAATCGAATGCCCAATCCATATCGCCCACCCCTCCGACCTCGTCCTCTGGCTCGACTGCCTTACCCTTCGCCTTATCCACATTCGCCATTTCGCCATGCTCATCAACGTCTTGAGCATTCCCACGCGTGGACTCCTGCTCGCCGGCTCCAACACCCTCTCCACCCTCCTCCACCTCTCCACTCCGCTCTGTCTCGTCCTCGGCAACTCCATACACCCGCTCCTTTTGCTCCTTCACAATGCGATTCGCCACCACACCAATGCAGTAACTGCAGTAAGCACGCCCCTGGACATCCGGCCGGATCGTCTCCGCCGAGGGCATGAAAGGCAATATACAAAGATTGCAGACTAGATAGCGGGGAGGCGATGAGTGTGTCTCTGGCTGCGGTGGGGGCTGCTCCTGCTCGGTCGGTGGAAAGAGAAAGCGTCGGGGACTGGGTGGGGATCTGCCGTGAGGAGAGGAGGGCTGTGCCGCAGGCGTGACTGTTGGTGGTGGCGAGGGGCCAGTGGTGGCTGGTCGACGGCTGTAAGGAGCGTATCGGGTGGGAGAACGGCTACTCGGCCCGGCGAACGACTGAAGCGGCATGCTAGTCGGGCAGCTGGTGGGTTGCAGATGGCTGTGCGGAGTTGCCACGATGGCAGGAGGGGCAGCATTCATGAAACTGCGGACTTTTCTCGCGTTCGTTGGGCTGGTGAAGAAGTCAAGATTGCGGCGTTGAGGGGAGGTCGAGAGTCTGTCTTGTTGCTGCTGCACTGGCTGTTTGTCTGCCATGTCAGTGTCGAAGCCGAAGTTGATGTAGTCGGTGCCTGGCAGGGTCATGATTGAGAGTGGTGATGGCCGGGAGGGAGTGGTATTGTTGGCATGGTTGCGGCCTGCGAGAGCGGAGTTGTGGCTAAAGTTGCTTGGTGAAGAGAATGATCGATTCTGACCAGGTCGTACTTGTCTGGATGCCGTCGGAGTCTGCTGCGTTTGTCGACTTCCTTGGTCCTGTGGGCTGTTGTGTCGAGGCGGGTTGTTTGACATGATGACCAGTATGTGGGGGTTTCCGTTAGTCTTCGACCAACGGAGGTAGTTCCGACCACTGTGTATTCAAGCGATGCACAATCCTGTGTATTTGTATCGGAATGAATCAGATGCATGCACAAGAGAGCCACAGTGGATATTAGCTGGTAGACAATAGAAGTCAAGGAACATGAGTTCACACGGGAGGGGTTTGTGCGAGACGCGTTTGCGAGCTGCACGGCGACAGGCAGGCCCTCCCGCCTGCCTGTGTGGTAGAAGTGACATCTTCCATGCCTTCGTGGCACGCACCAAGACTTAGGGTGGAACAGTGGCAGTAGCCCTTTGTCACCTGTTAGGGAAGGCAGTTTCAGTGCCTTGTGATCACAGTAGTGACAGCATGGTCGTTTAGCCTTGATATAGCCCTGCGGAAGAAATCAACTGCCTCCGCGATTCAATTCAGATTGAGGTGAGCTTGCTGTGACAAGACTATTGACGACATTAGGTCTTCATAGGATGCTTTGCATACTTCCAGATCGAGTTGGGAAATGACCCCGAGGAGACCGGTGGATATCTATACAACGTCGAATGGCATCACGTTTCCATGCCACCCCGCCGCAAGGTCTCGAAAGATGCACGTTCCGTAGGATCCTGATTCTCAATGAAGACAATCCTGACCCATGGTCTCGCAGTAAGACAACCATAGAAGGTGCAGTCTCCAGAGGTTGCTGCTATAGCACACAGGCCAGGTAATGAGCTTTGTACACATGACTGTAGACTACTTGCCACGCGGTCGACCATCACATTAGTCGAGCCACAGCAGACCAGCCGGATAGCAAAAAGCATGCAGTGACCCATCAAATTTGCTATACACCGTCTTGGTTTCCATCAGTATAGCAAGGCTGCGACTCCTGAAAGGTGGGGTAGTGTACCGGACAAGCGGGGTGAATAGTTCGCCAAGCCCAACGCAAGCGATGTCGACCCGATTGCTCACTCATCAGTCTAAGTCGCCCTCTTCACGAGCTGTGAAATACATGCAGCCGGATCACGCTCTAGGTGGTCCTCAGGTGTAACTGATATACGCGAGGCTACCATGTTCGGCAACAATAAGTGCAAGGTCGCCATTGTAGGTGCAGGTGGGCGCCTCGGCAAGCACATTTTAAGCGCTTTACTGTCCCCCGAGTTCAGGAGCAGTTATGCGGACGTCGTGGTTCTACGGCGCTCCGGCACGGAGAGTGCTGTCATCCCGAACGCCACAGTCCGAACATTCGAGCAAGACACAATCGGTGATTGTATCCACGATGTTGACGTCCTCATCAGTGCAGTGGGGCCAACGGGTCACGCCTTCAAGGACAGTCTGGTCAATGCCATGGCCAAGTCTTCGGTCAGACTCTACATTCCGTCAGAGTTTGGTGTCGATCACACTGTTCATGACTTCCCGCATGCCGAGTGGGATCACAAGAAGCTGCATTTCGACCTGACCCAGAAGTTCATTCCCAACGTCCAGGTGCTACGGATCTATGTCGGCTTGTTCTTGGAGGAGAGTATTGGTCCATGGTTCGGATTTCATACCGCAGCGGACAAGTATGATTGCATCGGGTCTGCCGACACACCTGTCTCGTATACCTCACTTGACGATGCGGGTAAGGTCGTCGCTCAAGTTGCTCGGATGCAGATGTTGCCAATCCTAGAGCAGATACATATCGGCGGAGACACAAAGTCTACCCGAGAGACTGCGCATATAATGCAAGAGGCTGGTGCTGGGAAGGTGAAAATCAACGAGCTCGATCTGGAAAAGTGGAAGAAGGCCACGATTGAGGAGGGCACCGCCGACCCATCGAAGTACCTACGGTTCCTCATGGGTGAAGGCAGGATAAATCACACTCAAGAAGGTCTTGGAAATGACAATGAGATCGTCAATCCTGGTCAGACTCTCTGGAAATGGAAAACAATGATGGATTACGCTCAGGAGACAAAGGGCAAACCGTGGGCAGAATTCAAGTGGGATGAGTCTGTTGTAAGCTGAAACTCTACGACAATGGATAAAAATACTTTGTTAGCCCTCAAAGCTGTTCGCTCTTCGATGTCTACTGTCTCAGCCACAGGAGGTTCAAGGTAGAGGGGTGGTAGTATAGATGACAGGCACAGCCTTGGACAGTCCCGCAAGGCTATATGCCAAGACCAAGGCACGGCTTCCTTGGCGTAACTTGACCTCTGTTGAATCTTTTGATCCCTACCAAGTGACTACAATGTCATCCTAGTTACGGAAAACCTCGTCTTTCAGCAATCGTCGTAACCTGTACCAACAGCAGCTGCAGAGTCGGAGTCCACATATTGCGGTGGGCTTCAAGCTCGTTTCTGGACTGGCTGGAAATCCGGAAGCGGCCAAGATGGGCCAGAAGAGGCGTCTCGCAGAGTATGAGAGCGATCTCCCGGACCAGTCAAGGCTCAACGTCAGCCCACAGCCTGCCACAACCTCAGCAGAACAGTCACCATTCCGCTTCAACCTCTCCAAACAGACTCCACATGCTCACCATGATCTCGCAAACGGCAATTCGAGAGACGGAGCCGATGACAATCATGGTTGGCAGGTAGCGGAATCATCGAAGAAGAAAAAGAAGAAAAAGCAAAAGGTGGAAGCTGACTCGCTGCCATTCCTCCGCTTCGACCCCGAACGACAAGGAGCGCCTGTGCGGATCAAAGATCTTCAAGGTCTCGTGCTTTACACTCTAGCCGATGGCGTTGCTCCCAATTGGGTCGCGGTCAAAGATGCAAAGAGTATCAAGCAGGCTCTGGTTCTCATGGTCCCAGGGATGGATAAGGCAATGCTTGAGAGTGCTGTGGCTAAGCTATCCGCGCCTGACGCAGAGCGCGATGGTGCCGACGGAGTTGACACGCCGGCGGATTCTATGACACCAACCGCCGAGGAAATTATCGCACAGATGACTCGCGGAGCACTACCAAGCACTCGAACGACGGAGCCACTTGCCGACTACATCATTCGCATCAAAGCACCTGGTGATCCAAAGACTGGCCGCATGCACTCTCCGCTTCAGACAATGCTCATTTCACCAGAAGATAAGAAGGAGAAGAGCAATAGCCACGGTAGACACGCCGCAGATGTTTTTCAGCCAGTCCAGACGCCACTAGTGACGTTCATCCACTCTGCGGAGGAGCTATGCGAGGCTGATTATCCTGTGCATCCTGCAATATTCACCAATGACGTTGATGCAGCAATGGAGAAGACGAGACGCGAGGAAACTAGGCAGTCACATAGTGGCGGCTGGGTCGATACCCCTGTGACACATTCAACACCGCAGCCCGCATCCAAAGACACCGTAGACGCCGTTACGCAGGGCCTTGACGTGTACGCCCTAGACTGCGAAATGGTCATGACCGATGACGACAAATACTCCCTGGCCCGCATCTCCGTGGTCGACTGGCACGGCAAAGTAATCATGGACGAGCTCGTGCTGCCCGACCTACCGATCAAGAACTACTTCACTCAATTCTCCGGTATTACGGAAGAAAAGCTCAAAGGCGTAACGACAAGACTCTCGGATATACAGAAGAGCTTATCGGAGTTGTTTGGCCCATCCGTGGTGCTCATCGGCCACTCCCTCGAAAGCGACTTCAACGCTCTGAAGATGACGCACCCCTTCGTCATCGACACTTCCATGGTCTATCCACACCCTCGCGGCCTACCTCTTCGATCCTCGCTCAAGTTCCTCACGAACAAGTACCTCAAGCGCGAGATCCAGAAGGGTGGCGCGAACGGCCATGATTCGGTCGAGGACGCCCGCGCCGTGCTGGACCTGGTCAGACTGAAGTGCGAGAAGGGCCCAACATACGGGACCTTGGATATGAACGGCGAGAGTATCTTCTCGCGATTGGATCGATCGGCAAAAAAGACAGCGATTGTCGAATACGGAACGCCGGACCGCGGATTTGGACGGCACGCTTCGGTCAAAGTGGGATGTAAGAACGACGATGAGGTTGCAGACGCAATCATCGAGGTCATGAAACCCAAGTCTCCGGCAACGGAAGGCGCAGCATTCACATGGGGCCGCTTCCGCGACATGGAGGCAATTCGTGGCTGGAACTCGTCCAAGCACTCCTCCACATCCGACAAGTCAGGCCACAGATCTACCAACAGCGAAGCCGGCACAGACGCCACCGCCCACCATGAGCGCAAGGTTCAAGCCGCGGAACAGCAGACGGTGGACCGCCTCGTACGGGTCTACGAAGCGCTCGACCCCTCGACGCTCGTCATCGTCTATCCCGGCCCCGGCGACATGCGCGAGGTGTTAAGGCTGCAGGAGCTGCAGCGGCAGTTCAAGCGCGAGTTCAAGGTCAAGAAGTGGGATGAGTTGAGCGTGCGCTGGACGGACGACGAGGAGCAGGCGCTGAGGAAGGCGTTCAATGAGGCTAGGGCGGGATGGGCGCTCGTGTGTGTCAAGTGAGAGTAAATTTACGGTGAAGTCAATCAGCTGTAGAAACAGGCTGAGACTCTTGCTTGAAGCGAGGCAGATCGGACGCGGACGAATTGAAAGACATGCGCATGAGATAATTCAGACACGGCCTTGCTCTTCTTCGACACTGGTGTGTCTACTCAATCAGCAGGAACGCAAAGTGCTCAACAATATCGATCTGTCTGCTCAGGCGTTCTCGGGAACAGATATCATAACCGTCAAGCAGTCCATGCCGTATCTGGGAAACTGTAGTGTAGACATCGGTACAATTATTGGACCGGTTCCCACCTTCCCAAGCGATGGAAGCATGGCGTGATTACCCACTCCTACTGGATCATGTTGGACAGTCGACATTCCGAGCCTTGCAGCTCCAGTCACTAATGCTATCGGCTTGTCTTCCAACCGCAAAAGCGCATAGAAGCAATGATTACACACCGACACGATATACGAGCGTCTTTGCTTCTCCTTTGAGGGGAGGGAATATTGTTTGTTCTTGGCGCGATCCCGCCATACTACAGTATTTAGCTGCTCGAAGGACCGAGTACGCGCGCTCGGAAGATCTCGCCCTCCGATCCGGTCCATGTCCCATTTGCCCACCCGACTACCACTGCTATCAATAAATGTCGCTACGGACGATACGCGAAGCTTGATCCACGTGTCGTGCGGTAACCGGGACAAAGTGGGCGGAGCTCCATGGCTCTCCCGTATCCACAGGAATTCTCTGAGAGCGCCGTGTTCCACCTCGCGGGCTAATATCGCTCCGTCGGCAATGGGAGGCCCATTAGTCAACGACAGAGGCCGCCATGTCACGATAATGGGTAGAAATGTAGAGCGCTAGTAATGGACCGTATACGTCGGCTTTGATCGAGTGTTGCCCTGTGAGGCATTGAGGTCCGTGATAAATAAAACGTGGTTTGCGGGCCAGCTCTGAGACTCCTGTAGAATTTTCGATCGCAGCTGCTAGTATCACACCACTGGGCAACGTAGAAACTTTTCCCCCTTGCCAGGACTAGAGGAAGATTAGCACGAGGGCAGGCGGACATCATGACCGTCGCTGACAACCTCGAGAAAGCTGACGCGGACGTCCCTTCTCAACTCTCAGACGCCCAACCGGGCATGACCTCCTCCAACATGTCCATCTCTTCAGACAACCCGGATGAGAATGCCGCTCCTCCACCCCCCTGGAAACCTACCCTCCGCCTGGTTCTCGCCTTCGCCTCCCTGGCAGTGCTCACTTTGATGGTGGCGCTAGACGGAACGTCACTGAGCGTAGCCCTGCCCACCATCGCCGAGAAGCTGCAGGGCACCGCGCTCGAGGCCTTCTGGGCCGGCACTTCATTCCTGCTCGCGAGCACCGTATTCCAACCCACGTTCGCGTCTCTCAGCCACATCTTCGGGCGAATGCCAGTCATCATTGTCAGTGTCACGCTGTTCCTGGCCGGGGTGCTGATGGCCGCGCTGGCTGATAATTTCACACTCTTGCTGGTTGGGCGCACCATTCAGGGTGTTGGGGGCGGCGCCATTATTGCCTTGACTGAGATCATCGTCACAGACCTAGTGCCGATGCGGTTTCGTGGGCAGTGGATGGGCATTTTGGGAGCGATGTGGGCGCTGGGATCGGTGTCCGGGCCAGTCGTAGGAGGTGCTTTTGCGCAGGTCGATGCATGGCGCTGGATATTCTGGCTCAATCTGCCGTTCATGTGAGTTTCCCCGGAGGACGACTGTATACATCTCGCGACACCCTCTGCTTGCTTTCACCGTTTTGAGTCCATTTCGACGCAAGGGTGCTGATGTGTCTTTCTCAGTGGTATCAGTTATGTGATGGTCGTACTGTTCTTGCGGCTGAACATCGTACCGGAATCCATCGTTGCCAAACTGCGCCGTGTTGACTGGATCGGATCTTTTCTATTCGTCGCGAGCACAACATCGTTCCTCATTCCACTCACCTGGGGCGGGATCATGTACTCGTGGTCGCATTGGCGTACACTGATACCGCTGATCGTGGGAGCAGTCGGGCTGATGGCTTTCGCCGTCTACGAAAAGTACTGTGCAGTAGAGCCGATGATCAGGTTGTCGGTGTTCCGGAATCGGACAGCCATTCTGGGATACTTCGGGACATTTTTGCACGGCATTATCGTATGGACGATGCTCTACTACCAGCCGCTGTATTATCTGGCAGTCAAGGAGTACTCACCTGTTATTAGTGGGGTGGCTTTGTTCCCGGCAACCTTCACGGTTGCGCCCATGTCGGTGCTTGCTGGAATCCTCATCACTAAGACAGGATCTTACCGACAGATTATCTGGATTGGCTGGGTCGTGTCAACATTGGGCATGGGACTAACCATCCTTCTGGAAGTCGACACAAGCATTCCAGCATGGATCTTCATCAATATTGTGCCTGGGATCGGCTTCGGGCTCTTGTTCCCCGCTCTCCAGTTTCAGGTGCAGGCAGCATCGACAAATGAAGATATGGGGTTCGCGGTAGGCCTGTTTGTCTTCTTCCGAACATTTGGCCAAGCCATCGGGGTGGCTATTGGCGGCGGAATCTTTCAGAATACCATGATCCGCAAGCTGGAAGCGTTTCCTCGTTATGCGGCACAGGCGCCGGAGCTCGCCAAGGACGCAGCCGCGTTGGTTCAAGTCATTCGGGCAACGCCAACTGGCACTGATAAGCTGGACCTACAGATGGCATACACGCAGAGTATCCGAGTGGTGTATATCGTGCTAACAGCATTCTGCGCAGTCGGGTTGGCCTGCAGTCTTGTCATCAAGGCCTACGATATTGATATCCCTCTGGATACTCAGCACGCCCTAGTCGAGAAGCGTGTAAAAATATCCAATGCCGAGGGTCAAGAGGCTCGAGCAGGTGTGAAAAGCTAGAATGAGTGCAGTAATGTTAGACATGGAATCATTACAATGGCAGGATCGTCAGTCGCGACGTTGAAACGTGGACACGCTGTGTCGAGTGACCTGACTACGGGGATGATCGGCAGGTCTGGAAGTGGCCGTTGCGGAGACATTGTGCCAGTCTTGCATGATCGTCGATTTAGTGTGCAGGCTTTTGTATTCTGGGCAGTTCATCGGCCGCTGCGTCAGTGGCGCCCCGTCAGGCACCTGCAGCGATCGGCTCTTTCATGTTGTTCTCATCGTTGGATGCTCAAGGCATGCGTTCGGAGGCAGAAGAACGGTTCAGGAGGCAGTCATATGTTGATTCGCGACGCCAGTGCAGACGAAGCACTCAATGCGATGGGGAAATGGTGGGAAATGAGGAAAAGGCCATGGCGTGGGATACGAAGATCTCGATCTACCATACCAGGGGTTATGTGGGGGCCCTCGCGCTCAATCGTGGCCACCTTTTTAATGGGACCGCTGAGGCCCGGAGCAACCGCTCTTCAGGCATGGCTCCAGGTGAATGGCAGCGTCCAAACAAAAACTCAAACCCTCCCGAACAGAGCCCCAGCTGATCGCCTGTGTGAGATTACTCTTCCTTATTATCTGTTATCCCATCCGGCAACAACAAGAATGCTCTCTTACGCGTTCCTAGTAGATGCCATGATATTCCTACAACGATGCGCACAGTTCTCCGCATGCGAATAAGACTTCAATGGTCTCGCTACTCGTACCACGCTTCCCGGGCCTTAGCTACGTCACCCAGGCCCTTGTCCTCGTGTTGCGCTTCCCTCCCGCGCATTTCAAGATACGCCCTCCGCTACCATGACCTTGGGCGATAGCAGAACCTCCGAACTTGAAGATGAGGTACCTGAGCTGGTCTCGGGATCCCAGTATACTCTGGAGGAATATTCCTCGTTGAAGCGGTCGCTCAGCAGGATCAAAGATACCCCACAGCACATGTTGTCGCCAAACAACCAATTCTCCGAACAGCACAAGCGGAGTACGAGTAGAAGCAGTTCGATCGATCCCAACGAGAAGCTGTACATGAATATTCCACGCCTTCCCATGGCTTCCGAAATCGCATTGGCCTCGCTGCTATATTTGCCGACACCACTATTGGTTTTATCATCGCTGAAGACCATCGTACTGGCCAATGAGGCTATGGGCAGGTTGCTCGGCTTGCGTCAACCTGAAAGTAATGTTGAAGATGTTGGTGAGTCGGTCAACGATATCTTAAAAGGCCAGACACTTTCGCAGATTGGCATCGACATGCTGTCTGATGGCGTTCCAGTGTGGGTTAGTTGGGAGAAATTTCTCGATAATTTGACTGGTGGACTCGCAGAGGACGGCGACGGGAGTGTTCTGGCTAGAGTCCGCAGTGGGGAGACGACACCACAAGCCAATGGCGACGTGACTACCATTCCGGTAGCAGAAATGCCTATGCGAGGTCGCTCGCCGTTGCGGGAAAAGGCCACTGTACACGACACAGTTGTTGATGTGCTCGTGTCCTCTCAGCGATTCCGTCGCGGACAAACCTCTACTAAGGCACAGGGCTCTGGCGCACAATCGACATGCCGCATGATAATCTCAATTTGGATGCTCGAAGATCAGCGCTTCTACACTCTCACCTTCACGAGCCCTTCAGTACATGGCACTGGGAGCAGGCAGTCACATTCACACGTCGTACCTCGCGCCAAGTCTAGTCAATCGACGCGGTCTTCACAGTCGTCACAGTCGCAAACTCCCACTTCCTCTACAGCAAGCAGCGTGGTGCAGTCACCTTCGGAAGGCACCGGCCCGAGCAGCACCATGTCGACATTCTTGCCTAGCGGCGCCCCCGCTAGGTGCGCTTCGCCTGCCACCTTCACTGACTTCCAGAAAGTTACTCGCATGAAGGATGCCATGCTGACAGCTATGAATATCCCCGTACTGGCCATGTGGAAAGACGAGAGCGTAGTGTTCCCAAACCCTGCTGCCCGGCGCTTGCTTGCCGTCAATGCAGATCCAACGTCCGATGATAGCTATGATTTCATGTCTCGCTTTCAACCCTGGACAGCCGACTTTTCAAGGCAGCTGGAAGACGCCGAGAACCCGATCGTGTCTCTATGCAGGACACAACAGGCGTTCGGTCGCTGGCAGATTGGTCTTATCAATGATAAGACTGGCAAGAAGTCGATTTACGATGTTTCGGGCCATCCAGTGTTCGATGAGAAAACCAACGAATTTTTCGCAGGCCTCATCGCCTTCAAGGATGTCACAGAATACACCGATAAAATTGCTCTACAAAACGCTGAGAACGACGACCAGTTCGCTTTGATCTGTGACATGATGCCTCAGATGCTGTGGACCACACGTCCCGATGGATTCCATGACTATTTCTCCCAAAGGTGGTACGATTATACGGGTTTGACGCCCCAGAATTCTCTCGGGTTAGGATGGAAATTACCTTTCCACGACGACGACATTCCCGAAGCAGTAAAGAAATGGCAGCACTCTCTGAAAACAGGTGATACCTACAGCGTGGAGTATCGATGCCGACGGCACGATGGTGAATGGCGCTGGATGCTTGGGCGAGCAATGCCTCTTCGTGACAGTAAGACTGGCGAGATCCTGAAATGGTTTGGAACGTGTACCGATATACAAGACATTGTGGACGCTCGCAACGCTGGTGCCAGAATCCGGCAACAGCTACTCGATGTCTTGCATCATTCGCACATGAACATGTGGACCGTGGACCGTAAGCTTCGGCTGGCATTCTTCGAGGGGGGGCCATTCGAAGGCCTCGACCCTGATGAGAACAAGACGGAAATACTAGGGAAGTCCATCAAAGAGGTGCTCATAGACCACGGCAACGGTGCTCAGACTGACCTTGTCGAGAACTTACTGACATCCATTGGAAGAATCCTGGATGGCACATCTGAGCTGGAACTACGAGAGATTCACAACAACGGACGATGGTTTCGTTCCAAATTGGTACCGCTACGCGGACGTCGAGGGCGTCATGGCATCATTGACGAGGCTTATGTCGAAGGTGTGATTGGGATCACCACCGAGGTAACCTCGATGCGACAAAAGGAGCAAGAAAACATCAAGCTGCTGGCGAATGAGGCGGCTGCGAAGGAATCAAGCAAGATGAAATCCCAGTTTTTGGCTAACATGAGTCACGAAATCCGTACACCAATTGCTGGAGTGCTTGGAATGTCAGAACTGCTGCTAGATACCACACTCGACGACGAGCAACACGAGTTTGCACAGAATATTCAAAGTTCGGCAAATTCTCTGCTCACAGTCATCAACGATATCTTGGATTTTTCCAAGATTGAGTCGGGCCGACTGGATGTGGAAGAAGTACAGTTCTCTCTATCTACAGTCCTGAAGGATGTGGCGAAGATGCTTTCCTATGCAGCGCGTCGGAAGTCTCTTGAGTTTGGCAGCGACTTCAATCTCGGCAAGGAAGACCTTGTTCTTCTCGGCGATCCAGGCCGAATCCGCCAGATACTTACCAATCTGCTCACCAACAGTATCAAATTTACTTCTGGTGGTTATGTCAGGATGGGCGCGAAAGTGCTGTCCGAGACGCACGACGCGGTCACCGTTCAATTTACGGTTGAAGATAGTGGTGTCGGTATTGAGGAGGAGGTCAAGAAACGTCTGTTCAAGCCTTTTAGTCAAGCCGATTCAAGCACCGCAAGACGCTTTGGCGGTACGGGACTTGGCTTGACGATCAGCAAAAATTTGGTCGATTTAATGAAGGGCGACATCGAATTGATCTCGAAACTAGGCGTTGGTACTGTCGCGAAATTCCAAATCCCACTCAAGAAAACGGAATATGTCGCTGGCGGAAAGCCATCGACACCTCTTGTGGAAGTAACATCCTTCCCTGATCGTCTTCAGTCTGATTTATCATTGTCTGTTGATAACTCTTCAACGACTGATGGTAGAACGCCAAAGAGATCGAGTCCACCAGTCCAGTCACCCCGGAGCTCCATCAGTGTCAAGGCCCAGCGCGCATCTCTACCGCCGGGGCGGACCCCGGTAGACTCTCCTAACGTCGAAGCTCGTAGAGAAAGCATTCATATCTTGGTGGTGGAAGATAACCCGGTCAATCAGCAGATTGCGATTCGATTCATTCGAAGCCTCAACTTCCGGGTATCAGCTGTCTGGAACGGTCGAGAAGCACTCGAGTATATGCTCAAGGCAACCAGCCCCGATCGCAGTCCAGAAGAAGCTGTTGAATATCCGGTCCCTTCGTTGATTCTCATGGATGTACAAATGCCTATTCTGGATGGGTATCACGCTACTCACCTGCTCCGACATCATCATCCTTACGCATCGATTGAAGCTATCAAACGCGTCCCGATCGTTGCAATGACAGCTTCTGCGATTAGAGGAGACAGAGAGCGATGCGAGAAGGCCGGCATGGATGACTACATGGCGAAACCAGTCAAACGAATCATGCTCGAGAAGATGATCTTGAAATGGATCGCCAAACAGGATAGCTTCAGGCGAGCATCAATTCCTCCTTCTGACAACGACAAGCTCGGCTTGAGCCGATCAGGGACGGACCATTCATCAAACTGTCCAGATCACGATTCCATCGCGGCTGAATTTCTGAACGCTCGGGCGGCTGCAATGGCAGCCCTAACTTCTGCTGCTGGTCGGCAGGTTCCCATACACGAGGCAGGGCAGCCTAGTCCAACGTTGACCAAGGCTCGCCGGCTCAGCAAATCAACGGGTCTTATGGTCCAGGACATGGCTGAGGTTGACACAGAAGGTGAGCGAGTCTTAAGGCGAGAAGAAGCTGAGGACAAGGCACGGAGTCTACGTGACGCCAAGCTCATTTCAGCCACCGACGATGAGCACGGGACAGCTCCCAATCACAATTACAGCCACGAAATAGCAGGCAACCTGACAATGATGGGCAGTTCCATGCCGGTCAGCTACCCTACGCAGGGCGATAGTGACTCTGAGGATGGGGTCATGGCACTGACACAGGAGAACGTGGAGAAATTCAACAGTGTGAGTGAAGGCACTGCTTCTATTCAGCCGATTGATGCAACCCCAGCGGACATACCCGGTCCGCCGCCCGGTCTGGAGCCATTGGCGAGCGTTGCGACGCCCGCTTCACTTCCTGTTCGGACCGCCGAGTGCATCTCGATGAGTCCGAAAAAGCAACGAATTGATGTCGGTGGTTTGAAGCCAGGAGATAGATCCAAAAGTGACTGGAGTACTAGCACTGCCAAACCGAGAGGGCGGCGCAGGAGCTCGGAAAAGTAATTGTTTCTGAGCATCTCAAGCCACTTTGGAGGGATACTAATGCTTACGAGTACCATGAGACCTATGCCTGGCATCGGAAAACAGGATGGTCGTGGCGAATATTTCTTGGAATTGGGCCCGCGGCTAATACTGGAGCTTCCTAAGTGTATAGAACGCATAGCGATGATCAACAAGATCACCGTGAACTACAAATCAAGTTCCTTTTAGCAAGATAGATTGCAAGGCTGAGAAGGCGCATGTCAAGGCTGAACGCGTGGAGCAGGGGTAATGTCTTGGCATCATTTTGGAGACGCAACCTGGCGACTTCCATCCCGCAGCCATTCGACTGCGAAGCTGTTGTCGCCGTCCTTGCGTTTCAATTCATTAGCGACGACCATATTTTTCGTCTAGCCTTCTTCCGCGGCCCTGAGGAACTCTTGCTAGACCGGCCAACATGGCCGCATCCTCCGAAACACCGCTGGAGCCTTTCTTGCGCGGCACCACCAGCAAGAATACTAGGGGTCTCCTCCGTGTCATCATTCTATGTACTATAGCTGCCGCCGCTGTGTCGGCACGATTGTTCAGTGTAATTCGTACGTGCTGGAAATTCCGGCTGCAGAATCAGACTAACACGTCGCAGGTTTCGAGAGTATTATCCACGAATGTCAGACCATCCCACCTGCGTCCCTCTACGGTGCACTGTTCTAACGAGTACTGCAGTCGACCCGTGGTTTAATTTCAGAGCAACAAAATACCTAGTCAAGCATGGCTTCTACTCGTTCTGGGACTGGTTCGACGACCGAACGTGGCACCCACTTGGAAGAGTCACTGGCGGAACACTATACCCTGGCTTGATGGTCACCTCCGGCGTGATCTACCATGTTCTCCGCCTGTTGTCCTTGCCGGTCGACATCCGGAACATCTGTGTGTTGCTTGCGCCCGCGTTCTCCGGCTTGACAGCCCTGGCCATGTACCTGCTCACGTCCGAGATGTCAACGTCACCGTCGGCGGGCCTACTGGCTGCGGCGTTCATGGGCATTGCGCCTGGCTACATCTCGAGATCCGTGGCCGGTAGCTACGATAATGAGGCTATCGCCATCTTCCTGCTGGTGTTCACTTTCTACCTTTGGATCAAAGCTGTCAAGGTTGGCTCCGTTATGTGGGGAGCTTTGGCAGCACTGTTCTACGGCTACATGGTGTCCGCATGGGGTGGTTACGTTTTCATCACCAATCTCATTCCGCTTCATGTCTTCGTCTTGATCCTTATGGGCCGCTACAGCAGTCGAGTGTACATCGCGTACTCGACATGGTACGCTCTTGGTACACTAGCCAGCATGCAGGTCCCCTTTGTCGGCTTCCTCCCTATCCGCAGCAGTGATCACATGGCCGCTCTAGGGATCTTTGGTTTGTTGCAACTTGTCGGTTTCTTCGATTTCCTGCGCAACCAGCTTCCAGGCAAGCAGTTCCAGACGCTTCTGGTGGCTCTCGGTGGTACCATCTTCGCCGTGATGTTCCTTGGATTGATCGGTCTTACCGTTTCTGGTGTCATTGCACCCTGGTCCGGCCGCTTCTACTCCCTCTGGGATACCGGCTACGCCAAGATTCACATTCCCATCATCGCTTCCGTCTCCGAGCACCAGCCTACCGCCTGGCCTGCTTTCTTCTTCGACCTAAACCTCCTCATTTGGCTCTTCCCGGCTGGCGTCTACATGTGCTTCCGCAATCTCCGCGATGAGCATGTCTTTGTGGTCATCTACGCCGTTCTGGCATCCTATTTCGCAGGTGTTATGGTGCGCTTGATGCTGACATTGACGCCCATAGTCTGCTGCTCCGCGGCTCTGGCTCTCTCCCACGTTCTCGACACATTTTTGACGGTCAAATCCCCGCCTGAACCCTTCGACACCAATGGCAGTGCCAAACCACCTTCCGCTACTCCGTCATTCCCGGCCTCACTCAATCTCGGGAAATCTGTACGGCAGCCAGTCGTTGGCATCTACAGCTTGGTATCCAAGTCCACCATCACCTCACTCGTCACTGGATTCCTGGTTCTCTTTGTGGCACATTGCACCTGGGTGACCTCCAACGCCTACTCGTCGCCCTCGGTTGTTTTGGCTTCCCGCCTGCCAGACGGTAGTCAACACATCATCGATGATTACCGTGAAGCATACTACTGGCTGCGCCAGAACACGCCCCAGGACGCCAAGATTATGAGCTGGTGGGATTACGGCTACCAGATTGGTGGCATGGCAGACCGCCCTACACTCGTCGACAATAATACCTGGAACAACACCCATATCGCCACCGTTGGCAAGGCCATGAGCAGCCGCGAAGAAGTCTCGTACCCAATTCTTCGTCAACACGACGTAGACTACGTGCTCGTTGTGTTTGGTGGTTTGTTGGGCTACTCTGGCGATGACATCAACAAATTCTTGTGGATGGTCCGCATCGCTGAAGGTATCTGGCCTGAGGAGGTCAAGGAGCGCAGCTTCTTCACAGAACGAGGCGAATACAGAGTAGACGAGGGCGCCACTGCGACTATGAAGAACTCCCTGATGTAAGATCACCTCCGTGCTATCTAGATGCATTCCTATCATTTCCTCGGATGCTAACACCAACCCAGGTACAAAATGTCTTATCATAACTTCGCCCAGCTCTTCCCACCTGGGCAAGCACAGGATCGCGTACGCGGCGCGAAGATTCCTTCCGCCAACACGGAGCTCAATACGCTCGAGGAAGCTTTCACATCAGAACAGTGGATCATCCGTATCTACAAGGTAAAGGACTTGGACAATGTTGGCCGCGACCACGCCAGCGCGGCAGCATTTGAGAAAGGCCACAAGAAGAAAGGCCGCAAGGGCGCGAAGCGAGGTGCGAGAGTTCTGCGCGAGGAATGATAGGTGGAGGGTCACAGAACTGCCCGAGCGGGGCAGATGTATATGATACGGGCCACTTGCGTGCAGGAAGATGGGCAGGGTATCGACTAACGCATATCCTCTCATCAGATGTCACGCTACTTGCCAGCTATGGACGGAATAGACAAAAATCCGAGCAATGTCTTCAAGGCACATCGTCCTTCTTGTTCACTCTGGCACTCTCACACTCTCAATCACTCTCATCTTACCGCTGTCGCTGTTATCATATCTCGACACCGGGGTCGACAAAATTGGCGGGAAGGCTCCTGGGTTGACTACTAGAAGCGCACAGTAAAGACTCGACAAGTTTCACCAGCGGGCTCCCTGGACATATACAGCAGATCACTTTTGGTAGTGTGATGAAATTAACTGGCGCCCTCCTCGGAACCCGCGTCACAGGCTGTTGGGTGGTAGCCTGCTGTGAGTTCCAGGAGCCTTTCCGTCAATTTTGGTCGACCGCCTGGGGCTCGCTCGCTCTCGTGGCACTCCTGTGATATCTCCAACACATCTCTTTGCACTCGACAGAGCCAACGTCATCTTCGTGGTGCATCTCTACAAGCTTGCCATCCAACACAAGAAGTCGATCCATTCCTTGGCTGCAGCTTCAGCGACCCGATGCCCAATCTGCGAATGCCAGACCCATCGGCCGCTGGATTGAGAATGGGGCACGAATGTAGATGCAAAGTCAGGCTGGAAATCTGGACACAGATAGATCAATGTGCCCAAAGGCGAAATCTGAATGAGCGCTTTGGTTCTCTTTTATATACGGGAGTGCACCTCCTTCACCCCTTGCTGCCCCATCTGTCCAAGGCCTGCGCCGACAATCTGCGTTCATGAGACAAATGTCTTTTTTTTATCCCCATCATAGCCTTGTCACCGAACTCAGCGAGGTCGATACATCAAGCTTGACAATGCAAACACGCCCAAATTTGATTTCGCTCCAAACGCCAATTTCAATCACTCCGACATCAATATCTCAAGTCGTTCAGCGAAGTGTCACGTCGTGCCCCTTCCCGCTTCGATTCATAGTTTTTAGCGTGTAGCAGGCGGAGAAGGACTATTCTCCGAGCTATCGAGGTCACCCAGCTTTTCCTTCTCGTAATCGGTGTTGTTCGACGAACCATGATGCGTCCGCTTGAAGTAGGTTGTCGCATCGGTGTGGAAGTCGTCATCGAAGACATCGGCCTCGTCGAGACGACCGTTCTTCTCATCGTACTTTTGTTGCATCTTGAGCTCCCACTCGCCACGCATCTCTTCCAGCTTCTGTTTGTAATCGAGTTCCGCATCGTACGGCTTGTGGACGCCTCGGAATCGTTCCCACAGGGACACGTGCCTGGGGTGGATGGCGACACCGTGGTACTCCTTCTCGCGGCCGGCGCGGATGAAGGCCCAGCGACGTTCCTGTTCCTTGAGATCGAGCCCCGTGGTGTCGGGCATGAAGACGACGGTGAGGATGACGCCGGCAAGACCGAACCAGGGTACGACGTAGAACTTTGTTTGTGTGTCGATGTAGTTGTAGAGCACCGCGGCGGTCAGGGCGCCGAGCTTACCGACAGCGGCGGAAAAGCCGTGGGCAGTGGCGCGCACTGCTGTCGGGTACACCTCGGCGGCTACAAGGAAGGTGACGGAGTTCGGACCAAATTGGTTGAAGAAGGACGACAGGAAATACATGGCCTGGAAGGAATGGATGTGCGCGGGCTCGGTGTAGTACTTGAAGTTGAAGCCTGGAACCACAAAGAGGATGAAGCACATCAAGAACCCAATCGTTTGCATATGCTTGCGTCCGTACATCTTGTTGTCGATGAGGAAGCTCGCAAGCTAGAAGAAGTCAGCAAGGATTCAACGGAGCAGAATTCGAGCATGAGACAAATGGGGTATGTCTCGGCTAGGATGGCAAGTCGGTGTCTTCTCTAGGAGGGGGCTGCAGAGGAACTTACATAGTACCTATTTTTGTTAGTAAACTTTGCATGAGAAGGGGAATAGTTGAGTGAAAAATGGGACGACTCACCCGCAAAGAGATACGCCAACGTTGATCAGGTTGTATAGCCAACCTGGCATGATCGATTTGTTGTCGGGGCTGATGACTTTTATGAATTCACTCTGTTGCACAGGCCGATTAGTCTGAGTCGGCATGGAGAAGGGGACTTATCCTGGCATAGTATTACTTATCGCAGGATACTCACTATCACACTCACGTTAGCAAGCTATACCTTAGGAATGGCAGGCGAAAGAATAGCGGCACCTGGAGACATGTCTCGATGCAAAACTTTAACTCAAGTCTGGTGAAGCATACCTTGAAACAGCTTGTTGCCGTAGAAAAAGACGTCGTTCATGTACCAGGTACCAGCCGTGGCAAGGAGGCGGCCGCCGAAATGGTTGAGCGTAATGCGAAGTGCGGCTGAGTCGTAACCTGTCACGCTCGACTTCTTCTTGGCCGCCTGTAGCTGCTTGCTGGCAGCTCTCATCTTGTAGGTACGGTAGTACACCTAGACATTGGAAACAAGGAATCAGTATTGATACTCGATACCAGGGGGATGATGGGGTCAGACTCACAAGCCATAATGTTCCAATCTATAGGCGTTGGAGAACCTGAATCAGTTACCATTCTCCAAAAAGGGGGGGAATCAGGCCAAGGAGATCAGAGTGTAGTGACAGTCCAAGAAGGAAGTGCACCGAAAGGAGGCTTTCCCTTGAGATGTCACACATCTCTCGAACGCAAGTCGACCAATGCAAAGCCACTGGGACTGGAGAAACTCACTGCCGGCAAAGCAAAAGAGATGCGGTAGGTCCATTGAACCGCAAGCTTCGAGTATGGTGGGTTCCCGCTGCCATGGTGGAAGATAAGCAGCAGCAGGATGAGAAGAACCTGGTTGAAGAACTGGCCCCAGCCCTGCATGAGGAAGGCACTGGTGACCTTGCGTCCACGATGAAGACGATCTTCTCTGGTCGAAATCTTTCCGGAGCCGACGGCATTCTCCATACCGGACGTGGCGGTCATGGGATACTCCCTAAAGATATGTCAACTTTATGTCTTGGCAATAACGGGAGAGAAGTCCTCTCACCCTCCGACGCCAACTCCGTAAAAGAACAGTGACCAAACGTAGCAGATGACCCAACCATTCTCAGTCACACCCCAGGCGGCTGTAAGCATGATGAGGCCGATAAACATAATCGTGGCATCCTGGATCAAGCCCCATCGGCGACCAATCCAGTCGCCGATGATACCGACCAAGATCTGGCCAACAATAATACCGCAGATTTCGAGGTATTCGACAGCGGCGATCCAAGTGGGGTTGCACGTCGTTTCAGAGTTCCAGCAGTCTGGGAAGCCCTTCTGGAAGAGAGGCTTGAGATTACCGATCGAGAACAACACGTAACCTTCAAGACCAAGACCGGCTCCGGGCAAGACCATATTTCTGAAGTAGAAGCCGACGGGAGAAAGCGGATCGGCCTTGAACATTGACCAGAAAGAGCCGAATTCGCGCTTGGCTTCCACCGAGTTCACACTTTGAACGAACTTGAAACGGCGAAACCATGGCAGATCAGCCCAGTAGACACCATTGGTGTCGTACGAGTCGTCGGGCTTGAGCAGCGAGTTGAAAATCTCCTTTTCATTGTGGCTCATGCCAAAGTCGGGAGCGACGAGTGAGGGATGGTGACCACTGACATCGGGACCATGGGGAGCCGCTGGCCCCCACGTGATGGGATCCTGTGTATCGGCCATCTGGCGTCGGGCTGACCAAGGCTTGAGGCAAAAGGGCCAAGAAAGGCTTAGGAGTGCTTGCCCAGTTGCTTGGTTGCAAAAGAAGGGGAATCAAGCTCAGAAGCGATCTGGGCAAAGCACGCTGGGCGTATTTAAGTTGCTCTATCGTTCGCCAGTCTGGCGGGAAACGCGGCAAGTGGTAGATAGAGCGTCAGCGTCGACAGGGGTAGATTGAATCAAGCAGAATCGTGCTTGTAGCCACGAGGTTGAGGCGGTGTCGTGATTGGACGTTGCAACGTCCTCTCAGTTAACCCACGGCACGAAAGCAGGGCCTTAGAAGGCAGTGACCACCGTATAGCTGAGGTAAGGATGAGGGTTCAATGCGTCAATGGCATCAGATACAATAGGAATTCACAAGCGATATTCACTGCCAAAGAAAAAAGGCTGCAACGTGGGAGAGGAAATGTTCCCTCGGCGCCAACAGACACCGTCGGGGCGATGTGGGCTTCACACTTCAGATGCAACGGCGGGGGCTACCGACGGTCGGGCAACACTAAGAGACCTACATCATGGGCTTGGGGGCTTGCGGACAAGCATTGTGGACATTTCGGTCCGCCCTTGATGAGCTTGAAGTGAAGCTTCGCCACAAACACTTTCAAGATTTTTCACGCGATGGCGGCGAAAACTGAGTAGGGAGGAAGAGAAGTAGAGCCCGAGCCAATGATCGGTGAGTGAGCCAGAACGTGCTGCGAACTTGTCTTGTCATTGGTTAGGACTGACGACCTGATCTAGAAGATATGCAACAAATCGGGACTGAGGCAGGCGGCGCGCAATAACTCTCTATTCCGGAGCACCCAGAGCTGGTGGAAAAGGTGGCCGACAAATAGGGAGGGATTGTAGAATGAATGACAACTCTCACTAATGCGTGAGAGCCCCCTGCTCCGTAGCTGTGCTGAATCTCCATCGATCCAGCCACCATGTCGATCGGAGAAATCGAAGAAAGCTTCCACCACGAGCTTAACCAACAGCCACTTTATTGCGGGATATCTGCTTGCGGTTCCAACCTTGTCCCGGGAGCGTTGGCAAACTGTGGTCGACGTGGGAGCGCTCTGATCGTCGCCCAGATGTTCATTTGTCCTTGAGCGCCAGAAGTACTTCCGAGCCTGTTGGATGCAGAACGATTACAAAGCCGCAGGATCTCCTGGCAGACAAAGCTACAAATGCTTCCAATACACTCCATCTTCGATTGGCCAAAGTGCTCTGCGGAAGCAGCGGTCTCCTGTCCTCGAACATCTGCTTTGGCCCCTTCTGCACCTCCATCTCTGCCGCATTTAGGGCTTCTGGACCGGGATCCACGCACCTGTGGCGTATGGCTTCAGCTATTAAGGTTAGCCACATATGCGTCCACGTGTTGGCTTGTAGCCCGTCCTCAAATGCGGTTGCTGACACGACTCTGACCCAATCCCTGAAAGCCCCGGCCAGCAGGTTGTACATGTGAGTGACGTCTCCGAACACGCAGCTTGCACATTTCGGCTACGCATCGATGTGCTTTGGGGCTGCCCATCTTGGGGCGCCATCGTGATGACGGCATTAATCATTCGGATCCTGAGGGAAAGGCTCGAGAGCGGACTGAGTACCCTCGGCCTTGCGCACTGAATTATTCGCACGTCTCCATCATCTTCTTGATGAAACTCTGCAGCGTCGGGTTCCAGAGTGCAGCCGCAACCCGCTCCTTATCGGCAAGCTGTTTATTGACTTCATCTGCTGTGGAATGGGTGCCTTCCTTGATTCGCACATCGACACGGAATCGAGGAGGTAGCGATTCTTCCAACCTGACCCGCACTCCCAGACCGATCACCGTGGCTAGACTGCAGTGTTGGATAGTCGGCGTAATAAGAACAGTCACTGTCTGCAGAGTGGACCACGGCCGACTTGGTATAGTAGGCTTGATGGAGATATCGGGCAGCGACACAACCGCCAAAGATCCGAGAGCGATGGGATGCTCCGGGTCTGACATGGTGGCAATCAAATCATAAATTTCTTGTTCATCAATCGGCTCGGGATCCGAGTCGCTCTCGCTCGCTTCGTCTGACGAGGGGCTCGAAACTCGGTATAGCGAGTCGCCGGTAGCAGTAGCGCCATACGGGAACAGTTCTGATGCAAGATTCGCCTCTTTGTGGACTGAAGTGCGGCGTTTGCGTGTGGGTAGGTCGGAGGGGTTTAGGATGAGCGGGTTTGCGTTCTTGCCGTCTTCCATACTTGCGGTGGTGGCGCAGGTCGATTAAGGAGTAGGGGCGAGGAGGGAGCTGAATCTGCGACGGAGATCGAAGGACGTGGGCGTTTCAATAACTTCAGTTGGGGGCTTGGAAACGGGTCGCTGTTGCCACTGCTTGGCAGATTTTATCGATTCCAACGGCGCTTCGCCTGCGGTGTCTGGAAACCGCCCTATGGCAAGCGGGCGTCCAGCGTCCTCGGCTTGAAGCTGCCGGAAGCTTCGGATTGGCGGGCCCTTACGTCTTCCAAAGAACACTGGTGCTCATTGACTCCAGCTACATGTATGTGCCCTATACGAGGTTCGGGTACCTAGCAAGAACCCAGTTTGTTGTGCTCTTTTCACGCCTCACCAAGTCTAAACACACCTCACACCATTCTGCCTGTTACGAAGCCACGATTTCCTTCTGCCAGAGGCTTTCCTAAATTGCCGTCCGAAAACCAAAGGACAAGACGAGACTATCGTCTCGCTTCAAGCCGCCGCCCGCGTATCGTGGAATGATTGAAGCCGGCGCGCCTGGCAGCGGGTTCCATTGGCCCTGCAAACAAGCCTCGTGCCTCGGTTTCCGACTCTTTTCACATGCCATCTGCAATTCTTGAGCACCATCGCAGAAGAAAAGTGCTGGGGTTGCCGCCTCTTTCACGGCGTAAATCCAAAGAGACTTTTTGATTTCGGCACAACCCCAGGTTTGAGGCACCGCCAGGCGCCGCCTCTGCATTCCTGAGCGGCTGAACCTGAGCGCGGGGTGCCATTGATCAGCCTTTCCCGGCGCTAGAAGCGCAATCGATGCCATGTTCCCCTGATTCTCGCTGACCCATGCAAACCTGGCCCCTAGGTCAAGCCTGGCTGTGGTTGGCTTGCATAACAGAGTGCCAACTGTGACAACTAGCTTTACCAACGACTGCAGGTGCACCGCTTTACGAGGTCTGTCTCAAGACCAAAATTGGAGCACACCCTAGAACTTTGGGAGTGTAGGGTTCACGTGTGCTCGGTATGCGCGCACGTTGGAGCCTCAGCCCCTCCAAACACTCGAGGTTTGCGATCTGTCCCCGCCACGTTTCAAGAGACGCTCAATCATTAATTGGCTTTGATATCAAAGTCAACTTGCATCCTGTTCTGAGGACTAGGCCATTGACCATGCATGACAGCAATTCCCTGGGAAAATCAGTCAATCTAAGTTCAAGGTGGTTCTCGGCCCTGGCCCCCTGGGCCCGGGGGCTTTGGGGTCTTAGCCAGGCAATTAGTGTCACTTCGTTCTAGAGCATACCTTACCCCCCTGCGCCTTGCGCAACAGGCGTGCTACCACCATTACATAGATTCACCCTCATCAGGCCCCACGGCCTCTGACCCGGCACATCGTCTGACATCAACCCCATCAGAGCTCTATCCTCACCTGCCCGCCTGCCACATAATTCCGGTCATTAATTGCTCCTCGTTGCTGCTTCGTCGCGCTCACTCGCCCACACACTCAACTGTCAAATCCGCTAAGGTTTGTGCGACCAGACTGCGTATCGCTTCGCCACGGCCACATACCAATCGATTGGATACCTGTCTCGCCGCCTGTCATCTTCAGATCGCGTGGCAACCTCAATCTTAACTTTTCAGCTCTCGACTCCTCCACACATCCTGCCAACTATCCTCAGCCCACTGCGACCGTCTAGAACTGTGCACTTTTCTAGTCTTGAATGAAAATCGCATTACGATCTAATTTGGCCCCATCTACGCCTTGCGCCAGGACCTCGACGAGGCAACGAAATTCGTCCGCCGTACTTGGTGGGTAATCAGACGTCCACATTTCGGCGCATCATCCGCTCAGCGCTGATCGACGCTTTTTGGACCGACATCAACCATCTGGACATGCTTGGGATATCGCCAGTCTTTCGTCGATGAAATGCAATTATGCAGAGCTTTCAGGCTAATAATCCGTCGCAATCCGGTCCCAAGAACTATGTGTTCGTCGACGAGCATAATCGCCATAAGCGCCTCAAGGTCATGAGAGCATGTGAGGGCTGCCGACGACGAAAGATTCGCTGCGATTCCGCGACTACCAACACTTGGCCTTGCGCTGCGTGTGTCCGCCTCAAGCTCCACTGCGTCCCGCCTGTTGGAGGCGCCGACGGCGACTTTGGTTCTTCTGGACCCGCGCCACCGGGTGCCACTGCTATCGACTTCCAGAATTACGATCCGTCGTCGACTGACGGTACTCCTGCTGGACAGGGCTTCCCACACAACTATCACGAAGAACAATTTGACGGCTATGCTAATTACGGCGCGGGTTATTCCAAGGAGAACTATTATCCCCAAGGCGATCCGTACCAGAATTTATATGGCCAGCAACTTAATGATGCCGCGCTGGCCTCTTTCCAGGGCGCACCATTTCAATCGGTGCGATCTGACTCAGATAGTCAAGGCCACACGCGGGAAAGCCCCGTCACCCCGTATACTGCGGAAGATTTGAGTCAGCATCTGGGAGATTTGAAAATTAACGAAAATGGAATCGCACCCTACATCCGTCAGCAGAAGGTGGACGACAACGAACCCGACGCTCCCATACTGGAAGTTCAGGAGCCGGAATTCAAAGTCAGCGCTTTCAGTACGGACGCCGGATCCCAGATTCGGATTCCGCCCGCTTTGATGCCCGATGATGAGGATGCGCTCGAGTATTTCAAGATCTTCTTCCGAGACGTGCATCCATATGTCCCGGTACTATGCAAGAGCCAGTTCTACCATCAATGGCATAATAGACGCGAATCTATTTCACCTCTCGTATTGGAGGCCATCTTCGCATGCGCTGGTCGCATGTCAGATGATCCTGCCCAAGGTGCACAATGGCTCGCACTCGCCAATAGTGAGTTGCCACTTTCTACTGACCAACTATGCGCTAATCTTTGTCAGAGCATGAACCATGTTTTCTCGACACCCCTCGGCTTAGCACTGTGCAAGCTTTGCTACTCCTTCTCAAGGCGCGCGAGAGCGCACCAAAAAGAGGTTACTATTACCGATCATGGATGCTGTGCAAAACCACCGTATCCATGGCCAAAGACCTCGACCTTCACGAGCACCATGAAGCCCACGAAAATGGGGAAGACTGTGGTTCTGAACCGGTAGAGTGCTTAATCAAAACGCGCATCTGGCAGACTTGCCTAATCGTCGAAATGATGGTTGGCGCTCCTCAAGGTGAAAGCAATAGTCTGCAATCGTGTTGCTCGTGCTGACAGCTGTGACAGGCCGCACAGATATGTCCGTCGATCCAAACTCCGTCGACATCTCCCCAAATCCGCCATGTTCCGATATTGACTCTTTTGAGACATCGGTTTCACGCCAGTATGCCTACTTCTTACGGAATGCTCGCAATATTCGTCTCATTACTGAGGTTGCTCGTAAGTTGAAAAGGAAGGAGGATTGGGGCCTCGACAAAGAACTTATTTCGTACAACGTCGCCTTTAATCGATGGCCTGATGACCTTCCGGGCAGTCTCAAGATAAACTTATCTGCCGATGGATCAGTGCCGAGCCTCGCATCTCACTTTATTGGTAATATGCATTCACATTACCATCTCGGAATAGTCATGCTACGGCGCGCTCAGTTGACAGCGTCGGAGAAATTCGCCACGGATGAGGCCTGGAAACAGCACATGAGCGCTTGCTATCGATCCGCAAAGATACTTTGCCGGTTGCAGGAGGCTCTTTTGGCCCAATATGACCTTGCTGGTCTACTGGTCATGCAAAGAGGAATCAATTTCACCATATACGCGATCCTCACTTGCGTTATGATTCACCTGGTGAGCCGATACACCTGCTGTAGCTGTGCAGTGCTGATAATTACAGATTGCAATTACCTCACCAGACCCAGAGTTTCATACAGACGCTCGAGACTACTTTGTAAGGCATATGCGGATACTTGAGCGCTGTATCGCGGCATGGCCAATGCCGGAAACCGAAGCGCAAATCAATGGATTACGCGCCGCTTTCTCCGCTGATATCCACCGGCCATTCGAGCTCAAAAGCTCGTTCCCTATGGGCTCTCCAGGAGAGAATTACCAGCCCAGTCCGCCAGCGCAGGGAGATTATCAGCAGCTCTCACAGCAAGGCCAACAACCTCAAGTGGTGATCCCGCAGAGTCAGCCTTACATGAACCAGCAAATGGCTTCAATCCAGCAAGGTTCCTATCTCGCTACGCCACCAGTTTCCGCAGTTTCAGACTCGAAACCTCAATCCCCGCTGAATCAGCCCGCTTATGACATGAACTCGCAGCATTCCACCAACTTCACCTCAATGCCGCCGAACTCCTTTTATCAGCAGAATCTGAGCCCCCATGACCCTCCGCAATGGAATCCGACACCGATCATCGACCAGTTCAACACAGCGTTCGCCATACCGCCATCAGCCCTTGGCCCACCTGGTGCATATGGGAGCTCACCGCCTATCCAGATGCCCGCCGCTCAGAGCTATTTGCAGAACACGCCATCTCCACCATATCCGGCGGCAACAACGTTCCCACCATCATCACAACACCAGGCCTACTATGCCGAGATGCAACAAAGGCAACAGCAACAAAGCCAGGACCGACAGCGGTACATGGAATCCCCAAGTGGTGGAATGCAGCAACAGCAACAGCCACAGCAGATGCGTCCGCAAACCGCATACCCCCCTGACAACGTCTACGTGACGCCCAAGCAGTGGCAGCAGAGCGTTGCCAGCGTGTACGACGGTGGCATGAAGAGGAGATGGGACTACATGCAGCAAGGCAGCGGTGTGGCCGGAGAGCCGATGGCGAAGAGGAGATGACGATACGATGTCCTCATGATCGAGATGGTTGGGTGGGGTGGCGATGTGTACATGTAAGGAGCGGGATAAAGGAAAGCTGGCATATCCGGGGAGCTGCATGATATGAATACCAATGCAGACGAGGTCATTAAAGGCCTGGTCTGATGCTCTGGGAGCATTAAGCCGCACACAGGTGATGAGCATGAGCATGAACGAGCGTGAGCGTGAACATGAACGAGCACGAGCATCCAATCCCTCGCTTTTCAGGCGGGCGAATACGTTTTTCTGGCTGAAGGGCTTGTACAACTAGTCGCAAACAGCATGGCAATACATCGACGTGGATCTACTTCATCGGTCTACTACTCTGTTTAAGCGTTTCATGGGGTAGCTCTGCGAGTGTGTCTCGCGCGATGACTTGCTATATCCTTGCTTCGGTCAGCTATGTCTGCACCGTCGACCGTCTACCTGCCTCGGGGTATCGTCCGTCTGCGCGTCTCTACGATATGTGCTTCAGCCACGACAACCCCTGCTGTATCCTCTTTCTTCGACATCGGACATGTGTCGAGCTGTTCATTTGCGCCGGCGACAGCCTGGCGTCCTCTGTGACTGGGTTTCTGAAACGTTCGTTGCCATCCAGGCAGTATGCGGCCTGGACGAGGCTTCTGTTGAACGGCCAGACTCATTTCTCAGTCCATTACGGCCTGACTCTGTGTGTGATTCAACGCTTTGTGCGCTTCAGCTCTGGCCCTTCCTACCTCCTCGTCAACCACTTCCCGATCTCGCGCTCCCACGCGTCAATCCGTATCGGCATTTCCATCTGCCAAAACGGATTCTTGCACACATAGTCGCTATACCGCTCATAAACCCCGCGCATAATAACATCCGTGTTCGGCATGCTCGGGTCCGTAAACAGCAGAAACTTCGTCCCCGTGAGCGTCTGCTGCACCGTAAGCCGGAAAAAGCTGCTCTCCATGGTCTCGATGCCTGTGGCGGGCATGGATGGGTCCGGGTGTTGCCAGTCTGCGGCGCGCGAAGGGTTCGCGGTGGCCGTGAGCGGGATTTTCGGCGTTAGAGAACGCGTGATGGCGTGCACGCCGTGAAAGGTGCCGGCAAGGACGAGGTAGTCGTTGGTGGTTAGGGTGGTGGTGCCGGGGAGACCGAGGGTTCCGGTCGTGGCGGGAGGGGTCTCGGAGGTGGGGGAGGTAAGGGAGGATGTGCTGGCGCTGGTGGGGAACGTGCGGTGGTAGATTAGGGAGCCGGCTTTGGATATGACCATGAGGGCGAAGACGGGCCTGTGGAGGGAGAGGTGGTTAGCGGGTGCTGTAATGGTGGTGGGGTTTGAGGTACATGGTGATGCAGGGTGCCCGCGCGGGCTAGTGAGGTTCGTCAGGGTTGGCGCATTACTGTGACCGCCTCAGACGGAGTGTGAGGCCAACGACTCGCTCCATATGGCCTGGGGCTGTGAATAGGGTGTAGATGTTAGATGCGGCTCCGCGGTGAACAGGCGGATCCGATGCCAAGCCTGACGTCCGCTGTTGCTTGCCTGGAGGCAATAGACCATTGCCTTCTTGTTTCGCATCACCACTCCCTCTCGTCCACGACACACTCGCTCCCCAGAACTACTCATCTCGAATATCTCATATACGAATCAAGTCTCCCCGCATACTAGTCTTCGGCCCAATACCGCCGCAATGGTGCTCGAAGCTACGATGATCGTTGTTGACAACAGCGAGGCCAGCAGAAATGGCGATTACCTGTGAGCTATGCTCCCCCCGTTTGTCGTAGCCTGTGCTAACAACTCACAGACCCAACCGCTTTCAAGCGCAGACCGAAGCAGTCTCACTTATCTTCAACGCCAAAACCTCGTCCAACCCCGAGTCCGCCGTCGGTCTGATGTCTATGGCCGGCACGGGCCCCACTGTCCTCAACACGCCCACGACCAACTTTGGCGCTGTCCTCGCCGGTCTACACGAGACAAAGATCAAAGGTCAAGCTCACGTGGGCACCGCTATCAGCGTAGCCACCCTCGCCCTCAAGCACAGAGCCAATAAATCTCAGCGGCAACGCATCGTGGTACTCATGTGCAGTGAGCTGGATCAGAAGTTTGGCGACAAGAACGACACAGAGAAGGAATTGATCAAGCTAGCGAAGAAGTGCAAGAAAAACAATGTCAGCGTCGATTTCGTGGCGTTTGGTGATGCGACCGAGTCGGCGACAAAGGACATTCTGGAGAAGTTCGTGGAAGCAGTAGGAGGCTCGAGCGGTGAGGGCAATTACCTCGCTGTCATCCCTCCTGGCCCTGGTCTCCTGAGTGACAGTCTGATTACCACACCGATCATCAACATGGGCGGCGAGGCTGGACAGGGAAGTGGCGGTATGGAAGGGGTTGAGACCGGCGGTAGCTCTGGAGGTGGTGGGTTCGAGTTTGGCGTTGATCCTTCTACAGACCCGGAGCTTGCTATGGCTCTGCGCATGAGTATGGAGGAAGAGCAAAACCGACGAGCGAGGGAGCAGGAGCGAGATGCTCAGAATGCGGCGGATCATATGGAGACCATTACAGAAGAAGGCCAGACTTCGAATCAAAACCAGCAGAACGGTGGTAGCTCCGGTGATGGAAGCGGATCAAAACAGCCAAGGGTGGAAGACGACAAGCCGGATGGTCATTGAGGATGTGCTTATGCAGCGTGGCTGTCTCATTCTATTCTAGATCTCGGGCATAGCGTTGGCGTTCGGCCACGAGATGGGGAGTTGTGTAGAAACAAATTCAACGTAGCTTTCCAAAGGTCCGTGGTCTAGTGCAGCTGGTCTCTGACCAATGCAACTGTCGTGATCTCATGCATCTTAGCTCCTTCATTCATGTCGATCGGCGATAAGCCGGGATATTGGGCCACTTTCTCGCTTCATCAGTCGTAGCTGTGATCGTGGTCGTTTCGCGCTGTAGACCCTTCTACGGGAGGCAGAAGACCTCATATCCAAAGAAGGCACTCTCGGAGGCAAGGCTGCATGCAAAGCACCTCAGCAAGTGATGCACTCCCTGACCGAGATTACTGTTTGGAACCTGCCTGGGCCGGCTTCCGTGGGTTGTCTCAGTTTCCTAAGACGATGAGAAAAGACCTTCAATGCAGCATCGTCAGGTCGTATCTCATCAGGTCGAGCGCTCACGCTCCAGTATCATCGGGCATTGCCTGTCTGGTTCCCAGTGCCGCTCGCGCCAATGATTCGTTCCTCACGACTCCTCACAATCCTCGCTTTGTCGCCAGGCAGCGGCTTCAGCTCATCATTCGGATCAACAACGGTCTGCGCGTTGCGCTGCTCCGCCTCGCGCTGCTGCTGAATGGCGAAGTCCGGGTCTCCCGGTTGCGCTTTGCGAAACCAGCCGTTGGGGTCCTCACCGGTCTTAAGAAACTTCTGGTACGCAATACGCTCAGCGAGCTTCTGCTCGAAGTCGGCAATGTCATCTGAGGTGATGGTGATGGCTGTGGGTTTGCGACGGAGCATGTTGGATTGAAAACTGCTCTGAGGGTCAAGGCAGTATGATCGGCTCCTTGTTGCTTGATGTTGAGGAGCGGGAGGGCAAACAGAAGCCAAGACGCGTAGACGCGAAACGGGCGCGATTCATGTACCTCGAAGCCGACGTTACTCACGAATCAGAGCGCGCTATACCTATCTGGTGAAATTTCGAGCTCGATGCTCTTCGACGCATCTTCAACTGCATCTTCTATTCTTCCCACCATCATGATGGATCATCTCTGCGCGCGCTGTGCGCGTCAGGCTCTTCGGGGTCCACAGTTCCCATCGACCAGCATCGGCACAGTGCTCGCACGGCCATTCTCGCAAACATCCCTGAGATTTGCAGGTGCGTCAATGCTATCCGAATACCTAACCTGGCAGCAATGGCTTACAATAAGCAGGACCGACCAGCTCTTCCAAGAGCGCCCCTGACAGTTCTTCTTCCGGGTCACAAAACGAAGAGTCCCCGTCCAAAGCAGTGCAACCTCAAGCCTCACGGGGTCCTCAGGTCCTAAGCCGCACCAGGCCAGGACGAGAATCATATTCAGGTCCAGCATTCCGCAAAGTATACGACCCGTCATCCGCTCCGTCTGTAATCCGCAAGCCCAGCGGCTCTGGAAGTGCAGGAGCTCCTCCAGGTGCCACTGTCCTACGCCGAAGCGGCCCACCCCGTCAGACCCCAGGTCAAAATACACCGCGCGGGCCCCGACCCAACACGGCTGCGCGGGGCGCTCGCCCTCCCCGCCGCGACGCCAAACCCGCCAAGCGGCCTTCCTTCCGCGACACCCTCCCTGAGAACGAGGACGCCATCGCAAGCCCAGAAGACGAAGCCACAGAAGCCTACTTCAATACCTTGGAGGAAGCCGAGGAGAACGAGGGCCTGCCCACCACCGCCCTCCCCTACAGTCCCGCCGAGCAGAGCGCCGCGTTCCTGCGCCCCGACTGGCCCGACACGCCCCTCTCCTCCGCGGGCCTCAGCGAGGGCGTCGTGCAAAAACTGCGCTTCTTGGCGCGCGACCTGCCGCACGGCTACTGGACTCCGAAGCAGATCGCGGAACGCTTCCTTAGTGGTGGGCTCGTGCGCTTCGAGGACCAGGCGCACAAGGAGCAGGTCCTGGGCTGGGCGGAGCAGATGGAGCGGGAGAAGTACGGGAGCGAGGCACGCGTCTCGGAGTTTTCGGCCGTCGCAGACAAGGAGGCTGATCGGAAGGGGCTGGTCGATCAGATGGCGAGAGGCGTGTATCCGGAGCTGGAGAAGGGCCAGCGGCCCCTGCTGGCCGGTATACACCGACAGTTGAGGAACAATGAGACTTATGGGGGCGCCGACACGGCAGCGTTTGTAGGACGCATTGAGACGCTGATTGGGGGAGTTCAAAGAGCAGCGCAGCAGCAGCAAAAACAGGCGACGGCGGAGAAATAGACGTGTCGGAGGATCAAAGATAGAAGCGTTGGGGCCGTAAGCTATGTACGATACAAATTCGCAGATTCGAGGTCACACATATGCTCAATCAAGCGTTAGCTTCGAAATTCAGCGCCTCTTGGAACTCTGTCGATGTCAGGTACTGTTGCACCCGATTGATCCTGTCTCGCACGCTCGCGGCATACTGGACAAAATCGCGCGCCCGCGCAGTGACCCTCACCAGGGCATCGGACCCCATCACAGCGCCCATGTCCTGAAGTGTGGCGAATGCGTTCTCGGCATACTCGTGCCATGTGTGGGCATGGTCCCAGATTGACAGTAGCCTATTCCCGTTCTCCACGAGCGTACGTCGCTCAGCAACACAGTCTTCACAGAGGGCAGGTGGCAGGACGTCAGCTCGACATAGGGGGCAGTTTCCTCCACGGCCACGCGGCTCTGCACACCGCTTGCACCCACGGGGCCGCCGAAGCCAATTGATCAAGCACCAACGGTGGAATTGGTGCTCGCATGGGATCGGGTAAATCCATTCCGTCTCGCCGATGCGTTCCCAACATATAGCACAGTCGTAGCCGTTCCCGGACTTGGAGGCATCGAATCTTTGGAGTGGGGATGCTTTCAGAGGATTTCCAAATGCCCAGATACTGAAGAACCTATGTTCCCTGCTCTCCACCATCATCAATTGTGCAATGATCACAAGAGCCACGTAAATGAGAGCCGCTTGGCGTTCATGAGGCGGCAGAATCCTCGTGATCGCTGACCAGATGGCGAAAGTGAGCATGCCCTCCGAGAAGTATCTAGCTTCCTGCCGCTGTATCTCGATCACGACGTCCCAATCAAGGTCAGTATTTCCAACATCATCCTGAATGTCGATTCCATGTTTTACCAATGTTTTGGCTCGCGCCAGCCTGCACAGGTCGGCAGTGGCTGTCATCTGCAAGCAGACGAGCGTGCCAAAGGCCTTCTAGGCGGCCGGTAGATTCTGGAAGGATCGATTGTAGGACAAGGCGGGATCTGATAGACGTCTGCCGATAGCCTGGACTTTGTCCTCAACGAAATGTCGGGCAAGGAGATGCTCGTTGACTTCGTTTGGACGCAGGACAATACGCGGCGACGGCGCGAGAACAACGGGCATGAAGTTTCTTGGGCCGCTTGTGATCATAAGTGGGTTCTCCATCGTGAAGCGGCGAGAGTCGGAAGGCGTCTGACAATTACCACGGGAGGCGTACTCAGATGAAACGAGTGACGGGTAGTGTATGGAAGATGATACAGAGTATGATGTCGCTGATATAGATGGGAGCTCAAGATGTTGACATCGAGTCGGCGGTACTGGAAGTTTGGTGAGGTTGAGGTGAGATCGCAGATCGTGGTCAATGGATGATAGCACCTGCCTTTGGTGTTGACTTGTAGAAAGCGCGATCATTGCGGCATTCTAACGACAACCTTGCCAAAATGTGACCCACTCCAGAGATATTCGAGAGCTTCCTTCGCTCGCTCGAACTCAAACACTTTATCAACAACAGGCTTGACCTGGTGCTCCTCACAAAAGGCGAGCAGTTCTTCGAGTCTGTCTTTAGGGCCGTTGAGCAAGCCTACAAGCGTGAAGTTCTTCGACAGTGCTCGGACATTGATATTCGTACGGTCCTCGGCCGGGTCAACCTTGCCAGAGACATAGCCAATTGATGCGATGGTGCCGCCGAAGGCAATGCAGTCGAACGACTTGGACGTCGTCTGAGCGCCACCGTTCTCCAAGATAAGGTCCACGCCTCGGCCATCGGTTAGACGCATAACCTCCTGATCCCAATGCGGAGTCTTCGAGTAGTTGATGGTACCGTCCGCTCCCAATTCCTTTGCGCGCTCTAGCTTCGTGTCGGATGAGGATGTCACTATGACTACAAGATGTCAGCGACCGATGGCTCAGAGAGTGCCGAGAGCACCTACCCTTCATGCCACTCGCCTTGCCCAGCTTCAGTCCCATGATACTCACGCCACCGGTACCTTGCACTAGCATGGTCTGGCCTTCTCCCCCAGGCTGGCCAATAGGTCGGAAGCCGTTGATCGCCATCCAAGCCGTGGTACCCGCAATGGGGAATGTTGCAGCCTCCTCATCGGTTAGGTAGTGTGGCACTTTCACGACAGCCCAGTTCTCGAACAGTCTGTACTCGGCTAAAACCCCGTGGTCCGTCATCCCTGGAGCGTTGGCCAGATGCTTGGCCTGGACTTGGCCCGTCTGATGTAGAGGGAAGCACAAGGACAGGACACGGTCTCCAGCTCTGAAGTCCTTCACCTCTGCGCCTACCTTAAGGACTTCAGCTACTCCGTCAGAGCAAGGGACGAGATCTTTGGGGAACGTTGCAGACTTATGGTGCTTCATCAAACCCTCGATCACTTCACCGTCCTTGTAGTTGAGTGCAACGGCGCGCATCTTGACGAGTAGCTGTCCAGACGATGGCGCTGGTACAGTAGTGGTGTCCAGTATGAGATTAGCAATGCCATCGAGGCTTGACTGCCACTGGCGAGACTCGGTGTCTTGAGCCATGGTGTATGTTTTGATTGAAAGTTGTTGTCGGTGGATAATCGTGCGGAATCCTGGTGTGAGCAGTGGTGGAAGAATATGGTGAGCTGGGATCAGGTACGGTGCAGATCTGAGATGCGAGTAGCTGTGCGATCAATGTTCGATTTTAGTCAGCGAATGCAGGAACTGCATTCGAGTCTTTACTCTTGTCCAGCTATAAGGTGCTTAAAGAAAGATACCCGAGTCAGTGGCCGATCCATATCCGCACTTTCGCTAGCGGACATGACCTCAACTTGCGTCATATACGGGATACGCGGCAGATCATTTTGATAAGGTTGAGTCTTGCATCGACGAGCATGGCTGTGGACACGCACAGCTCAAAAAGCACGAGCTGGGTAGAAGAACCTGGTCCATCAAGGCAAGAGAGTGTCGATCCAACATCCCGGGCTCTAGCCCCGCCGCTCTATAGCAGCGACCACTTGTTTACCAGCCGCAACCACTACACAACTGATTCATGCCAGCAACTTTTCCTTACCACCTCATTTCGAAAAGGTTCTGAGTGCGCATTCCCGAAAACTCTTCGGAGTTCCGCGTGAAGCCCATCGTGAAGCTGCAAGCAGTAGGCGGAGCAGTGGCTGGTTTGTAGCCTGCGATGCTAGAAGGATTTCGTCAGTGTCGTGATTTCCTCTAGCCCGAAATCCTCTCTTACCGCGGATCAGAGTCCAGCCTTCGCTCGTCCTCGCGCAGGCGGGTGTTGAGCTCTTTGTAGAGTGTCCGAAGTAGCTTCAGCAAGAGCAATGCTTTCGCAACGATGAAGATAAATCTTTGTTCGAAAGTTCCGACGAGAGCCCCGATGCCACTGTGAACCGAGTCGAGGTATTGTTGTGCCAACGACCCTGGTTGACTGTAAGACCGCAGGACACGTTCGTGCTGTCGCCGGACAAACGTCAAGAGAACCGCGTTCATTGAATCAAATATGAAGGAGACGAGTAAGCTAGAGCATGCGAGTACCAGAAGTTGTGCGTGATCAAACATAATGGGATGCGTATATCTGATGCAATGCTCACCAGGTAGTAGGTGATGGCTGGGTCAGTTCTCGCCCTGCTTCGCACGGGATTACTCACAGGCGCACCTGCACTTCAGCCATAACGCTCATATTGGAACACGAGTGTCGTATTCTGCCGGCCAACATGGAAGGCGCACAATCCGAGTGGTCGGGGCTTGCAGGTGGTCGTCGACAAACACACTGGGTCTACTGTGGCCTGTAAAGTCGGCCTAAGGACACCAAATCTTTGCCGGCTGGGTACGCAGAGATGCCGTAGCTTAGTTTGTATGTGCTGGAGGTGCAGAAAGTAAAGGACGCCATGACCTGCAAACTACCTACCAACAACGCGACTTTATCGATAAGAATTGCGATGATGCAATGCGACGCATCAACGCTGATGAATAACTTCTCCTCATTGCGACATCTCTGCGGTACGGGTACAAATACTCTCAAGCTATAGCCACGGTTTCGCATCCTCACGACATCGTTGAATCACGACCCTTGAATCCGCACGCATCATGGCTCTCCCTCCCAAATTCGCCGGCCAGTTGCTAGCATCTTCTTCACACTCGGAAGCCAAACACACTCTCGAGCTCTACCTGGACTATGTCTGTCCCTTCTCGGCAAAGCTTTTCAATACCTTCTATGATTCCGTAGCCCCCTCTCTCGAAAAGAAGTACACCAAACCTGGAGTTCGTGTCATCTTCCGTCAGCAGATCCAGCCGTGGCACCCTTCTTCCACACTCGTTCATGAAGCCGGTGCCGCAGTCTTGAAAATTGCACCGAACAAATTCTGGGATTTCTCGAAGAAGCTGTTCGAGCATCAAAAGGAATACTTTGACGTCAACGTGGTAAACGAGGCAAGAAATGACACGTACAAGCGGTTGGCGAAACTCGCAGGAAGTGTTGATGGAATTGAGGAGAGCAAGATCCTGGAACTGCTACTAGTAAGCGACAAGCCGGATAAGGATGGCGGATTGAACATCGGCAACGGAACCACGAACGATGTCAAGCAGATGGTCAAGGCGAATCGAGTCACAGGCGTGCATGTGACGCCCACTGTACTCTTCAACGGAGTCCCTGAAGGAGGCATCTCTTCGAGCTTCTCGGCTCATGACTGGGACGACTGGCTTTCCAAAAACGTAGCATGACTCCCAGCGAAAATGGTTGTGGCAGCTCATTTTTAGTATTGAAAGTCATGAACACCATCTGTTGAGAGGCGGCGGGTATGCCGCTAGAACATAGGCTCCGTGTCCAGATTGAACGCAGAAATGCAAAGTCCAGCAAAACGCACGTGTCTTCATCGATTCGTTCCTTGGATAATCCTTACACATAATCGCTGCCTCGGTATCGTCGCTTGAAACCCTGACCAGTTGAATGAAACGAACTCCGTGGCTGATGCTGAATGAGGGAGATTGCGGATCTAGTGGGATCACTGTTGAGGCGGCTGATAGCCAAGCGGGCGCCTAATCGTATCAGTAATTGCTGCAGTCGATTATGAGGCTCAGCATTGAACTCACTTGAAGAGAAGGATGTGCGGCTCGGGTTCATGGACTTCGTAGTGTTCCCAACCAAGACTCTGAGTGATGCCGAGACCTCTCCATTCTTCTTCCCACAGGAGCTTCAAGGTGCCTTTGGAGGGATCGAAATAATCGCGAGGAATGGCTTTGAGCATGGCCTTGGGCAGCTGCACATGGCGATACTCGTACTCGACATCACTGTATCTTGACCCATGTTAGCGCCCGAAGTGGAGGTTTTACCTATAGCCTACCTGGCAGAGTAACCAATGGAGTCAATGAACTCGTCTAGTCGTGCGCGCTCGCTATCCTGGAGTTGTCTCGGCTTCTTGTTTCGTCGGCTGATATCGATTTCGGTCATGTTGGAGGATAGAATGGCACGCTGGATAGCGAAGAGGAGTGATTGCTGGCGCGGCTGCTCGACAAGGCCGAGTGCGGATTTGAAGATCAGACAGACGCGTTACGCTGGCGCTGCGTGAGTCGCAGAAGAGCTACAAAAGAGCGGTGGTCTCGTGAGTGCAAAGATAGGCGCTCAATTGGCTGATCTCGGACAATTGAGTACCACGATATGTCGACTCGAATAGGCGCCAGTCAAAATCTAGTCGTACTGTGACAAGCAGTCCGGGAGGAGAAAGATTGGCGAGACAGTAGGCAGGAGGGGCAATGTAAACAATCTTGAGAAGTTGTTGCAGGGACGCCAAGCTTTGTCGCCTCGGCGCCTGCCACTCTTCACCGAGTCACGTGTACACAGTCACGTGAGCCGTTCGCCTCTCCGTTTGGCCCTCACGGCCTGCGTTGCGCTGCGAGTCCCGAGTCGCGTCTCCATCGATTGATTTGATAGAGACCACCATAACGCGCCGCGCCCGCATCAATTCACTAGATCAACAAACCGCGTCTTCACCGTCAGACAGCATAAAAGATTAGCGCACCAATTTTCACCGCAGCTGATCGTTGGGGCGGAGTGCGAAAGTGCAGAAGAGGAGGGCTGATTGCGACAAGTTAATGGGGTTGCTAGAGGCGAGCCTCTATGCATAGCGCGCCGAAATGTCGACACCAGTAACAGGAAAAAGGAAGCGGACAAACAACGAAGTAAGTTCTTCCCTTCTCCATTATTTCTTTCGACCACCACCCTGCCAACTTGCATCCCGTTACCCAGCACCCACACCCAGCTCCGATCTGCCCTTCTCGGTGCAGCTTTCACATGCGCTGCGAAATGCGCATTATTCTTGCGCCGCACTCCGTTGTCGCGTGCATCGCATGCGTGCCGCATACATGACTTCCTCCCGCCGCCGCTAATTCGACATCTAGGGCACCAATTTTCCAGATGTCGAAACGGTTGAAACCACGACAGAGACCGGCCTCAGGCTTGTCCAGCAGCTCAAGCGCTCGCAAGATAAGAACGGTCGCGACATTGCGTTCCATTTCCTGGATCTACCCAGCAAGGATGACTATCCCGACTACTTCCAGCAGACCGCCATGCCCCTCTCGTTGAACATGATTGAGCAGCAGTTAAAGGCTGGCTATTATGACACAATGGAGAAGCTCGAAAGCGATCTCAAAAGGCTGATCCAGAACGCAAAGGACTACAACGATAGCAAGTCAGAGGTCTACCTAGATGCCGAACGGATACGCAAGGCACTGTCGAACTTTATGCCTAAGCACAACCCTGCGTACCTCAATCCAGACTACAAAGCTACGCCGACACCCATACCTCAAGCTTTATTGGATCGTCTGCGTGAATCTTCCGTCTCGACCAACACGAGCGCGCTGCCGGTCAAGATCAAGCTCAAAAACTCTCGCCACAGCATAGCACCATCTGCGACGCCAGAACCCGAAGAAGACCTTCAGGGTAGTTTCATGGAAGTGCTGGAGGAACTGTCAGCCCAAGAAAGCGCCGTTAATTTCGAGAAGAGACCGCCAAAGCGTGACTATCCTGACTACTACAAGGTCATCGAAAGACCTACATCCATTTCAGATGTCAAGATCATGGTGCAGCAAAACAAGGTGACCGATTGGAACGCACTTGCTCGAGAAGTGCGATTGATCTGGACAAACGCCAAGGAGTACAATGAGCCTGGCTCTGCGATATACGATATGACCGAGGAATTGGAGCAGTGGTTCGAGGAAAGGGTAAAAGCAGCTGGAGCAGACTCACCCAAGGCACCCCAGCGGCTGTCTCTGAGCCAGCCCAAAAAGTCGGGCTTGAAGCTGAAGCTTGGTGGATCGACACCGACACCCAGTTTCAGCGGGGTATCCGTTGACAGTAATGCATTACGAAGACAGCGAGAAGAGACTCAACAGGCGCTGCGAGCAAGTCGCGGCGATTCCAAAAGTGTCAACACTCCGGCGCCATCTACTGCTCCTAGTATGACTCGGAGTCTATCATCTGTTGAGCCAAATGGCGATACCATTATGGCGGGCATGAACGGAGTCGGCCCTGGCACACCAGTAGCTGTTCATGATGCGACTGGAGCCCAGAAGCAGTCAACGCCAGCTCTTAACAGCATGGTGCCACCTCAAGTAAACGGCACCCGGCCATCAGAAGCCCCCCGAAATGTCTTCTCGGAGTCAGATAATCCGATGGAGCGCAAGCAACGCGACCCAGGCCAAGGTAGGTTCTATACTCCTACTCGAAGAACAGCACTGACTTGCTATAGGCTTGAAGGACGCACTCTTGGGATCTGTCTCATACATGACCCATCCAACCTTGCCTGGAGATCCCAAGTGGAAACTCAATGTAGAGGCCTCGCCGTCTCTGACTCAGGTCTCCTCGTTCACCTACCTTCCAGCCTCTCACTACTACTTCCGAGTCATACCACATCCTACGCCTGAGATCAAAGCTCGGAGTAATTGGAAAGTATGCGTTTCGGCCAATTGGCAACCAGTCCAGGAAAGTCCGCATACTCCAGGTGCATACGACTTTCGGTTGCAACCCGGAGAGAACACGATTTTGGTGGACGCCATCGCTTCTTTGAGGCAGGGAGAGAAGAAAGAGTACGCTCCTGCCCAGATGCAGTTCGACTTTGAACGCATCCAGTTGGTTGTAATTCTGATGGATAGAGCGGATTGACTGTAGAATTATGTAGGGTACCAGCTCTGCATCTACACGTGGACTAGCAGACCACGGCTTCAAATAATAGGAAAAGTCACATTTATCCAAACCTCAGAATGCTCCTGCTCAGCTACGCGATTGCCGGTAGCCGTGGCTGTGACACGCTAAGCCATTTGTGGACGCGTCTCCGACGTGCGCTTTGCGACTGTATGTCAAAGCAAGCCAGCATCCAACTTGCGCTTCCTTTATCATCCAACGCTGCGTCGATTGACCGGTTGCATCTACTCACTAATCCGTACGTTCACTCCTTGCTCATACCGACAAGCTTGTCGTCTTCTGGCGTCATTATTTGTCGTCGCCGTACCATTATCTCTACGCCATCTACCCCACAACATCTTGACTGCGAGCTGGTTGCTATTGGCACCTGTCCCCCGAGTTCTGAACTCCTTTCATCATTATTTGTCTCTTCTACTCAAACTTCGAGCAAACATGGCCGTCGTGCTTCTTTATATTCTTGACTCAAATCTAACGTTTCCACTGTTTATTTCTAGCTTACGAACCTCCATCCACCGAATGTACGAAGCCGACATTACCTGAGAGCGCCGTTCGACGAGCGGAAGATCGAGAGCCTGCGCGAACTCTCGCTTGCTTCATAATATATTCGATCCGAAGCTGAGCGCAACCCCAAAACGCCATACATCATGAATCCTTACGAGGCTTACGGATCTCCGACTGCAGAGCGTCCGCCCTCTAGGTATCGCGACGATTACGATGATCGTGGTGACCGCGATCGTGCAGATTCTTTCAGGAGACGTTCACCTCGTAAGAACCTGACCCACGAGCAGTCCTCAGAGAACTAACGTAGGAGCAGCCACTGACCGAAGACGTACGGCAAGAGATCGTTCAAGATCCCCTGTTGCTATCGATCGCTACCAGCCAGGACGTGACAGACCCGCTCGTGACCGCGACTATATAGACGACAGACGAGCACCACCACGTGAACGCGATGATCGCCGACGAGCTCCCTCCCCAATTGCTGCTAACATCGATCGCTACGTCCCAGGTCAAGAGCCGGACAAGCCTGTTCTTCGGCAGAACGTCCTCAACAATCCGCTTTCTCTCGATACTCAAGTAGGCTTCAGCTTCTTCCGCGACTGGTGGAGAATGGAGCAGGAAGTAAAGGCTGCCAAAGAGCGAGAGAAAACCGGACGTCGGCCTGACCGTGTCAAGGGCGAACGTGAAGCACGAGAAGACAAGGAAAAGGAGCAAGCTAAGATCCAAGACGCCTATGATCAGTACAAACAAGATTTCCAAGTCAAAATGGCCCGCCAATTCGTCAATCAGCACAAGGGTGAGGAGTGGTTCAAAGAACGCTATGTTGCAGAAGTCAGAGATCCAATTCAGAAACGTCTAACGGAGTTTCGCACCGGCAGCTTCGATCAGTGGAACAAAGATATCGATGCTGGACTTTTCGACGAGTTCACTCTGGAAGGTATCTACAAGAACGACAGTGACGGTGCTGGAGGCATGGTCGAGAAGGAAGAAGGCGAGGCTGTTGGAGGCAACGAGGTCCTCGGCGTTCTCGATCTTGTCCCCGCAAAGGGTGGCGATCTTCGTGATGAAGCCGCACAGCAGCCAGCCCTTCTGATCAAGACTCTGGCGCCAAACGTCAGCAGAGATCGCATCGAGGAGTTTTGCAAGGAAAACCTTGGCGAAGACGCTGGAGGCTTCAAGTGGCTGTCGCTCAGTGATCCCAACCCGTCCAAGAAGTTCCATCGCATTGGCTGGATCATGCTCCATCCTGCACCCGACGAGGACGGCGACGCTATGGAGTTTACCGATCGAGACGATGGTCGTGGTGAGGATGACGAAGAGGGTGAGGAGAAGCCTGCACCGACAGCCAGTAGTCCTGCGCAGAAGGCACTGGAACTTGTCAACGCGAAGACCATCATCGATCCCATCCGAGGTGACTTTACTTGCCATGTGGGCATTCATAACACTGTACCTGCCCCCAGAAAGAAAGCTTTGTGGGACCTGTTCTCGGCCCCTGAGCGTGTTGAGCGGGATTACGAACTTGCTCGCCGAGTTGCGACCAAGTTTGAGAATGATTTTGGTAAGGACGAGTTCTCAGGTGGTCTAGCGAAGATCGATGTTCGAGTCGAGCAAATGCGCAGTCAAGGTCTTCTGCAACCTCCGCCCAAACCAAAGAAAGCGAGCTTTGAAGACAACGATGATGAGATCAAGTTTGACGAGGAAGTCGAAGAAGGAGAAGAGAACGAAGAAGACGATGACGAAGAGCTTCTCGTGGTCAAGAAGAAGCTTGACATGCTGATCGAATATCTGCGTCGTGTCTTCAACTTCTGCCTCTTCTGCGTTTTCGAATCAGATTCGGTACACGAGCTGACCCGCAAATGTCCCGGCGGTCATCTTAGAAGACCCAGAGCCGGTCTTAGCAGCACCGCAAAAGCGGCGGCTCGAGCCAGTGCCAATGGAGATCCGTTCCCTGGCAAGAAGGATCAGCAGAACGGCATGGATACTGGCTTAGAATCACCGATTCAGGAGAAGCGACCCAAGTTCAATCGTACCGAGCAGCAGCTGCTCCGTGCCTTCAACTGGGTCAAGACTTACGAAGAGAAGGTGCTGCAAATCCTCGAGCCAGAATACGTTGATCTAAAGAAGATTGGCGGCAAGCCTGTCGAGGAAGCTTTGGATGAAGAGCTATCGAAGTATGTCAAGCAAGAGGATGAGGCCAAGTACCGGTGCAAAGTGCCTGAATGTGCGAAGCTGTTCAAGGCTGAACACTTCTGGAGGAAGCATGCGGAGAAGAGGCACGAGGAATGGTTGACTGGCCTCAAGAATGATGTGAGTACCAACGTCCGACTATTCGACAACAACTAACATTTCCAGCTCAACCTCGTGAACACATACGTGCTTGATCCTTCTCATATCGCTCCGTCAAGATCCGATGCCAATTCCAATGGTCACTTCCCACTACCAGCTAATCATCATCTCAACAGCGGCACACCCCGCGGTTTCAGCTTGCAGAACATGAACATGGTCAACTTCAATCAGAACGCCATGATGAACATGTCCAACATGGCTAGTCAGTTCGTACAAAGCTTCAATCCTGCGGATGCCAACGGGCACGGCAGTGGCCCTGTCCGACGCGGTGGTGGACGCTACGGCAATCGGTCAGGCCCTTATGACCGAAACCAGCGTAACATGTCCCGCGGCTTCAATAATGTCAGCGGACTCATGCGTGGAGGTCCGGGCCATGGGATAGGCATGAATCCTGGCTACATTGCGCAAGGCGGTGGTGGTGGAGGAGGCAAGTGGGGGGATGGCATGGGCAGCGGTGTTAATGCCATCGGACCCAGAGAGGCATTCCAGGGCAGATCGATCAAGAGCTATGAGGATCTTGACGCTGCGCCTGCAGGTCAGACGAATGGTGGAAGACCCATGGGTGGTGATGGAGGAGCGGAACTCGACTACTGATCAATGCTTTGTGGGGGGAGGGACGCTCCTCATGCTATTCACACGCGACCTCCCAGCGAGCGATCCTCTGGTGTTTGGGAACCATCTTTGCTTGAATCGGATGCGGAATCGGACGCGGCTTCGGCGTTGCTGCCACGGCGGAGTTCGGAAGAATCGAAAGGGCTGAGCATTTGCAGTTGTATCACCATTAAAAGCTGATAGGTTGCATGATGGTGGCAGACAGTGTAGGTGGACGCAATGGTCCAGCTGCCTCGCATGTAGCGATTCGACGCATCAATCAGCACGGGAAGTTATTCGATGATGATTCCTGCCTCCCTTGAATACTTTGAGCAGCTAGCTTGATTCTCTCGTGTCCTGTGAGCATGTTGGTACTGGCTGGGGAAGACCTACAGTACCGGTGCTCGGCTCTGCTCGCGAAGCCCCCCCGATGGCCGTCCTTCCGCCGAATGTGCACCCCTGTTGACTCCACAGGAGTGCCTATCAGCACGTTCTTTAGGCCTTATCTAAATTTCAAATATATAATGAGCAGCTCATTTGTCGTCACGAAATCCCGCCACAAACGGGACACACTGGTCGGTTGGTGTAGTTGGTTATCACGTGGTATGTTTGCGCTTCAGCACGACGCCTATAAGCCGTCACTAATATTCGTCCCAAAGTCCTTAACAATCTCCCATGTTGTACGGACAAGGTCGCCGGTTCGAACCCGGCACTGATCATACTCGGTGCTCAAGGCCTTGAATTTTTGGCTTTTGGAGCCTCCTTCGTTTTTTGGTGATAGGGTGAAAACCATTCTGCTTGCGCAGTGGTCTTTTGAATCGCGAGAACGAGAACGAAGAACGAGAACTTTGAAGGGTGGCGTGCCCAGGAACGGGCGAACCATAGCTGCGCCGGAAGGAAGCATTTACGTTGGTAGGCAAGAACAGAAGAGAGCATTGTGAGCTTCCGAAGGAAAATTTGCGCCATGTCTATTCCTATCGCTGGTACAGCTGCTGGCGCTTCCATTGTCCGACCTTCCCAGAGGAACGTATGCCACCAACACAGCCCCCTTACACACGACTGCCTTTAACGCCCGTCTTTCCTCCTCCTCTTCTCCTTCTCGTACTCCTTGGCCTCGCGACCCTCCTCGCCCTGAATCTCCGCCACCAAGCGCTTGAATTTCTTCTCGTACGCCTCGTCCTTGGCCTTCTTCTCGCGCAGCTGCTCGCGCGCGACAAAGTTGGCGTCCTTGCGCAGCTCGCGCATCGCGCCCTTGCGCTCCTTCTTGTGCTCGGCCTTGAGCTTGTTGAGCTGTGCGCGCTCGATGTCTGGGTCGTTGTGCTTGTTGGGGTTGTAGTTGTCCAGAAATTGGGGAATGGATGTTTTGATGGCGAGAGGGCGGTGGTTGTGCAGGAGGAGGGGCTTGCGAGTTGAGGTGGAGGTGGAGAGGGTGGTGAGTAGATGCTGGAGGGTGGTGGAGGCAAGAGTGTGCGTCGGGGTGGGGAGAGAGGTGGTGCTGAGGTGCGAGAGGGCGTGGGCGAGGGGAAGGATGAGCTCCGGATAGGCGGTTTTGGCGGTCCAGAGGTTGGTGACAGAGTGTGCGAGATGGATGAAGGTGTGCAACAGAGACAGGCTTTGGCTCTGAGATGCCGAAGCCCTGTGAACCAGTGTCTTGAAGGAGGCCTTTGGTGCCACTTTCTCCTTGAGGCCGAATTTGATGCGAAGCGAGCTTTCTGGCATTCGGATTGGAATGCCCAGAGGCCTGCCTTCGAAATCCTGCAGACTCATAGTCTCAGGCATCTTGGTTGGCGACAGAATGGCAATCGCATTCACAATGTACATGATGGTTTCTGGCACGTATCGCTTCGCGAGCTTCTGATACTGCAACGCCAATGAGCAGCAGTAAGCTCCCAGTCCTAGATCTTGCAGAGTCTGGACAGAACTCTGGCCAAGATATCGTCCTACTGTAAGCATCGCTGGCGTTGCCACGGTGTGAAAATGGTCGGAAGTAGGGAAGATCATTGACACGCCGGTGAGCATCATCACGTCCCCGGCGGTCAGAGCAAGCGGCCGCTTTTCGGATATAGTTGCCAGATGGTTGCGAAAGGCTGCTGCCACTTCTTGGGGCTGATCTTTCGCCATCGAATGGAGATGCCGCAACAGGCTTTCGACGACAGGCCCCTGAAAATCATCGTCGTTATCGACCATGTATGCAACGTGGGCTGTAAGAACATGTGCGAAGCGCCCGAGCTTAGCCTGATTCCCTTCCGCAAGGCCTTTATGGTATAGAGCTCGAATTCGCTGGACAACGGTTGGCACGTCGCTTACAGCTTTGTCCCGAAGCAGATCGAGTAGCTCTTGGTGCGTTTGAGGGCACGGATACGTGTAGGCCAGATCCTTGTTTGATACTGTAGCGTTGCTTCCTTTCGCGGCCTGGGCTGAGGGTAAGACCAAGCCATTGATGAAGTCGTCGTCCCCATCGTCGTCTTCTGAGCGGCCGCTCTCGCTGTCGGAATCCTCCTCATCTGAGGCGGGATCGGGCTCGGAGCCACTAGCAATTAGATCATCGTCAATGACAAATTCGTCTTCGTCCTCAACCTCGAGCTGTGGCCGCGGTGCGTAGGCTGGTGCGGAGAGACCGAAAGCCTCCGCATCGTCGGGCTCTTCGTCCTCTGCGGCATCCTCTATTTCCCCTTCGCCTTCCTCATCGGAGCTGTCTGCTTCACCACGCATCCTTCTTTGTCGTTTGCGTTCCAGCTCTTGTAGCCTCTCGGCCTCCTCAACGGCCTTCTCTTCTTCGGTCTTGGTTCGAAACGTTGGCTTTGACCGAGCGTCCATCTTCATTTGTCGAATATTGGCCTCATACTCTTTCTCAGCATCCTCTCTGCTTTTTCCTGCTAGCATCGCCGCTCTCGATGGATCCATCTGCGGTTCTGAGTCGCTGGGAGGCGTTGGTAGAGGCTTCGCGGCTGGTTTGTGCGTGCGCATGACTTCGTACAAATCCGTCATGCCCATGTCCAGCTCCATACGGAGGTCATCATCGTCTTCTTTAGCCGCCTGGCGTTCGGCTTTGTGCATCTTGGATTTGGCGATGATCTCTTGCATCACTTCATTCTTGGTCTTCTTGCGTTCCGGCACAGTCTCTCCTTCTGAAGCATTGTCTTCGTCTTCCAGGCGCATTCGCTTCTTTGGACGGTCATCCTGGTCCTCAAATTCATCTGCGCCGTTTCGGTCGATTTCGCCCTGTTCGTAATCATCAACGACTTGTCCGGAGAAGTCCAACGATCGACCAGCATGAGTGAGTGTCATTTCTTCTTCGCTCTCATCCTCAAGATTAAACATGGTACTTTTTCGTAGCTTCCTTTCATTCTGGCGCGCGAATCGTTCGGCTGCTCGTTCCTCGGGTGTTAAGGTAGGATCATTTTCACCAAACCGCCTGTCGAGAAGACCGCCAACTCTGTTCCGGCTCTGGAGCTCGCGTAAGAGTGTCTCGCGTCTTCGATCCTCGCCTAGTCCTCGGGTAACACCAGGTCTCCCCACAGTAGGCTTGGTGACTTTGTTGCTGAACACTTCATGCTTCTGCCGTCGAGCAGGCGCCTTCGCTTCGAAGGGGTTGAATTTCTCTCGGATGTCATCGAGCGCGGCATTGCGTTGGAGGCGGTTTTGTGCATCTTTGGCATTCGCCTTACGCTGCTTTTTTGACTTCTGCGGCCCAAAGACACCTGTCTCGCGTAATGACGCCTTGAGCTGCTTCAGCTGTGAAGGAGCCATGTTGAGACGAGGAAAATACGCGGTTGCGCAGGAGGCACAATCATCTCAAGAAAAAGTCGCAGGCGAACGCCGAGATTTTTGCGGGGAACTTTGGCCAATCGCTACATGTTGAAGGGCTCCGCTCATTCACTGCCTGAAATCGAGCGAGCACTAGCACATGGTATTCTAGGTCATTGTCGCTCAGAGTCGCTACAATAGCATGCTGTACTTCTTGGAGTTGTGGCCTTCTTACAAGGAACAGAACATATTGTTCGGCTAGTCCCTGATGAAGGATAATCTGAAGCAGCAAAGTCATCCTGAGCAGACTATACAACCCCGTTCCCGAAACCCCAATCACCAGCGTTGCCAAAAAACGACCGATCGATAGCAGAGAAGTTGAAAGGGTTGAAAGGACCGAAGAACTCGTCAAGAGTGTTGTCGTTGTTCCCAAGAATGGGTTCGTTGGTGATGTCGCTTTCGAGATCATATTGCTGATGCGTTCCCTCGTCGCCTGCTATCTCCTCCACACTCCTCTGTCTTGGGGTGTCGCTCTGCCTCGAATGTACTTGGGGTTCTTTGCTCTGGATCGTCTCATGTGGACCCTTCGGCGCACTCTCCAGTGCCTTCAAGGCCTCCAAGAAGAGCTTGTGTTGCATATCCGCGGTCCACCACGTCTTCCGCAGATGGTCCAGAACCATAATGTGCAGCTTCAAGTTATGCAGCGCGTGGTGGGACGCGAGACCATCTAGACGGCAGTACTCATAGAAGTGTATCTGCATGGCAGACATCATAGCAGTGATCAGCATGTTCGGAGCCACATCCACCAAGTCCGAGGACACTAGCTCGTTCAGCGAGTATGTCGTGTTGGAGGCTGCCGCTCGACAACGGTCTATGGCCAGGGTTCGTAGGCCTTCTTGCTCGCTTTTGCCCACGACATTTGCAGTGTGAATATAAGGTCGAAACAGAGCTACAATCACTGAGTTGTAGTACGCCCTCAATAGATGAGTGTGCAGTGATTGAAGACGAGACGGCTGGCCTTGAAGGTCATAGATCTTCTCGTAACCTGGAAACTATCAATCATAGCGCATGATTTTATGGCCAAGAAGGTTGAGCAATTTGCTTACAGGTCCATATCTCTCTGTCTAGATGTTCTAGACGAGACCGAGTGACAGGTGGGCGTTTAAGACGGTGGTTGGTAGCCAGGACAACTTCAACCAGTTCTGACAGGTGTAGAAAGTTGATCCAAAGGCCGGTCAAGGCGGGCATTTCGTGAGCTACGAAAGTTCTTCTCAGCTCCGGCGAAAGCTGCTCAATTTCGGTCAGGACATCATCGGTGGTCGGTATAGGAGCATCACAATGATCGGAGTTGATTCTGGTTCATGTCAGCGTTGTGATCTTGCTGATGGAAACGACAACTGGACTAGAATAGCGAGCTCGTCCTCATAACAGCATGGAGAAAATTCGGCACCACAACTTTAGAGCACTCACCTCATAGGCCTCCCGATCGCTAACGCAAGCCATGCATCACGGTAATAGCAACACCACCATATCCGTCGCCACAGTGCGTACTGTGCGTTTGGGAAGGGTGACCGCTGTAGACGGTCCCACCGAGGATCTCGATGCAGGCCCATCGTGTGGCATAAGCTTAGTGCGATTCCGATCCAATGCCATGGTCCGTCCAGATCTTCGAGATCGATGTAATAGTGTGCTAGAAGTATAGCAGACTGTATGATAGAGGTCTTGTCAGTCTCTACCTGGGCATCATACAGTTGCTACGGCGTTGTTAGCTTTGGCCAGTGGAAAGTGGAAGTGCAGACCGCCGACCTTTGCTTGAGAATACAAGTGCTCTTTTAGAGCTTTTCTGGTTGAAAAGCCAGCCTTTTGAAGGGGCCCGGAGCTAACGAACTAGCGAGGAATCAATTGACTGCCTTCAGGGCCACTTGTCGAAGCTTACACTCGCTGCTGCAAAGAGAACAGACCGCAGCAGTAACGAGCTGAGACGATCACGATCGTTATGGTAGGTATTCAGAAACTCGGCGGCGTTGATGATGGGTAGGAATGGGTGGACGTAGCTAAAGTAGTCTCTGAGAAGTTCATGACAAATGTTATCACTCGGCAGTGGCTGAGATTTCAGCGCTTTCACCGTGTTGTCGTCTGGAAACTTGCTTCTCTGTCGGCCGATGAGGTAGATATTGCCCTTGAAGGGGCGTGACTAGGGAGCATCAGTACATTGACAAAGTAGGACTCTGCGATGCTCACAGGTGAGCAGACATCGAACAGAAACTCTAGACCTTCTGACTCGCCAACATAGTGAGGCACAACGATGGGGTCCGGTCCAGAAGCTTTGTCCGGGCCCTGGGCGAACTTCTGCTGAGGAAGATCTGGGTGAGTGCGCGTAGCGGAAGTGGAGTCAGACTGATTCCCCTCGACCTGAATATCATTCCGAAGGCTGGGTGCAGTGCTTGGTCCTGCTGATGGCGTGGGAAGATAGGTCTCGTCCGCTGAGACTAAGCGGGGTCTAATAGCCCGCTCTGGCCCGCTGAGAAGCTGCGTAAGTCATAGTGTTGGACATAAGAAGTGAAGTCGCTAACACTCACGTTGACGGCCGACGACCATAGATTCGGCAGAGCGTCCCGTCTTGCACACAATTGCTGCAGGGGCCCTCAGAGATGGCCACATTACAGCGTACCTTGCGATCATGGCAAACAGTGCACGCTATGGCAGCACGTTTGCGTTTTGGTCCAGTACGTACGTCCATTCATACCAAGTGCGATGCAGTGATAGGATACCGAGGTCGATGGCAATTTCGTCGCCAGCAGATCCAGGGAACAAGACGCTCGATCTCGCTCGGCAACAGAACCAATGACCCATCACGGTGGCTTGCTCGACCTCTTTGTCGCCACCAACAATGCGGGGAAACTGGGGAATGACAGCCTCGAAGAGTCCACCAGCCGTCAAGCTCCAGTAGCACTTAAGCTTGTCCGTAGCAAGGATTGGCCCAGTGTCCTCGGTCGGAGGCTTGCTTTTTGACGCGTGTTGCCGGATGTCGATGACTCTCCGTTATTGACTCACTTCTTGCAGGAACACGCTTCCAGTTGTGGAGGTTGTTCCGTCGCCAGGGTGTCCAGACTTCAGCCATGAAGAGGCACTATACACATGACTTCTTGTCTAGTCAAGTTTTCCGAAAAGTCCTCTTCCGGGGATAGGCCTGGCTCCAGGACCGTAACCATTATAGCAGACGCGACATGTTGTGTGATGAACACGAGACCAAGAAGCAAGCGAGTCGACTTCCCCAACTACTCCACCCCAGCCCATGGACTACGTGCACGCCTGGCCAGATTCTCTCGTTGCCCACCAATTGAGAAAATGCGGGATGCTTAGCCTCAGACCCTCCAGCACGCTAAGTCAACTGTTAGGGCAAGCTAATGTATTCTAGCGGAACACCCACCACCATGCACCCTTGCTGGTACATTGCCGGGATTTGAGTGACTGCCACCTCCCTCTTGGTTGCAACACCGAGGGTAACTACCTTGGGGCCGAGGTCTCGTCTACCCCTTGTCTGTTATCAAGTCTTAAGTCTCCTGCGTTCTACTTGCCTCCACTTTACCATTCAACACATCGCTTGGGCAGCTCATATCTGCAACGAATTGCGACCATGTCCGACGTTACACCTTCAAGCGCCAGTGACATTGAGAAGGCCGGCGTCAAAGAAGCCCACCATGAACATGTCGAAGTACATTCTGAGCAGAACACTGCTCTTCGCATTGATGGCGACGATGAAGACCATATGCATGAGCCTCCTGTACGTCTTCCCCAGAATGTCACTCAATCGCTGCTCGAACTGACGTTCCATGCCAGATGACTTTCAAACGGTTCATGAGCTTGACAGCAATGGCGTTCCTCTGGACGGGTTCTCAGATTCCGGTCTATCTATTCGGTAATAACACCCTACCAGCGCAAAACCTACGTTCCAAACTAGATTGCGTTGATTATGAAGGCTTGAGGAGCTGACTTCATCAGGTGCTATACCACCATACATCTACGGCGATATTGGTGGCGTTGATAGATGGATCTGGTTTGTAAGACGTACTGCCATCCACTAAAGGTCTGTTCTGATATCCTAGGTGCTCGGCAATCTTCTGGCCCTGGCTGGCGTCTGCCCGTTTGTCGGATCCCTCTCTGATCTAGTCGGTCGTCGTTATACTGCTCTACTCGGCGGTGTCTTGCTCTGCATTGGGACTGTCGTTGCTACGACGGCGCACACTATGAACACATTCATCGGTAAGCTCCTAAGGTAGACTGACCTCAGCCGGGCTAACGTGATCAGGTGGTACAACCATTGCTGGAGCTGGCGCAGGCGTTTGTGAGCTTACGGCTCTTGCTGTAACGTCCGAACTTGCGCCCACCCGGAAGCGAGGCAAATATGTGTCGATCCTGATCTTCACCATTATCCCCTTCGTCCCGTCTGGTCTATACGCCCAGCTAATTGCTGCTCATGCTGGCTGGCGCTATTGTGGTATCATCATCTGCACCTGGTGTGGAATTGGCACCATCTGCACCGCCATTTTCTACTTTCCACCACCCAGACCAAACTCCAAGGGCAAGTCACGAAGCGAAGTCATCAAGGAGATCGATTTTGTGGGTGGCTTCCTCTCTATTGCCGGCATGGTACTCTTCATGGCTGGTATGCAATGGGGTGGCTATCAATATCCTTGGGGATCTGCCCACGTCCTTGCTCCGCTAATACTTGGGGCTGCTATGCTGGTTGCCTTTGGTTTATGGGAAGCCTACGGTGCTAAATATCCCATGTTCCCGTCGCGACTCAAGCAGGATCCGCGCATTCTATCTTTGACCCTACTTATCACCTTCATCAGTGGAGCCAACTTTTTCGGTTTCCTGATGTTTTGGCCAACGCAGTCATTCAACGTCTACGGTCATGATCCCGTACAGGTTGGTCTTCGAGTCTTGCCTGGAGGTATGGCCATCTTGGTCGGCGCATGCGTGGTGCTTTGGCTCTTGAGCGTGTTCCGCGGCCGCAACAAAGAGCTCATGATCATCTCTTGCGTCTTGATGACTTCAGGTACGTCCCCCCCGTAATGGCTCAACATCCTGGCTAATTTGAGCAGGCACGGCTGCACTTGCATGTGCTACTCGCGACAACATGGACAAACTCTGGGGCCTCCTCATCCTGGGTGGTCTCGGTATTGGTGGTATCGTTGTACCGGCCTCGATCATCACCACCATCATCTGTCCAGACGATCTCATCGCAACAGTGTCCGCTCTGACCCTCTCCATCCGTGTGATCGGTGGCAGCGTTGGCTACTGTATCTACTACAACGTCTTCGTCTCCAAGTTCAAGATTTACGCCCCGAAATTGATCGGTGGTACCATGTTTCAGCTGGGAATCACAAACATCACATACATCACCGAGGCTGTCGAATTGACTGGCGCCAGCTTGCTCGAAAACATCAGGGAGATCCCCGGTCTTGCAGGTAACGAAACTGCTTACAATATGGTGATCCGTGCAGGTCAAGTGGCATACGCTGAGAGCTACAAATACGTCTACCTTGCTTCCATCGCTGCTGGCAGCATCAGTATTATCGCTGCGTGCTTCCTCGGCGACATTAACAAGTACATGGATGACCATGTGGCTGGTAAGTTCTCCCAGAGTGGTACCAGAGATATGCAGCTGATTGTGAACAGTCGTTATTCATTGAGTGCAATCGCTCAATGCTGCTGGGCTGATAGCAACACACCACCTCATCTGGCAATTGCAGGAAGATCCATGGGGCCGCACAAAACTGCAAGGCCATGTGAGGGCACAATTTGGCCGGGCAATAGTAGATAGTCCAACTAGAAACATAGCAACTTGGAGACGGTTGCCCTCGCACGTTCTAAGCACTGTATACACAAGCAGCCCGCATTTGGATCTCAACTGATCTTTCATGTGAGTACTGAGCATATTGGATCTGCTAGCTCAGATGCTACATGACTATCGTTTGGCAAGCCATTTGAAGCAGCCATACAATTTCAGCACTGTTGAGATTCCTCGTTATAATATAGAGTCCTGAACAACTTTGGAAAAGCCCCTCGCCTTACGGTCGGCCGACTCATCGACTTTGCTCATCCCCGGAATGGACGCAGAATGAGACACTCGCAGAAGATCTTGCCCCGGTAAGATTGTCGCGCCCATACGCTGATATCACGATCTCAATGGAGCGTGCTCGAGTCCAAGCTGGCCGCCGGTTTCCTCTGACGAAGACTGTGCATCTAGCCCAGACTATGACGGTAAACCTTACTACGCAGATAGTGCAGTGTTCCAAACCTGCAATACTTCAACATCTGCAAGATTCATGGACTTTCAAGAACAACCCAGCTAGACTTGATCTATTTCCCCGAACGTCCTCCAGCCTCAGGTACGAGGCCTAGGATTCGTAAAGATACGAAGATTGGAATCCTGATGCTGCATACACTGAGGAGCGGCCCACGAACATCCACTATTGTATTGACTGAAGACTAATGAGCAACAAAGCAGTCCGATACAGAAATATCATAGAGGATATCATACTCGAGGGTAGGAAAGGCAGAGAAATCTTTGATGGTGGAATCAAAGTGAGTTATAATCTTAATACTGGGGAGTGAATGCTGGAACCAGGTAGACATATATGGACCGCTGTATTCGAAACCGGTGGTTCAGTTTGAAGATCTCTGCTGTACTGCCGGCAAACGGCCCAGTCGATTGATGAAGGCGCGCAACACGGGCAGTGGCGGGAAGCCTCTACTGGTAGCTCAGTGGCGCGTGGGTGTTGCAGTCTCTGATGAAGACGACATAGGTTCGGGTTGATGGCTCATCGACTAGTCCAGCAGAAGCCTGATGACACAACTCAGGTATTCGCAAGGGGGAAGGTTCAAGGCCTTGCCCTTTTCTTCATCTAGCGGACAGGCCCCGAAGCCTTCGTTGTTTTCCAGCGTGAGCTCGCTGAAAAGAAGAAGTTCCTCGAATTTTGTGGCGAGGGTCTCGACGTTCGCCTTTTTCGGCTGGGAGATGTAGACATCGCAAGGCAAAAGTCCAGCATGGCAGATGTCGTCCCCTCCCCAGTATTTGTATGGTGTGCTCGGGCAAGACGCACCTCATTTAATAGTGCTTCGGCTTCGGCTCCATCTAGAGCTCCCAGTTCCAGAGCGCGAGACATGTGTGCTTGTACTGCAGGGCAGCAGACGCGGTGTGAGACGGACGTTTCCTTCCAATATTCGACACACAAGCGTAGGTGAAACTTCCACTCAGGATCACATTCCGCATTTGCTAACATGATGGTGCTGATCGAAGTTATTGCGCCGTTCAACCATCCACAATTAAAGTGGCGACCGATAGAGAAACTCGAAGAGGAGATGCTTCAATTGCTTCACAGACGTAGAGAATATTGCAGCTGGAGGGCTATCCACCGAGTCAAACGAACGAAGCTGTAGCTTTTGTTCAGAATGATCAATGGCTGGAACAGGGTTAGGACAGCGCAATGGTATACAGCACTGTGATAAACTTAGTGCTTTGCGCAGTGCTTGACCTCGTGACTTACTGGAAGAAGAACACATGAGACGGGCATTGCTCCCCTCGGTGCATTTCTGGCGCAATTGAGTCTGTCCATGCTAGTAATTGCTGGAACTTGGACTCCGCCATAGCAAGCGAGACATTTCGATTTAAGGATATGCCGCTGCTCAAGTCGTATAAGATGTTGATTTCTTGCAAAAAAGTCCAAAATTTGCAAAGCATAGGGAAAGTCTGTCCCTTGTAGCTGGGTAATATATGAGGAGGCCAGAAAAGGGGAGTAGTGTCGAGACTCTGGTGGTTCAAGGCTCCAGGAATGGGCAGGCACGGAGGAAATCTAATGGGTCGTTGTTCAACCCAGCCAGAAAGATAATTGTCACCGTTAGTGTCGCATGATGATGAGGTACAACGGGCGTCACGAACGTCAGCCATCCATACGTTCCCCATGCGATATGCGCCAAATGTCGAATGGCGGGGGGCGGCAAGTTTTGGAAACTCAATATCAATGTCGTAGTCGGTAGGGTTCCTAATAACTCCAGTTTGGTCGCCAGTGTACATATCTCTGCAGTCGTGGGGAATCTGTCAGATTTTTGGCCGCTCATGATTGAGGCCTGGGACAAGTAAACTTGGGCAGCAAGTGTAGTGGCCAACTCCAAGCTTTTTTTCGCTGAGCCACATCTTCTCCGCATCTCCTAAGAACGGTACAACAAAGGCTGAGGAGCGCACGTCCACTTTACAGTATGATTGCTCCATGTGTCAATTCAATTGGATTGATAAGGGGGTGATATTAACTTACACATGCAAAAGCCATTAACGCGTCGAAGAGAAAGGGTGAGCAATAGTGAAGCTTGTGTTCCATCAAGTCTGACAAGAACAAATCTGCGTCGAAACAACCGAAGATTGCATGATAATGTGAAAGAACACATGCTGCAAACTCGTTGTCGATCGGAATCAAGGTCCAATAAGAGACATTAAGACGTCTCAACCTGAAGTCACAGTATTGGCAGTTTTGATCAAGGCCAGCGACAGGGGAAGATTGTCTCACACTTATCCCACGGCAAGGTGAAGGTGACTCAGAGTTATTGGCCGTTGAGAGTGGCTCTTCCGCAGAATGTGTGCCAGTGGCCGGGGTTGAATTGGCTTACAACATGACAGGCGACGGTGACTCGCGCAAGGTCGGAGGGAACAGGCCGTCAAGATTGATTTCATCGATGTTCGGCACTTTTATAGCTGGGTATGTGATTTGGTGGAGTACACCAAATCAGACTCGATCTGTTGTGGTGCGGACAGAATGGTTCGTGCTACTCGAGCGTCGGAAAGTCGACTCGTGATGGTTGCGCGGCCTGTGAGAGACTGAAGGACTTTGCTCTGGTTTGGAGCCGCCCTCAACTCCCGGATAACAGCTATGGCCTCAGACTCCGTGGTCGATTGGAGATAATCCAACAACTCTTTGTGCTGCCTGTGGTCCTCTCGCAAGCACTCATAATGGTACTCGAGCAATGCAGTTGGAACTTGTCCCAGGGTTTCACCCAAGCCTGTTGATCGGGCGATGTCGACGGGTTGCGCATGTCGGACTTTTACCCTTCGAAAGGGCCTCGGAGGTTAGGATGATTTCCTCAGGGTTTCGATTAACCTGAGTAAATATGTCCTCAAGTTTTGGTGTTGTTTGCCGCCCATGACCCCGAGCGCTGGATAGCTGCTGCTTGATCGTTTGCTTCAATGCATCAAGAGGAACACTGCTGCGTATCAACGCCACCACTTGCGCCACCTGGTCATCTTGCATATCGCGCGCCAGCTCTAGCAAGTTATTCAATAGTTGGCTATCCGTCTCCATGGCCTTGAGCTTGCGCTTTCGATTGCGACGGCCATCTTGCTCGCCATTGTACAGGCACTCATATTATTCGCGAAGCACAACCTGTAAGGCTGCTCGCCGGTACACTAAGCAGTGGTTACCCCGAAAGCTAACATTGATGGCCACAACAAACCTTCTTCTTGGTTCTTTGACAGTACTGGCAGGCCCGGCTCGCATGGCGACGCCTGATCTCAGGCTGTCTAGTCTCATCGGAGACCTTTGGGATGTGCCGTACCAAGCCCGAAAGCTCGCTCGTTGCGGGTAGTGGTACGCTTTTCGCGGCAGTCATGACCCGTTCGACACGACACGCGTACAAACAAGCGTACCACCTGGTGCATATGAGAGGAAGCAAATAAAGTCTCAAGGTTACAACTTGTGACGTAGTCAGTTGTGACGGAACGAAATGGTCGAAGGATTGGACATATAATAGAAGGCAACGGCGATCATAGCCGCACCCGGCCTCAAGCGAGCAGCCATTGATTTCACGATGTCGCGTGAATCTCCCGGCGTGGTCAGCCGGGTTCATAATCTAACTGTTCTCAGAGGCGCATGGTAGGCTCTATAGGCGTGAAAAGCGGCGAGATGGCGCTCAACCCGACCGGGTGGGGCTTAGCCGGAGCCGATTTAGGCGCGCTCAGCACCGGAACGCCCACTATCGATATGCACAAGGCTGAAAATGAAGCCGACAAGGCTTGCGATTTAACGAACAAAAGTCCAAGTGTCCTTTCTTTGGTATTTAGCCCTCACACTTCTTCCACACCTTGACTCAAAGCCGTTTGGGCCTCGTTAATCTACTGACCGTCTTCCTCAGACCGGCTTCTCAGAGTGCTGAAACCCACAGCCACGCGCTGCGCTCGCCGCAGCAAAATATCAAGAGCACCACACGACACCTGCCCACAATGGTCTCATTCTCTCTACCGGGGATCCCGTCCCTGGTCTCCCTCCTCATCCCAATAACCTACCTATCCATCCTGATCGGCTCCATGGCCACCTTCTCCTATCTCTACCGACGCCGGCAAGCCTTGAAGAAAATGCGCCTGGCCCCCTACTTTCCCGCGCATACCACCCGCAACGTCTACCTCTCTCTCCTGCACCTCCCCGAAACGACAGAGAAGTCCAAGGTCCCCGACTCCGTCCTCCGCGCCGCCCTGTTGTCGCGCGCCTGCACGGACGTACAGCGCATTCTAACAATCCGAAGCCGCAAGCCGGCGCTCAACACCCTTCTGCAGCGCGGCGTGGTGGGAGACGAGATCTGGCAGCGCTTGCTGCGTGCGGAGCAGGAACTCGAGGCGGAGCTGAAAGATGTGGTAGCCGAAGCCAATGCGCTGGCCGCCGGGTGGGGACAGACGATCTTCCAGTCGGCCAGCGAGATGGTGCAGAATCAGATGTTGAAGGAGAAGCTGGCGGGTCATCGCGCTGGAATCGATGACGAGAAGAAGTCGTGGACGGAGAAGAAAGAAGGTTTCAGGAAGGAGTTGATGGGCGAGGAGGTGGCCAAGACAGATGTCGAAGTGCCGGTGGCTGCTGAGGAGGCTCGTGCAACGACAGAAGCGTCGGAGAAGCGGGTGCCTAAGATGGGGAGCAGCGATGAGGACGGCGTGCTTGTTGAGACACCGGAAACTGCGACAAATGACATGGGTGGTGGTGGAGGGAAGAAGAAGAAAAAGGGCAGAAAATGAGCACCCATATCAAGGGGGTTCTTGCTTTCGAGTTCAAGTTGATCACCGGGTTGCGAAGCCGCCGACTATCACAGCTTGGGAGAGACGCACAACTCTCTGAAGTCTAGTGCTTTGGAGACCGAGCGGTCATCTCACGTCCCAAGTTTAACCGGGTGAAACCTAGGAAGCCCCCGCTTCGCCCCTGAAGGGCTGGTTCTGCATGACAAGCCTGGGGGCAGGGAACGAGGAAGGCTGGTTATATGTTATGCATAGCATGCGCAGTAACGTCCAATCCCATTACGGTTCGAGAGGGTTGAAGGAAGATGTTGTACAGATCTTGTTACAATTACTCCCCCGTTGATGATAGCCCAACCCGGGCTTCGATGAGGCTTCACCTTTCCGCCTCGCCGTCTTCATACGCTCTCACTGCTTCTTCCAGACTCTGCTTGACCTCGTCCTTGTCCATCTCCACCCCCATCGCCCGACCCGCAACCACCAGGTCATTGTCCACTTGACTACCCAGCTTGGCCTGCTTCAGCATGATCAAGCATACAAACGTCTGAATGGATTGCAGCCTGATCGTCTGTGCGACCGTGCTCTCAGTGTCATCAAGATCCACCTCAATGCCTTGTGAGACGGCGCTCGACGCCTTCTGCATGTGGATTTCGTTCATCAAGCCGGCGAAGTTGCTCAGTGCTGCGCGATACATCTCGTCAGATCTCCGCCGGGCGGCGCGCCGTGGTCGGGATGCGAGTGGTGTATTGGCTGGTAACATGCGGGCCACTTGCATGACGATCATGCCGGTGATATCGTCGTGAGGCAGAATGCCAAAGGATCTGTGCATATGCTGCAGAGCGAGGTATGTGCAGGGTAAATCACTATGAAGGCAGAAGCAGCGGATGATCTGTTCGTAGAGCTCGCGAGTCATTTGGGTCTGAGCTTCGGCTTCTCTCACCGCAGAGAGCGAGTCGTACCAGGTAGCCATTTCCTTGTACAGCTGTCGTGGAGTTGGGTAAGAAGGTGAATGATTCGACTGATTGAGATTGCGACGCTGTCCATCCCAAAGGCAGGTGAAGGTCGCCAGGTCTGGACGTATGTCGTCGCGCACAGCCTTGTATCTTGTCCACATAGCGTCGAGATCAGACGCCCGAAGTGAGAGGTACAGCCAGTGGTTGAGAATGAAAGAGTTTGGCTTGATCTGAGCTGGTCCGGTCATGATCTCTGTCAGTTGTTCGGCATTCCAGATATCGGCCTGACGCGTATACCGTTGTAGCAGAATAGAAAAGGTCTCGATGGTTGCAGGCGGAATATCGCGCTGCAGAAAGCGCGGTAGACGCTTCGTGTCCATTGCTTGTTCTTTCAACGCCTCTGCTTCTGCGTCCAGCAGAGTACGCCCTCTCTGCTGAACTTGACGAATTCGAGCGTGGATCATCCCCCAACCCATCTGCTCGCCCTTGGCTCGTGCAGCTGGAGTTCCTTCACGGAACCATGCACCAATAATTCCGTTCAGGTGCCTGGCGTCTGGTCGGATGCCCTTCTCTTGCATCAGCTCCACGACAAGTCCTGCGTCATCGACCTTGCCCTCGCCCAGGAGCCACTTGATCCAGGCTCCGAAGAAAAACTTGTTCTTGAATGCATGAGGTAGGGCAAGAAGAGCGGTGAGTCCGATGCGATTGATGTTGTCTTCTGTAGGTGCGTCACTTTTGCCCAGGATTTTCTGGTACAACTGCATGGATTCGGACGACTTCCATCGCCTGGTTGCTAGCATGTCCTTAAACACCGCCAAGGCCATCTCCTGTCGACCAGCTTTCAAGAGCACCGATGTGATTTGACCAAGTAGATCAACAGGAGGCGTTTCTGATGAAGTTCGCTCCTTGAGTTGAAGATAGAATGTCCAGAGCTTGGAGGGTGCGTTGGATTTCTGACTGCTGGCCCAAGCCGAGAAGACTTGCACCACGGTCTCAGCATCGAGATCCGCCTTCGCGAAGCCAGCTAGTGCGATCTCTTGAGCTTTGCTCGGTCTGCCCACAGATGCATACAGCTGCACACCAATTCTGTCGAACAGAACGTTTTTCCCAGCCAATTCTTTCCTACTCTCCCAAAGCTTCAATGCAGTTGCAGTGTCGGCGGTGCGATGCAATGCGTCGAGGTAGCCAATCAGCTGTTCATCGTCGAGCTCAACGCCGGCTGATTCCATGTCTCTTGCAAGAGCCACAATGTGTCGTGTTCGAGGGTTCAATTCCATCTGAGATTGCCACAGATATTCCCAGACGTCCTCCGAGATGAAGCTGGAGAAGCCTGGAACCTTCTGTTGGCATCGCAGGTACCAGACCCAAAGCGCGCGCTTCTCAGAAAGATCATCTGGGTTACTCTGCGATTGTGCGAGTGCCGCATTGAAACGACGGACGTATGCTTTGTGCTTTGCCGGGATTCGGAGTGTCACGGCGAGCAACTTCGGCTTGTCCTCAAACTCCTCTGAGATGTTGTCCAGGTCGAACTCTTCATCTGAGAATAGCTCATCGAAGTTCAGGTCCGGCTGTTCTAGTCCATCGGACTCCATAGCACTCAACAATTCGTCTCGTTCATCCTCGGGTACTGACTGCATCAGCTCGCTGTTGCGGGAAAATGGTCCCTGTCGCAGGAGAGCGGATTCTCGCTCAAGCCGCTTGATCTCCTTCCTGACCTCTTTCGCCTCCTGCTCGAATGGATTATTGATCTTCCTTCGAGTCGACGGGTCGCCTTCGATTTGCTCGAATTCATTGACAACGAGATCATCATGCGCAGTGCGGGATGGTTTCGGTACGGGCTTAAAGGTTCGGGGAGGTTGTCGGTAGTAGCGCAGGGACTGCCATTGTTGAAGGCAGCCTTGATGCCCCAGAAAGCTGGGAGAACGGCAGAACTGCTGATGCCATCTTTGCGAGAGATGACAGATGCCCTTCATGCATGCGCCGGATTATTGCTCGCGATATTGTAGAAGGCTGTGATGGTCGCAAGAGGCCGCAACTTTTTTGTCAGACGCGCATTCGGCCAGGTGGACCGCTACGGCGACTCATAGTGGCAGCAGAATTCAGGCAGTGAACGTAAAGGGGGCGAGCACGCGGATCTTCTTCAGCCACAACAGCTGTGGTGGATGCAGAGTGTCTGCACGGTGATTTCATTCTACACAGTGCCTTTCATTGCGTATCAGGGATGCACCGAATATTAGTGAGTTATCTGCGATTTGCAGTAAAATACTCCACGCAAAATGGCCGAATGACTATTGCATGATTATCTGGATCGTTCTTCTGAAGCTACCTAACGCCAGCCATCGCATCAATGCCAGGTAGCCCAAAACACGACCTGGCATTTGCAGACATGCTACTTCGCCAGGTGCCATACCCAGAACCGCCTTCAAAGCCAGCAAAATCTTCAGCTTTCTCATCTTCTCGCTGAAGGTCGTGGGACTTCCGAGCTTCATCGAGCTGGGCGCGATGCAGTTATCAGAGAACTGAATCATGAGAGCACGGTCTCAATATAGCCGGTCCCAGTCACTTAGTCGGCACGAAGGCGCCGTGGATGGTATGTCAGACCTCGCCGGGTTTATGAAGTCCAACGTTCATCTTGGTGCAGTCGCTCGTCTTAGTCATGTCGGGGCGGAAGAAGGTCCCAGGCTCTGTTCCCGTTCACAGTCTTTCTGGAGTCGATTGATCGTGTGGCAAGCTGTGTCATAGTACGAACTGCCCTGGGGAACTCACGTCTGCACGAGAGGTCGACGAATTGACGAGCAGGCTCTTCGGACTTACCACAGATCATACTCAAAGCCTCTATCGTGGGTATCGGGAGCCCATCCATCCGTCTCATCAGCTCCTGCAGCCCTGGAGTCTTCGCAATGCTACTGTCCGGTGATGTATCTTCGCTTCGTCAATAGATATCAAGTGAAAAGTCAGGGCTTACCTGTTGAACTCAGCTCGCTGTCGTGGCATGCCGTCACGCATCGATTCATGTCGGTTTCGTGCGGTCTCACTTCTATCTGTGCCCATCTATCATTCATGGGGTGGCGTCAAACATAAAATGGCCATGTACAGCGCCATTTGCTCGTCTCAGCGGTTCAATGACAGCAGCTGTGTCGTTGACAAGAAGGTGCATCCCCTTTGACTCGGGGTCTCGAAGCTGCACTCGTGAGCTCTTGGATCTGTGGTGCGGTCGGTCTCGCATCCTGTTGGCTGGCTGGAAATTATGCCTTGAGGCAACTTCTTCCGATCAGAGCTCTTCTTGCCTTTCCCCGAACCCTCGAGCTTGAGCTCGTCGACCTTAACACACAGCCTCCCGACCCTTCGGAATCCTGTCAATCCCGATATACTTCAGATATTCAAGCAGAAAAGCTATCGCGAGACCTTCTCAAGATCGTGGCTAGCACGAACAGCCGTCCTCCGCTCAACAGCCTCGAACACCCCTTAAACCGTCAGTCGCGCCAAAGGACGAATAATGAGACTAGATCTTACCGGAATAGGTTCTCCATGGCGGGTTTCTCCGGCTGCTATAGACTATGTTGCCATGACATCCAAATAAGAGGCAGTAGGTTGGCGGGAAGATCCTTCGGGGGTAGGTTCATTACAGGCGAAGTCACTTGTCAACGATGGGATCTGGGCTCTTCATACGTTCTTGGCTGAAACCTACCATCTACAGACTATCGAGGCTGTTGATGTTGTTGAGGGGCCACCAGGTGTTGACTGCCCACTGCTTAGGATGATATTGGGCTATGTGTGCTATACCCCCTTAAAGGAAACACAGGTATACCTTTTGAACTTGTACATTTCAGATTCCTATGTTATATTCCTAGCTTGATTAACTCTCTGAATTTACTAATGAAAGTATGTTCACAAGAACCTCTTACTTAGCCCCTGAAAATCTAGCCTTACTTATCACAGCGGAAAATGCCTCTTTTAATCTTCTAAGTCTAAATACCTACTTTAGCGATCGTGTCTCTTTCGTCAATTTTTGGATGCTCGGTGGTTGTATATCTCGCAACAAGCACAAGCTAACCGACTAGCTTCCCATATTAGTCGTAGAACAAAGATCTCAAAGCCGTTTAGAGAGCTCATATTATCCCTGCCATCGTCCTAGGACACTATTACGCCACATAATGTTGCGGACATAAGACCCACGCCGATAGCTTACAGTCTGTAGTGATAATGAAGCAAGATACTTAGGCTACCTCACTTATTGTCGTAGGGTAGGCGGGGTGATAGTAGAGCTTCTACCAACCTGCAGTAGCTTAGGGAAACATTGATCCGGTGGTTGCCTTTAAGTTGTTAGTGCTTCTGCCGTAACATTACTTACTCCTTCTTCACCACCATAAAATTGACTTCGAACCATTGCCATGGCTAGAGATCAACGTTATGGCGAGTCACACTACCTTTCAAGGCCTTATTATGATGCAAATTACGATGGGCCACATCGGCGGTTATCAAGCCAACGCCGTCCGCGGTCGTCACCACAGTCTCGATGCCCCTCGGAGGGCAGAAATTCTTCCGAAAGTAGGGGAAGAGTGATCCAGGGCAACATTATGCTACCTGGATCACTCTTGTCATCTGTTCTTCAACCATCCCATCAAGATAGTATCTCATTTACTACCTCCGCTCATGGACCAGTCTACCACCAACCCACACTCGATTGACGTTTCGATCATCACCATTCCATACCCACTTCATCACTCTGTCGCTCCAGGTCTCCCAGCCAAAGATATCCACCGGCTCAGTCCCGAGCACGATCTCTTGAACGTCCCATAGCATTCCAGGCACGAACCCACCCAGCCTCCCATCCATGCCGACCACCTGTGCCCCTCCAACCGTACCCAAGTAAAGAGCCTCCGTGACCGGAACGGTGAGACTCTCATTCTGACCTTCTTGGAAGCTCAACAATCGACTGACAAGAAAAGCCTGCCTGACATTATCCAAAAGGCTAGGGCTGAACCCTCCCGCGGCGTCAGTGCCGAGACCGACCTTGATCCCGGCGTCAATCATTCTTCTAACTCGAGCAATGCCTGAACCTAATGCAGAATTGCTGTCGGGGCAATGGCTAACGCCTGATCCACGAGCCGCAATCAGCGCCATCTCCTCATCAGTGAGGTGCACCCCATGGGCGAGGATAGTCTTGTCTGTCAACAGGCCATGGGCTTCATACACGTCCGCATACGAGGACTGTTGCGGGTATAATTCGGACACTAGCTTGACTTCGCCCACGTTCTCGGAAATATGCGCTTGGATGCGCAAATCCTTTTGTACTGCAATATTGCCCAGTTCGGTCAAAGATTCATTTGTGCATGCTGGTGCGAAGCGAGGCGTGATGATGGGAGCAACGAGCTCGCCGGAAGGATCCAGACTCTCGATGTGATTGATGGTAGCCCAAGTCTTGTTGATGGCATCCTCAACAGACTCATCTCTGTAGTACTCCGGGTTGTATTGCTGGTTGTCCATGCATGTTCGGCCAATGTAAGCTCGCTGGCCTTTGGCGTAGGCAAGTGTGGCTAGCAGATTGGTAGCGGGCACGTCGACAGTCGCATAGTAAGAGCAAGTGGTGGTGCCATAGGCGAGAGTCCTGTCGATTACATGGGAATAGACCTGCATCGCGCGTGCGTATGGATCCGGAGTCGTGGTCGAATCCGCGTATGCGGGAGAATTAGGATTGCCGAGAGAAGATTCCATGGGAAATGTATATGCTCGAAGCCAGTCAAGAAGGGTCCCTGCGAATAAGCCAAGATTTGGGTATTGTGGTGCGTGGATATGGGTGTCTATCATGTTAGCCTGCACAATGGCTCACGTTCATATGGATCGGGTACCAATGAAACCGGGGAAGAAGAACCCGGTATCCGTTCCTTGAACGACGGCAACATCAGAGCCAACCCCTAGCTCTGCTGCGGCATCTTCGGGACGTGTGAGATTGAACGCGGTCATGTTGATGTAACCTCTTCCGTCGATGCTAGTGACCAGAACAGCCCCATGTTGAATCAACAGAGTATCTGGGTTTGGTGTGGAGATAAAGCGTCCATAGAAGATCTGTGAAGTTGAGATGCCCTCTGCATCTGGCTCTCCGCTGCTGGGTTTGCCATATTTCAGATTGTTTGGATGGCACGAGACTGGGTGCGGCAGTCCAAAGACCAGCGCTTGCACCGAGATAGCAATCAAGTTCCACATTGTGCAAGTACTGCGAAGCAAGATCGGCAAATTCCCTACCTGACTTGCACGTGCCAGCGAGCGAATATATCTACTCAAGCGAGCACGCGCCATCTCTCTTGCAAAGAACCTGAGATGTCGGATCCACTGCAGCGCCAACACGTCGCCCCAGACCCGGGTACTGGGGAGCATAAGCGAGAGGCATTTGTCTGCCTGCGCAGCCTGGCGCGTGGGTGAAAGGCAGCCCCAGGGGCAACAACCTCGTGCTCAGTGGGTAATACCTACGAAGGCTGCTTAACTTGCTCGACTTAGTGTCTTGGGGTTGCGTTGTCCAAGGGCTACCATCTGGTAGGAGAATAGCGTGTCAGCTGAACCACCAGGAGCTGGATGTGAGGGTTGCGCCCGATGCTTTCTACACTCCGCTCAGCTGAGGCTGCGTGGTCTAGCCCGGGCGATGCCAAGCTTCCCATGCCTTGACTCAGTACTGACAGGACCCGATGGCAGGTTAATAGAGTATGCCAGAAGAGGAGACGAGAAGCAATGAGGCTAAAGTCATATTGGCACGATGCTCCGAGCACGAGAGAGGCGAGAACACCTTACGAGATATCCCATGGATCGGAACGGCGAAACTATGCTCCGGAGCACGAAACGCACGACTGAGCTGGCATCTTTTCTTGGTTGTCGGATGATGCCCACAGGTATTGATAGCCTAGGGCTGCTTTCAAACATGAAGCTGCCGGACCATGTCTGCGTTCTGGCATGGAAGAGGAGGTAACACCGACCGCAAGTTCGGAGCTTGTGGGGTATGAAGTGCGTTCAGCCAGGGTGAACTCTGAGAGATGCGGCCGACACGCTCCTTCGCGCTGCGGCCGCGGCACCTCCAGCGAAGGCGTAATAAGGTGACTGAGGATAGTGAGCTCATTTATCAACGAAAAGCCTCCGGAAGCGGAAAAACAGCGAGAAGGGCAGTTGTGCGTCGTGGACTAGGAAACCCACTGCGTACGCTCAAGCTGGTCAGCAAATAGGCATCGGACAGATGTCGAGGGTCAAGCTCCCTGCAAATTTCCCAATACCTCGTTCAGTCAACTGTCTGGTCCTGCTGTGCCCGACAAGTGACCGTGACGCCTGCATAGTCACCAGAATGCAGCAGACGCTTTTGTTCTTGGGCTTGCATTGTCTCCGTCACTTTAATGTACCTCAAGGTCCACGGGGTCGTTGGCGTGGAGCAGACGCTCTAGCTCTGCGCCTGCGATGCCTGGTGATGTAAATGATATTGAAGTCGGCGCAGCTGTTCGCAAAGAGAGCTGTTTTGTGGATTCTCGAAGCGTGAAGTCAGCGGAGATGAGTAGGCACTCTAGCGCTGGCTTACGATGCCTCGTCGTGGAAATGATCATGAAGTCGGTGTAGTTATATGGTCACCAGAGTGTAGCAGGCGCTCTGGTTCTGAAGCTGCGTCGCATGCGATACAGGATTTGTAGACGAGGGTTCACGGTATTGACGGGAGGGTTCCTCAAACGCACATCAGAGCCTGCTAGGTAAGACACGCTGTGTGTTTTAAGAGCCCTTCGGTCAATTATGCCAATATTTGGTGCTCGGGGAGTTGCAGCTGCCTCTCAGTAGTCGCGAATCGGTGTCGAGCAGGATTCATCGACTTAGGATTGCGGACACAGGATGCACGAGCGCAAGGCTATCGTTGTGGATGACATCGCCAACGGCGTTTGATCTTTTTGAGGACACTGTATCTTGCTTTGCTGATTTTTGGGGTCCGTCACGATTGGCGAAGGAACTCCTGTGCGCTACTCTGCAACGGGAGGCTGGTGATATGGACAGGAACTGTTCGGGACGGATGAAGTGCGTGAGTTGGCGGCGAAAGAGGCCGGTGAAGAGGCAGAAGCGAGCCACTGTAGTACGAACCATAGACTGAATTAGATGGTGAGCTCAGCAGGATTAGAGAGTACGTCCCAGACTGAGACTAAAGACGAGATCAGGACGGGCTGGAGTTAAGTTACAGGATGAAGGAGGAAGAGTAGCTTAAGCAAGTAGAAACTCGCGAGTCTACACGTCAAGATATGTCCAGCCCTCATAGGGATCTGTAAGCGTAGACTAGGGTACGTTTAAGGCCACAGGTAACTACTCTAACTCAGGCTTCTGTCTCCCAGTGAATAAGACGCGCGCCCTCAATTAATGCACAATAGTGTGCATTATACTCACCACCCAAATAGTACTCATCACTAAGCACAGCAACATGCGGCATCGACTTCCAGCAGCGCAAGACGGTTGTAATATATTCTCCACGCAAGCTGTCACTAACGCTAGGAGGAGGAACATTCCTCTTGACAGCATCACGTTCCGTAGAGCACCTGTGCAGCTCCACCGTGTGACTAGGTATCTAAAGACCAAGCGTCGGCAAACTTCCAGGTATAAAGGTGTGCGACATACTGATTTCCTCACTCCTTCCACTCCTCTCTATCAACCGGAAAGTCATAGCGGTCAAGAGAGCATGAGGAGCTCTACGAGGATCTCCACGCCTCGGTCGCGTTTTATTCCTACAAGTTCGGTCGAGTCAAGCGCTGGATCATACTCGCACTCGCCTCCTCGAGCTGCTCTGAGGGAGTCAGAGGTGGGAAGTTCCACCCTAGCGCATCGGCCTGTCGTTCAACCTATCCCACAACCCTTCGCACCTGTCTTAGGGCCTTTCAATTTGGAGTTGCTCCTCAAGCAAATTCAACACTCTGTCAGCTACACCCCCGACTCGTAACAAGTGAGCCGAGCCCCAGTGTCCGGTTCTGGTCGGCCATCCGCTCTGGTGTGTATATCATCAAGGTCGGGTCACCACATCTCTTTTGGCCTGTACTCAACGGGGCCTGTGCAAACGCCCCTGAGCTGCTATCTTCGGATGTCAGCTCACTCTCAGTAACCTTCATTAGGGGCTTGCTCTCGACTCTCGCGCCGGCCAACACCCGCTTCCACGCCGAAGTGCGCGGCACGCTGCTAGGATATCTCTCCAACCTCTTCTCTGAAACCCTGCACCCGCTGTCCGTTTTCTGCTCGCATCTTTTCCACGCCAGCCTGGAGCATGAATCCTCCCAGCGCGGTCTTAACCTTCTCCAAGACCTCACACAGTCGCCAACTCGGGAGTCTCGCTTCGTCTCTCAGACGGTGGCTACGCACATGGCTCTAATCTCGCTCTACCGCCGTCTTGCTGACCTTGCGGCTGCTGAGACAACAGCCAAACTCCTCATAGCATACTGCGATGTCAACTTCGGCACGTGGAGCCCGGAGAGCTACGATCCCAAAAATCTGGTGTAGATCTGACCCGCACAAGCACGATACGACGAGGGCCTAGCGCTATGTCAAGAGGCCCCGCCTCGGATTGGCCAGATGGGGGGTACGCTTTGATACGAGACATTAGTGTATAGTAGTGGGGGCCGGATTCCTGAATTCCCCCTCCCCCTTAGGGTTATAGGGGGTGGGTGAACTTCTTCACCCTACCCCCACCTATTGCTCAGCCTAGTGCAGCCTAGCTGTAGTTGCCTCTCTCAATTAACATTCCTTAGGTATACGGGCCGCATCTGCGCTAGATCACCCAGCATCTCTTCGAAGGTCAACAGGACGATGCTTTCTATGCTGAGGCCCCCAATTTCAGCACTTGTCAACTTGATAATCGCCTCTGCCAGGCATACGTTGAAGAGCTACCAACGTCTCTTGTTCTCCCAAATTCATTATTGCCCAATTGCTCGAGAAATTTGTAGCGCAGGAAATGCCATAATCGCCTAGAGAGGGTCGGCTTCAGGGGACTACTAGAGTGTGGCTTCGGACAGCACTATTTGCGATATTACCAATGCCTTGAACTATATCGTAGTACATACACCAGCCAATTCAGTGCGGACCAAACGAAAATCAAATTTGGAGAGACTTATCAGGATTAGCCACAGGCGATCCGAGGGGAGGAATATAACAAGAATAGGTGTAAAATAGTAGCTTAGTCCTATAGACAACAACTCAAGACTTAAGAGAAGGGAGCCAGGAGGTAGCCACTCTGCCCACTCGATACAGGTGGGCGGCTGGGGCCAAGACCTAGGTCTTGGCTCTATAACCTTCTCTGGACGTCTGGGGCTTGGCATATATAACACTACCTCTATCATAACCCTAAGGTCAAGCGTCGATCAATTGAAAGCGGAGAACGAGAAGCTCAAAAACGAGCTTGCCTAGTGCGGTAAAAAACCGCAGGCTGGAGATGCAGCCTGCTATTGTGCTAAGATTAGATCTAGTCAGCTTAAAACCAAGCAACATGCCAAGCGGATAAAGCAGGACTTATTGGGTCAAAAGAATATCCAATTGACTTCGACAGTGAAGCGACTGACAAGAAGACTTGGTCACACTAATAGCGGTGTGAAGAAGGTAATCTCAACGTTGCGCATATTAAGCCTAAGTGCTGTGCACACATACAACAAGGCAAGTACCTAGGGTGGACCTGGGTGGTGTGAATTAACAGGAAAATGATATGTGCTGTTCACAAGGAGTCTAGCATGGTGCATAGAGGGGGAGCAAGGTTTTATTCCTGTCATTTATTCCTGACGGGCTCGCCCGTTCGGCAACCACTTGTCCTGTCCCTTCTGCTCTTTGTTTCCTGTCGCACAGATCGATTAAAAGCACTAGTGGGTCCGCCGGCAATGATAGGTACCGGGGGGTGGAATTCCCATTAAGTTCGGGGGGGGTCCGATCACCCCGGTTGTCGAAAGAGCTCCTTTATTGCCTAGGTCTTGAGATAAGGGATTGTGTGTTTGGCTCCGAGATGGTGACACAATGAGCATCTGCATGAAGTGACGGATCTCTGTCAGTGTGAGGATGCTTAATAAAACGCCGCTTTGACTTAGCGCAAGGGCGCCCTCGTGGCACGGGGGGTAGCGGGCTACTGTGACGTCAGAATAAACTGCGGCGTTGTGCTGTATTCTTCCACCTCGCACCGCGAAGAGCCCTACAAGATGTCCGCGAGTTTAGGGTAATTACTCTGTGAAGAAAGTCGCTTCATTTCTGTCATGAGTGTTTGTGCGAACATAAAATGGTCATGTACAGCGCCTTTCGCTCGTCTCTGCGGCTCAATGACAGCAGCTGTGTCGTTGACAAGAAGGTGCATCCCCTTTGACTCAGATTCTCGAAGCTGCACTCATAAGGTCGTGGATCTGCGGTGCGGTCAGTCGTGAGTTTCGCATCCTGTTGGCTGGTCGGAAAGTTATGCTTGGAGCAACTTCTTCCTAATCGGAGCTCAACATTCAGTGCTCGGGTCCAGCGAATGGACGCGTCATGATGAGGGAGGTAAATAAATGCCTAGGAGCAACGTCTTCCTCGTCTATCAACGGTGTGCAATGATTCGTGGTCGATAAAGAACTATCAGTCTGATTGGTTGAAAGAGATCTTGCTTCTGAGCAAACTTCTTCCTACCCAGGCTCAACCGAGTGAGATCAGGTCTGGCGGATCAAGGTCTGTAGGGCTAACAATAAGGTGGAACTTCAAGGAAGACTATGCCTGGAGGCTACTTCTTCCTTGTCGAAGTTCATGACGTGCAATCAGGTCCGATAGATCGAGGCGTGGTAGACGGGTGACGTGGAAGACTATGCCTGAGGCAACTTCTTCCGCCATCCAGCTCGCCGACTGCGACTGCTGCTTCCAAAATGCGTGCATCAACCAAAGAGGCTCTCTAATCTTATCAATGTCACCGAAGTAGTGAATGTCACTGTTGATTTGCTTATCGTCTGGCTCGAAACCCATGTGCGTCTGGCCCTGCCACTCGTACCATTCTGGAGGCGGCCCCCCACCCTAACGGATCCTGGAATCGTCCGCTTCGCGAGAGATACTTGGCATGGCGGCGTATGGGCTGTACCAGGTGGAGTTGTTGCACTGCATGCCGGGTGGGGCTGTTGCCTGGTTGCCTTATCTCCGAATCTCCGCGGCTACGAGGCCTCCTGATGCACTTGGGTGCCGGAGTTTGTAGCAGCCAGACGAGCCCGCCATAGAGATCCAATCCGGTATAGATGTATTGTAGGCAGACATGAAAAGGTTTTCACTAAGTGAATAAGAGAGGCTGATAGGCATTAAGCGCCTAAAAAAATAACGGGCAGGCTCCTCTGAGTTAAAGAAACTGTGTTTTAGTGATATCTACTATAAATCTATAGATCCCACCTATTTTCAGTTGGCTGTTGATGTGACATTGCCTAGGTGAGATTGTAGACACAATAACACAACATACAGGGTAAAAGCAGGTGACAAAAGCTTTGCACAAAGATTCACAAGTTAAAGTCCGCTTTCTAGCCTAAATATGTAAACCTTCGCGTGGCTTAAGGCCACGGGTTGCCGCACATGAGCAAGTTGAATCCTCTAGAGCCTTTTCTCTAGTATGCCGGCCTCTGATGGCCCAGCATTGACTACGTACAGAACATGGAGCTTGGTTTGGCGGCGTGAGGTTGCTCATAATGTCGTTAAACTCACGCGTAAACTAATGCTGTTTTTGACCATCCACATGACCTGGGGACGGGAAATCCGTTGAATGTTGAACACCCTTTCACGGATCTTGCGGCCCACCACCATGTCTAAGCAGAGGATCGAATTTTTCGCCCTCTTCCTCAAGCTCTTCGATCCTCGCCGTCAACTCTCGAACATCTCCGGCAATTGCTCCCCAGTCCATGTAACAACCATTCTTGGGAATTTTGAACAAACCAGCTTTGTATGCCTTGCCAATTGTCAAGTGTTCCGTCAGCTGAAGAAAAGTTTCCCAGTAATTGCGGTCTTCTTGGAAGGACGGAACATGCTCCTTCGGGAAGCTCGGGTCCAATAACTGAATTGGAATGGGAAAGACATATTCAATCATCTGCTTCTCGAAAACTCTGACGAAGTTGTGGTACTTTGACGGAAGAAGCCTAAAGCACTCCGGAAGCATGGTCCAAGCCGCCTTTCGGTGGTGGTCAGTACTATGCTTCTTTGCGTCATGTTTGCACATTTCACATTCGATACCATCAGGATGATCGGCCGGATCATCGTAAATTGGGATCAGCATATCCAGAAGATGGGGTGCAACGTCGTGCAAGTCGGTGGGGTGAGGTCCCCCACAGCCGCTGGCCTGGCACTGCACATAGCCACCCTCACCGTTCGGAAATCTGGTCTGTCGTACCTGACCGAAGAAAGGACCTTTGTACTTGAGCTGTTCAGGCCAATAGAAGTATGTATAGCACTGAGGCCACCACTTATATCCTCCGCCGTCGTTGGAACAGATCCTCTCGGTCGGAGGCATAACAGCAATGCCTGCGTTGGCAGCGGCGCCAACTGCCTTCTGAGAGGCGTTGTTGGTCGTCTTCCATACAGTCAGATCGACAGCTGTTCCAGGTTTGCCGTCGTTGAGGACACGGAAATTCGAGTTATCCAGCCGAATTGATGACATTCTTCTCGCCAGGCCCCTGCCAGGATATCGAACTCGGGGCGGACGGACGGAGGGCACCGCCTTGGGCGGAGCAATTGGAATGGCCTCGGTAGATAGCACAGACGATGCTGAGGCATATCGACTACCAAAGGTAGTCGTGTTCATAGCTGGTCCTGAGCGTTGCGGACTGTCAATAGCAGTCGTGTGCATACCTCGTGCTGAGCGTTGCAGACTGTCAATAGCAGTCGTGTGCAT